CACTCGCTCTGTAAATGCGTGGCAGATGTTTGCGCTCACTTCTGTCTCTGTGTGGATGTCCTCCTGTGTGGTGTTGCAGGTATGTTGTCAAACACCGAGCAGTGTGGAGGAGGCCCATCTGTCACACCTCCACTAACCCTGTAAACAAAATCCTGAGCTGTCATTCACGACAGGCCCACGTCTTTTTATACTCGACGGTTACAGCCCAGCGGGGTGAAATACAGCCGCAATAAATAAAGAAGCAGAAGGAATCATATCTCAGTTTGGAGGAAACATCCTGAGACATGCTGCGCTGAAATGTCTTTGGTCACAGCTGTGTTGTGTTGTTACAGCTGGAGGATGTTATTTTTTTTTTCTTTTAAAGGTATCACTAACCTTAAGATCAAATATATTGATCAGCACATGATGGATCACTGGAGTATGAGTCTGAACACAGCACACTGGAGAGGTTAATGACTCCTGACCTGGTTTTTAACCCTTTTTGAATCTCCATCCCCACTCTGACTCAATATGAGCTGACGTGAACAAAGTCTCACATAATTGGAGCCACAACAGCAGATAACACATCTCACTATGCTGGATTACACCTGAGAGAAGATCAAACAATAAATGTCACAGACGTGGCTCTTCTAAGGGAGCAGCACTGCGATAATAACACTTAAAGTCCCATTCCGATAGTTATTTTTTTTATTACTTAAAGGGAAGTTTTTAGCCAAAATTGCGTCACCTTTGTCGTTTTCAAGGGCTTTTCTTCTGCAGAGCTCCAGTAGCTCATTAGAAATTTGCCTCTGAGTTGTGGGCAGAGACAGCGCTGCTCCGGACACTTCTCCACGAGTTAGTTGCAGTCTAACATCGCCAAAGTAGTAGAAGTAGAACAGGTAACATAGGAGCTATTCAGCTCTCGGACATTAATGTCTTTAGGGACATGATTAAAGTTAATATAATAATAAGCTTTTTTACTAGCATTTCAATCCGCTAACGCAGACGCTTGTTTCATGATCGTCCTCTATTTCTCCAAGCCTGTCTTGCATAGCGGGGCTCGGGGGCGGAGCTTGGCTTTGTGACGTAGGAAATCTCACTGTATTTGATTTAAATGCAGAAATACTCAGAAATGCAATTTCGCACTTAGTTTTCTCATGATATGTCCTGTAGCATCAGACAAAATTACATATGAACATGTAGACAACAAGAAAAACATGATTTTCATCGGAGTGGGTATTTAACTTAATGACCATATTAAAGCTACAGTAAGGAACTTTCAGTTTGCGTCACCCCCAATGGAAAAAAAACATCTGAAGAGGGCTTTTTTTTAGCTACTCAGCTAACAATTGCCCCTAACAATGCCATTACTTTTGCTGATTGTATCCAATGAAAACGTTAACATGAATTTCAGTCCATTTAAAAGATGTCAAAAAACTCCTCACAGGAGCTTTAATATTTCACTCTCTCAAAAAGATAGTTATTGTCAATACTTTTTACAACTTTTTTACAAACTTAATTTCACATTCATATATTTTCAAAAAAGAACTTAACCTGTAAAAGTTGTCAAAAAATCTTTGCCATGTACAACAAGACCAAAAAAGGCACCTAGTTGTTTAAAATGGGCTAAATAACAAAATAATAAATGTCACAGTAGTGGCTCTGCAATAATAACACTTAACTTAAAAACCACATCAAAGCTACAGAGAGGAACTTTCAATTTGCGTTCCCCCAGTAGAAAAAATGTCTGAAAAAGGGCTTTCTCTTTAACTGATCAGGTAACACCTGCCCCACAGAAATTATAATATCAAAATCATTAATCATGTCATGACTTTTGCTGATCGTATGGAAGTGTTAACATAAATTTCAGTCAATTTCAAAGATGCATAAAAACTCCTCACAGGAGCTTTAATATTCCATTTTCTCCAAAAGACAGTTATTGTCAATACTTAATACAAACTTAATCTCACACTCATATATTTTCTAAAAAGAACTTATCCTGTAAAATTTGTCAAAAGTGTTCTGGCCTGTACAAAAACACCAAAAAAAGCATCTAGTTGCTTAAAATGACAGAAAAGGAGCGGTTCGATGTGTAGCTGTTCAAAGGCATCATGTTAACTCAGCTGCAGCTTGTGTTGCGGCTCACAGAAAAGTCAAGTCCCCTATTGCCTAACCTGATCTTTACCTCCTCCCTCTGAGCCTCAGGTGTAACTCTGTACTCGGGATCTTCGGGGCTGTGAATTTTAAAAGGTGAAACAGCTCGGGTATGAGCTCTGAGTGACATTCTGAGTACCTGCAGAGTACCGGGGGATTTCTTCACCCAGCTGAGATCACACTTTTCTTTCCTGAACATCCAAACACGCCTGAAGGTGACTGGGTTGTTGCTTTGTATTGAGGTCAGGCGCTGTTATGTAATGTGATGTGTTACCAGCTGAAAATTGAAGGCTTTCAGCGCCGGCTTTGTTGTGAGGCTGAGGTCGTGAGATGCCCACAAAGATCCATTTTGCTCGATGTTGTGTTTTCTCGCAGCAAAAACATGACGCTTATTTTGTTTCTTTATTTGTGCTCTGTGCGCCGTCAAGATTCAATTTCATTTGACGACCTGAGTTTTCTATTAAAAGTCTGTTTTTGTCATCCTTGAAAAGATATGTGCGACTCCAACACAAGATTATTGCTCTTTTATTCCACGGTTTATTATTTTCTCTTGTCTTCAGCAGCTTGTTTGGTCTGCAGGGAAGTCAGGGAACACTTAAAAATGTCAAAGAGTAAAGCATGACAGTTTCAAAACTTTTGTGGCGACCAAAACCCAATTAATAAAAGATCATAGCATGAAGCAAGATACAGTTTATTCCTCTGAATGGTAGCATTCAGATTGAAACCTCTGAGGTGGATTTCTTCTTACCAACCATCTGCACCTTATCATGAATTAGACCCTCAAAGACAGAATCAGACTCTCTTTTTGTTCCAGAAAGAAACGTCTTTGTCATTAGCAAACAAATGATAAAATATATATTATTATGATGTCAAATTAATATTTACTAGGGCCCGACCAATATGGATTTTTTGGGGCCGATGCCGACACCGATTATTAGGGGGGGAAAAATCTGATGAGCGATTACTCGACCGATTTTTTAAACGTTTTATTAAGTTATAATATATATATATATATATATATATATATTATACTGTAGATATCTACCATATACTGTAGATATACTGTAGGCTACTGCTCGTTACGCTGAAAGGAAGACCAACTGATCAAACTCGGACCAGAAAAGCGTTTTCATCTACCTTCATAAATTCACGATTAAAATCCTGCTTCACTAAATCCCAAAGAAAGCTACACACAGCGCTTAGAGCCAAAATAGTTAATAGTAACATAAATCACATCTATCATGATGCAGTTGAGGATTTTAGGGGGAAGTATCAAATTTTAGAGGGGGCACCCTTGGGGCTGGGGCACCCCTACACAAACCCTAAAGCTGCCCCTGACACCTGCATCTCAAACTTTCTAGCATAGCAACTCCTGTTAAAATAATGATCTATTGTTACATGGATGTGAAGGATGTAAGGATATTTATTCACTGAAATTCATCCTAAACTCAGAGCTAGAGGTAAATCTCCTTTAAATGTTTTATCTAGGTTATTTTTTAAACCACGCCAATGTAAGGTATTTTGTAGGACACTTAAACCTGCTTTGAAAGCTCCGCCTCAAAGCAATCAGTTGCGTTCAAAGCCCTGCTCCGGTACTCCTGTTAGGTAATTGGAGGTGACACCCTATCAGGCCTAAAAATAGCTCCGTACTCTCCCTGCAGGAGCCCAGCTGGAGCTTTTCTCCCTGGCTTTTGATCACCCGTTTGTAGGAGTGGGGGGGGGACTGACATCAACCGCTGCTGCTTTATCGCTCTGACTTTCTGACAGGAACCCACGTGAAACACAGCACACACACTCTCAGAGCTGGAGTAGCTTCATTACCGCTAGAATATAGAAAGACCTTCATCATCTGCAGTGATTATGATGCATTTAAGAGCCAGTCACTTCAAATTTACTTCACTTCAGGGCTTTCCCTCAATTGCGTTTAATACTGACTCACCTAGTCATTTTAAACACTCGATTGCCCCTAGCACAGCAGGTCCGAGTGAAGTGAAATCTCTGATACTTCTAACTTCTCAATAAATAAAACAGGTAATTGGAGGGGAGGGGGATTCAGGCTCAAGCCCTCACACATAGAGTGGGAGTATGAAGCGAATAAAAACCCCACAGGCTGTGTCTGACCTCAGTGAGTCACTGTCTACAGCGGCTCCTCCAGAATATGACATGAGTCAGAAACAAACATTTCTGAAGCACTCTCCTGTCGCTCTCTGAACACAGTGTTACTTCAGTTTAGATTAGTTCCCATTTTCATTCTCACCAGGAAGCTGTGTTTTAATTGGAAAGTGATTTGTTTCATTTTATAGGACTAATTTGTTTTCACAGTGCAGTTGTTTTTCTCTTATTTCTTTTCCCAGCTGGCTCGAAAAGGATGTAATAATAATAGTAATAATAATAATAATACATTTTATTTATATTGTGCTTTACATCTAAGAAAACAGATCTCAAAGTGCATACAGTGAAAAGCAATAGTAAAACAACTAATAAAAAAAATAAAAAAATACATAAAAATTAAAATAAAAAATAATAAATAATAAATAAAACATGTGAACAAAACCTGAAAAAAAAAGCCCAAAAAATTTTAAGTTAAGAGCAGGTTTTTGAGACTTGGGACTCTTCACCTTAAAGCTCCAGTGAGGATTTTTTTTGGCTGACTATAAAAAATTATTTTGATGCACTTTCTCTACAAAGTCTTCAAAGTTGCTCTGTCACTGTTAATAGATTATTTACTTAAGTTTAATGTTTAAGTTAGTTTAGTTAGTTAAGTTAGTAGTAATGCCAAGTTTTTAGACCCATTGAACTGACGGAGATGTGCGTTTACAGTTTGAAATCAACAAAAAGTATGAAACACAAGTGGCCTTTCTCTCTGTTTTCTGTTAAATTCACCAAATTCTTAGTCTTGGAAACCTCAAAATAAGACAAACAGACAACAACATCAACATAATCCTGCTGCCTCAGGTTGTAAACTTTTCTCCTCCCCTCTGAAATGTCGCTCCTGCTGTATATTTTTGCATCGCAAACATGAATTATGAGAGTGAATCTACAGTAACCAAAGCGTCTATAAATAATTCATTTCAGGAAAAGGGATCTATTTGCCCTCGTGCTTCTCCCGCGCTCGTGTGCACCTGCTTCCACTCGGTCACGGCGGAGGCGTCTCCAATTATCCCGGAGCACATCCCTGAATTTACCTGCAGAAACACATTGATCCTGACTGTGGCGTGATCAATACGGACGACACGTGAAGGCCGCATGTGAGGGGGGGGGTCGATTAAATTTGCGCGTAAAGGAATCAAAGATATGTTTGTTTTTAATGTTACATGCATGAAAATCTTGAAAATATTGTTTGATGTGGATGTTCTGAGACCGGGACAAGTTGTTCCCTTCTTCACGTGACTTGTCATGATGATGGTTCACTTGAGTGGGCTCGCTGCTCACTGCTCTGGTCCTCCTCAGTCCCCTTCAGATCTGCCTCTGCGTGGATGTCTCGCACCTTTTAGGAGGCGGTAGCTGATAGAGGAGACACACCACTCACATCCTGCATCACTTTGAGAAGGTTTGAGACGGGTTTTGACGCGTTTTTACGTGGAAATTAACCCTCAACTTTGACGGTGAGGATGCAGGGGGCGGCTGCAGGGAGCTTCAGCACTCTGGACAGCGCTCGTGGAAGTTTCGGGGGACAGAGGATTTCACTGAGATGACTTTTTTCACAAGTGAAAATGGTTGATTTTGAGTGTTTGTTTCCAAGTAACCCCAGGGTGGACTTGTTGGAGTGAGACATGGACTTTGCTGAAATCATTTTCGCTTTGTTCATCGTTGTAGTCGCCGTCGTCTCTCTGTTGTCAAACTTGTTGGTGCTGTTATGTTTCGTCCACAGCACCGAGATCCGCCGGCAGGTCCCCGGTGTTTTCACCATGAACTTATCCTTCTGCAACATCCTCATCACGGTACTCAACATGCCCGCCACTCTGGTTGGGATTATCCGGAACCAGCAGCCCTTCGGGGATTGTGTTTGCCACACCGTGAGCTTTCTAGAGACTTTCCTCACATCCAACACCATGTTGAGCATGGCTGCGCTCAGCATCGACAGGTGGATAGCCGTGGTGTTCCCACTCAGTTACTCCACCAAAATGCGCTACAAGGACGCGCTGATCATGGTGTGTTACTCGTGGCTCCACTCCTTCACCTTCTCCCTCACGGCGCTGCTCTTCTCCTGGGTGGACTATAGCCACGTGTACGCGTCCTGCACCCTGCAGCCACGCGAGGAGGAGGGCAGCGACAGGGTTAGGTTTACAGTGTTCACGGTGGTTTTCCACGCCACCAGCTTCATGCTCTCCCTGCTCATCCTGTGCTTCACCTACCTGAAGGTGCTGAAGGTGGCCAGGTTTCACTGCAAGAGGATTGACATCATCACCATGCAGACTCTTTTCCTGCTGGTTGACATTCACCCGAGGTAAAGTTTCCAAAACTATTATTTTCCTGCAGATCTATAACTCATAAACATGTTTTTAATATGTTGTTGTCCTTTCCAGCGTGAAACAAAGATGTTTAGCTGAGCAGAAGAAGAGAAAAAAGAGAGCCACGAAGAAGATCAGCATCTTCATCGGCTCCTTCATCATCTGCTTTGCTCCTTATGTTATTACAAGGTGAGTCAAATAAACAAATACTTTAAAACTATTAAACTCACTTACACCATATTATCTTAAACACATAAAAAAGGTGTAAATATTATCTCTAAATGGAGAAGAACAAACCCAGTCCCTGTAATATCTCTGAACCATGAGATGCCTCATTAGTACCCTGTATCAGCCTGTAAACAGCTGAGTTTCCATGCTGCTGTGCTGTCAGAGGAAAAAAAGAAACCCGTACTGTACACAATACAGCGCACAGGACAGCAGATACAGTGTACGTGATAAATAATGGCCTGCTGAGAATAGAAAAAAGCTGCTTCAGGGACCCTGTTGTCAGCCAGATATGCTGCTGATGATCCATCAGGTTGATGCGTGTGTGTTACTGCACATATGGGAGTAAAAGGAGGAGGACGCTTTAACAAGGAGAAGTGTCAGACAGAATTGGAGTAGCCTCCCGGCCGGGTTCACACTCAGGAAGTAACCCGAGTGACTGTTGGAACCAAAAATCCAATTAAAAAAAAGTCTCTGCTCACGAATCCACCCTGCTTTCAAATCTGCTTCATTTACAGCTTTTACCAACATTCGAACATAATAAATAAACATTAGCTATAGCATTTAAAGGGGTAAAATCTATAAGAACATTTTGCCTACCTAAAGCAAATAAACAATCCTATTAACAATTGCTTATACTCCATATGGTTTTGTAGAATTAAAAAAAATATGACGTACAGGAAGAATTTTGGAGGGTAAAACTTGTTACAAGATCAACAAAAACAGCACAAATGTCCTCTTTAACTGAAGTAAGTGTGACCTGTGGTGGCCTAATGTGCAACCAAATATCTAGCAAAAATGTGAACAAGATTGTACAGAAGGCTTTCCCCCCTTTTTGTCTTTGCTATTAGAAAAAATTAAGCAAAATGATTAAATCTGCACTTTTTTCTAATGGCCAGTAGGGGGCAACTTCACTGGTAGTAGAAACAAGTCAGATTGTGTGGTGGCAGATGGGAAAACTGCCAAAGTTCTTAGTTGTTTCATTACCAAAGACAATAATTTTTTGTGACATTGTCCTTTAAAGCTGGCCTCAAAATAGTGTTGTGTTGTTCACGAACGATTCGTTCAAAAGAACTGAATCTTTTAAGGGAACATACGGAACTGAATCACTTCCTCGAGTGATTTGCTCGTTTCTCACTTAAGTTGAGCTGAAGTGAAACAGCATTGCCAGTCGAGCAGCCGGCGAACGAGGAAACGCATGCACCAACGCATGAATCACTTGGTGAACAAATCACGTATTGAACAACACTCTCTGGAATCATTTTTGTCAGATAAAACTACATTTTTAAAATAATTTTTACTGCTAAATTGCCACCACAACAACTTTCATACAATAGGACACAGCATGTAACAAGTAGTGCATTAAACCTGCAGCATCCTGTCATTGCAGCGGTTTACGAGGGTCAGGGAAGCTACAAATTAAACTGAATCCTGAACCGTTCAGCTGTGTAACAGTTCAGGAGGTCGGAGTCACAGGCTTCTTCCGCCAAGCGCTAAATGATTTGGTGATTTGGTGAACAAATCTTTTGAATGAATCTTTTTAGTGAACTGATTCTAGTGATTCAGTACATCTTAAAGAACTGCCGTGCCCATCACTACCTCAAAATAATACAATTTAATACAATTTAATGGCTTTTTTACATTATTCAATCAGTCAGTCAATCTTTATTTGTATAAAACCAATTCACAACAAATGTTCTGTTAAGATATTTTGCAAAAAGGGCAACAAAAACAACAATTCACATAGACTTATGGCTAAAGTGTCATAAGTAATGAAATGGCTAGGCAGACTATCAAAATAAACATCAGCTTTTTAGCGGAAATAATGATGAAACTTTACTCTACTGATCGATTAATTTAGAGTAAATAGAAGATAATGAGTCCAGTGTGTTTTATAGCGTGGCTATCTGTGATCTAGATGCGTCAATGAGTCAATGCAGAGGTGCAAAAAACTGCAGTTCCTTGAGTGTCCACTTGAGGCCGGTCCCAAAAGCCAATAAATCCACATTAGGTCCAATGTTAAAGTGCAGAAACAGACACATTCATGTCTTGGCAGTAAAAGACAGTCAAGGTCCATGTGGCGCATTTGTCCAGTTGCACACTCTGCTACCTGCAACTTTTTTATGCTACATTAGTGGCTAGCATGGCTAACTTGACTGACAGGTTTTTCTGGTTAAAACTGTTGGATAAAGTCTTTATTTTTAGTGTGGCCTCAACACACCTCTTCAAAAACCCATGGGCAATGTCACCTGGATCGATCCATACAACTTTAAATTGGCTGTTTCCACTTTTTTTTCCAACAGGCATGGAGAAAGTTGCCTGTTAGGAAAGTTTGGGGAAATCTGCTCTTTAACACTTTTTTCTTCCTGTTTGAGGGACTAAGCAAAGACAAGCCCCTCCCCTTATTTCACCAGCTAATGGTTTTCACAGTCCCTGGCTTGTTCGAGTCTCTTCAGTCTCCAGTCTTACGCAATCTTGGAAACATTTCACACATTTAAAGAAACTGCAAAACAAAGAGCTTTAAGTGTCACCTTTGACTGAAATGCACTCCAAGTCACTTTCATTCTCCCGCCCATTCAGGCTGGCTGAGCTTCTTCCCTTCGTGGACATCAACCGCCGCTGGGGAATCATCAGTAAGTGCCTGACATACAGCAAGGCTGCGTCCGACCCTTTCGCCTACTCCCTCCTACGTCAGCAGTACAAGAAAGTCCTGGTGACTGTCGTCAACAGGCTGCTCCGTCGTGACCTGTACCCCTCGTCTGGCCATAACAGCTCTTTAGACACAGAGAACGACTACTGTCTCCAGAGGATCAGCTAATGGCGAATGCATGGACACGGCAGATCCTCGCTACAGCCAAAAATAAAGGTTGCCTTTTGGAAGAAGGTGGGCGGAGGAGAAGAATGAGAAAAAAAGACAGTGAGGAGAGGAAATTGTTAGGGAAGGAGTAAGAGAGTAGACAGAGGGGACAGATTGTGGGTGGGGGTTGAAAAGAGAGCTAAAATAAGAGAAACGGTGGGTGGAGAGGAAAAGAGTAACAAGGGGGAGGATGAATGGGTCAAAACAGGGAAGACGTATGGGGAGTAAAATGTGGAAGACAATTACCTCGGACAATATCGGCAAACAGGAAATGTGTGTTTTGTCAACACACAAAACCACACGAACATGGTGAATCAATGTCATTGAATAAGTTCAGATTAATCTCAAACTGAAGGCCCACACTGCTGGAGACAGACTCTAAAAAAAAGGTGGCCTTTTGTACCGTTCCGACCACTTTATAATGACTTCAAAAAAATCCACATGTGACCTTTCTACTGCCACAAAACGCAGCGACACAGCCAGAAGCTGATGGTCGATAAAAGCGCCGGAGCAAAGATTTGAAAATGTTTGTTCCTTCAGTTAATGGATGTACTCTTCGGTGTGGAGATCCACCTGCTTTACGTTGATGCCATGTTCTGTATTGACAACGTTAGACTATTTTGCAGTGTCATGTCAGTCACTGAATAATGATGCACTTTGTCCGATTCTCTCAGAGCGACTGTAGTCAGTATTGAATCACGAGGCGGAGGATATTCTGTGTTTTTGTCAATGCCAGCAATTTCCAAGAAAAGACCAAAAATCAATAATGTGACTCCCGGGACCCCATTGTATTCTAACTCCAGCCAATTTATTCATGGGAATTTTGGTCTTTTTAAAGGGGTGAGAGTGCAAATACAGACCAGAAAGGCAAAAATAACGACAAAGGAGAGGCTTGAGTCCTGAATTTAACTGGGACTGTTGGACTATTTTTGAACACAGATGAGCACACCGTCAAAGGACCTTCATGACAACGTTAAATCTAAGAATTAATTACAGCTTCAGCTTGTTGTAACCAAGAAATACCCATTAGCTAGCTCCACCCCTGACACATCTATGCCAGCAGCTTCATCAGTCACCCATTTTGTCAAAATATGACGCCTTAGGTTTTTTTTCTGGACACTGCTTTGGTTTGCAGTTGAAATTAGATCACGTGGTTATTAAAAGATCATAATCCGATGTATGTATGAAACTATCGGTTAGTGTTGAAGTTGCTTCTCTCGAAGAAAGGTAGCACACATGGTGACATAAAATTCGTACACTTGCATTAGCATCAGTAGTGTCTTGGCCGCTTTCCATATTTACCTTAGTAACATGATGACATATAGAAGAACTTACGATTCAATTATGCATATACTGAAGTAGTCTCATGGATTGGGATCCAACGAGCCCAATGCAAATTTTGCAGGCCATGGATGTAGCTCAAGCGCGAACAATGATGGAAGTAACTCAGGTCATAGACAAAGGCAAGGCGTGTCTCACTGTTAGAGACATTTGTTGTATTTTATTTCTGTTTGTGTTTTGAAACCTTTATCATTTGTAATTGTCCTGGTGCCACACCAGGTGGCGTGGATTCCTATTTGTTCGCTATAAGTAGTAGAAGATGCAGTCAGTGGCAGGTGTGTCTGCAGCTGGAGAAGCACACGTTTTTTTGACCATCAACATTAACATCTTTGTCTTTTATTTGTATTTGTTTTCTTCAACAAGTAAGGAAGATTTAACAAACAAAACGAGAAGAAAGCAAGAAGGCATGGAAGATGTGGAAACTGTAAGTCTCGCTATAGTACACCTTGGTGGTTTTTGGGATAATTTGGGCAGGTGAAAGTAAGTCACTATACTAACATTTGCACGATTTCTCAATATCTGATGGAAAAAAAACTGGACTTTGTCAGTTTCAACAAATGAGTTAAAGTTCTGGTATAAATCAGGCACCTCTGGGCTGAGATGACACACCTGCTTCATTCTCCACAGTCTTTAACTTGATTGAATTCAGCTTGTCGATACCAAAACCAATGGGTTCCAAGATCGTTTCAACCTGAACCATGGTTTTTGTTGAGCTTCCTTGTTCGCTGTGTTACCAGATGTAATCACAGTTTGAACAAACACAGCTCAGTTATAGAAAAAGATGTATATATGAACCTGGAACCCTGCCCATGTGAAGTTAAATACTTAGACCATGTGGTGAGTTGTGTGAGAAAAAAATGTTAATACTTTTTAATGATCCTCGGACAACCAGATGAAGGAGATCTTAATGGTTCATCCAAATGTCAAACGCAGCAGCTGCTACACATTTCAGTGACTCACTTCTTTTGATTAAATCAGGCTCCCTTGAGAATTACACCAGAGTACTTACAAGTTCAGACGGAGACACATTAACATTAGTGGATGTGAATGGGAGTAACTCATTTCTGGTGTTGGGTTGTAATGGTTTTTGTTGTGAACACAGAATATCCGCTGACTTCTGCTTCAGGTTGTGACTTTGTAACTGAATGTACTAGAGATAGCCCACTTTTTGTACAACTGTGCTTCGTTCTGCCGGTTTACTGAAAATGTTTCTATGTTTCTATTTAAAGGATGTTATTATATATTTTGCACTGTACAGGAACAACTTTTGTCTAGATAAACAGGGAGCAATGTGATGTAGCATACGACAGCTTTCAAAGTGCTTTAAACACACCGTTTTTGTGTTTGTGCCAGATTTGAATATGTGATTTTTCCAGCTGTACCAGAATAGCTGCTTCATTATTAAAAGTCTGTGTTTTTTTTATGTAATTTATGCACATTTATCATCCGTCCTGTGAGCCACTCGCTGTTTTTTGGCAGTGTGATTAGCTTTTAGTGGATTCTGTGCAATAAAAGCTGTCAATTATAAAGCTATTTAAAATATTCATGTTTTGAAAGCGATGTCATTGGAGCTAGATAATCGCTTTTGGTTTCATCTGTCAGCATTCGAGTTGAATCTAAACAGCAAAGTAAAAGTCTTCAAGACACTAATGGTAGATAGTTGGAAGGTTAGTCAAATTATACTCTGAGATGATGGAAAAATGACAAGCGGTTATCAGTATTCATTTGAGTGGTGCAGGTTTAATTGATAGGGATTAAGTATCTTTGTGACCCTCGACCACTTTCTACAGCACATGGACCCAATTATAATCATATATATCATCACTGATGACTTTGTATTAAAACAACGCCAGTGTCACATGAGCAATCTTTTTCCCAGCAGTGTTACAGCCAAGTTAATTAAACACAGAGGTCAAAGGTTAATGGTAGTGTCTGATTCTGTAATGTCTCAGGCTTCGTTTACACAAAACAGCAGTAATTGTTCGCCACTTTAAATAAAGAAATTTTTTTTTTAGATTAACCCAACAGCTATCACCTTTAAACTCAAGCAGTACGCTCTACAAGGTCGTCAAAACCGTACTGAAGCAATCACTCGGCTTCATTATCAGTGTGTTGTAGCTAATTGACCCTGATTTACATAAAATGATTAATGAATGCTCTGCGAAACGTGGAGCAATATCCAGTGTCGACCCACTTTGCATACCGTGTTTTCTGAGTTATGCTGCATTCTTCCACACTACTGTGAAACTCAAGAAAAATGTTTGGAATATTAAGTGAAAGCGCAAAAAGAATTTTAAGATGCAGCCTTCCAAGGCCAAACTGGGACACCAAATGTTTCTTCAAATTTATGTCCTACATTGAGGCTGCATCAGGTGTATCCTTCACGCGCCACTTATCCCGTAATACCTTGTGTGCTAATATGATCGTGACTGTCGGCACGGGCCACTACAGCCGAGTGACTGCGGCCTCCGGTTTGAGACTCAGTCAACGACAGGGGCTGAGCAAAAACAGTCATGCAAGCAACCCTGTGAGGCAGTTAGTTGATTTAACTGTTAACATAGGGTGACTATACGTCCTCTTTTACCCGGACATGTCCTCTTTTTTGGGGGGCTGTCCGTCTTTGTCTGGGGAAGTTTATAAAATCCTTCAAATGTCCACGGTTTTGTACGTAAGTTTTGATTTTGTGTCATGTGGACTTACTGAGTTAGAGGCGCGTAAAAGACACTTGATCCGACCCGAAAAACTCTCGAAATTAACTTCATGTCACTTCATGACTCCACCCCCGAGTAGTCGTGTCCTCTCCTGTCCATTTAGACCTTCCTATCTTAATTTGTGGTGCTGGTGTTGACTTAATTTGTAGCATGGATATTTAGCTTAATCCCAACTGTGTCTGTCTGCTTTTATATTCTGTGGCGAGTACAGGTACAGTGGCTTTTATTAGACCCTTCACACTGAAGCCAAAAAAGACAAAACATATAATCTTTCATTTAACTCATTTAATATGAAGTATAAACTGTAGCCTGGTTGTTACAACCCACACATTTAATCTCCCAGCCTGTACAGACTGAATACTTTGGGTTTGAGTTATCAATATATCCTGTAGTTTCATTTTGTCTCCTATGACAGTATATTGAGGCAGTTTGAAGCAGCGTACTGTATGATATAATAAAGCTCCCACTCTCTGCTCAGGTGTTTGTCCATCACAATGATCTGTAGGCAGTAAACACATTCAGTGAGTCACTCAGGCTTTCGCACAGATGAGTAACCTTTTTTTCTTCAGGTTTATGCTTATATTATATCTCTCTTCTCCTTGATTATAAATGTTCTCTTCACTATCAGGTTAGGCCATTGTAAGCCTTTCTTTATGCACATCTCTAGTAGAAGAGTTTACTTCAAAAAAATTTTTTCTGGGCTGTGTGATAATCTGCATAACAAATGGCCGTATCCGAGAATAATTAGCATATTCCTGATTTAACTGATAGAAATGTTTGTATTCCTCTTTTACTCAGGCTCACATCTCCCTCCACTCATTACAGCCACAGGGCTGAGCTCTTCTTCAGATACTTTAGCCAGTCTCGAACCCATGAGTCCTGCACCCGCCTGGCTGCATGATGAATAATCATACTTCCCATTATGCTAAATCAGCTCAGTTCTGCTTGAAGGAGAGAAGAGCCTATAATTAGTTAAATAAGTAAGACAAGTTCACTACTGTCCCTATTTATAAAAGAAAGATAGCCCGGACGTTTTCCTTGTGTGGTCTTATGAGAGAGTGTGAGTACGTAAGAGGGGGAACATGAAATTAGGTCAGGTTGCAATCACCTCGGCCAAGTCTGGACAAATTAAGTTTCCTCTTGACAATCAAAGGGTTTGCTCTGTCTCACAGTTGTGTTGGTGGTCATTTAGAGAATCATTGTTCTATAACGGAGAACAAAGAGGCTTTTAAAGGTTACGTTTGATGATTAACTTGTGCCTTTCATGGCAAGCTCGCAGCTCCAATTTCCCTGCACTGGAAACAAGGTTACACTGATTTTAATGTAGCTTTGATTTTTGTTATGAAAGACGAATGTCCAACAAAACAATGCATCCCTACCTCTGCGCTCTCCATACTTGGTGGGAAGACAGGGACATGGACAACAAAATCAAAAAGACACTTGATTCTTTACACTGGTAGACAATATTCCCTGCTCGATCCATTATGATCCACCAAAAATCCAAAATCATACACGATGAATTTGATTGTAAAAAGTCAGTAGGATGAGATTTATGCTGTGTACCATTTGTACTCCGCAATCAGGATTTCCAAGCTTCGGAAAGTCAGACGATCTTTGCCAACCCCGACTCAACGACAACATCATTATCCAAGATGGCAGCACAGTGCATCAACAGTAAAGAGTAACAGTGAAATCTCTCATAATTTATTATGTATTAGCACTTCTGTTTTGTTTTTGTGAAATTAAATAAGTGGTATATGTTGTGCTGCCCAACGTCTAACTTTGAACATGGTGCTATGGTGTTTGTAAGAGTAAAATACTGTGTTGTGCGTTGTTTACAACTGGTATCGCTAACAACAACTAACAACTGTTGACAACAACTAACAACAGCAAACAACAACTGACAACAGCTAATGACAGCTGACAACTGTAAACAACAGCTAACAATGGGTAACTGGGGGCTTCCATCTTGGTTTTCTGACTTGTTCACTTGAACGCTGTCAACTCGGGTGTAGCGTCATTCCCTGCCCCTATATTTGACTTCTGAGGTAACTGGATTACAGCATTAGGTCACATGATACGACTTGAGAGTGTATAGAATAGCATGAGATTAGCAAAATCTGCTTTGTCCACAGGGGGCGCCAAAATTGACCCAAACCAAGAGCTTCTCATGAGAGCTTTAATCGTCTGAGAAATAACCTGAATAGTTTTTTTTTTTTTTCAATAATGATTTATCCAATCCAAAAATAAATTATGCTTAAAATCTTTATTCATAAACATTCAGATTTGAGTGTTTTTGAAGGTAAAAGACACAACTTGTTCGCATATGCTCTCAGTTCTGATTTGATATGTTAAAAATCCTTTGAATGGACTCTTTGTGAAGAGGGAAAACATGCTCAAATTGTCCTATTAAATTTAGTAGTAGGACTGAGAAAATTAAGACAATCTCTTGCTTTATAACCTCGTAAAATTTCAGATTAAACTGCTTGACATGGGCCTGTACACTTGTTGAATTCTTCAGTAGGCTGTGTGTGTTATAGGGGTCAGTGTTTACAAAAAAAAAAAAAAAAGGAAAAAAAAAATAGTTGTTTGGCGAGAGAAGGAAGGAAGAAAGAAGCAAAATACTCCCATTTCGTGAAAAGACCCAAAAAGATTTCAAAGTGCGCAGCTGCTAGCTTAACTTTTAGCATATGTCCCAACTTCACCTCCGCAGCCGTTTCCCCCTGAAACTCGATATTTAACCGTAATACGCCTAATAAACTCGCTTTGGGAGAAGTTGAGAGGAAACTACAGCAGACTTTGGAAACTTGACGCACACACCCTCTGTCTGTCTGTCTCTGTGTGTGTCTGTGTGAGAGGTGCCACATCGAAACGGAATATAAACAGCGGAAAAATGAGCATCATGTTGCTGATCCTGCTGCACTCTCTGGTCCTGGTATCTGCTGCTCCTCAACGGTGTGACCCACGAGTTAGAGGTAAAAAATTTTCATGTAGTTTCATGTCATAAAAAGCTTTTTTTCCCTTCTTTTTAATCAGATGTGCATGAAGTATTGCTGTATGACCTACTCATTGCATCTTTTTATGATCCCAATGTGCAGTTTTCACTCTAAAAAGCTGACTCTTTTAGCCGTAAAACTTAGAAATTGGTCATATATGCCTTTTTAACACTTAAAAGCTAATAGAAACATGACTAAACGGTGGCCCACAGCTTGTCAAGTGCATGTGATATATAAGTAGTAAGCATATTTTTGATTTAACTACCTATCTTTATGAGCCTATAAATTAAAATACAAGCTGCAGGGATTTATTGATACTTTAGAGGCATTTCAGAAAGCTGTTGAAGCCACACTAGAGGTTTAACAAATACAGTTTTTTTCTAGGCCACATCAAGGCTTTTACAGAAACCACTCCTGCCATCTAGTGTCTGCCACAGTGTCAGCTAATGACAATCTGCTGATGTGTCTTACAGGACTGTGCAAGCCAACAGTGGAAGAAAAACGTAAGTACCCTTTGGGCTTGGACTAAGAGAGGGCTGTGTCCTGTATCAGCATGTTAGGGCAGATCATCTCCTCTCTTTTCATTAATAACAGCTTTAATTTCAACCTTTAATCCTCAAACCACTCTGCTTTTACCCCCCCCACCTCTAAATCTTTAGTTTTGTCGAATTAGGTCCCTGTGGATTTGGATTGAGTCTGTGTTTTGACAACAAAAAGGATGAGATCATACAAAGTCACACAGGGCGTACTCTTAATGGAATCTGAGCTAACAGCAATAAGACCCTTTTGTGTAATTTTAGATGATCAATGACGCCATGAAATATTCAGATTCTAATTTCCAGGGATAATAGAAATATTTGGGGCTCTAATTAGGGTGTGATGGATGTCTTGACCCTTCAAAATAAGACGGATCAAGTCAGATATCTAATGAGTGATCCTTCAATTTGTGTTTCCTCCTCCTCCTCCTCCTCCTCAGCCAAATGCACAGATGTGTTGCTCTCCTACTGCCATGACATGCCCTACACTCAGACCATGTTCCCAAACACCCTCGGACACAAGACCCTCCAGGATGCCGAGGCCGGGGCTGAGTACCTCCTCATGAGCGTGGTGGAGTCTCTTCTCGGAGGAGAGTGCAACCCTGAGATCCGCATGCTGGGCTGCTCCGTGTTGACCCCTCGCTGCGAGAAAGCAAAGGTGATGAAGCCGTGTCGGGCCTCCTGCGAGATGGTGCGTAAAAAGTGCAGCCATGCTTTTGAGGCGATAGAGATGGCCTGGCCTTACTTCCTGGACTGTGATCGCTTCTTTGTCAGCGAAGAAGAGGGATGTTATGACCCACTGGAGGACCTTGCAGGTGAGAGTTTGGCCACTGTCATATATCCTGCAACCTTAAGTCAGATATAACCCAATCTTTTATAAAGTTTCTGAGCGTTTTCAGCAGACATCTGGTTCCCTGAATTCAAAGTGAAGGTAGGACCTCTGGCTATTTTCCATGTGTTTTATTAACACCCCATCCTTGTAGTGAACCATAAAAAGGCAAACATTGTCTAACAGCATAAAAAAAAGTTGTGAATTCTTTCGGATGTTGGATTTTTTAAAGTTAGGCTAAAAAAAGACACCGCTGCCATGTGTGAGCCATATGAGAGGATGATCTGTAAGAATCTGCACATCAGAGGGAACTGATCTGAGCTTTCACGCATGAAATTCAGGCATTAGTTTGAAGTAAAATGTGAACACGGACATGAAGGTCTTAAAGTAAACCCATGAAAAGAATTACCCAAACTCCTTTATCACTGTGTTGGACTTGATTGCAGTGCAAATTCCTGCTATGTGGAATTTGGTTCAGATGTTTGGCAGCAGGTTGACCTGTGTAGTTATTCCCATCTTCATATTATATTAATCGAAAACGGATGTTCTGGTTTTCATATCATGTGACTGCATGGTGTGTGCACAATCTGGGAGGATACGCTACACGAATACTTATGTAATCACCGCCTAACTTATTTGAATGTCTATACTTAGCATGAGGAAGGGTTAGAGGTTAGCTTTACAGGTTTAGAAGTAAAGAAAAAGGCAGTCAGCAGCGTTTTAGATGCAGAAAGAGAGAGATAGACATAACAACAATAGTACATGGATTAAATAGTACATGGTGAGTCTGATGCGTGCAGTAGAAGCAGCTGGAAAGCAGGCAGCAAAACATCTGCAGCAGGGATCCAGAGGAACCAAACGATAAGAGAGATCAGGGACTACCAGAAAAAACTGGGATTAGTGATCTTAAGAGGACATAATGATTCAAAGTTGATGACACAAGACAAAAGGAGGACAGAGAGAAAGGTGCTCAATGTGCCAGTTGCCCCGGAAGTCTAAGCCTGAACCAGACCTATGTACAGGCCCATATCCTCATGAATAAAGACGACCTTTTTCAATCTCATCTCAAATGTGTTTTACTTTACAGCACAGCAGGATGAAGAGGACTATTACAGTATGGACATGCTTCCCCCTGAGGATCCGGCAACAACGATTAAGTTCACCTATCACTCCAACGCTCAGATGAACGATATCCTGAAGAAAGTGGAAGAACGATGCCCTAATATATCAAAAACCTACAGCATAGGGCGCAGCATGGAGGGCCGAGAGCTGCTCGTGATCGAGTTCTCGAACAATCCCGGAGAACATGAGCTGCGTAAGTCAAAAGTGTATGATTGTGAGCAAAACATGAAAGTAGGTTCGGATTTTCAAGAGGACAGAAAGCACAGCAGAGAGGAGACAGAAGTGTGATTCCAACATGTATATCAGAAATATAATAGGACCTAGATATGAACCCTGTGGTACACCGTGGGTCTGGTCTGCGATGACTTTAGATGCTGTTTTTTTGATCCCCCACAGTTGAGCCTGAGATGAAGTATATCGGCAACATGCATGGAAACGAAGTCATGGGCCGTCAGCTGCTGATCTACTTAGCTCAGTATCTCTGCTCAGAGTATCTGCTGGGGAGTGAACGCATCCAAACCCTTATCAACACCACCCGCATCCACATCCTGCCCTCCATGAATCCTGACGGTTACGAGCTGGCGGTGAGCGGGGTCCAGGGCGCTAATGAGGATGATGAAGATGGGGTCAGTGTCCACAGTTACTTAAACTGTAAAAATAAATGTAAAATATCTCGTAATAGATGGCGTCATTAAAATATTGTACAAAAGTCATGTTTATGATTTCCACAGAGTCACACTTATGATATGTGGAATATCGGCAGAAACAACGCTCAGAACATCGACCTGAACAGGAACTTTCCTGACCTCACATCCATCGTTTACAGCCGACGCAGACAAAAGGGCTACCGCACCGACCACATCCCAATCCCAGACTTTTACTGGTTTGGTAAGGTACAGGATCAGTCCTTATCTGTATCTGCAGTGTTAGCGTTAAACAAAATGAGCTTCATTTTTATCACCTCTGACTAAATTAACCTGATGTTCCAGTTTTAAGTGTTGATGCTAAACGCAGGTGGCACCTGAGACCTACGCTGTCATGAAATGGATTCGCTCCATCCCATTTGTCCTCTCTGCGAACTTCCACGGTGGAGACCTGGTGGTGTCTTACCCCTATGACCTGTCCAAACACCCATTTGAGCGCAACATGTTCTCTCCAACACCAGATGAACAGGTGAGACGGCTGAATTTGGAGTTAAAGAAAACCAAAATTCTTTAAGGTGATGTATAACCTTAAGGCTTTTATTTTGTAGGTATTCAAGCTCCTGTCAAAGACCTATTCTCTTACCCATGAGAGGATGTCCAATGAAAACGCTCGATGTGGCTCTTCTAGTAGTATCAGCCAGAGAGGGACTGTAAATGGAGCTCAGTGGTCGAGCTTTGCAGGAGGTGAGCCACAAAAGTGAAAGTTATTTTAAGTAGGAGCCACTACAGGTCAGTGTTGGATCAGCTATTGTGAGATAAGAACGTATGGGGTAAAGTCAGCTCATCTTTTCATGGAATTCTGGGTAAAGCAGTTTTCTTTTTCTCCCGGCTCAGGAATGCAAGACTTCAACTATCTCCACACCAACTGCTTTGAAGTGACAGTGGAGCTGGGCTGTGATAAATTTCCCCCTGAAGAAGATTTATTCATCGGCTGGCATGAAAATCTCGAGGCTTTACTCTCGTTTATTGAAGCAGTAAGAGCAGGACTGAGGTTCAGTTTACTCATAACTCAAAGATTTCGCTTTTAAAGTGAAATCTTTGAGCAAGGGTTACTTCTGCGTCTGATTTGATACATGTAAATGTGGTTTGTGTTGTTCCCTAGGCCCATCGAGGTATCAAAGGTATCGTAAAAGATGAGGAGGGGAACCCAATCAAAAGCGCTCGAATATCAGTCCGAGGAATCCAACATGACGTCACCACAGGTAACCAACAGATCACATTACTTATGTAATCAACTCATTAATGGCCTCTGGGGTTTTCTGTATTTACACAAGCTCAGGTCACTCTGTCGATTCAAAGCTCTCCCGGGATTCTTAGTCCATGCACAACAACAACCTGTTTGACTCATATCAGTCTGGCTGAAACTGCTCATCTCTGCTCCCACTTAACTTTGGAGATCTGTTAGAGTATCATGGAGATGTGAAGTGGCTAAACCACATTGCTTAAAGAAAAGGAGTCCCTCAAGGGCCTGTGCTTGGTCCCCTCATTTCTTTATTTACACCATCTCACTCGATTTCAATGGTTTGGAGAAAACCACATTAAATTGGTCTGTTGATGTGTTTTAGATAGACTGGATGAAACTTACATCTGTATCATCCTGACTGGCGTAGTATTAAGAAGGACTCTCGACCCTCCAGTCTGGAGTACCAATAGTTCTGCCTCTCTTTCCCTGTCCAGCTGAAAACGGGGAGTACTGGCGCCTCCTCATCCCTGGCATCCACATCGTCTCTGCCACAGCCCCCGGCTACGCCCGATACTCGAAGAGGATCCACCTCCCGTCTCGTATGACTACAGCGGGTCGCGTGGACTTTGTACTGCAGAAAGCTCCTGAAGAGTCTGAAATCCTGGAGGAAGACAACACCATCCCCTCTATGGGCAGCTATGACCGCTTTGACCCCTTCAACCAGTACGAGCGCTACACCCTGATGGCTGACATGAGCGTGACCCAAGAAGAGAGGTTGGAGAAGCCATGGTGGTGGAGCTACTTTGTGCTGCCGGGAGAACCTTCCCCAACATGGCTGCTCAGACGGATCTAGAGCTTTAGTAACTGCTGTTACACTATACACATATTGGGGGCTTTAATGTAATAAATCTGCTGCTTTTATTGGTGAGAAACTGCAAAGAGATTCAAGCTAGCTGGCTGGCGTTCTTGTGGGCTTTTTTTGCTTTTACATACAGCACGTGTGTTCTGTTTTCACAACTCCAGTCTTAATATCACAACATATACACCCTGAAATCACAGCAAGTATAATAAAAGTTTGAATCTATTTTGATCTATTAAAATTTGTGATACTTTTCAATTTCCATTTAATATCCTGAATATAAGATATATGGAAGGCAGAGAGAGAGATAAATAGCACTAAAACTGATACCGATATTAAAATGTCCTTAAAATTGTCCACACAATAGCTACCAAATTGCAGTGATGCCAGACTCAGAATCAGAATCAGAATGTCCTTTATTGTCATCATACTAAAAGTACAACGAGATTGTAGAGCTACTCCTTTTCCAGTGCAATAGACAAGCAAAAATAAGGTAGTAAAAGTACAAATATATGTAAGACAGAAGGTACTATATATACAAAACAAGAATTCTACAGAACAGTAAAATAAAACGTATGTATGAGAATAAAATAGATAAATACGAAAGAGAATTATCAAAAATAAATATGTATGTGTGTTTGAATATATGTATATATGTACATTTTTTATATGTATATGGACATGTATTGCACAGGTTAGGGATATAATAATCAACACAGCAGCAGGAACATTGGTAATATTGCACTTTTCACCTCATCTTGAGGGCTGGAGCTGGTTTATGGGAGGGAAGACGCTGTTTTGGACTCTGTTAGTCCTTGCTTTGATGAAGATGTAAGTTGTTACTCTTCACCTAAAAATTCAGGCCTAATAAGTATATATCTTAGAAGTGACAGTAAGAACCACTGATGAACAGATAGTAATATTTGAAAAAACTGGGCTTTTCTTTTTTCTTTTTCATTGTTTTTTTACATTTTGTTTCTATTTTCTTCATACACTTTTTAAATTGATATGCTATGTCTGGTTCTCATGTATTTATGTGGTAATTTTTGTAATTTTTCCATCTTTGGTCACATTTCTGGTTGAACTAACAAATTATGCACAATAATACTACATATCCCATGGGGCATTGCGGCGATACAGACGGCATCCGGCAAACCGGGCTCTGTGGAGGAAAATCTAAGCTAGGTTAGACAGTTCTGGGTCATTCGGCGGATCTGTCGGCAACGGTTCGGACTTTGTGGACGCGTCATTATATATTTTCTCAGGTATGTATTTTAAGCTAAAGCTGTTTCTATGATTAGAGAGAAGGAAACATGTATTTTATTATGTGTCATTGTTTTTCTAATACAAAGCTGACAGTTACAAAACAAGACAACGTCATTACGTAGCCTCGCAGCTAGCCTCCCTGCGGCTATTTGCTGTTAGCTTCCCTGTCTTGTATTTACCTGTGTCTGGTCTTTTTGTTTGACAGTTTGGAGATAAATCAGGTGTGTTTTTACCCTCTAGAACAAATAAAATCATGCTGCTTCGGAAAGTGAGCCAGTCTTCCGCTCTGTGCGGCGCCATACTGAGGATCCCACCCGTCTTGTCAGGGTAAGGAAGGTTATTGTTGTGCTTTTATGCGAAAAAAAGAGGAATCATTTGTTTGAAACCACAAAATATTAATTATAGTTTTATTTTTTTCTTGTCTATAGAGGTCAGCGTCATGCAGGGGCTGTGGTTGCCGTCCAGAATGCACGTCTCTACGCCAGCCAAGCCGCAGAGGTAAATATCCTAGAATTATTAACAATAATTTACAACCAAACATCATCATCCTGTTACATAAGCTTGTGTTTGTTGTCATGTTGCATTCTGGGTGATTCTATTATATCGATGAGCCGTCTGAAAGTCCTTGTTTGGCCTCGGTGGGAGCTGCCTGATATAACACTGACAGTCCCTGCTGGAAGTGGGGGAAAGTTCACTGGTCACATGGTGTCATAAAGGTGACACTGAAGTGGAAGTGGGTGACTGCAGTTGTCCAGGAAAGGCAGTCTTAGGGAGGACAGCAGTCTTGTTGACACCTACAATATTGTGTCAAATGAAACCTAATGCTGCTCGGTTGTATTTTGTTCTGCCGTAGCTGTATTTGTGACAAAATGGAGGGCTGTCAATCAGGAACAGGTATTTTGACAGTGTAGATGACTGTTTCAGGCTCATTGAGTCATGGAAACAGACCCTCAGTGGCTGTAACTACTGCATAATAGATGTAATGGGGAGATGTGTAAAGGGACAACACAACTGTTTTTAAGATATTGATTATTAATCTGATAGGAAGCAACATGTCAATATGAGCGCTTGTAGCACACACACAGTCAGGTGTGAGTCTGAAATCTAATCAAATTTTATGATCATGTTGTTTTATTAAGGGTTCATTTAGGGTGGGTTTATTATCTGCACCATAAAATATGTGGCAGTGACTCAGCCATTTAAAAGCCCATTGAGGTTTGATCTTTACAGGTGGTCCAACTTCAACAGGAACTTGTTTTCCCAGTTTATTGTTCGACGCCCCATCCTCAGGTAATCCTGCTGGGCACGATCTGCAAACTGACCAGAATACACAGGATAACCCAACCCTAAAACACTCAGCCATGACAGTCATCTCACTACAAAAAACAATATAACAATAATCAATATGCTGATTAACGTTAGAAGTCATTAGAAATTTGTTGTAGAAATCTCCTTATTAAACGCTCTGTCTGACTTAGTCTGTCCGGCGTCACCTTTCACCTATTTGGAGCTTGAAATCAGACCTTGTGAGTCTCTCCTGGCTGCTGCCCTCAGAGTGAATGGAAAAATTTTCTGTCATTTCTCACTGGACTCCAACATCAGGTCGTTTTATTTGCAGCGTCAAACAGCCTCTGTTTACATTCGTCATGTTAGGTGTTTAAAATAGTTCTCTGACTTGTGGCCTCGAGGGTGTTTTCTAACTCAACTTTGACCTGAAGTGCTCCATTCAGATTGTTTATTTAAGCAATGTGTGAAAGTAAAACCTCCATCTCTTATAAGCAGTGGGTGTTTTTGGTCACTTTGTGTTCACCACATGACTTTTTGCTCGTTTTCTCTTTAGGCTGTGCTGGAGAAACCTGCTGCAGTCGGCACTGAAGCTGCAACCAAAGTGGAAAAACCAGCTGTTGCCACCGTAAGTCTGTCTGTAATGAGCTGTAACTCACAATTATATGGAGGTTTTAGCACTTCTAGAACTTTTTATTTATAGTTTTTCCATAAACATTGAACAGTATCTGAGACAAGATTAGTGGTGTAGAAAAAAATATAGATAAATAAAATTACTAATAATACTACTACTACTCCCAACAACAATTTAATAATAATAATAATAATAATAAGGAAAAACAAACAGGATAAACAAATAGACAAAGATAAATAAGTAAAAAAAATAAAAAAATGGATAACTAAATAATACAGAATGATTAAATGATAGGATAATTTTAAGAAAAGAAATAAAGAGGAGAGGAGGAAAAGGGCAAATTCACATCATGTGAGCATCCATTTCCATTACTCACTATCTGCCTTTAATAATAATGGTTACAAATCTGAAGTTTTAAAGCTGAGTTTACCTCAAGGGTACAAAAAGTTACACAAGTACTGTTTGCGTCTGACAAGGAAACACTCCAGGGGGTCGTTTACATACTCCTGTTTGCTCATTCTTCACTATGTTTGACCTTGTCTCCCACAGGAATCCAAATCTTTCGCCGTCAACCTTTTCAAAGGACAGATTCAGACCGCGCAGGTGTTCCCCTACCCCTCAGGTAACTCGGATAAGTCTGAAGCGTGTCACTGAAAAGCAATATTTAAAAGTAAGACAGGTGGAATAATCCAAACTTTTCCCTTGTTGTGTCAAAGTCATGAATACCGAGCAGGAGGAGTTTCTCCGAGAGCTTGTGGGACCTGTCGGCAAGTTTTTTGAGGTAATCTTGATCTTCTGTGAAGTCTTACCAAGTTTTATGAGGACCCTTATTTTGACCCTGCATGCGTTTATTTGTCCTCTCTGTAGGAGGTGAATGACCCCGCCAAGAACGATGCTCTAGAGAAGGTGGAGGATCACACCATGGAGGGGCTGAAGGAGATGGGTGCCTTTGGCTTGCAGGTGCACCCTGACCTGGGTGGCCTCGGCCTCACGAACACACAAGTACGTCTTTGTTAGACGGCCTAAATCTAGACCACGTTTTTCCTTTACCATAAAAAAACCAGACCCTCTGGATCTAATATGATCAACTCCACCTTTTGTTGCAGTACGCACGGCTTGTAGAGATCGTGGGCAGCCATGATCTGGGCGTTGGCATCACTCTGGGTGCCCATCAGTCTATCGGCTTCAAGGGTATTCTGCTCTTTGGAAATCCAGCCCAGAAGGAGAAGTACCTCCCTAAGCTTGCTTCAGGTAAACGGGAAAAGTGTCCGAATCTCGGTTTACGTACATCTTCAGGAGATAAACGTCAGCCTGCTTGAGCATGCTGAATTTCCTGAATATTTCCTGCAGCTAACTCACATTTTACCGGGAAATTTTATTCAGAAGCAATTTTTTTGTTTGGGTTCACACTCAGAAAACTTTAATGAAAGTAATAATGAATTGATTTAGAGCATATTCAATCAAAGGGCTTCATATTTCTGTGTCTTTGCAGGTGAGACCATTGCTGCCTTCTGCCTCACCGAGCCAGCCAGCGGTTCCGACGCCGCCTCCATCAGGTCCACAGCGGTCCAGTCCCCCTGTGGGAAGTACTTCACCCTCAGTGGAAGCAAGATCTGGATCAGGTGAGGACACAGGGATTCACAAATGCCTGTTTCTGCGTTCACCACTAGAGGGCAGCGTTATTTCATGAAACTGGCAGCAGCTTCTTGTCTTTTCAGAATCTAATGCTCCGTTTTTCTCCTCACAGCAATGGAGGTCTTGCTGAAATCTTCACAGTTTTCGCCAAAACGCCCATGAAGGATCCAAAGACCGGAGAGATGAAGGACAAGATCTCTGCCTTTATCGTGGAGAGGAGCTTTGGAGGAGTGACACAGTAAGAACACCTGTTTTTTCCAGATTATGTCTAGGTTTGATTCTCATTTTGCTGACACATCTTTTGTTTTCTCCACCACAGCGGACCCCCTGAGAAAAAAATGGGCATCAAGGCGTCCAACACAGCCGAGGTCTACTTCGATAACGTCCGTGTGCCTGCAGATTGTCTTCTGGGCGAGCTGGGCGGAGGTTTCAAGGTGGCAATGAACATCCTGAACAACGGGCGCTTCGGCATGGCGGCTGCTCTCTCTGGCACCATGAAGGGTGTTATCACTAAAGCTGTGAGTATAAGTGTGAAAGCAGAGCGTCGGCTTTAGATCTTCTGCCGCCTTTGCCCTGTCACACCTCACTTTCAGTCTTGTGTTTCCACCGGTGTGGGTTCATGGGAAATTCCCTGTTGTGCAGTTATTGTGGTTTGTTTCTGTGGTGCAGCTTCCTGCTGAGTCGCTAAAGACTAAAGTGTGCTCATCATGTCTGCTGAAATTTGAACATTTTTCACCCAAAATACAACCAAGCCTGGATTTATTAAAAAAAGGAAACAACAACAATTGGTGAAGGACTTGTAATAAGTTCATAAAGGGATATAAAACATGAAAACATGCAGCAGGGACAGGCTGAATAAGCTGCCTTATGTGCCGAAAAACGAATTGATTAATTCTCATCACCAGACAAGAAACACTTTTAAGATTTTCTCTTTTCTTTTTCCCACAGTCCAGGTTACAGTGCAGAAAAAAACAAACACTTTTTAATTTGAATTATGGTAAATTGAGTGATAGTTGTTTAACTTTTAAGATATAAAGAGTGTTGAAAGGCTGTAACACTGTGTTAAAAGCTTCTTTAAAGACCCACTCCAATAAAAATAATGTTTTTCTTGTTTTTTTACATGTTCATATGGCATTTTTCTGATGCTACAGGACATAGTATTTCTTCATTTAAATCGTTGTGAATCCCTGGCAGACCCAAATGGCAGCATCAGAAACAGTGAGATTTTCTACGTCACAAATCCAAGCTCCGCCCCGGAGCCCGGCTATTCAGACTACACTCTGCATATAGAGGAGAAATAGAGGATGATCGAGAACAAGCGTGTGCGTTAGCTGATTTCAAAAGACACTAGAGTCTGAGAGCTGAATAGCTCCTGTGTTACCTGCCACGTCTGCTGCATAAGCAATGTTAGTCTCACGCGCAGACGAGTGTGCAGAGCAGCGCTGTCTCCGCCCACGACTCAGAGGCAAATTGCTAATGACCTACTGGAGCTCTGCAGAAGAAAAGCCTTTGAAAATGACATCGGTAACGCGATTTTGGCTAAAATCTTCCTAATCACAATTTTAAGACCACTGAGAACACTGAAAGTCGTGGAAAAAAGAAACAATTGGAGGGACTCTTTAAATTAAAATATCCTTTTACAGGCAAATATTGAACAACAAAAAACAAAGAATATCAGGAAATTAAAACACATTACAGACTCTCATGCATTTCAAGTAATAGAAAGAAGTGCAGGTAATTGAACATGCAGAGTTGTGTTTTTGTTAAAGAGAAATAAGGATTCAGTTGTAGATAAATCCAGATGTACTTTTCTTTGTTTTTCTACAATGTGTGTCAAACTATAATCGTTCTTTACAGTGTCACCATCTCACTTTGTTTGTTTTCAGTTTTTTTTGCGTTTTCTCTGAAACCACAGAGCAGTGTGGTCATGTACGCTTCTACTTAAGCGCCTGTAGCCCACCACAACGTGTCGTCTGACAACACTTCTTCTTTATGAGCACAAGAGAAAAAAAAAACCCACTGTGACACTGAAACAAGGACAGAAAAAAAGTGCACAGAACTTGTCGCGCTCTGAGAGTTTGAGGAAGTGTCCGGGTTTCACGCGGTCTGCTGCTTTTAAAACAAAGACTCTGAAATTATGTGTGTGAAGCGTTAGTAACCGCCATTTTTCTCCCCCCCTCCTCTCTTCAGGTGGATCACGCAGTCAACAGAACCCAGTTCGGGAACAAGATCCACAATTACGGGGCGATCCAGGAGAAGATCGCTCGCATGATTTTGTTGCAGTATGTGACCGAGGTTAGATAATTTCAAACACCCTCATAATTCACATCTAAACCAGCTGTTCGGAAAATCTTTGAAAAGAGACATCAACTTCTGATAACCGAGGCAGAAAACCAACACAGACATATCTTCCATCAGGTGTTAGTTCCTATCTTACCAGAAACATCACCTTGCAACATCAAACTGACTGTAAGCCTGAGGATGTGTAGATATGTGTATTTCCTGCCTGATTATCGTCCTCTAGTCATTGCAGCTGCAGTCAGTTTCCTCAACGTGAAGAAAGATATCATCAAATTTTGCTGACTCGACTTCCTTTGTCTGTTTGCAGTCGATGGCCTACATGATCAGCGGCAACATGGACAGTGGAGCGACTGAATTTCAGATAGAGGCCGCCATCAGCAAGATCTTTGCCTCAGTAAGAACTCTGATAACACAAGTTTGAAAGCTTTCACATGTGAACCAGAAATGTTCACAGTCTCCCATAATTCCTTGCTCTTATCTCACAGCCTCTGGTCTCTGTTTTCTTGTTTCTAACCATCACAGGAAGCAGCCTGGTTGGTGACCGATGAGTGTATCCAGGTTATGGGCGGCATGGGTTTTATGAAGGTGGGTTTAACACAAACTGCATTAAACAAGTGACAAAAGATTCAGTGGTATTTTCAGATCACTTGGTTTTCAGGTGAAGTTAAAAAGAGATGTTTACACTGCCAAAATCTAAAGTTCTGCTAAAAGTTCTGAAGCAGCTCATTTTGTCTGGAAGAACCAGCATCAAAAATGGACTACATGAGGCATCCTGTCCACAAATATCTGTCTGATTCGATGTTTAGAATAGCCTGTGTTTTGACTGAAGGAACCTTAGAAGAACCACAACTATTTGAGTAACTCTAAAGTTTGTTTCAGAATATGTTTACATCAACTTAAACTTAAAAGACACACGTCAAAAAATTACTTGTCTCACCGTCCTTGTGGCTGAAAGATTTCCCTTTTTTTTAACATAGTTCCCTAAATGTCAAACGGGAACTATTATAGAAATTTCTGTCACCTTTTAATTTGAGTACAACATACACAGTCTAAATAGTGCCTGGTCTAAGTAAGCCTTTATCACTGCTGGAACTCTGAGTGCATTCCACACTATCTTAAAAGCTCCTGGCAAAAAAAGTTGTTTCATACTGCAGGAACTTTTGCTACAACATACACATTGTAAAAAGTTCCTGGGTCAAAAATGCAGTTTTTCACTGCAGGGACTTTGAGTGGATCCCACACTATCTTAAAAGTTCTTGGCTAAGAAGTTCTGGTTCTTGGTCAGATAAAGTGGTTTTCACTGCAGGAACTTTGACAGCAGCATACAGTCTAAATAGTTACTGTGTCAAAAATATTGTTTTTACTCCTGTAACTCTTACTGCAACATACACAGTGTATAAAGTTCCTGAGTCAAATAAGGTAGACAATCCCAGGAACTCTGACTGCAGTCGACACAGTCTTTAATTTCTAGGTTATATAAACTGTTTCTTACTGCAGGAACTTTTACTGCACAGGACAAGTCTTAATAGTTCCTGTGTCACAAGGGGTTTTCACTGCAGGACCTTAGACTGTAGCATACAGTCTAAATAGTTCCTGTAATACAAAATAGTGTTTTTACTCTAGTAACTCTGACTGCAACATACACAGTGTATTAAGTTCCTGGGTCAAATAAAAAAGGCAATCCCAGGAACTTTGACTGTAGTGGACACAGTTTTTTTAATTTTTGGGTCAAATAAACTGCTTCTTACTGCAGGAACTTTTACTGCATACGATAAGTCTGAATAGTTCACATGGCGTAGGGTCACATCAATTGGTTTTCACTGCAGGACCTTAGACTATAGCATACAGTCAAAATAGTTCTTGGGTCAAAAATATTGTTTTTACTCCTGTACCTTTGACTTCACAGGATGGGTCTTAATAGTTCCTGGGTCAAATAAATTGTTTTTTACAGCAGGGATTTTACTTCAACACTGTCACTTTTAATAGTTCCTGGGTTAAATAAAGTAGACAAACCCAGGAACCCTGACTATAGTGGACACAGTCTTTTTAATTTCTGGGTTAAATAAGCTGGTTTCTTACTGCAGGAACTTTTTCTGCACAGGACAAGTCTTAAGAGTTCTTGGGTCAAATAAGTTGTTTTTAAAGCAATGATTTTACAACAACACTGGCACTTTTAATAGTTCCTGGGTCAAAAGAACGTTTATTTCATTGCAGGAACATTGGCTAGGACATGCACAGTCTTTATAGTTCCTGTATGTAAAACATATTCAAATAGTTCCTGGGTCAAATGAATTTATTTGTGTACTTGTACAGTAACAAAATCCTTATATCTTAATGGTCTGTTGTTGTTGTGTGGGAGCGTGGGTTTTGTAGTTCTTGGTTGAGCTCTTTGTTTCTCGTTGGGACATCAGTAGCAACCTTTTGTTATTTCGACTTCTTCACACACGTGCCTGCAGCGACAGCCGCCTCAGAAAAGTCACGTATGCTCTGCTGTTGTGGTTCAGAGTGACATTATTACTACATGTAAGTCACTTGACCTCAATAGAAACTGATACCATATAAACTTTTGGTTTTTCCAGAGGAAATAAAAAAACCAGAATAGATCTATACGAACCAGCTGAAGAAACGGGGGCGTAGTCGAGCCACGTGAACAACAACGGTGCTCTGCTTAAAATAAACCAGACACCACCTTTTAAAGAGAAGTGCAGCTTCACCAGCTTCTCTGTGCTCTGGAAACTTTGCTCAGTCATGGAACAAAGCACCGAAAAATACACAAAATTGAAAACCATTGCTCATATTTCTGATCTTTAAACTTTAGAAGTTCACTCCTTATCAGCTAGTTTGTTCGAGTGGAATATTTAGCAGATATTTTTGTGCTTTTATCCACATTTGTAATGATTTAGTGGAGAAGTGAATCTTTCTGTCTCAAAGAAAGGAAGGATAAACAGATTTAGCAGCTTGAAAGTGAACTCACATAGCACTTTTATTAAGGAAGCAGAGTTAAAATGGTCCTTGTTCTCTTTCATTTCTGCTTTTCCACACTGAACTACATCAACGTTTCAGTTTAGGGTTAGGGTTGGCCATTACTCCTCTCTATGTAAGAACCTACTGAAGATGTCCCTGTTTCTGTGTGATATATGATCCTGATTCCAGCTGATTGCCTCATCTTGGTTACTCATTATGCAAAAAGAGTCACAACCCAGTGACTCAAATCAAGAGGGAAATTCAGTTCCACGGTATTTTACGCATCAGCGCGTTGAAGTAATTCCCACGGGGTCTTCATGGTTTGTTCTAAACAAGAATTCAGATCAACGTGAGATTTGCTTAAAACATGACATCGCCTGACAGTGAGTCTCCTCTAAAAGGAAAATTAGTCCTTTTATTGAGAGAAACTCAACTTTACTGTACGGCAACAGTGGAAGAGGCGTCTAGAATGCTGGGTTCTGGAATTTTAGGGAAAAACTCATAAACCGTCTATGTTTTTTTTCTGTATTTGTTTTTTTCCTGGACATCACTTGACAGTAAGCCTCCTCTTATAGGAAAATTTGTCCTTTTATTGAGAGAAACTCAACTTTGCTGCACAGCAACAGTGAAGGAGGCGTCTAGAATGTTTGGTTCTGGAATGTCGGGGGAAAAGCTCAAAAACCGTCTTTGTTTTATTTTTGTATTTGTGATCCCAGGACTCCGGAGTGGAGAGAGTGATGAGGGATCTGAGGATTTTCCGAATCTTCGAGGGCACCAACGACATCCTGCGGCTCTTCGTGGCCCTTAACGGCTTCCAGGTAGATGTTCACCCCCTCCCCACCCCCTCACTAATTCAGGCAAATGATAACAAATGTGGAAAAGTACAGATGCTCCGCAGAGAGGAAGTGATTTCTGCTGTCTGTCTGAAACACCAGCTGTACTTCCCATGTGCTTTTACAAGACGCTGAAACATCTTACCGGTTTATCAAAATGCAACTTCCTTTTACTTATTTATAATCCGAGGGACTGCAGAACGAATATCCTGCCTTCTCTCTTCATTAAAGACATTTTTAGCGACAAAGTGTTTGAGCGGACGAGTTTGTTCTCCTCCCTGCAGAGTGCTGGAACCCAGCTGAAGAGCTTGCAGAAGGCCCTGAAGAACCCCATTGGAAACGCAGGGATGCTCGCTGGAGAGATCACCAAGAGAGCCAAGAGGTTACAACACACAAGCACACACACACACACACGCACACACACACACACACACGCAGAGTCACTTTACTTTCTATTTGGGGACAGGAAGTCAAAAACTGTTGCAGTTCAAGGTGGTAGATGAGGACTTCCCTTAAATGACTGATCTGTTTTTCCTTTCTTTACTTTAATGTTAGTTACAGCCTTTATAATTTCATCCTGCTGTTTCCAAATTATCCATATTTTTACATTATTTTTAATCCTTTATTAAAAATGAGTTATGATGTTATCTTCATTTAATGTGTGGTGAATCTAGGATACATGGAAATCTCACTTTTTAGGACTGGTTGCACGTTTGATTTGCCTGCTTGTACTCATCTAAAGATATCATGTTGCAAACGAAACCATGTCTCACACTTCCACATTGTTTTCCTGTGATACAGATACCTGCTAACCTCTGCTGTTGCGCAACTTTCCACCGCTCAGCAAGAGGAGAAAATGTCGTCTGCACCTTCTCACATCTGATTTTCTTCTTGTAGGAAGGCAGGTTTGGGGACAGGACTGACGCTGCAGGGGACTGTACATCCAGAGCTGGCACAAAGCGGGGAGCTGGTCAGTCAAACCTGTTTTTTGGGATTATATTTGTCATATATTTTCAGTTTTAGGGCTTTCCCATGTTATTTTTCAAAAATTAAACAGAAGACGTCTCTGTTTCCAGACCACAAAAGCCATCGAACAGTTTGGAGGAGTCGTTGAAGAGCTTCTGATCAAACACGGCAAGAAAATCATCGGTAAGAGTGTGTCAGATATTAACCCCTCTGTGTCTTAATCAGGATGTCGTGGTTTGTTTATGTGATGGTGCGAAATTTCACTCAAAGCAATTTCCTGTCATAGATGAACAGTTCGTCCTGAAGAGAGTCGCAGACAGCGCCATCGACCTCTACGCCATGATTGTTGTCCTGTCCAGGTACGAGACCGAACATGTTTACACTCCGTCTCTGTCCCCCGCCATGTTTTTACAAACCGCAGCGTCTCACTTTCAGTCCTAGTCGCCCACTTTCACCCACGTATAAACGTCTAAACCTGACATTTGTCTTCCCCCTCCCTGTTCAGAGCCTCGCGGGCTCTCAGTCAAGGCTCTCCCTCAGCTCAGCATGAGAAGGTTCTGTGTGAGACCTGGTGTATGGAGGTAAGACGAGCAGCACTTCTATTGTCGAATGAACGTTTTGAAAGTGTTTATTTGAGCTCAAGTAGTGAACACCTCTCCGCTCTCTTCATCCCTCCAGGCGTACGACAGGATAATGCACGACCTGAAGGCTCTGCGCTCCAGCGAGTCCAGGAAGCTCTTCAAGAACCTGCAGGCCATCTCCTCAGCCGTGGTGCAGAACGGCGGCGTGGTGGCTCCTCACCCTCTGGGTTTCTAAACGCGCCTACGTATCGTCACACCTGACTGTTAAATTTTATCTGGATATCTAGCAGGCTGAGAGGAGGGGTTAGTGTTTTAGTTGACGAGTGTTTATTCTCATCACCATCAGTGCTTCATGTATTTAAAATCAGCTCTTCACTTACCTCCATAGATTTTATTTTCAGTCTGTTTGAAATCATTTTTTTTCTGTTGTTATTTATTTCGGTACTGATCGTGGATCTCTGCGAGAACAGAAAATAACAAATCGATCAACGATAAGACAGTAAAACCTCTGATAGACCTGCTCCACGACTGAACACCTCAAACAGTTTCCTGTCAGCCTTTAGGACCGTTGTTAAAAATCTGTCGGATCATCAAGTGAGTTTAAAAGAGTGATGAGTCATATTTTATTTTATTTTTATAAATAATACAACATAAATGCAACTTTTAAGTATAAACTCATCTGTTTTAGGGGATTTAGCCTCTGCTTTAATTTGTTTTATCTCCATAGTGAAGATCAAATGTATATAACTGTGTGGTGTTGATGTTCTTGAATGCCTTTCTGCATGTCGAATAAGCTCGCTCGGTGCTCATGACAGAAACTTTAACATCAGGAGCAAAAAAAAACCCTTTTTGCCTTACAAAACCGGTCCACAGATGCTGAAGAGTCCGCTTCCTCCACTAAAGGCGCCAGGTTTCATTTAATGTAACAGCAGAAAATAAACTTGGAACTTCACAGAAATGATGTCTGATCTGCTTCATGGAAGTGTGTCGAACTGTGTTTCCTGTCAACTTGAACGGTGACGAATCATGCTTTTTTTTGTCATCTGAAAATGAAAATATACCTGAAAGAGCCAGGTGATCATCTCAGCTGTTAAATTTACAACCTTGTATATCAGCTAGGGTTCAATGTTAAACCTCAGAGTTTAAAACAAACAAACAAAAATATCTTCGTCTTTCTTCCTGCTGAGCTCTCCCATTTCTGCAACTCTACTTTCACTTCTGCACGTCTTCCAGAGAAAAAGCCGCTGCGTCTGGTTTGCCGGTAAGAGTCTCTCTGCTGAGTGGTTGCTGGTGCATATTTGTGCCTTTCTGAAATAGGAACAGAAACCCCTTCCGGCCCCCAGGGTTCTAAACTGACTTGTATTTGAAGGTGCTGGTGTTGTTGTGGGTGCGTGATCCGGAGACGGGAAGAGTTGAGAGCCTGTGGTCCATAAGCCTTGTGGTTCAACATTGAGAAATCCCCCCTAACGGTATGTCTGACTCAGAAGTTATTGATGGGGTGAGCAGCAACTGTGTATTAGGTCACCCAAACAGTAGACAGTCTGACTGTCGTTGTTGACACGCCCTCCATTATATAATGTTTGTGGTTAAATTTGAAAAGGAGGCATACAGTTGTTTTGTAACACTGTTCTCTTCAGCTGTCTTAATCTAGGTTAAGATGGGACATTTGATGGGGTCCAGTCTTGCATGTCTTCCACCTTTAATGTGACCTATAACCTGTACGATGCAATTGAAAAACAAACTGAAACCTTTGAGGGGAAAAATAAAAAATAGAAAAGTTAAAATAACCTGGTTGCATAAATATGCACACCCTTAAACTAATACTTTGTTGAAGCACCTTTGGCTTTTATTACAGCACTCAGTCTTTTTGGGTAGGAGTCTATCAGCGTGGCACATCTTGATATGGAAATATTTGCCCACTCTTTTTTGCAAAACCGCTCCAAATCTGACAGATTGTGAGGGCGTCTCCTGTGCACAGCCCTCTTCAGATCACCCCACAACTGTTCGATGGGATTCAGGTCTGGACTCTGGCTGGGCCATTCCAAAGTCTCAATCTTATTCCAGTGAAGCCATTCTTCTGTTGATTTAGATGTGCGCTTTGGGTCATTGTCATGCTGAAAGATGAAGTTCCTCTTAGCAGAGGGTCGAAGGTTTTGTGCCAACACTGACTGGTATTTGGAACTGTTCATAATTCCCTCCACCCTGACTAAGGCACCAGTTCCAGCTGAAGAAAAACAGCCCCAAAGCATGATGCTGCCACGACGATGCTTCACTGTGGGTATGGTGTTCTTTTGGTGATGAGCAGTGTTGATTTTGCACCAAATATACCTTTGGAATGATGCCCAAAAAGTTCAACTTTGGTTTCATCAGACCATAAGACATTTTCCCACATGTGTTTGGGAGATTTCAGATGTCGTTTAGCAAAATTAAGCCGGGCTTTGATGATTTTCTTTGTAAGATAAGGCTTCCGTCTTGCCACCCTACCCTATAGCCCAGACATATGAAGACAGAAATTCCTGCAGCTCCTTCAGTGTTGCTGTCGGCCTCTCGGTAGCCTCCCTGACCAGTTTTCTTCTTGCCTTATCATCAATTTTGGACGGACGTCCTGTTCTTGGTAATGTCACCATTGTGCCATATTTTCTCCACTTGATGACAGTCCTCACTGTGTTCCATAGTATATTTAATTCCTTGGAAGTTCTTTTGCAGCCCTCACCTGACTGATATCTTTGAATAATGAGATCCCTCTGGCTTGTGCTGGAAGATGTGGCGACAAAAATGTCAGGAAAAGCCCACTAGAACAGCTGAACTTTATTTGGGGTTGATTAGAGGCACTTAAATTGTTAACAGGTGTGTGCTGACTCCAATTTAACCTGAGTTTGAATGTTATTGGTTAAATCTGAACACAGCCACATCCCCAGTTATTAAAGGGTGTGCACACTTATGCAACCACATGATCTCAGTTGTTTATTGTAACTTCACCTCCATGAAAGTTTGCGGTTTGTTTTTCCACTGTATATAGTCTATGGTTTTAACTCAGTTAAACATGGCCACCCCTGAATGTACATGAAAACCACAAAATTTACATACTGCTAAAAATGAAGCATTTACTTTCAGTTTGTCTTCTATATGCATGTGAAAGTGTTCACTCTTGATGCATCAAGACAAATATCTTGTGCACACAAGTGAGTATCATGTATGCACAACTGAGAAACCTTTGCAGATGCACTTTATTGTTTTGAAAGATCATCAAAACAATAATTGCCTAGACTGACGTTTGATAGATGGTTGAATTAATCCATTTTGATAAACTTGTGCTGGAAACATTCCCACGCCTCAGTTTAATTCAACAAATTTTAATATAAAAAAAGTCGTTTACATACTCAAACCACATTTACCATATATGTGATATGTTGAAGTAGGAAATCCCTCAGGTTTTATGTGATTGTAATCCCAAGTGTCTGCCAGGATGCTGTCGGCTCAGATGTCATAACAGATTGTAACTTGAGGAAGCTTAAATTTGTGTTCTGGCCAGATGCGCTGCACAAAAAGAGAAGTGCCCTCGTCTTTTGAAACCATCATGTCTTTGTTTTTTTTTGGCACTTCTGCACAGCAACAACGTAAAGAAAAACATGTCTCTGTCCAATAGATGCACGCTCTCCGGTGAGGAAGACCCTCACAGATCTGGATATCTGTGTCCAAATCAGCAGTCCTAGTCCCTCTGGGTCCAAGCTGAGAGCACAAGTCATACAGGTATATCCAAATGTTCCTGTCCTGGTTATTTTTGCATCACCCTGTCATGAGTCAGACTCGTGGGGAACTCCTGACATTGGCTGTGTTTCTTCCTCCTCAGCAGCTTGTGGGGCTTCCAGGGAGATGATGGTCTGGGCTGTGAGTGTCCGCTCTCTGAGAGGGAAAAACAGAGCGTTAAAAAAAACCTCAAAACACTTCATGTTGAGTGAGTAAGTCATCTACTCTTTCTGACACTTTGGGGAAATAACCATCATGCTAATTTTCTGAACACTCAAAAGGGAAGTATGTAACCGTGAGCTGTGTTTGCATCTAGCATACTGCAACACAACTGAATTATTACTCCTCTATTCATTCATAGTGGTAGAAGTTGCTGATCTCCATAATGTAAATCAGGTGCTTTCACACGTTTCTTACAATCTAGCTATCACTCACACTTTGTAAAAAAATCCCCCTTTCATATTAGCTGTTGGATTCAGCCTCTCTTTGTGATGTTTTACCAACTTTGGTCACATTTTTGTGGTGAAAAAACTCAAAAATACATGTTGAATAAGTAGAAAATAAGTATATTTCGTCTTCAGGTTCTCTGGTTTGTTTTACGGAGAGCTGCAGAAGTAACAAGCGATCAAGATAGTGTATTTCCTGTGTTGACTAGATTCACCACATTCAAGAGATTATCGGATGCAACAGAAAATACGTACATTCACTTTGTTTGCTGACATGTCTGTACGACAGCCTAGCTTGAAGAGTCCTTATTATGAATTAACATTGTATATATTGTATATTTAACCTATAGAGTGAGGTAAGAGACAAAAGAGGTGACAGGAAGTCACTGCTCTCCACTTAGAAAGATTATTTTTATGTTTTTAAGCTTCCTCCTTAAAGGAGGTTCTCATTTACGATAAATGAGAGAGGAAGAGCTTATTCTGAAAATAAATCTCGAAGTAGTCATAGGGTTAAAAACAGTTCAACAGAGATATTAATTACACAGGAGGAAACAAGCTTAATTAACATTTCAAGTCTGTTGTCTCGACATCTCACATGACTTCACATGACATTGTTTACATTTGAGCTCAGACATTTCAGTTCCTAGATTTTTTAAAGGAAGTTAAAATTTCTGTTACTTAATGTAATTTTGGTAATTATATTTAAACCAGATCATATTTCTTTTTCTAGTTGAGAAAATTTCACAGTCATCAAAAAACTCCCTATAGGAGCTTTAAACCCCCTTCCTGAGAGTCTGTCCTTAAAGTTATTTACCTTTTAAACTATTTATCAACATTAACTTGATTAAATATAGAAAAGTGATTTACAAGCTTCTGCTGATGGAAAACTGAGACTCAGGTCATGCAGGTCCCTGGAGCGGCACAAAGCTCCTGATTGAGGCTTTGATTAATGAAAGACTGCAAGGCGACCATTTATTAAGAGAGAACTCGTGATCATTTATGAATGACGGCAAGGGGGATTTTTCCCAGCCTGGCAACCCCGAACTAAATGTCACCCAGAACTCATTCGTGACAGCTTACAGACTTCTCAGTCCCAGAAGAGTCCCCTTGGGTACTTTTCCATTCCTGTTACTAATTTGAACAGTATCTGAGTCTTTACTGAAACTGGCTTTAGAGCTGATTCTGTGTCAGTTTTGAAAAACTCAGAACCTCGTTCCATAAAAGCATGCCACAAAAGTTGTTACTACATACTGATACTGGTCACCAGATTGCCTCTGATGCTGTAATGACTGGTGTAAATAAACAAACAAACAGATTTTGTGTGAATATGTGATGAGTGGAGAATGCTGTAATCTAGCAAAATGGCACTAGTCAGTGTTTTTCCACTACTTATGTTACATATCAAATACGTAGATACCTGGTATCAGCTGATAGTGATATGTGAGCAGGGGTGTGTCCAGATTTTTGGCAGCCCTAGTTTATCCAGGGGTGGCTTAAAATATTTATGCACAAATACATCAATATAGCTTTTGTAAATGGTTAATTATTACTGTCTCGACTAATTAGAGATACTTACACTACAAAATTTAAACTACAATATTTAGCAAATGTAACCATCCTGTTTAAAGCATGAGAAATTTACAGTTTGTTTATTTTGATTCTGACGTCAGGGACGCTGCATTAAAATTTAAACATGACTGTGGTCCAAGTCTGCACATGCTCAAAATCACATCTACAACATTTGCCACTGAGCAGCCACAGTTTGTCACTTTACCTGTAAATGTAGGTCACAAATGTTCTGTGCAAAAAGGAAACATTATGTAAACATGATTCAGAAATGAGGGCAACTTCTCAGAGCCTGAGATTATTTAGGATTTGATTTCAAATAATTTGTGTTTGGCGTCCTTTTTGGAGATCATGAATACGCCATCCTTTGCTTTAACCTGCCTGCACTCCCAGTTTGTCACCTATTAAAAACATCTGATGCAACATGATCAGAAAATGATGACAAAGGAAACCTCAAACTGTTGAGCAGTCAAGAATAGGATGAAGATTCACTAAAAGGGGTATTCTGGCATAAAATTAATTTAGGGTCAAACACACCATAACACCCTGTCGAGAGATGAATGTTGCAGACCGCTTGCTTCTCTAGTTATTCTAACTTTAGAAACAACCGCACGATAGCAATACACAGCGGTCTGAGGAGCCATAAACAAACCTCAACCAAAACACCACAAATAATGTTCAGAACAGCATCTAACTTCATCAACAGTACATATTGGGTCCTAGCCATAGCACTAGCCATCAAACATCTTTTTCACTTTGCCTAATTTCTTTTGGAAAGAGACTAAACACAACTCACCTACTCTCTTCCAGCGGCCGCTTGTTTGTAGCGAGACCTTAGGCCAGTGCATTATGGACTACAGGGGGGTGACGCAGCTCAAGGAAGAACATTTATGATCATTAATTTATCATTTCCTTTAAGTAATAATCACCATATTAATCATTTTGCACTGCAGACGTGATAGTTCTTCTGCCTAAGTGTCTCAGTCTGATTGCATTTCCATGAAGAAATGATCATAAATGTTCTTCCTTGAGCTGCATCACCCCGCAGCAGCCCGTAATGGACTGGGTTGAGGTCTCGCTACAAACAAGTGGCTGCTGGAAGAGAGTAGGTGAGTTGTGTTCAGTCACTTTGCTAAAGAAATCAGGCAAATCTAAAAGAAGAAGAAGAAGAAGAAGTACTTTATTAATCCCCAAAGGGAAATTCAGTTGTCTGTTGTCTCACTTGATATGTCTCTATTTTAGAGACATAGTTATAGTTATCAACTATTTACAGTTATCTAATATTTACACAAGAGTAATGGTACAAAAGATCTTCTGAATCTTTCTGTCCTGCAGTGAAGAGAGAGGAGCCGTCCGCCATGGACGTTGCAGTCGTTACGAAAAAGGCTAGTGCTATTGCTAGGACCCTATATGTACTGTTAATGAAGTTAGGTGCTGTTCTGAGCATTATTTGTGGCTATAGAGTGGCTTTTTGGTTTAGGTTTGTTTATGGCTCCTCAGACCGCCGTGTATTGCTATCGTGCGGCCGTTACTAAAGTTGGTATAACTAGAGAATCAAGCAGTTGGCAACACTCATCTCTCGACGGGGTGTCTAACTCGGTGTTACGGTGTGTTTGACCCTAACTTAATTGTACGCTGGAATGTCCCTCCAGAAACAGGTCAACAACAGATGATGTAATAATGAGGAGCCCAGTCACCCTCTGGACACGCCCCTACAGTAAACACGTTGCAGAGCCATCATCCCCCCTGCATGCTACTATTTTATAACTATGATAATTATGTATTTATTACCAAATGATGATCTAATGCCAAAGACTGCACCCACAGTGACCTACCGTGATTTCTGCTGCGTGTTTGTCCAATTCACTTGCACAGTCCAGCCGAGGACGCTCTTCATGTACCGGGCGCAGCAGGGGAACCTGTGGCTCAAATGCTCCAAGAGTTCCTCTTTACGCAGACCGTAAACAACCGGCGCGACGCACTGCGCCAAACTGAAGAAAGCGAAGACAACCACGGCGGACAGCTCTTTGGTCTCCGGTTTTATGAGTTTCTGATTGTGTAACACACTCAAAATGAAGCTTACAAAGTTGGGGAGGATGTAAACCGCCAATTGGCTCCCATGTAGAGCAATGGTCCTGCACCCGGCACGGTTGCGCCTGTTGAGCACCCCTAACCTCCTCCCTTCCACTAATATCCTCACGTAACTGTACAAGATGATCAGCGTGCAAACAGCGATGAGAAGTATCCTCTGCAGGCTGCCTTTTCTCTGTTGCTCCCGTCCGCACTCCCCGTTATAAACCTCTTGAGAATCCCCGTGGAGAATGCTGAGAGGAATAACCAGAGCCACGATCCAAGTAAAGACCCCCAGGAGCCAGGGCCAGTGCGCCGCCGTGCACGTGGACGTGTAGCGCATGGGGTGGCACACGGCGCAGTACCGGTCCAGAGCCATCGCTGTGAGAGTCAGGAGGATGTTACACGCGCTGCTGATGAGTATAGTGATCATGGCGAGGCACGCGGAGTGGCCGGGGCGCGCGCCCAGGTGGATCTGGTGGTAGAAGATGCTGCTCATTCCCATGTAGACCAGCGCGGAGACCAGCAGGTAGAAAACCAGGACGAAGCGCGCGTGTCTCCGGAGCTGCTCCACGCGCACGATGGTCCAGTTGATGATGAGGTTGAAGAAGAGGAGCACCGAGAAGGACACGGTCGAGACATAGAAGCGCACGCAGGTGTAGTCTCCTACCGTGGTGTTGTTCGATGACATTATTCCTCAACTGGGATTGGCTGGATTAGCAGAATAATTATAATGATGATGATGATGATGATAAAGAAGAAGATGGAGGTGATGGTAAAGGAAGTTTACGCGCCGCATGATCCTCCATCACTGCTGCCTCACTGAAGACTGACTCAAAACGATGTGCACTTCCTTTTCTCTCTCTTTTACTCACACACGTACTCACAAAAACAGTCACATGACCATCACTCGGTGCAAACTTGAAGTAGGGGAGACCAGGGCTTGTTGACACACTTTTTACACTCAATCAATCATTAGAACTTTATTTTTAAAGCACTTTTCATATATATCATGTAGCTTTAGGTGCTGTCCATTCAAGCAGGATATTAAAACGATAAAATATAATAAATACAAATACCAAACCCCAACCACCCTCCCAACCCCCATTCAACACATACAGCACTCACACACACAGATACATACACAAAAGACCAGGTGAGGACTCCTTAACTTGCCACAGATGATCTATCTTGAGTTAAAAGAAATGAGGAAAATCTGGATCTAAGACTAGAATGATAAAACCATAATAAAATATAATAAAGCTGATAAAGCATTACAATTTCAATAAATAAAACAGTCTTAAAATCAAACAATAAAAGAAAGTACATTTAAAAAAGAGGTAATAAAACAAGATTGTTACTCTACAACTAAAATAGGGTAAAATCACATCATGCAGATTAAAAGATTCAAACAAAATTTAACAACAAAATTTCAAAATTAGATAAATAAGAAGGGCCAAGACCATTAAGAGCTTTAAAAACTAATGAAATAACCTTAAAATCGACTCTAAAAGACACAGGTAGCCAATGCAGAGATTTTAAAATTGGTGTGATGTGGGCTCTCTTCCTGGTCTTATATGTTACTTGGAATCAATACATCATATGTAAACAAAATGTGTACCAGATGAAAGATATATATTTTGTATTCATGTCATTGTAATATCTTGTGTCAGTGCAGAATTATAAGCAATCAAATAGAGAGTGTGAACATGTGACATGTTGCCCCACCTTGAGGTAAGTTGTCTCACTACATTGGGGTAAGATGTCACCATGGATTTTGCAGCTAATAAAACAAGGACAAAATTATTATTGTTCTCATTTTTTAACATGAAAGTGAACATCATAGTCAGGCACAGAAAATGTTTATCATTGAGCTAGAAAAAGTCATTGAACAAACGTTTACATAAAATATTCAGCAACATGCTCTGGAGTTTGGAGAACTGTCTGACTCTGTGTTTCGGCTGGGGTGGATGTTTTACAGTACTGAACCAAGGTATGGTGCTTGACATTAAAGTCCTTTATGCATACGATGTCACTATTTGTGTTGTTTATAGTGTAAATACTTGTATATTATCTCCATATTTTTACTTATTTGATCTATTTATCTCTATATTTTTACTTATTTTGTCTTCTATTTTATCTATTATTTATCTCCTCTTTTACTGTTTTTACTCTTTTTACTTCTACTGTATTTGCACTGGAGTACTGTAACAAAAGCAATTTCCCCCTGGGTATTATTGAAGTATTTCTGACTCTGATTTATTGTACTCCAGATTGATTTATTAGCTCGGGTCACCTGCCTGACTGCACTCGGCATCACGTCAGGTACTTCACTGTCATGTTCTGTTTTTCTTTTGTAAATTCCTGACTATGTCTTTTAGCTTTCTCCTCTCCCTTAAACCACTCTTTTTTCTGTAAAGATACATTTAAAATTTCATTATGACAACTGCTGATAAGCAGACTCTCTATGTTAATCTTAATCCCTTTTAAACATGTGACAACTAACCCTAAAATGACTGAGACATATTGCCCCAAACTACCATGTCTGCTAATTATAGTTCTATCTTAAAGTTAGCTTAAAACAGAACAATAACTGAGGTATGACAGGATGCTTTAATCTCTACTCTAACAAGTCCACATGTATCACTGCCAGGATTTTTATCTGGAAGAAGCTTATTTCAAAATATATAAAGTTTATTTTTTTAACTTTGGGTTGTGCAAAATGTTTCTTAGACAGGAAACGACCCCTGACCATGTAAAGGAAGAAAACTAGTATTCCACTTTTTCGTTGCGCTCTCTGGTGGCAAAGATGATTGCAATGTGACAACTTACCCATGTAACAACAAGCCCTGGTCTCCCCTCCTTACACATTTCTCTTGCAAGGTCTGCACCATTCCTCCTTTGTTTGTATTCGTTCTTGAAAAAAGATTCACATCTGTACTATAAGTGGGAAAAAAACTGTTTTAAAAGTGGAACACTCTCAAGCAAACAAACTGCGTGACTTTAATGGTTTTATTTTTTTGTTTTAACACATAAAGTACACTTTTCTGATAATATCCACACTTCTACTTCAGGATAAAGTTTTGTATTTTGGTCTTTAAAGCTTCTGGGACGAGTTTTTCATAGTTTATGAAACAGACTGAAATTAACAGAGATGGGTCTCCTTAAAACACGTACATAAGCAAATAAGACCATTGATGACAAGATTGTCTCATTTTCTGCATTTTGATTTCCAATCCCTGTAACTGCTGCAAGGGGTACGCTGGAGAAAAAAAACAGCATTAACTACTTTTCTCTAAGCAAATATTGAAAGTGGTTCATAAGCAGTTTCTTTTAGTTAATTAAACACAAGTTTTGCAAAAATGAGATAAAATCAGCAACGATATGGGAGTTTTTAGATTGTCACCAGGGGGCGCCACAGTCTGAAAGTTCGTTTTGACTCTCGCTGTTTAGAATTACCTTTAAATGGACTGATATTGTATTTGTAAGGGGTTGGCATGACTATTTCAGCTGACTATTTATTATCTATGGAGACAATTTTGTACCTTCTTCTGTATCCAATTGTTGTAGCCCTTTAATGCCTGAAACCACAAATTATGGCCAGAAAATTCAATTTTTTATGGAGATGAAATGTTTATTTCACTTACTACTGAAAACCAAAAAAATCTAAATGTCCTAAAATTTAACAAATATATTTATTTATCTCATTTGGTGCATTCGTTGTTTTTGGAAACTAATAAACTACAAGAGGACATTTTTATCATTTATCGGACTGTATTCAGGTTCTTTTTTTAGTAATTTGTTGATCATATTGATTTGATAGAAGTATATAAAAGTATGTATCAAATATGATTCAAAGGGCATTAAAGGGTTAAGGATCAAATCAGATCAGATCAAACTCATGGAGTTTTATTTTATTACCACTTTTGCTGTGGTTTATAGGGTCTGACTAGGCTACAATCAGTAATAATAACAAGCCTCCAGTATTTACTCTGAACACAATGTAATAAATGATTACATCTTGGACATCCCTTTCTGCAACTGTGTTATTTTGATTATCAATATACTAATTACTAATATCTTTAAGTCAGTTTTAACTTGTGATAATGAATACTTGTCTGTTTTTTAATTGTTCCTAGTCAAAATTAGCATATTAAGTGTATTTAATCACATGTCCAGACTACTAATCAAATGTGTATATCAAAGCTGATTCATATCTCAAAATGTCCACATTGTTGCCTCTCCTCTGGCACCATCATCTGGTCAAATTTAAAAACTATCTTTATTTATAAATATCACAGCAAAACTTATAAATCAGCTGATTACACCACCAAGGAACAAGGAGGGGAGGTTTTAAATTAAGGGGAAAATATAAGAAAGTACTTCTAAAACTGAGTCGAGTAGTTTATGACTATTTGACGCTACAGGCCTACGAATGCGAAATGTATTTGACGGTGTTAAAAAGTCCGACAACACGTGAATGCACACTTGTCGCCTGGCAACAACTTTTCAGAAGTTTCTCGGAAAACCGTTGCTAAATTGTTCTAGTTTTACGGTATTTTAACATTTCCTAATACAATCGAAAGCTAAATGTTTACCTTTTAACGTTTTTAAGCACTTATTGTTCTGTTGTGCACCAACATCTGAATTATTTACGTTATATTTTCCGCTTTGTTTGAGTGGATCAGACTACTGTAAAGTACTTTAAGCCACAATAATACTTAAAAAGTATGATTTTATTGGCCTGACTTTAAAATGTGGAATAGTTAGAGTTATCGCTGTTTCCATCACCATCTTCCCGCATATAAACTCACTTTGCATCCACTATTGCACTTTCAGCAACACATATACATGCACAAACATCATTTTAAAAGTGATTTTAATTATTTCCTCTTGTATTTTGTCGTTATAAGTATGTTTCGTTTTTAACTTCTAGCTGTTTATTGACGTGCTGATAAAGTCAGGGCATAGGGGGCAGGCCTTACTGGGAAACAGAAAGTTTATTTGCACATATACGTGTCTGCAGAGCATGCATCTTTACTCTCATCTTCATGTGCTGAATTAACCGCAAGTGCATTTTGAGTTATATAGAGATCACGGAACCAGGAAAAAGGTAAGAGCTTTTATATATAAGTAAGAGAAATTGACACATTTGAGGAGCAATTGAGTGATGCATTTGCACCAGCTTCAATGGTTGTAATGTGGGGAAGAAACTTGTAGGTTCCTGTGATAAACTTAAAGAACTCAGACTGTTCAAGACTTACTTTTCCTTTCTAGGAGAAGACTGGAAATCACATTTGTGAACGATTTTGACATTACTTTCGACACAGAAGTCCAATATTGTATTTTATCCATTAATCCCACATAATTTTTTTTTATTAGTACTTTCCATGCCGTTAAAAAAACGTACTAAAAGTCAATTGAAAACATACACAAAATAGGAAAATACATGTGGATATTTTAGCCTTTTTATGAATTATTTATGACGAACTTATTAAACTAGGTTCCTTTTGGTTGAACAGTAGCCAGCTAATGGCTCCTTAATTTGTTTTCCAGCCTTAAACACTATTAAAAAATGTGCTTTTCTCTGTGAACGATTTCAAAGCTGTAGTATTTCTGCAGTTTATAAAGAAGCTGCTTTAAACTGCATACATATAGTTAAAACTGCCAAAAGCCTACGTGTCATATAGACTGCAGTTACGTGCCCACATGTGCTGCGTTAGCCAACATTAAAATTCGGTTATTTAGCATAACTCTAGCTAGCAAGGTTAGGCCTATACCTGAAATTCTGATTTTAAGTAATTTTGTGAGATTAATTAAATTGTGAGATATTTCCAAAAAGATTTAACTACAGATAGGACGTGGGAAATACAATGCGCAAAGAGAAACTGAGTATATTGGATAGAAATTCAAGTTACAGTACTCAGTCGAGCTAATGTAGGTTAGCTGTGCAAGCTAATAACTCATAAACTTGACAAAAGTTAATGCAGTTTATAATTTCATATTGTTGTCCAAAGAAACACCATTTTATCATAATGTGTTATTAACACTAAAGCTGTGCAACTACAAGAAACAGCATTATAAGCTGAATATGAGTATTCCCAATGAACACTATGAATTTATTGCAGTTTAGTCATAAAACTTATTTGTCAGTTAAGTTTTTTTCTCAGGGTTTCAGGTCTTCATAGTCATTCTAATAATGGGGTGAGAAGACCACCTGTTAAACCAGTGTCAGTGAAAATATGACTGTTTGCTTTCACAGTCAAACTGTCACATCATACCATCAGAGCAAACCAGAGGTAACCTGTATAAACCCAGATGGACTGGATAGTTAATAATAAATATTACATCAAACATGCTACCGACAGTAGAGTCACAGTCCACTAGCATGCTGACTCAAATTTTACGAATCCATTGATTGATTCACCCTTCAACTGTTCCTCCATCTTTGACTTCTCCAGTCATGGCCGTCTACCAGCAGCCGACCCAGGTGGTAGTCCATACCACGTCAACTCATGGTCCCGGGACATGGAGCACGGGCCTCTGTGATTGCTGTAGTGATATGGGCTCTTGTAAGTCACCCTATTTCCCTTATTCCACACTTCAATTCAAGATCATGCACATTTCAGCTCTGCCTGTTGAAACTGTGACAACAACTTAAGTTCTTGTTAGAATTCTGATTAAATAACAATATCATAAAGAACAATATTTTATCCTTGATTAAATAGGAAGCGCAACCCCCCTAATAACTGGAGAGTTGTGTGGCAATACTGAAACCCACCACATACTGTATACTGTGTACAGTATATGATGGGTTGCAGTCTTGCCACATATCCAGCTGATGTAAGCTGTGTTTTAAAGTATTAAGTCATGATTTATATCTTGGCATCCATCAAAGAGCAACCAAGGAAACTTCCATCAGCTTATCTTTGCATTCGAAACTAATTTGAGAACACAATGTTATCAACCCCGATAAGACAGCAGCTGGTGCGTCACATCTTAAGTGTATGAAGTGATAAGACCGATACTGCTCTAACACTTTCTACAAGCTCGGTTGGTGCAATAATCTCTCTCCACGTCGTTTACTGGGTGCATGCTGTCTAGACTCACTACACCTCTTGAAAAAACTCAGCCTGCAGAGATACTACACATGGTTGAATAAGCTACAGCTGACTTTGTGTTGAGTAAATATTTGTATTTCATATGTGACATTATTTGCTCGTGTTGAGATTAACTGAGCTGTTTGTATTACTGAATCTGCATCCCCCTGAGTGTGCCTCAAGGCGAGCTTCCTGACACGCGCTTTGGAGTGACAGATAACAGTTTATTTATTATTTATTTTTAAAGGTTGCTGCGGCCTTTGGTGCTTCCCTTGCATGCAGTGTGATACAGCCAACAAGCACGGCTGGTGCTGCTGCATGCCTCTCCTTGACGTCTGCTGCATTGTGTCCTGCCTCCTCCGCTCCTCCATCAGAGAGCGCCACAACATCCCTGTAATTGAAGAAATTTATTCTGAGAAATGTGATATAATCCAGCACAATAGTTTATAGACATCTCCACTTGAAACTGCATGCAAGAAAGTTTCTCAAAAGCAGATCCACTGCCAAAAGATGCAAATATGGTTTCATATGTGCACAGATATGAGAAAGCGCAGCTGTGGAGCGAATCACATCCTCTTTTTTTTTTTCACCTGAAAGCTTTCATTTGCGTGTTGCAGAGATTTGTGTATAAAAATGTTAAACATCAATTCAATCTAAAGTTATATTTCTTCCATGTAGATAAAGAGAAGTGTGCAGTTTCACTCACCCCTTCTCCTTTTTCCACCAGGGTTCATGCTGTGATGACTGCTGCAAACTATGGTGGTGTTACATGTGTGTTTGGTGCCAGATGCATCGTGAGGTGAAGGTCAGAGAACACCAGCCGGCCAGCAGCTCAGTGGTCACCACACAGGTGCTCAGTCAATAAGAAGCAACTGTTCGACATGCTCGCTAAGGGAAAGAACATGTTTGGTATTTGATGCTGAGCCAGCTGATTGTTTTTTCATAATGTTCCAATGCTAAAAAAGCTTTGAAGAAAGTTGGTCCTAACTTTTCTACAGTGTAACATTTATACCATCAGTGTCACTGTCGACTGTGCGTTTCATTATTAACAGTGTTCTTGTAGTATTTTTTTCTTCATCTTCAGCTTGCTGCTGTGGACTTTAGAGTCAGTTAAATCCAGTTCTTCTGAGCCAAGCTTCATTATGTTAACATGTTAGATTTCATATAATGTGAAGCCAAATTTGAGATAAACCGTTGATTTAATTTGATGAATAAATTTTCCTGATTTTTGCCAAACAAGCTTCCTGATTCCTCTTTGATGCACCTATAACAAAATGATACCATTTCGCCCTCAAGGTTGAGATTTTTCAGGCTTACACTCATGCATATTTAAATTCCGGGATTATAGCAGTGTTGCATTAGAGTGTTAAATTGTTCAGATTGAAACTGAAAGAGATTAGAAAAGAGGAATAGAGGTCTCCGGCGGCAAGTCTGGAACAAGGATGTGGTTTTATTTGTAGTAAACACAAGTTTTACTTTTAGAAGGACTGTTCCCGAATACATTTCATTTTTGTGACAGTGTGATCAACTTGAAAGTTTAAAAATTAATTTACACACAAACACGTGCACAGTTTCCTTTTTTGTAATCAGATCACTTGGTTTCACCACAGACCATTTTAAAGAGAGTGTGGTGTTTGTGGCATCACCCATTGGCTTTATAGCAGTTTTGAAGTCCTTGTTGGAAAACCTGACTTAACTTTGACCTTTGGTCAGCCCAATTTAAGGCAAAGAGGCCGCCTCTTTTGTTACACGGAAACTTGTAACAAAACCAGCTATTTTTAGTCTTTAACTGTAGATTCAAATTCCAACAATCACAAAATCTTCTACTACAGCTACACATGGGATCACAGAGTCAGCAGGTAAACAGTAATTGGTTAAGTGTGGATTATGCTAGCAGAACTCACACCACCAGCCATCCATCCTCCTCCCAGGTTAATCTTTAAATGCTTGCACTTGCTCCTTACATACAACTTTATTTTCCTTTCAGACCTAAATACTGCGTAACTGCGCCATGCTACCTTGTTTAAATCCACATAGCGGGGGAATTACAGCATTATGAAATAGGCTGTCACAGACCCACAGCTCTAGCTAGTGTGTGACTAAGTCAGGTCTTAAATTTTAAAACATTTTAACACTGAAATAATTTGTTTGAAATTCTGGTGCAGTGGACACTTGAGGAACTGCAGTTTTGCTTCATTTCTTTTGACCGCAGAGGATACCCCTTGGGTGACATACTTTGTACCAATATAACCCGCATATTTGGCATTTTATTGATTAAATAAACACATAAAAGCATCATCACTGTTGGCATGGTAGTATCTGGTGACAACAGCCTCAAAGAACTGCTTTGGGGACCTTATCTTTTAATTAACGTGGTGCTGGACTGCTGTTGCAACTAGGAGAGTTTTTCTCTGGAAATGAAAATGAAGTTTTATCATGTTGAAGATTGAGGAGAGCTGCAGCTGAAAGTAGAGAACAGGGGGGGATTATCCTTGGACAGTGTCCAGTCCCTGGAGTGCTGGACTTACCCTGTGAAACTAAAAACACACATTCAGCCCAGTTTATGTTGTAGTGAACCAAAACAGCTCATAAGAGGATGTGAGTGCTTTGGCTGAAAGGAGTAATCCAAACTGAAAAACACTGGAGGTATTTCCTGTCTCTTAAATCCACAATTTGTTGTTGGACTTTTTTGGTATTCTTCATGAATGTGGTTTAAACATATCAAACTGACAGATTAAACATTAGTAAAACTAAATTAAATTAATAAAATAAAAGCAGTGTTAGGTTTACTGCTTCAGATAGAACTTTAAAATGGAGCACCATTCCCTACAGTTAGCAAAATTAATATAATATACATGCCTACTTAAAATTACATCAATACTTGTAATAAAAAAAGCCACTGACCGTTTACGTCAAGCAGCACGTTCACTTTTAACAGCTCCTTTACAAAACTAGAAACACAACAGTACGACACAAAGTCAGTGAAGGAAGAGCAAATAAACAGCGTCTCTTCCCATCGTCCTCTTTGTTTGTTGTTTTTTATCTGTGGGATTGAATAGGAAGGTTGGCAGCAAATGTGAACATGGAGGCCAAGAATGTGGGTGTGTGTGACTTTATTTTGGCCCCATGACCTCCTTAGACTTTGGTTCCTCAAACATTTGCAGTTGAATAAAAAAAAAGAAAAACCGCCACATTACTCCCTGCTCAGCGTTTTAATGTTTGTCCTGCCCCAGTGGGAGTAAATGCAGCTGAATATTAAGGGCTCGTTCTTATTTGGGATGTGTTGGATCAATTGAAAGTGACTCAGTTTTCCTGACACACCTGATTTGTGTGTCAGTTGCAATTCTGGTTTATAATTTATGTTGTTCATTGAAACCCCACGTGTTGTGTTCAGACATGAAACTTTCTCATTTTTCAAGAAGTGCTAATCACAAGTGTGACCTGACTTGTCTCGCTTTTATCAAGAAACAGGAAAGGCAACTCCAATCCCCACACTGTCTTCTGTTATCTTCCTAACTTTCCTTTTCTCTGGAAACATGTTGGGTAAAGGAGTTGAGGCGGGATAGGTAGGGTGAGGAGAAAAGCAGAAGAAGGCTGTAGAGGAGGAGCAAAACACATTCAGTTTGAGTCGTATGATGAAGTTTATTGTGTGTGCAAAGGTCTGATTTTACAAGCCTGTTCATTTATAAAAGTGATGTGTAGAGTTGCGCCCCCTGCTGGAGGATACGTCAGATGAAGTTGCGTTCAAGTGCACCAGGAAATATTGAAGTCGAGGTCTTGTCGTCACTGGTCTCATTTGCTTTTTCTGAGCAAGATACATGAAATGAACTTAAAATTAAAAGCATTGAAGTATAAACATCAATAAAACACGACAAATGTAAATAAATGTACATCCATTATACATAAAAAGTGAACAAAATAGTTTATACAGGCAGATAACGTTAAGAAAATCTAATTATTTAACAATAAAATTGTATGATTCTTAGGTGTTATTACTTTGAATAAAAGTTACTTCATTATTAATCAATATTTCATGTCAAAAAATTACTTTTTTGGCAGTTTGATTGATTAAAAAAAAAAAAAAGTTAAACTAGAGCCTCACTTGATGGATACACATAAAGTTAGCAGCTAGCTAGCTGGTGGACAAAATGTTTAATTTAGCTGCCTCAGTGGTGGTTTGCGAAAACACGTAAAAAAAAAAATCAAATCATGTAATAATAAAATTGTAAGATTCTTAGTTATTATTAATTTGGAAAAAGTTAGTTCATATTTGATCAATATTTCATGTCAAGAAATTATTTTTTTTGTCAGTTTTATGGATTTTTAACTTAGCCTCACTTGATGGATACACACAAAGTTAGCAGCTAGCTAGCTCTTGGACAAAACGTTTAATTTAGCTGCCTCAGTGGTGGTTGGCGACAAAAGTAACATTAAAGCTCTCATTGGAAGCTCACAAACTGTAGATAACACATTAATATAACTCAGCGTCTTCAAATACTTGACTAGACTTTAGGTTTTTGTGGTTAAAAGTCGTATTTTCCAGCCTTTATCTTGTGAAACAACACTTAATTATTTTCCACTGCTTCTGACGCAGTGCTGGTGAGAACCCCTGCGGATAACCGTAACCGCAAACAACAGCAGCCGTTACAGGAAACACCTGACAGCAAGCAGAGGTTTTGTAGTTGTCAAAACCACGCGGTGTGAGGGGGAAGAGAGAAAACAACGAAACAACCCATGCTGGGGACTAATTTAGAAAGATGGAGAGAGAAAGAGAGAGAGGTATGAGAGAAGCTGCATGAGCTGTTTTTGTCTGTAGAGGGCAGTGTTGGACTACAAAAAGTTTTAGCTCCACTGAGAAATGAGCTTATGAGGCAATTTAAAGCCATAAACTATTTCTAATCTCTGTAAACCTGTGTGCTTCAACTATAAACCTTATCATTATGAAAATAAAGCTTTGAGTAATTCTTTTAAAGGCGTTACACTATAATTCTATTAGGTTAGTATAATAGGATCTGCAGTAGTATCTGGTTTTCTGTCATGATATGTTCTGTTAATTTAGTTTTCTCCTTGTGTTTCTGTTCCTTAGCTATTGTTCCTGTATTCCTGTCTTGTGAGTTTTCAGTTTGTGTTTGACCCTGCTTCCCTCGTGTTAAAACCTGAACCTCCCACCCACACACAATGACACACACCCACTATCACTCACCCACACATAGACACACACACAAGCGCACACAGTGTGAGAATTTAAGATATATTGTTAAAGAGACATGGCCTGACACCGTGACATTATGTGAGGAAAGAGCTACCTTTGGGGAATACTAGAGATAAAGATAAAAAATAAAATGTTAAAAGAAAGACTAAAACTTGATGGACGAAAACAAGAAAATAATCTCAAATGATCAGATAAGTAAGAGCTCTTTACCATGTGAAAGGGGTAAGGAAGTAAAAACATCTAAGAAAGGAATTAAGAAAAGACCAAGAACAGAGACAATAAAATGACGTCTTCTTAAAAAGATCAGTTTTCAGTGTTTCCTGTTTTATTTTGTAGCCGTCCATCCTTGTGTCTTTAGTCTTGTTTTACTTCCTCAGTTCACCCTTGTCTGTGTCTTGTCTGCCTCACCTGTTGCTCGTTTCCTTGTGTATATTTAGTCCCCGTCTTCCCCTGTTTCTTTGTTAGTTCATTGTGTGTGTTTCTGCCTGTTCCCAGTGACCCTCAATTTGTGAATTTCTAATCTCTTTGTGATATTTTTCCCCAAAAAAATACAGAAAAACAGAATGTATTAAAAGTAAGGATGCACATCTGACCTTTAAATGAAATATTTACCCACATGATAGGAACTGTACTTGCTCTTAATGTACATATGGTTAACTTCACACTTGCAGGCTGTGGATAAATACACACAGAGAGACACAAACAGGATCTTATGGACTTGCACTGATGTAAGTTTACAGCGCAGGGGTAAGCCCCTCAAGCAGTTGTGGACTCAGCAGTGTCCAAAAACTGAACTGGCTACCAGCACAGTTTCAGTCCATCCTTACCAGAACTTGAAGTCCGCACACAACATGAAACACTATCAAAGCATCTGTAAAAGTTGAACTTGTCAAAATGGTTTATAAAATTTTCTCTGTATGTTGAAATAAACACGTTTAGAGGAAGTAAAGCGTTTGAATGGATTTTAAAAAAAAGTCAGGTGGCTGTTCTCTTCGGCTCTAACGGGTTTCACACAGATAGGAAGTTGTATTTTCCCCTTTTGCGCATCATTCACAGAATGAGGAAGTTTATTTTTTTATACCGCAGGCTGAGAACGTTCACATGCTGCTGCGCCTGCAGAGCTCAGCCTGCTTTGTGACGAGACACATCTGAGATGTGATGGACCTCTACCAGGAGGCGGTGGATTATCTGGAGTCACAACATGTATCAGGTGAGAGAGTGGGGTGGACTTGTGTTTATTTTCTTATCGTAAAAAAGGAAACATATGAGATTTATTTTCTTTTTGGGGGTCACAACTCTCTCCAGAACTCAACGACCTGAGAAAACTGAAAGTCATGTTTTTGTTTTGGTTGAAAATGCACCGTCACTGCTTTAGATTTGAAGGGTAAATGCACATTTATTCAGGCATCAAGGAGGAAGTGTGTATGTATAGAAACTCATCTGTTATTACTCATAAACTTCCACATGTGTAAATGTGTTTGTGTGCAGTTGAAGCAGAGGTGGACGCCTTGGAGGAGGAGGATGTGTTCCAGGAGGAGGCAGCGTCGCCTTTACTCTCTCCTCTCCACCATGAGACCCTAGATTTCCCAGAAACCCTTGTGAGTATGGGTCATTCTTATGAGATGTATTTGGTGGTTTCTTTATTTGTTGAATTTAAACTGTCCCCTACTTCAAACTAAAACAAAAGTAATGTTTGTCTTTAAACTTTACCTGCTTATTTCTTTGTCATTCAGACCTTACACAGCCCAGAGGAGTTGCTTGAAAGGAGGCTGGTGGTCCTTAAAGGCATCCTGGAGGCTGAGGAGGTTTATCTCAGAGAGCTGGAGGCTCTGCTGATGGTAACATAACAACTTTATCTATCTTATATACGCATCAACATTTCAACGTCAGCTCATAAACTCTCATTATTTGGCTGTTGCAAAAAAGGGGAAACCTGTGGTGAGGTGATTAGCCTACTATGACTGTCAACTTCCTCTGTGTTGTTGAAAAATTAACATGAGCACACGAGTGACCGGTCTGTAGTTTTTAAAGTGTTTTCAGCAGTCACGTGCGCGTTTTCCTTTCTGTGGTTAGCGTTGTGTGGTACAGTGCAGCTCGAATAGAAAGTAGGTTCACATCTCATGTGTAAAAATATACGTGTGAGCACGCTGTTGCTTCTGGACAGGATACAGAACGAGTTGTTTCTTTTGTTTTCACAAGTTTTGAATGCTTGAATGTTACTTCATAACGTTTGAAATTAACTTTTCAGACATGATAGAAATGAACGATAGAAATGAAATATATGCAGATACACTTGTTAGAGACTAAACTATGATTGCCTCGATGTAGTGGTCCGAAATATGAAAAATGGCTCATCTTACCCCACTCTCCCCTATGTGCCAAAGTTTAGAGGCTTCTCAAATGTATGCAAATGAAGCTTCGGGGTTAAAAGTAGACTTTACACTTCTCTTCACACCTCACCACTCGCCTTTTTTCTCACTCTTTTTTTGTTTCTTTCTCACCCACATCGGTCAGCCTCTGCTTGTGCAGCCTCATGATGAAACGGATCCTTTTCTGTGTTTTTGTAGCCCATGAAAGCTCTGCGGGCCGCGGCGGGGACCTCACAACCACTTCTGTCCAGTCGTCAGGTCCAGACTGTTTTCTACCAGGTTCCCGAGCTCAGAGACATGCACCAGAGCTTCTACTCGGACCTGAAGGCCAGGTTGAGTGCGTACTGTCAGGATGAACCTCAGCTGAGTGAGGAGGGAGAGACACACCATCCAGGTTTTGAGCTGATAGTGGGGGACCTCTTCCTGAAAATAGTAAGTTCTTGTCAGGTGCAAATATTGACTTGACTCCCCGTAAAAATTCTAACAAAAGGTTTTTCAGCTGTTTTTTTTTTAATAGTATTAGATGTCCTTAATAACATACTAAAAGTTTACCAAAGTTTGACTGCTAGAAAGGTGTCATTTTCAAGATGGCGTCCATGGACTCTGGCACGTTCTTGAGGTTCTTGGTTCTCTCTCTGTCATCTTTAGGTGAACCAGCTCGGTCTGTACGGGGGTTTCATCGGAAACTATGAGGAAGCTGTGGAAATAGTCAGAAAGTGTTCCCTCTCAGATGAACGTTTCAGGATTCTGGCCCAGGTACAGCAGAGCCCACTCTTTAGGTCACAAACCACATGTGAGGTTATTCCCTTCAGTCTGACGTTGATTTTCACTTTAACAGAGCATGATGACTAACGGCTCAGACAATACTCGGACCAAATACACACTTGAAGGTACTTCCTCTGATTTATGTCTTTATTCTAGCAGCTCTAACTCTACATTGACTCACTGTTGTTGTTTTTATTTTTGCAGCTCTGTTGTACAAACCTCTGGACAGAGTCACTAAAACAACACTAGTGCTGCGTGTGAGTGAATCCATCCACTCTTGACGCTCTTATTCTCTGATTTTGCTCGTCTTTTTTTCGTTTCACTTTTCACTTTGTCTTCTCTAAAGGATCTCCTGAAGACGACACCGGCTGAGCATAAAGACTATCCCTCCTTACAGGAAGCTCTGAGATTGTCTTGCAGCTTCCTGTCTGGGGTCAATGAGAATTCACAGAGCAGACGAGAGGTCACGCTCAGTCACGGCATGGTGAGAAACGAAATCTAGAGAGGACGGGGTTTAATATGCCTCAGATCTCTCAGTATGTTAAAGGGATATTCCACGTAAAATTAATTTAGGGTCAAACACACTGTAACACCGCGTTAGACACCCCCTCGAGAGATGAATATTGCCGACCGCTTACTTCTCTAGTTATACCAACTTTAGTAACAACCGCACGATAGCAATACACAGTGGTCTGAGGCGCCATCATCAAACCTCAACCAAAAAGCCACACTATAGCCACAAATAATGCTCAGAACAGCACCTAACTTCATCAACAGTACATATAGGATCCCAGCCATAACACTAGCCACCATTTCTTTAGCAAAGAGACTAAACACAACTCACCTACTCTCTTCCAGCAGCTGCTTGTTTGTAGCGAGACCTCGAGCCAGTCCATTTTGGACTGCTGCGGGGTGACGCAGCTCAAGGAAGAACACTTATGATCATTACTTTATCATTTCCTTGAAGTAATAATCATCATATTAGGTCTCGCTACAAACAAGCTGCTGCTGGAAGACAGTAGGTGAGTTGTGTTTAGTCTCTTTACTAAAGAAATCAGGCAAAGTTAAAAAGATGTTTGGTGGCTAGTGCTGTGGCTGTGACCCCATATGTACTGTTGATGAAGTTAGGTGCTGTTCTGAGCATTATTTGTGGCTATAGAGTGGCGTTTTGGTTGAGGTTTGTTTGTGGCTCCTCAGACCGCTGTGTATTGCTATCATGCGGTCGTTACTAAAGTTGGTATAACTAGAGAAGTAAGCAGTCGGCAACATTCAACTCTCGAGTGGGTGTCTAACTCTGTGTTACAGTGTGTTTGACTCTAACTTAATTTTACGCCGGAATATCCCTTTAATAAAAGTGTGTGTGTGTGTGTGTGTGTGTGGGTGTGTTTGTTTATGACCTCAGAGACGTCAGCTGATGCGTGACGGCTTTGTGCTCGACACAAGCGACGGCGAACGCAGCCTGCGTCACCTCTTCCTCTACACTGACCTCCTGCTCTGCACCAGATTCAAACCTGCAAGCAGAGGGTGAGTGCTGCAAGAGAAAGCAGAGGTGGCTTGTGGGAAATATACTCTTGGTTTTTAAGGTTTGACATGCTTTTCTCTGTTCCAGAAAGCAGGACCAGTACAGGTTCTGCTGGTTTCTGCCTCTCGCCGGTTTGAAACTCCAGTGGGTTGCAGAGCAGGAGCGTTCGGCAGACGCCCAGCTTCGCTTACACTCCATAAGAACTAAGATGTACCACCTCAGGCAGCAGCTACGCCAGCACACAGTATGTTTGAAACACGAGGGATTAGCTGTTTTTGAGTAAATCAGCGAATCACTAACATGGATTTCTGTGTGAATAAAGGGGTATTTAGCGACTCGCAACAGAAAGAAGCTGGAGCAGATGGAGCTGATGCTGCTCAAACACTCACCTGTGTACAGACTGGAGCTGCACAGCCCCAGTGGAAAGGTAAGACACACATATATAAACACCATGATGCTGAGAGGACAAGTAAAATGAAACAAACTTTGTCTTCTGTTGTTTATAGAGTCAAAGTCTCCTCTTCTCCTCCCTGTATGAGCTCGAAGACTGGAGAGAGGCCGTCCACAAACTCACTACAGACAGTAAGTGTGAAAGCTGTTGACTGTATGAAGCAAAAGATGGCCGTCTTCATATTGGGGATGCTAACCTAATCAAGGTTTAAGCTAATCTAGAAACCCTAAAGGAGAGGAGAGCAACAATCAATAGATGGCAATGGGCTGTAAACATGTTTATCTTGGCTAAAAAAGCCAACTCAGCCAAATGGGCTCTAGTGGGACTTCCCCTGTGGACACTTGAGGAACTGCACTTATATCCACTTCTGCATTAGCTTCATTTTTCAACACCGCAGAGGTTCCTGTTTGGTGTAAACACAAAATATACCAGAGGATGATCTAAACAGTTATTTTTAAAGATCCTCAAACACTGGAAAACCCTCGTTACTCAAACACATCTAAACTGTACGACAGTCGGTACGTCATCAAACTGATTTCCTGCTCTTTCGTCCTCTTTTCAGGAGGTTAGTAATAAAGACTGTTTAGACTGTTTCTAGTAGAGACAACACTGAATAATAAAGAGGCTTCAATAACCGCAGTAGTTTCTGAGCGGTAAAAACCACAGTGTGTGAAAATGGACTGCTGCAGTGACAAGATGAACAAGGGTGACTGGTGTGGAACATGTTTTAAAAGTCTGCCTCCTCCCCTTTATTAGTGCTGTGAAAACTGGGTTAAAAAATGTTAAGAAGAAAAGATGGGCCAAAAAAATACTAAAAAATAAAAAAATAGAAAATACAAAGTTACTCAAAGTTTTTATTGTTAATAAAAATTATAAATGTGCACAGCCAACAAAATTAATGCTGAGACTGAAAACTTGTTAATCACTCATTTTAAATCTGTTTTTAAGTATTTTACAACATTATTAATTATTAGAAAAAACAAAAAGCACATCACTTAACTGTAATTAAGTCTCATGATTATCAAAGTAGAGACATTTAAGCATTATTAGGTGTATCGTCTCAGTCAAAAAGGTGTCTTACAGTGATGATTGAAATGCTCAGCTTGTGTCACACAAACATGAGCACTAGACTGAAAAAACTCTGCTTTTAATATGAAATTGAGTTTGTGAACTTTATTTATATAGCACGTTTCACAGACAAAAAGTCAGAAAGTGCTTCACATAAACAAAAAGTAAAAAAAGTAATCTCAACTTTAATCTAATGCACTTAAATAATCCTCCTTTTGTGACCTGATTGTTTTCTATCTTTGCTCAGACCTTGAAACCGTCCCTCCAGACCTCCTCACCCTCACCAGTGCTTGTGTGAAACTGAGAATGACGCAGCAGCCGCCACTGCACAGCTCACACGACGGTAAAACCACCGTCACGTTTACCTCTGTCCTCTTATTTGGACCACAGAACCACATCCTGGCAGGACTTAATAACCCTTGCAGAACTCTTATAATGTCTCTTTCATCCTGCTGTTGATTGAAATGGTTAAATCCAAAAAACTTCAAGTTAAAAGTTGTTTTTCTGTCACCAGGCGGGGACGAGAAGGGTCTATGTGGGACCCTGACCGTGGCGATCCACTCTGCCTGTGGGCTGCAGCACCCAGCATGTTTGTTTCATACCCTTTTCTTCAAATTAAACAGTTCTTGAGTTCCTCTTTCTGGTTAAAACTAAACCCTGTTTTGGTTTTCTTTCTATTTTAGGCGTGTATGTGTGTGTGGAAGTGGACGGGTATGAATTCTACGATAAGCAAGCCCAAACACACTCATCTGTCCGCAGTCTGAGCCCATTCTGGGATCAGGTTAGGAGCATACTGGTCTCTAAAACTGATGTAAAAGGCAGGTGATTTGTCAGCTGGTCTGGTGGAGGTCTTCTTTACGTCTAGACGGACTTTAGTGGATTTAAAAGTCAGATCTGTAGCCGTGCTTTAAACCTGATCAGCAGCTGTCAAATCTCCTCTAAATCCAGCTGGTATCCACGATCAAAGCACTTAAAAACCAGACGTGATGCTTCTGGTTTTAACGTGTCAGTTTCTTCTTTTTTTGTGGTCAAACAGGAGCTGTCGTTCCAGGTGGACGGGGCAAAAGAGCTGAGGGTGATCTGTGTGAGTCAGGGAGATGGACAGGATGATACAGTCCTGGGAAAAGCTGCTGTTGGGGTATAAAGATTTGCTAAAATTCAACTTTAACTGTATTTATTATTCGAAAAAGCAAATGTGGAGCTCTCATCTGTGGTTTTCTCATGTTTTTTTTATGCCATAGTTGGACGCTAATACTTTAAATAAGAAATGGAGGAGACAGACTCTACACCTGGGCCAGGCGGAGCTGACCCTCTCTCTGAAGTACTGTTCCCACCCGCTTGAACCGCCCAGCTCTACAACTCAAACACAGCCTATCTTCTGTGTCCCCATCGATACTGCAGCTCAGTAAGTCCCCGTTTGTTTTCTTTGATTTAGTCTAGACTTGAGCGTGCGTCAGAGAAAGCTGTTGCAGAGTTTTATTTCCTCATAGAAAGGGAGCTTACAGGAAAGCAAAAGTGTGTCAAGACTGAAATCTAAATAGAGTGTTTTTTTTTTTCCCCTGAATATGCGTTCATTTTTTCTCCAGACAGGAGGGGGTTTTGGTCCCTCATGTTGTGCGCTGCTGTGTGGAGGAGGTGGAGAGGAGAGGCATGGCTGAGGTCGGCATCTACAGGATATCAGGGACAACAAGTGACATCAACTCACTCAAGGCTGCGTTCAACAGCAGTAAGGAAACATAAAACCATAAAACCTTTGACTATAAAGAGGTTTCAGACTCAGGACTGTGCAGGTTTTAGACTTTTTAGAATGTTTCCATAAGTGTTGGGATGCAAAATTACTCTTCTGCAACAAACTGAACTTGAGTAGTTTAGTTGATTATGTATTAATCCTCTGGAGAATATGACCAAAATGGCACTAAACCCTAAAAATATTATCGTTGTTCACTTTAAATAGATTAAAATTACCTTGGACTAGCACTTCAGAAAATGTGTGATCAAAAAAAGTTACTGTGGTTCACCCTCTGGGAAGAGTGACTTTGAAAAGCACCAAATTTTGACACCATACCTATAAAAGTCAAGATTTTACACTTTTTTTAAAAACACTTTAAACAGAAAGATTATCCTTTAGAGAAGCGTACAAGGAAAATAAGTAAGACAAAGTAAAAAGAAAAAGTAATCGTGATTCATCCTCTGTGGAATATGACTTAAATAGATGTCAATTTAACATCACTCTTTAAAAAAACAAGATTGTGCACTTTCACTTTCAAAAACTATTGCCTTTGAGAAAAAAAAAAGTCCAATTAAGTTATTTTGGTTCATCCTCTCGAGAAAATGACTTTGGAAATTCCCAATTTTAACACAAGCCCTATAAAAGTCAGGATTTCACACTTTTTTCTTTATACTTTTAACAGAAAAATTATCCTTTAGAGAAGTGTACAAGGAAAATGTATAATGAAAAGTAATTGTGGTTCATCCCCCGGGGAATCTGACTTTCATAAATTCCAATTTTACATCACTTAATAAAAAAAAAAAAAGATTGTGCACTTTTACTTTCAAAAACTATTGCCTTAGAGAAAAAAAAAAGTCCAATAAAGTTATTTTGGTTCGTCCTCTGGAGGAAATGACTTTAAAAAAGTACCACATTTTTGCACCAGCCCTTATAAAAAAAAACAAGATTTTACACTTGTTTTTTTTTTTTTTTTACACTTTTAACAAAAAATGTATCCTTTAGAGAAAGTTTTTAAGGAATAGTAATTGTGATTCATCCTCTGGGGAATCTGACCTTAATAATTGTCAATTTTACATCAGTAAATAAAAAATAATAAAATTTAGCATTTTCAACAGAGCAGTGGTTCAACTTTTGCCTTGAGAAAAAAAACGTGTTCAACAAAGTAATTATGGTTCATCCTCTGGAGGAAACGACTCCTAAAAATACAAAATTTAACACCAGCCCACACAAAGTCAGCATTTTACACTCTTAGAAGAAAAATTATCCCTTGGAGAAACTCATTAAAAAAAAACAACAACTTATGATTCATCCTCTGGGGAATGTGACTTTGTAAAGAATAGATCAGAAATTAAAGTTCGTTGTAAAAACTGACTCATCTAGACGGCTCACGATGTTATCAGTGCAGTGTTGACAGTGGTGACAGATATTCTCATGCTTGTAAAGGAAGTGTGGTTGTCTTAAAAAGGTTATTACTGATCGTTATCATTTTGTGTGGTCTGCTCAGATCTGCGGGAAGCTGTGACCAGGCTGAGGAGTTCAGATGTCCACGCCGTCTCTGGGGTCCTCAAACTTTACTTGAGAGAGCTGCCAGAGCCCCTCATACCTGCTGAGCTGTTTCAGAGTCTGGCCAACGCTCTGGGTAAGAGCAAACATCAGCTTCACTGCAGCGTAGAGGGGTTTAAACTGAGGACGGTTAGAGGTTCGAGGATGTTGGACTCCTCCTACTGCCTCTTATTTTGTTATTAATAGGTTTGTGTGTGTGTGTCTGTGTTCAGAGGTCTTTTACTACAGAGTAAAAAAAAACAACCCTTTTTTTTCTTTCCTGTAGACATCGCAGACATGAACTCTCGCCTCATTCCCATGATGTCTCTGCTGCAGTCCTGCCCTGACACCAACCGCCACACCTTCCTCTATCTGCTGCACCATCTGCAACGGTCTGACAGCAATCACCCAACACATCACTCCTACGTTTAATAAAGAAGATCTTTAAAACTTTAAAGCAAAACTTTATAAATAACTCTTTTGACTTTTTTTCTCTACAGAGTCTCTGAACAGCAAGAAGTCAACAAGATGACCCTCCTGAATCTGGCTACAGTGTTTGGTCCCAGTCTCTTACGCCCCCCTGTGGTTGGAGCGGGACAGGACGGCCCCACAGTCGATATCTCCCAAGAGGTGGTGGTTCAGGTGGGAGTTAAACAGAGGAAAGATTAGTCTGCTGGAAACTAAAAAAAGATGATAATAATGATGATAATGGAAATGTTTGTAATTCTGTCTGTTTTAAACAGTTTGAAAGTTTCTGTCAAATTTATTTCTTCATATTTTATTTTAATCTTTCCTACTCTAAAAATTAAATCATAAATGTTTATCCACTATAGGCACATTAAGATAATTTTTAAATTCACAGATCACTCATATGTTATCTAGTAACTTTTGATTTAATTAAGCATTTCTATAAGGATATGTGAATCCCTCTCTGTAAAATAAGGCTAGATTAGTACTTCAAAAAAAATGTTTTTCAATTTTAAATGAATTCTTAAAAAATTTAAAATTTAAAACTAGTTAAATTTAATATTTTTTTCTAAAAAAACATATGAAAATAAAATAAAATATCCATAGTTTTGGAGGTTTTTAAAATGTATGTTTTTAACTCTTCTCAGTTGCCAAAAAGCAAAAACATCTGGTTAAAATACACAAAATATGTGCAGTGTTTGTAAAGCTTACTACAATTTTATATTAAAATAGAATAAAATAATAGTTTTCAAATTGTTCCGATTTTGCAGCTCATCCTGTCAGATAAGAAAAGGAAAAGATCAAATAAGATACGATAAGAAAGAGAGATAAAGGGAGATAAAGTAAGAGAAGAAAAGGTTGAAGAAGATACTAAAAAATAAGATAAAATGAGATACAATAAATAAATGAAAGATAAAATAATATAAGATGTTCTCCATTTTTCCCACAGTGGGGACATTTCCATTGTTTACAGCAGTAGAGGATCATAGCAGACACAGAGGAACACAGATGATTGTAAAAACGTTAAGTTAGAAAAATACTTAAGTTTTGGACTTGATAAGAACTTTAGCATTAAGACAAACTTTTTGAACCATGTTGTTTCAGGCGTTTTAACTTCTGTTAGTAGATCTCTAAACAGACAGAGAGATCAGGAAAAAGACCCATGAGGCAGCGACGACTGTGACCAGGAATACAGCCTCTGTAGGCGGGTCGCTCCCAAACCTCTGAACCAGTCTGCATCCTGATTATAGAGAGTTTCAACAATATCATGAAAGACATGAAAGTTAAAATGACTTACTTTTTAATCAGTTTGATCCCGGGAAAGTTTGAAAACTGAAAATCAACGTCATCCTTTATGTGCAGCATTTTCTGATACACTGTTTTTACATTCTCACCTTGTGTCCGTGTTTCAGGTTCAAGTGGTTTTCAGCTACCTGCAGTGCAATAACCTCCCTGAAGCTCAGACCTCTCTGCCTTATGACACAGACAGCGAGGATGAGACCACCCACGTGTGAGACCACCATGAGTGTAAGACGCTATGTGAAACAACATGTCCGACTGTTTGGACAATAAACCTATTTATTGATTAAAATACAAACTTCAGACTGAGATTTGTCTTAAATATTTAAACACTTTCTGTCGTTTTAAATCAAATCCTGCAGAGGACAGAAAAGAAGGAAAATTCCAGGTTTTGATTGGGTTCCCTCAGACGAGTTTGACAGGGTGGCACAGAAATGTGAAGTCAAATATGTTTCTGGAAAAGTCAGGGGTGCAGATGTTGTTGAAAAAAAAAAAGGTCAGGGGTCACCTCCCCAAGCCTGAAATCCAATCGGTCATGGTTCAAATCCAACTAGACGGAGTTCACCACAAGTGTACGGCCCATAAAAGTCCCTCTCCCACATGCAGCCCGTGTTCGACCCGTCCACGCCACACATGTGAGTCCCTTTTCAATCACACCACCTGGGAACCCCGAGCTAGTATTACCCCTAACCCTTTAACACAAGAAACCCCCTCTCTCCTTTGATCACTAATCCTGGACCCTGACTCAGGCTCTGCAGTGCTAATAGACTGGGAACTGTGCGAGGACGCCATAACAACATCCAGAACAAGTCCAGAAACGGCGGGTCTCCCTGTTGCCCCCCCTGTGTCATAAATCACCTGTCGCTTCTAACACGGTGGCTGCCAAAATAAAAACCCCGCCTGACAACTACAAAGACAGAAAGAGGTTCAGACTACAAAGCAGAGGAAGGTCCGACACGTCGCAGACAAATGTGACTCGAGCAGGCGGCAGGTCCACACCTGGGGAGGGTGGGAACTTTTTTTTTTTAACAGGAGAGGTCAGGACAAGTTTCTGGAAATGTGACGGCACTTGTTCCAGTCTGTCTGCTCTACACATTCACACTCACAGCTCACGCCAGCTGGACGGTTATTCAGGGGTTAAATATTTACAGAATTTAAAGTAGAGTTTCTAGAGACCTATTTTTAAAGCTACAGTCAGGAGTTTTTTCATGTTTATGAAGCGGATTTGAATTGATATCCAAATGCAAAGAAGACCATCAGGAGCTGATAAATACCCATTTTTCTGTATTTTACAAGACCAAAACAAAACAAAATTTCCTGTATACTTTTACCAGTTTTTTTAAAAAATTATAACAGGACACACCAAGAGGTCTTAAAACTAGCAAAAAGAAACTTTTTAAATTCTTTCATAATCATCCAGATTATGAAGCCTCTAACAGTTCCTTTAGATTTACATGAACAATGAACAAGTACTGAACATTTTTGGTCACTTTTTCATGATTCTTTTATTGGTAAGATAACATAAAAAAGACAGCGATGTGAACAGCAAGAAAAAAGGAAGGGCATTAAAAACAAACCGTGTACAGACAGAAACAAAAACAAAAAGACAGTGAGAGTGAAGATATTTTGATTTTAATGACATTTTGAGGTTTAAATGGAAAAAAAAGAAATGAAACAAACGCCAAAAAAATTAAAATTTCGATTATTTTTGGTTATTTGTATTTAAAATGTTCTAATATTAATAATCTACTTTCACAATCATGTGACCTACTTTTAAAAACCTATGTTTTGATAGTCTTTTAGCATATTAAAAAAAATATCCAGATAAATTTATATTAAACAGCCGAATTTTTAGGTGCTTTTTGGTCTGAAATTTGGTCAGATTAAAAAAAATTTTATGGGATCCTTTAAACTCATCCGAGACGCAGTCAGTTTGTGTTGCTTTTGGCGCCCCCTCTGGTCAAAGTTCATCTTATCCGTTTTCTGATTTTTCCCCCTGTTTTAGCATAAGTTATATTTGCTTTCTTATAACTATAAATTGTTAATACTCATTCAGAGTAGTTGCTTTAGGAAACCAAAAATTCCTTCATCGTGTTACTTATACGATATCTGACGCCTACCCTCCACACACGCCAGCAGTTTAAAGCATCAAAACAACTTTATAAAGATAATCAGTCCTCTCATATGTGGTCTTGTTTACTTTTTTTCCACAAACAAAGATATAAATATACACAAGAGTATGTTTCATTACAGCTAAAAATTCCTTACAGCAGCTTTAACTCGAAGACTGCAAAAGAAAAAAATCGATAAACAAAAAAGAAAAGAAAGCAAGAGGGGATTTTTCTCTTGGAAATATCTTTTCACTCCATTTCTTTCTGCAATAATCTGTAGAAAAACACAAAGACAAACCTTCTGGTGCGCACATGTTTGTAGCACAGCATGAATCTGAGTGTGTAGATGTGTGTGTGTGATGATGTTGCTGCCCGGAGCTGTGCCATGCTTGATTAGTCCTAATCTAGCTGGGAGTCAGGTTGCTGTGTCGGCGGCGTGTCTGTATGGAAAGCATGCGGGCCGCGGATCACAGGGATTGACCCTCTGCCTCTCAGGTTAACAGAAGCCCTGTGTGTGTGTGAGTGTGTGCGTGTGTGTGTGTGAGTGTGTGTGCTGAAACCTGGGTGTGAACTTTGAATGTGAGAAAAGTATGAGCTTGTGCAGAAAGAGAAGTCAAGTTTAAAAAAAGTAAAAAGTGCGAGAAAGAAGTTATCGAGGGGAATAAAAATAAGTGTGTGTGTGTTTGTAAGTGTGTGTATGTTTGTGTGTGTGTGTGTGCAGGCCTCTAGTTGAACTCTTGCTCTGCAGGACTCACCTCTCATAAAGCGTCACCCCAGCAGGTTGTAAACATAATGCCACACACTTACAAACACACTGCAGCTCACCGTACCCCAGACGAAGATATAGAAGGTAATTGTCATGTTCCCTGAAAACGCCCAAAAAAAGTGTGTGTTGTTGCTTTTAAACTGAACAAAGCCGCAGATGACACTACTACCCCTCCTCCTCCTCCTCCTCAGCCGAGCGAGCTGTGGGCTTAAGTTGTCTGTTAGTGTCTGTGTAAGTGTGTGTGTTTGGGGAGGTTTAGGATCAAAACCTCATGTCGACAGAGACTGCACCCAGGAGACGGCTGCTGACAGGTGCTTCCTGCAGCAACACAGCAGGTGCCTCACATTCACACACACACTCACACACACACAGAGAGAGGCTTGTGAGACATGATTGTGCATGTACTCACACACACACATACACATCGTCTGTCTCAGTGAGGGAACAAATGGGGAAAACAAATCATAATTTATATGTTTTTTACCCTATAGAGAGGCGGATTATTTATGGTGAGACTTAGCAAATTTTTTTATTATTCTAAATCAGGACTTTACCAAAAAGGTCAAAGGTCACGCTTGTGCCCACCTGAGAAGCGTACGGTGTGCGAACATAATCAGCGGCCATCGCTCCCACACTCCTCTGCCGCACAGACGTGACTGACCTTTACTCTGCGGGTCTATTTTTCTCTTCTTAGTTTCAATCGCAGACTTCATCAGCATAGAAACAGCCAATCCCTGAGCTCTCCCATCCGTCCCAATATACTCCCTCCTCCTCCAACTCCGTTTCCCCTGGGTTATGATGTCACATCTCCCGAATGGAAACAGGAGTAATGACGTTATGTTGGAGTGATGCTTTCGAGATCCGTATCGAGGCTCCTGCAGGTCGATCTGAGGATTCCTGTACGCTTAGAAAATGAGGCTGAGGTTAGTTTGGTCTCTGCGGCAGCTGTCCAAAGAGGAAACAGATTGTAGATAGTGTCAGTTTCCACAAATAATGTGAACATACGGTGGACGACATTTGTGTGTGTGTGAGAAACTGAACTATGGTGTTAGAAAAGGGACAAATTAGTGTATATGAAAACATCCGGATCCATACAATAATGCTGTAAGCCTTTTGTATCATATTTGAGACATACTTTTATATACTTCTATCAAATCAATATGATCAACAAATTACTAAGGCTATGTTCACACTGCATGTCAATTCCAATTTTTTAACCATATGTGACACATATCTGATTTTTTCATCTAAGTGTGAACAGTGCAATTCTGATTTTTTCAAATCCAACCCAGGCCTCTTTTGTATGTGGGTATAAATCGGATATGTATCCGATGCGACTGCAGTGTGGACGCTAAGGTCACGTATAGGCCAACCTATACGACATCAATAAACGTCACCATTGGCGCGAAAAGCAATTTGTGCTTTGTGTGCATGCGGATCACTTCAGGGACGCATTCCGTTCACATTAGATGCCGCATTCGTTGTTGTAATGTGACCGACAAAAAGATCAGATTTAACAAAAACCCGAATTGTGCATCATAACCTGCAGTGTGAACGTAGCCTAAGTAAACACAGTCCGATAAATGATAAAAATGCCTTTTTGTAGTTTATTAGTTTCCAAAAACATCTAATGTATCAAACAAGATAAATAACCATATTTGTTAAATTTTACGACATTTTAATTTATTTTAATTTTCAGTAGTAAGTGAAATAAACATTTCAGCTTAAAAAAAATAGAATTTTCTGACCATAATTTGTGGTGTCAGGCATTAAAAGGCTAATATGTATTTATAAATAAGATGTTTGGGTTTGATGTTGATTATTTTTATATTCTTGTGTGTGTGTCGCACAAATGGATCCAAGAATAAACATGATTCAAAGAATCTTCCAGTTAATGTACCGAATAATACCTCAGCAGCTTTAATCAGACTTTTATTTTGAAAAGCTTCTTCAGTATAAAATAGTTGAACTTTTATAATTAATAGTACATCACTTTAAGGGTGAATTTTGTTTTATTTTTAACCATCCATGATTTTTATTACTGTTCGGTGATCACCCTGTACACTTCACACACTCGGACAGATCATACAACAGGTGTGTGTGTGTGTGTGTGTGTGTGTGTGTTTCTCTGAGGCTGCAGTTGTTCACCCGAGGCCTTCAGGGAAATCTGTCGAAGAGAGTTTTGACAGTTTAGTAAATCTTTTATTTCGACGTCTCTTTGGAGTTTGAGTTTCATCCTGGACCTTGAGTCGAGCACACCAGAGCAGGCGTGGTTGTCAGGAAGGATTGTGTGTGCGATGAGGTTTGACTGTCGTCCACTTCCACAGAGTGTGTGTCCGCGCTGTGAGGCTTTGTCTCAGTCAGCAGGTGTGGGGGGATGTACCCAGTCTGAGGCCGTGTTTGCTCCCTGTTACGTTGCTGGTTGTTGGATTTAGGCGGGCAGCGGCCCCTCTTGTCCTGCCCCCGGAAACCCCTCAGTTTAGGGCTCCAGTGTTCCCGCCACTGGAGGGCCAGAGTGGAGCGGTCCGCCACCAGGCGACTCTCCTCGGGACCCCACCCACGCTCCCCCTCCTCTGCCCCAATCAGGAGGAAGGTCCGACCCACCTGGAGGGCGGGGCAGCCGCAGCTGAGGTCCCGATCAGGGACCCAGAGCGACTGAGAGCCCCTGCGGACTCGGGAGGTGGACCCCGTGCGGAAGACGGTTTGGACTGAGATGGAGAACTGCCACCAGGGACCCGAACGCTCCATCCCTCTCACCTGCACCTTCAGCACTGAGGGAAACAGATGCAGAACATTATTGGCAGGATATGTTCTGGTAATTTAGTTTTTCCCTGGTTTTGTTATCTGAGTTTTGTTATTTTCCTTGTGTTTTTCCAAGTGTTTCTATTCCCTGTTGTTCCTGTGATCCAGTCTTGTGAGTTTTCAGTTTGTGTTTGACCCTGTTTCCCTCTATTCTCAGTGTTTTATTCTTTATATCAGTTTTCAGAGTTTCACATTTTATTTTGTAGAAATTAATTCCTTGTGTTTCTGGTTTTCCCTCCTTCGTTAATCACCCATGATGAGTTTCACCTGTGTCTCGTTAGCCTCACCTGTTGCTCATTAACACTATGTATATAGTCCCTGTCTTCCTCTCTGTTCTTGTTGGTTCATTGTATGTTGTATGTGTGTCCATGTCTTTCTGTTCCCCGTGATCTTTGAGTCTCGTTGAGATTTTTTCTCCAGTGTCTTTAGTTTTTTTTTTTTTGGTTGGATTTTAAAGCAAGTTTTTGCTGCTTTTCATTCAGTTATCTTTAAATAAATCCTTTTTTTTTTGTCTGCATTAAGATCCTTTCCCTTTTGTTTAACCCTGGACTGTGCCAATTATACTACAAAAACTATACATATTTTAAAATCACTGAAATAATTCAACTTTTTAAAATTGCTTTTATAGAAATATATTTTAGCCCAAAATATTCGAGGAATTTTGTAAAATCAAAATAAGAAGAAAAAATTCCAAATATATTTTTCTTTATTTTTTTTCATGTAAACAAAATAAGCAAACAAAAAAACCCTGATACTTACCAAAGTCCTTGAGACAATATGTCTCCAAGTTCATCCTGACTTTAACCTGAGAGGGCTGGCAGTACGAAACACACTCCTCCGCTATAACAGAGAGAGGGAGAGAGAGAGGTGGGGAGAGAACATCAAATGAGAGGGTATCATTTCATAGCGAGCATATCAGCACATGTCTTTTCCCCTAATTACAATATGGCTGCTTGTATTTGTCATCACAGTATCCTGTGACTAACAGATGACTCTGTCTGCAGCAGGTGGGACATTCTTACAGTCGCCACTAGGAGGCGTGGTTAGCTGCGTTTGTTTTGATATATGAGGCCGCAGAAGTGATTGACTGGTGTGTGTTGTACATGAGGTGAGGGTTCGAGTGCTTCACATTAAAGCAGAAGAAAATGAAGAGAATAAAAGCATTAAGACAGAGTTAAAACATCTCCAGTTATCATCACATATGTCAAAATATTTGTCTTTAGTGTGAAGCTTTGCAGCATTTGAATGTCTGTTGTGTTTGTATATTTACAGAAAAAAAAATTAAAAAATTAAATTAGTTACAACAAATAAAATTTAATATGCACAATTTCATTTTTTGTCAAATCTCATCAATTATATTATTTTGAAAAAACAGTCTAGACCTGCTTTTTTAATGTGAAGTGTCCTAAAATTAGGTGCTTTATTTAAAAAAAAAAAAAAAAATCTATTTTTAGGACCGTATCAGGTTTGAATAAATTTACACAGCCTTTATTTACAAAATAAATAGATGAATAAATACCAAAAACATAAATATAAAAGCACTGAAGTCAATAAAAGTTAAGGTTGAGTTATACACAATATATTAATGTCAATTTTAAAAAAAAATATTTAAGTGGCTTTTATTCTGAAACAAAAACATCTGCCTTGGTCTAAATAACACCTTCATGAATACTTTTATTTTGAAAGTCACACAGATCACACTGCATCAGGCAAAAATGTACACTTTTTAAGATTTGCAGCACAAACCGCGATGACTAAATACTCAGTTTGACGTTTTGCTGCTCATATGTAATTATTTTAAATCCGCCTTGGATATTTTGTACTCTACCCAGACACAAATGGACCATGACGATCAGAGGTTCATGTTAATATACTTCCTGTCCGTTCATCTCCTCACCTATGCTGTACTGAGGTTGGTACACCGGTGTTGGAGCGACCTCTTGAATTCCTGAAAACATAAACACAGTTTCAGACAGGTGACGAGAACTCAAACACACACACTCTGGAGCTTCAGCACACCCGTATGAGCCCTAAGGGTGTAGCAGACCAAGTGTGTTTCTGTGTGTGTTATGTGTGCTATGCGTGGATGCCTTTCATTGCACGGTGGCACGTCTGCACAGAAGATAAGCAAGTGTCAAAAATGAGTGTGTGTGGTCTGTTTTTTTACGGGCTAGAAACACTTTCTGAAAACACACGCAGACACAAACTTTACTTTTGGTAATTTCACAAGGTTGGAGCGTCACTTTTTGTATGTTTTTTGGACTCAAACGTTAAACAGAGTCTAATAAACCTCGCTTGACTCTGTGCGTGTCTGTGAGCTTGTAAATGGTAAATGAACTACCTGCTGGTCCACACGTATATTATCCAGGCCGCTTGTAAAACCCTGTGTGTGACAGCGCTGCCATATTTTACCAGGTTCACACTCCGTCCCCCCGTCCATGTCCTGTCTTCTCTGACACAACTGGGCCAGTGACACCCTACACCCCCACCCAGCTGACTGACCCCTCTTTTGAAAACCTGGAAGGTGCTGTGTGGTTGCATGTGTATGGACAGCATTAAAGATATACGTTAAAACCTGAGAAGTTACCACATTAAACTTAAATCTCACATTACTGGCTCTGAAGCAGAGCTGACAGCTACTAAACTGTGATGAGTTTAGCTATATTAGCTAAGGAGTTAGCTAGCTTTTTGCTATTCTTGTTGTAACTAACATTACTTTTGTGTTTTAAGAAGAAGTTTTTCTCCATCGTGATTCACTACGGCTTTATATAGCTTTGTAGTATGAGTGAAAAAGTGCAGCAGTGAAATAAAGCTCTGAAGCAGAGCTGACAGCTACTACACTCTGGTGAGTTTAGCTACATTAGCTAAGGAGTTAGCTAGCTTTTTGTGTCTCTTGTTGTAGTGAACATTACTTGTGTGTTTTCAGAAGAAGTATTTCTCCATCATAATTCGCTACGGCTTTATTTAACTTTGTAGTATGAGTGAAAAAGTGAAGCAGTGAAGTAAAGCTCTGAAGCAGAGTTCACAGCTTCTAATCTTTGGTGAGTTTAGCTCTTAGCTAAGGAGTTAGCTAGCCTTTTGCTTCTCTTGTTGTAACTAACATTACTTGTGTGTTTTAAGAAGAAGATTCTCTCCATCGTAATTTGCTATGGCTTTATTTAACCTTGTAGTATAAGCAAAAAAGTGAAGCAGTGAAGTAAAGCTCTGAAGCAGAGCTGACTACTACACTCTGGTGAGTTTAGCTACATTAGCTAAGGAGTTAGCTAGCTTTTTGCTTCTCTTCTTGTAGCTAATGTTACTTGTGTATTTTCGGAAGAAAATTTTCTCCATCATAATTCGCTATGGCTTTATTTAACTTTGTAGTATGAGTGAAAAAGTGAAGCAGTGAAGTGAAACTCTGAGGCAGATCTGACAGCTACTACATCCGGTGAGTTTAGCTATATTAGCTAAGGAGTTAGCTAATATAGCTAACAGATAAAAACAGCTTACAGATAAAATCAAGATTCAACATTTTAGCTGAATCCAGTTGTAGCTGTTTCTACTATCTCTATAGTCTGTCACTTTATTTTGACAAAACATGTACTCAGTGCACGTCACCTTTTATCCTGTCGTGTGATTTTATAAACTTTTGGATAAAAAGGCTAGCTTGAAGTTTAGCCTGGGTGCTGGGTGCCTTTTTGGTCCGTCTGAAAAGAGGGGAGGAAGAGGAGGAGGAGGAGGGTGGGTGTTTGTTGGGATGGTGGGGGGTAAGAGATGCTATACATAGCCCTGAGATGGTCTGGCAGTAAAAACAAACATGGTTTTCTTTCACTCACTCCTTTCACTGGGAGAGTTATGAGTCTGGGCCCTGAGATGGGGGCGTTGTGAGCTACACAACAGGTGTGAAGCTCGCCACTTCTGGCTTCCTATGTCACCTGATTGGGGCTTACACAGTGTCAGTGCCTGTGTAGTTGTCGGCACTCGTACGATTAGCCGGGGAAGTGCACGTGGATTAGCGCTTGTGGCTGAGGTTCGGTGCTGGCCAGGGCCAAAGATATGAGAAGCAGCGAGCCACTTGATATGACTCTGATCCCACATCAGCTGGTGATGAGGTTCCCCCATGGGTTTCAGCTCATGCTAAGGCTGCTATGGAAACTGTCTCTAGGGATGATGAAAAGGGGACACGCTGCTTGATTAGGCCAAATTACTCCGGACGGCAGCGGCTCCTTTTATACTGAGCTACTATTTGATAAAGGCTTAGAGAGCTTGATAGGAGGTTTAATCTATTAGGGCCACAAAAGAATATGATGAAGGAGAAATTAGGGGGATGACTTTGTCGTGATTGACAAGCAACAATTAAAAACTTGATTAATTTCATCAGGGTGGCATGTGCTGAATGAAAAGTTAACTCTACTGTAAGATTTGTAATCCCTAATGAAACATTGCCAAACCTAATCAACACAAGAGGCTGTGAGGATGACCCAGACTTTCTGATCTGATGCCAGGCGGACTGTAGATGTCCTCAGAAACTATTTTCTCCAAAATAGTCAAACGACTCTCCAAATTTGAGTCAAAATTAAGAGCTCAGAACTAACTGTTGGCTGACTTACGTATGCAGGGCCGCAGAGACGACTCTCCCAGTTTGTATCCCGGGGCGCAGCGATTACACCTGAGGCCGGTCACACCTTCTCGACACAGACACTGACCTGATGTCTGGTTACACCAGCGACCCACTGCTCCAAGACGATGGCACTGGCACGCTGGAAAGTCAAAAGATCAAGTAAGCAATGGCAATTTTGTGACGTTTAAGTCCCCATCTACCATTATTATGCATTTGCTTTAAAGAGACAGTCAAGGAGGGGTCTTGTATATCCTAAAAATGACAGTTTTCAAAAGTCTCAAGGATGAAGTTGTTCCAGTTTCAAGGAAAAGACTCCATCGAGTTGTGAGCTTGAAGTTATATCAGGAAAAAAACTTATCTACTGCAGTTTGTCTTTATTGCGCACACGGGACAGACAGGACAATAGGGAGGCTTAACAGAACCATCCGTAAATGCAGCGACTCAGGCTTAATCCTGCTTGACAGCATCCATCGTGAGGGAGGGAGTGTCCTTGAGCAACTATACAAGACCTTTACCAACACCGTAAAACCTATTTTGTGGCTGTCTTGTTGGGTAAACAAAGACAAATTCCTTTGCAGAGCTATCAGCACAACGCCACATGAAGGTCAATGTGTTTTGTTTCAGTGGGAAGACTAAACTAATGGCTTCTTATCAACAAGAGAAATAATATCCTGGATTTATTCCCCCTATCTGTTTTATCGAGATGAAGAATGATGCTCTATCTTAACTGAAGCACATTTACCCAGTGCAAAGCTTTCTATTTATCTCTACATGAGAGAAGACACATCGAGACAGGAAGCCAACCTTGAGCAGCACTGTTAACGCTCAAGTAATGTTTAGACAAATCCTTACAATGAATCCAAACAACCTGACAGGAGAACATGAAAAACTGTCCCCTAAATGCAACACAGTGAAATACAGTAGTGATAAATTTTACCACCTGTGGTCATGGATGTAAAGTAGTCAGGTTTATGCGTAATAAGTGATAAAACGCAGGAACGTTTGATCATAATGTTGCATCCCTGCACGTGTGTCCGCTCAAAGAGAGCCCATTAACTTTGGATATATTAGGCCAAACCTCGACACGAGCATACCACAGTGTCACAGTCACTTAGGACATGTGACCAGTCAAAGGTCAGGGGTCGCCTTCCACATGCCAACCGGCAGTAAGTACGGGTATGCAGGTGGCAGCGCTGTTTGGTTTGGGTGTGTTTTTGTGTCGCTAACAGGAATAGCTGTCTACTCTCACAATGTAACCACCCCATAAACACTTCTGTACGCTCTGACTGAGACACAGCAGGCACGTAAACACGCACACATGCGATCAGACGGCCTGACAAAGGCACTGTCACTCAACTTTGCTATTCATCTTCCACGAATGCATGATTACTTTTTTCTTTTGATTTAACAATGTAAGGCTCATTTATGCTTCTTTTGCATGTAGAAGTGGATCTGTAAGTCTCAATTGATATAAAAGTCACGACTCATATAGTTGCACATGTCCTTGAATGTCACCCACCAGAGGGCAGAACTAAGAATAAAATTTTGTGGGATGTGAACAAATAAAGAATACATACCCAGTGAGGTAACAGGTAACAAGTATTACAATCAATACTTTTGATAGTGTCACTTTTTAGCTAAAACTTGCTATATGATCCAGCAGAGGGCACTCTCATGGTAACCTGACCATTGCATGCACCCTTGACCTCAGTAAACTAATATACTAATGTTATTCTACATAAATGGATGACATGGTCAAGCAAAGCTGCACTGAGCGGACAATCAGGACATATCTAAGAGGCGCTGTGTGTATTTTGGGATCTACACAGAAGATGGAAAAATGAAAGACAAAGGTAGGCTTGTATGTTGATGTGTACATAGCAGCTGTCTTACTCGTCAACGATGACAAATTGATGGGCTTTTTAGCTCTCGCTACAGCTACTCTACTGGTTGGTCTTTATCTGTGAGCGTCCAGAAAACATAACAGCATAAATAGGCTTTACCCCCATCCCTGACACATGTACAGCAAACAAACACACACACATGTAGAGACTGACGTTGGCAGGCCTTGCGGTGGGTCATTGGTTTGCTGTTATCTCGGGTGTATCCGTTCTGGCAGTACTGACAGTGGCGTCCGGCCGTGTGGTGGCGACACTTCTGACACACGCCTCCGCTGCGTCGACCCGACTGCTGAAACACCTCCATGCTGAAGCGACACTTGTTCGTATGGCCGTTACACTCGCAGGCTGGACAAAGAAAAGACAAACAGTTATCGTGGGGCATCCAATGGGTTAAGCTGACAGCAGAAAGATGTACACAACATATAAATGAATATATCTAGTCTAGCTTCTACCCTAAAGAAAATAAAGCAGAGAGGCCGACTGTCATGGTGTATTATGTCAGATAACATAAAGACATTAGTTATGCAGTCAAAAATAGCAATTTTTTGCATTTGTTTGTATTTAAATAAACTTTGCATTAATGAACACTGCTTCAAGACGCTTATATCTACTAACATTCATTGTTTATTGGAGAGGGAAATTTTTCAGTATTTTACAGTGTAATGTAAATATTATTAGAATTAGTTTTTGGAAATGAAAAAGTGATAAAAGAAACATACATGTAAGAGCTACGATCAAACATTTTACAGTCCATTTCTGACTTTTTAAAAAGTTTGATAGCTCAGGGTGTGTTGCACATGTTTATTGCAAAACACAAATGAAACCCACATTTCTTTCTCATTATTTCATTCAAGCATCACTCACCAACACATGGATTTGGATGCGTGGGTGTAGCTCTATGCCAAGGTCTGTCACAGTAGAAATCCTCACACACATCACAGTCTGGTCCTGCTGTGTGGTGCTCACACATGCACACTGCTCGTCCCGTGTCGTCACGTCGACACCTAGAAGCGTGTCCGTTACATTTACATCTGCCCCCGACTTGCAGGTCCGAGAGGGCCAGAGGAGCTCGGACAGCAGTCATAAAAGCAAAGTGAGGGGCCACCTGTGAGTCCCTTGAGCTTTGTTTTGAGTTATTATTGTTCCTCCTTTTCCTCAGTTCCCGTCCTTTGTGGCCCCTGCCCTGCCCCTCTACTGACCAGTTACAACCTCCACTGGGACAAGGCAGCCAGTGATTGTTCTCCTTTTTGCGACCACGCCCTTTGCTTTTCCCGCCTTTCTTTGAAGACGTGAGGATGTCCAAGGTAAAACCATCCCCTCCTTCCTTGCTTGTCACATTGTGTCCTTCTTCATCTGGACCTGACCCTCTAGAATGACTCTTCCTCCCATGTTTGTCCACTTTGCTCCGCCCTCTTGTGTCTGAGTTTTTCACCTCCCCGTCAAAAAATGCCAGTGTATTTTCCACATTTAACTTGTCACCCCCTTTGTGGTTTGCTCTCCACCTTGAAAGTCCTGTCCCTCTATCAGCCTCTGCACTGTCACGCCACCGTACTTCCTCCTTCCTCTCAAGTGTACTCTCTTTAGCATCTTTCGACACTTGGTGGAAGACTATGCGAATGTCTGTGGCGGTCACCCAGTCTTGAAGGGTATGGCTGTGGTCAAAATCAGGCGAGGATGGTCGTCCATCCAGGGTGGAGAAAGCTAGAACCATGCCCCCTCTTTGCTTTTGCAAGGGGCGAGGATCTGAGCAAAGAGGCTCGGTCTCTTGGTGCCGACTCTGGGCGACTGTCTGCGAAGGAAGCCCGAAGTCCCGTAAGCAATCATTGGAGTAGTGCTGCATTGGCCTCCACGTTCGCCCATGGTCCATTGATTTTAGGATGGAGATGGAGATTGGGTCTGAAGGCTCCCCCTGCTGGCAGAACTGCAAACTTATGTAAGTGATCTCAAAGCGGCGTCCGAGAGGAAGCGTTAGGACCCATTCGCCAGTGTTTGGATCACCATGAGCCATCCAACAGGTGAGGTTGTGGGGGTTGTGGAGGTCCGTCAAGGTGGTGATGTTGCCGTCATAGTCAGGCCCATGTAATGAGTGGCTAGCGTTGACTGGGACTCCATATGCCGCGTTGATGAACTCCGACAGGCAGTGGCGTGGACGTCCATCCAAGTGGTAGCAGGGGTCATGAGGTGAAGTCCAGCTTAGGGGGGTGTGGGAAAGGGAAGAGGAGACAGGAGACGGAGGAAGGAAAAGAAGGAGTAGAAGGAAAACAGGGAAGAGGGAGGTGAAGGGGGGAGGGGAAAAGGGTAGGTTCATCATGTCATCCAGCCTGTGGAAGAAAAAAAGTATGAGTTTTAAGAGAAAACCATGGGGGCTTGATCATAAAACAAAAAAAACACAAAGTGATTGATTTATAAGACTTGAATTCAAAGCCAGAGGAGAGGAAATCTAAGAGGGACCACCTGTGCCCTTTATTGAAAACACACGGTACCAACTCACTGCATCACTTCAACCGCACCTTGTTGGCTTTCAGGAGATGCCAGTAAAGATCTCATCTCATAAAAATGTAATCTCTGATCTTCCCACTCGTGTCGGCCACTGGTTTGAATCTTTGACCCTGACAGCCCTGGAGAACATATCTGTCTCAAAGCTCCCCTGAACCCAGGAAAAGAGCGCATAAGTGTGGGTGAAGAAGGGTGCACATCCAGCGGGTCTGTCTGAAATGACAAAAAACATGCCCGACAGCTGGGGCTAAACCCCGAACTGGACCACATCCATCACGTTTATGGCTTTCCTTTTCAAATCACTTTACCACCGGTCAGTGCTGCAGGCAAGCGAGGTGCCTGAGCATGAGCAGTGTGAAGTGTGAGCGAGCTGAAGAGGGAGTATGAGGAAAAAAGAAAATGAGGGGCGGGAAGGAAGGGAGTTGGAGATTAGGCTTGGGGATGGGAGCAGATGATTTATAGATCAAAATGTATGTTCGACTTGAGCCCCTACATAGATACTTCCGTGGTGGAGACAAATACAGACTTGTGTATGTCCGCTACTTGAACAAATCCCTTCCCGTCTCTTACAACTGGTGATCAGTGAAATTTATTCCTCTGTCAGGATTTGATACGCAGGAGTGTTAATTTTGGAATGGGGACAAGAGGAACAATGAGTGTACTCTCTGAGGAACCGCTGATTTATTGTTGCTACCACCCAAATTAATCCCAGAATCAGATTACCAAACGAGCTTGACGTTTTTTCTCCCCAAAGAAGTTCCACACCTGCTCCTTGTACTTTCAGGACTGTCTTGTTTTGTTTCCCTCCGTAAAGGACTGTCATTTTCCGACTACTTCCCCTTTGCTCTTCAGTCCCTGTGCTCATCTATCACCTGCCCCCTTCATTCTGTTCTGAGAATATTCTTAACTGCTGTGAGATTGATGATGTCCTAACAAGCGTTTGACACTGACAGCGAAGTCAGCAGGGCTGCATAAACCAAACCCGTAGGAGAAGACGAGGCTGAACGCCTCTGCGACCTCGTCATCCCGCTCAATTAGCCGACCACCGAAATATGAGGCTTCCCTTGGGGACCACACAGCTCTGAGGGGCCGTGAGCAGGCCATGGCATTCCCTGGGCAGACTTGGATAACCTGCTTTAAGCCTGACCTCTGAACGTAAAGTGGATCAACCAAACCTGGCTCAGAACAAAAGAAAGATCTGGCATATCACACGACCCCTGTTTGGAAGTGTTGCTACAGGAAACGCCACAAGCAAAGAGTGCAGTGATGAGCAGTCTGACTGTGACCCTGGTGCCACCAGGCCACATTCCTGATGTCCAGAATGCCTCGGTTGGTCATTCCTGACGTGTCGAGACATGCCCCACGGGAACCTGAACTCTCTGATAAAAAGCACGACTTATACGTTGATCTGGTGATTAATTGGGTCTCTGGTTTCATAGGGTGTCAGTGCTATAGCGGTATAAGAGTGAAGGCAGTGTCAGAGAGATTAAAAGGAGGGCAAAGGTTGCTGGAGGATTCAGGAAAGCAGCAGAGGAATTCAGTCTGGACACGGAACAACGCCTAAGTGTAGGCGAGTGGGGGTCCACGTTTGGGACATGCATTGGTTTAACATTCCCATGACATGCTCTTGCTCTTGTCTTTGTCACATTACATGACTAATTAAACATCGGCCCATTACAAGCTCCATGATAAATGGATGCTCATCTAAGAGAGGCCCCTGAGGTTTTTCAAGCACCCCACCAGGCCAAATCGAGACCCCGTCTTCTTACGAAACAAGATCGTCTGTCTGGCACCGCCATCGTAACCCACCGGATATGATTTCAACGGTTTTTCTCTGCTGCTTTCCATAAATTTACACAGCTGGGGTGTCAGAGGAACCTGTTGAAGACGAGCGAAATTCCCAGTACAGAACGAGTCGATGGGAAGACACGGAAAAACAGGGAGAGACCGCAGGAAACAAAGGCTTGGAAGATGTCAACCCTCTTTTCTTTCTCCACATTAAAACCCTCAAATTTTGCAATAACTTGGCAGCAATCCGTCTTTGAAAAAGCTTATACAGCCAAATAGTGGTAAGATGAGATCAACATCTCCGGCGGGTGATCTTTAGAAGCAGCTATGCTTGGCTGGCAAGGGGCTGGAAAAATACTTGCTGACAACCTGGGGGCATGTTTACAGCATAGTCGTACAGAGACCAATCCTCATGTTCGTGCTCTGCAGACCCCCATTTTTTTTTTTTTATTCCAGAGCTTCATCCTCATGTATTCCTCATGAAGCTGTATTCTGAGGAACTTGTGGAAATATTAATGTCAGGTAGAGGAACCAATGCGTTGTTTTATGATCCAATAAAAAACAAAGTAACAAGAATTCAAGCAAATACACGTAAAATCCATCCCCACCCCCTTGAAGGTTTTGTGTTTTATTGTCTTACCACATCAGATTCAAGAAAATTTATTGTGACTTTTTGGCTTTTACGAACAAAAAAGTTTACAAGGATTTACTTTTTAACAATGTGATACAACTTTACAGCAACTATAAAATACAAAACACTTGTTTGCGTAAATATTAACGCCCTCTAAGTCTGGGTTTTATTAACGGGTACTGTATTTTAAGAGTATGGCGGGGACACCGGAGGGAAATGAGACCCTCTCCGGTAATAAAAACGGAAAAATGATCTGTTGAAGCTGCCGCAAAAGGAAACGGGAAATGCGAATAAAACCTCTTTTAAATCATTTTCTTTACTTATGTTGCCTCAAAGTCTCCTTCTTTTGTTTTATTTTGACAGTTTTGGAAAAAGTGACGCCTGTTACATGCGATTTTTCATGTTTTTGAGCGGTCTGTTCCAGAGGCTGTTTCAGGCTGAGCGGAAAGGGAGAGCAGTAAAATATGATCACAGAGGAGTCGTCAAATGGGAATTTATTAGTTTTGACCTATAAGATTAAAATTTTAGAGGTTTTGCACATGTTTACAAACCAAGGAGTACTTCGGTTCTTTACAGGCATTATTTTAAGTGTTTAATTTTGCTTTAATTTATATAGATTTGTATGTTTGTCATCTTTTATATACATAATTTTCATCTATTTGTGCTTAATTTTGCGTCTTTTTCTATCTAATTTGTTGGTAACTTCACCATTTAGCAAATCAAACTTTTTATTACTCTCACTCTTTGTCATCATGAGGTCTGTATTCTATGCAGTGCAGAAATCTCTGGCTACCTGTTAACTCTCTCGGTCTGTTCACACTTTGGGGCTGCAGGCCCGTCCCGGTCTGGGTCTGTTCTGGTGAGCAGATGAGCTGGATTTGGCCTGTCTCACACGTTTTAACATTCCTCGTCATGGGCAGCAGATCACGCCAGCGATACGGAGGCAAAGATTTGAAATTCAAATTGCTCTTCTTCCCCATGTTGAGTTTTCAAGGACTTAAGTTGTTGTTTTTACAAATAAACACACGACCGCAGTTTGAAGAGCTGTGTTTTATCAGGGGGATAGTCTCTTGGAAGATTTCCCAGGGTTCTACATTGCAGCTATGCTGAAGACACGGAGCCTCTAAATAAATATGATCAATTATATAAGCTCTCTGTTATAGGCCACATGTTTGAAGCTGGACCAAGGCACCTGTTGGCACATGTTACCACACTGACACCTTTGTTAATTTGCAATTGTCCTCAGCTGGTCAGAAATACAACACTGCAGAGAGAGGCTACGTATGCGGTCTGTAGTCTCAAACTGCATTCCTGCCCACACAGTTGAAGCCCATGTGTGTGTTATTCCACACGGAGTGGATTCCAGGAGTTCTGTTTTAGGTGTAATAATCTAATTTTAGTGGGGCGGCCCAGGAGGTGAAAGCAACAGACAGCACAAAATGGATTATCACTGCTAGTGTCTTTGGCCAAAGGGCGCCGTCCTTCAAGTTTGCGCCTCAAACAAACCAACAAGGTGCCCACAGGTGTCTGAAGCGCCCTGAAGGTGTGTCTTCTCCTCCCTGTGCTTATTCCACTTTTTAAATACAAAAAACACATGTTACCCACTCGATATTTTAAAAGCGAGTTTCCTGTCAACCCCCACCCCTCTTTATAACCTCATACAAGTTGGCAAGACGCTCTCCTGCCGCTCGGGCTTCACATGTTGATATTAAAAAACAGATGGAAATGAAATCATTGCGATTCCGCGTTAAAGTCACGCCAAAGACAACCTCAGGCATGATGGGAGTAAAAAGAGAGGCCTCGTGTTGTTAATGCGTGTTAATTAAAACCACACAAAGTCATAGAAGCAGGTGGAAAACAAAAACGCAAAAAAAAATTGAAGCAGTCCAATCAGTTATCACATATGCTCACTAAAACCTCATTTATCAGATATTTGAAAAACAAAACAAAAAGAAAAATTGCGTGAGCGAGTTTGTCTGAGATTGTCTATGAAAGCAAAGAGCTCACAGTAATTTAGTCCTTGGTGAAAGAAAGGGGTTTAAGAAAACTAATTACTGAAAGAAAAGAGCCTGCAGTGACAGGCGGGCAGTGAGCAAACCTCGGATTAATGACTCTCCTCCTGCCTCGGTTCATTAAAGGCAAATGTTTGTCATATTTAGTTTGATTATTTTGGCACCAGCTAACAGCAGAGCCCGGAGGGTGGTTTCTGCTCGGCTAATTGCACTTGTTAGCCTGAAATTAGCTGCAGCCAATTAACTCTATCTGCCAGAGAGGAACAATAATATTTACAGTATGAGACTATCATAGTTTGATCTAAGGATATGGATCTGTTTTATTTTTAAATATGGAGAATTATTCTGAGCTTATTTTATTTTCGAGTTAAGATCCGGCTAATCAAAAACCGTGATACAATGATAAATATGTTTATTTAAAAAGTTTACTTTGAATTCAAGCTTATTTTATCATAAATTTTAAATAAATAGACTTTTCCTGCACACCCCAAAAATTCAGAATAAACCTAAACAACCAGAAAAAGACACATATTTTTACAAATAGGATTAAACAGCTAAGCTACAAGAATTTTGGCTGAGTTTTAGAAATACAAACATTAAAAACAATTAGATAAATCATTAATTTTTGCGTTTTATTCTTGCAAACTTATCTGCACACCCACGTATCTCATATTTGTTGCCTTTCCCTGCCTGTAATTATGGAGACACAAAATCCAAGATCACTTTTACGCGCGACTTCATCATAAAACTTCACCTCACCCTGTCATTACACTATACTGCACTACTATAATTATCAGGCCTGCACACACACTCACTCACACACACTCATTATAAGAAATAAATGACAGCAGCCCACCATGTGCGCTCCAGTGATCCTCCTTCTCCTTCCTTCTGCTCCTGCCGGTCCTCCTGTTCATGAAGAGAGGCGCAGCAAGTGTCCGGACATCCAGATCCTGCGCGTCTGCGGAGCAGCAAGAGAGACAGGAGACGAGACTACCGAGAGGGGGCAACACACCGGGCACTGCGCGAGCGAGAGGAGGGGAGATAAATGAAGGAGGGGGTGGGGGGGATCAGGTGGGAGGTGCGTCTCTGCTTATAGAAAGTGAAGTGAGCCAAGTGAGGTGACATCCTGCTTTACGCACTGCCAAGCTGGCACTCAAGGCAAAAAGAGTCCATCAAACTGAAAGAGGGAGAATTAACCTGTCTGTCAAACCTGTAATACTAAAAATATATCTGTTAAGACTAAATATAGAAAGTCCACTCACACTTTTCTTTATCTGACATGAAATCATCCTCAAAATTCGGATACCAACCGGCCTTTTGCAGCAGGTAAATTTCTTTAATTCATCTTTTTGTCTTTAAAAAAACAAAAATGTCAAACATTTGGTTCCTGTAACTTTATAATCTGTGGCTATTTCTACTTATCAGGAAAGCTTGACTATGATATACCCGAAAGCACATAAATTCTGCTTGTATTTATTTGAACATTTATCAGTTTAATACATATAAGAAATGCTATTTTCCTTGAGTGAGGTTTGGGGTTAATACCTCATGGCCTACTCATGGAAAATAGTGAGTTTTTTTTTAAGTTCTAAAATTTCTTTGACTAAAATATGGAAGCCTAAAGGGGGCATGCCTCCGAACATTAATTTTAATTTTCCTGTTTCCCTGTAATCAAAAGTAAAGTTCTTTTATGTTATCGGTATAAAATATAACCATTTTATTTTACTTTGTAATAAATCTTTATGGAAATTGTTCCACTCTTTTGCATCAAAATTTACTGAGTTTCTATTTTGACATATATGGAAGCTGGTTTCATAAAACTTGGTTTCCTTGTGAATTTTGATTAATTGATCTTATTATCTATGGAGTAAAATGTTTTTCTTCTAGTGATGAAACTTTTGCAGTTTCTCACTGTGAAAGGCTATTGAGTGGATTGCAGATTTGAGTTTCAATCTTTGAAAAAAAAAAGTAGAAATTAGTGCATTATTACAGGAAGCAGAGTAGACAAAAGTAGGCGTGCATGTCCACTTTAGGCATCCATTCTAAAACGTTTTTTTTTTGTTGTTGTTGTTGTTTTTACCTTTTAAATACTTTATAAGAATCCACAGTAAAGGATCTATTAGATTAACTGTTAATAATGTAGATACAATCTACAAAAAAATACATGAACAACTTTTAAAAAATATGTAAACGTAACATTGTAAACAGTAAATTTCATTATAGTCGATGAACAGGTTACAATTTGATTATCAACTGCAGTCTAGTACAATATAAAGTATCTGTTTTTATAACTATTTTGCATTATCAAAAAAATATTAACATTATGCTTAAATAAAATCTTTATTATTCTAAATTCATTTATTTAATTTGCCTGACAATCTCTACTTCTGATTTTTTGCTAAGTTTCTTTTTAAAACTTCTTCCCCGTAAAGATCAATATTAATCAATAATCAAATTTTAAACTTGACCCACTCATCCTTGACCTGCTCATCATCACGCCTCTTGGCGCGAATATTAAGACTGTCATTTCCCAGTTATAATAAAAACTGATTGATCCTGATTGGCGCCTGAGGGAACATGACATCAGCTCATTCCCACGAAGCCCCGCCCACTTCCAGTTATCAAGAAGAAGATTCCAGACAGAAACATAAACACAAAAACACCCAGAACTATTTCAGCTTTGGCAGATAACTTTGCGCTCTTGCAGGAACCTGTTACTCCGAATAAAAGGTTTTCAGACTCTTAAAGTGAAGGATCTGATTTCATGTGGCACCACAAAAGCAATACAATACAGTCCTTTGATGGATTTGAAGCTGAGTATCACACAAAATTTATCCCACAATAGACTATTGTGAAGTGTTTGTTGTTACAAGCTGTGGAGGAAATTAGACACACCAATGACAACACACTTGAGGGGGGAAAGTTCCTGAAACGGGCTGATCTGTTCTTAGAGAGGCTCTTTTTTTACTATCTGTTCTTCTCTTTTAGATAAAGCTAGAAGCCTCACATAAATTCACAGCTTGTGGAGGATATTTTCTAACACGGTGGAGATCCTCCAGCATCAGGTTAATTACAGCTGGCGGACAAATTGAAGGCACAGAGCCGAGCCAGTTGCAATCGTCTTATCTCCTATCTCGTCCAGGCCAAGATCTCACTCCGCAGTTTGTTCCAATTATCCCTCAGTGGAATAGGAAAAGTGGTTGAAGTAAATTGGCCGGACTGGATGGTTCTCAGATGTGGACCAAAACTGATACAGATGGAAATATAAGAGAGAGGATCGAGGAGAGAGGGGAGGGAGGGAGGGAGGGAAGACGCTTGATTGGAGAGGAGGAAACTTTCCCAGAGAAAGCCATAAAACTGATTGATGACTCCCCTCGAGGAATGTTTCCCCAGGTGTGCTTTTGTGAGTGTGTGAGTCCTCTTTGTGTGTGTTTGTGTCTATTTGTTACAGTAAAGTTAAGCAATGCTATCCTTGGACGCAGGACAAGCTCAATAAAGAAAATTGAGGGGTGAAATGGCACGTTTATGCATCAATACTGCACCCTGGCAGCTTCAACACAAAGACTCAAGAGGTTTCACTGCGCTGAGATTAAGCCAGAGCTGAGCTGGTGCTATCTGATGGATAAAAAAAATAAATAAAGCAAATACTTTGACATTATTCCGACAATAATGATAGGAGAAAATGTTTAAGTGCTTAACAAAAACGCTTCAGGTGGTCCCCGTTTGGTGCTGCCTGCCAAACTTCGCACCCTGCAGCTAAGGCTGTGCTAAGAGACTCAAATAATAATAAAGCAAATACCAGAAGGTGTAATTATAAAAGTCAACATTAAGCTATTAAACGTGACAGAATATGAGCAGATTTCGCAACGCTTGGGCGTCTTTTTTGATGGATTTGCCAAGCTGGAGATGGAACTTTGATTAGGCGATCAAAAATGATTATGATGGAAAATACATCTTTAAATGCAACAAAGGCACTATCTGAAAAATGGAAGAAATACATTTTAAAATCCTGAGAAAGGTTAAATGTAGAGATTTAAAGAGTTAAAGGCACAGTAAGGAGTTTTTAACTGAGAGTTAGACACTGAAACATATGCCTCTTTATGACCTTTGAAAGCTAACAAGACCATTAGTAACGCGTCTGATAATTTCACTGTGGTTTCACTTCATGATTAAAAATGCTTTGAGGGGGTAGATGTTAGATCAGATGATTGACAGCAGGCTAGAAACAACCTTTCTGACCTTTTTAGAGAATTCATTTTCAGCTCCAACATTTGATTTATGGTAAGAATAGAAGCACATAAACTTAAAATCCAAGACAACAACAATTAAAGAGCTTGAATACAGAAAGGAGCACTAAGACAAACATACTGACTTTAAATCGTATGCCTTTAAATCATTAAAAGCAAATAAATAAGCAAATATTGGCGATAAATGACAAAAAACATCAATCTATGGCAAGTGGAACCATTACAGCTGCTGTATTTGCAAAGGGCAATGACTTATGCCCACAGGATGTGTAACTAACGTTTGCAAAATAGTAACTTGTACGCACAAGATCAAAGTTTTCCCCTGAGAGTATTTCAGGTGTCAGGATATGTTCTGTTAATTTAGTTTTTCCCTGTCTTGTGAGTTTTCAGTTGGTGTTTGACCCTGTTTCCCTCATGTTCTCTGTGTTTTATTCTTTAAATCAGTTCTCAGTGTTTCCGGTTTTATTTTGTAGGAGTTGATTTCTTTTGTATCTAGTCTGTAATTACTTCCCTAGTTTTCCCTCCCTCGTTAATCACCCACGAGTTTCACCTGTGTCTCGTCTGCCTCACCTGTTGCTCGTTAACAGTGTGTATATAGTCCCTGTCTTCCCCTCTGTCCTGGTTGGTTCATTGTATGTCAATGTGTGTATGTCTGCGGTTCATTGTGATCCCTGAATGCATGAATCCCTAGTCTCCTTGTGATTTTGTCCCTAGTGTCTTTAGTTGGAAGTTTTAAAGCAATTTTTTGTAGCTTTTCATTTAGTTCTTTTTAAATAACTCCTTTGTTCTGCATTTAGGTCCTTTCCCTTTTGTTGAACCCCGTCATTGTGACACCAGGGGCTACATAGGAAAAACGCCCGGGGGGCAGTTTTAGCTTAAGGAAAACAGTGAGCGAGCCACTGAGATAAAAGTAAATACATTTTTATTTTAATATGACAAATAAGGAAAAGGATGGCAGTATTGTTTGTTTGGGATATTATCAATCTTTCATGGTAGTTTGCATCCGAGAAAAATCAATAAAGAGGAAAATGGTGTTCCTCAAGGATCCTTTCTAGATCCCCTGTACCATTTTGCTTCCATATTACAAATATGACTGTATGTTGATGATACTGTTGTGTGCACATGTACAAAAACTTAAATGCAGCACTATAGCACTGTGGATTGATTAGATCATCAGAAAATTATCATTGACATGCTGTTTAGATTAGCATGCGTCACTTCCTTCATGTGACGTATCCCACAGCAGTGAATACAGGCAGTGTAAAAACCGGCTAAAGAGCTTTGAAAACTCTAGAGAGCCCTGCAGATAACATATTTCCCGTTTAAACTTCTTATTTCAGCACCTAAAACATATCAAATGCTACTGCTTTTTGATTTGAACATGCCTGAAACAATGGTGATTTGTTTACTTGTTTTTAAGCAGAGAAGATGTCTGCGCAACAACTCAAACAGCTCTGACTGAAGGCTTTGGCTCTGAAACCTGGTTGGCAAACAGACCAAAGAGGGAAATTATGATGGTTGCCATGAATTCAGAGTTAGTGTTTTTGTTTTTTCTAACTTTCCCTCACTTTGTCTTCTCAGAGCTGACAGGTGCTGGATTGCGAGCAAAGAAGCCAAGCGGCTTTAAGGGGTGAAGGGTCGAGATAAAAGATCAGAGTGAACTGTCCAGAGTGCTTTACCTTCTGCTTTTAACAGTATCAACATGATTTGTCAGGAGGAAGGAGCAGGTTGGTTACAAATAGGATAAAAACACAGAGATTCTTGCAGGGATTTGGTTGCCTGGAGGTCCAAGAGATAGAGAAGGGATCTTCATTGGAAAATAGGAACCAGCTGTTTGTGCGTAACATGTTTTGTTACTTATCCTCCTTTAAAACTTTTGTGGAGAGGAACTTAAGGATGGAGCCTCTGATTTTTGGTGTTTGGATTTAATTTGCCTCCTCAGTTTTTCTGTAATTATTTTAAACCCTTGAGGTAGATTAAAAAGACTTAAAATGTGCCGTTTTGTGCCAAAAAAGCTTTTAAAAGTTTTTTTTTTTTTAAAAAACCCTCGCTTGTGACTGTTACCTTGTTGTGGTAAGAGAGCTTGCAAACTTCCATGAACCCTAAGAGCTATGCCATTGGGAGGCAACCCCTGGCAGATTTTACCAAATTGGACAGGTCAAAGGTGAGGAGTTGGACAAAACACAGTCAAGCATTTCCTTGTTAAGTGTTAAGTGATTTTCATGCTTATATCACCAACTTTACATGATATTACTGCTGTAATAAGAAGGCGGCCATCTTATAAATGGTTGCCATCGGGAAACTTCAGGCAGCTTGGGGCATTTTCTTGTTAAGTGACTCATGAAGACTATTCATAACAATTTTTATGGCTATATCACCAATTTAACAACTACATCACCTAACCGTTCCACTGAGGTGGCAGCTATCTTGAAAAATGGCAGCCATCTCTAGTCAAGTGACTCATGGAGAATGTTCATGCCAATTTTCATGCTTGTATCACCAACTTCATGGTTCTGGCTAAAATTTGTACTTGGCCGCTGTATTAACCCTCCACTAGTGGTTTTAGACTCAAAGACTAAAGGTCCTTACACACCGGGGCCGACACGAATATAGAGCACGAAATCACAAAATATTTGAAGGCTAATTTTGACGCGCCTGACTATACACATCAAGCCCGATGTGGTCCCATGGCATACGAAACTTTAGAAAATTCGACCATGATACTCTGTTTTGAAGGCAGCTACAAACTCCTCACAGGAGCTTTAATCATTAAAGTTTCGCACAGCTTCAGTAGTATTCAGGTTATTTAATGTAATTTGATTTAATTCCATTTGGCACAGATTTATGTAAAAGTACCAACATATCTCACAGGTGTCTGAACTCCACTTTTATTAAACTCTTAATGCAGAGATTTGTCTTTACCAGCTGCAGTCAGAAATGTTACTGGACCCAAACTGGTTTCCTTTTGCAGATCTGCAAGAAGAAAAAAAACTGTTCAATTTTAGACCCACAGCTATATCGCGATAGACAATAATTTTCACATCACTGATTTATCTTCTATTCACATAATACTGAGTAACGCTCTAGGTAAATACCATGAAAGGTTTGAGATGCTGCACCAGTCTGTCCTTGTTGTGTCTGGCTCCTTAGCGCCCTCCTGTGGTTTGATTCAGCACCGCTGCTGCAGCTCTGACAGACACCATCATCACCGTCAACTGACCTCCATCTGTTAGATACAGAATATCTCAGATTATTGTTATGTCACGTGTTTTTGAGAGTAAAGACAGCTGGATGATAATGAATTTACCTCCCGTTTATATAAGAACAGGCCTTCTTCTCAGGGTCCTTGTTAGAAATGGGCTCTGCTTCCAGATAACACGTTATAAAGATCTACAGGACAACATTGTAGCACATTTTGATGCATCTTCTTAAGAATATTTTATACAAAAGTGTATATAAAAGTGTGTGAAATCAGTGCTAACAGTGCGTCTGTGGTCCTGGTGGAAGAGGAAAGAGTGGAGCTGAATGTGGAGAATTTTGTCCTGGACTCTTGGCAGGAAACGGGAGCTCGATCCGTGCAGCTGTGAGTCTGTGAAACATCTGCAAAGAACAGACACATTTTTATCAGATTTGACCTCTGACCTCTGCATTTATCACATGGCTCATATAGGTTCATTGTATTGTTACAGATGCAGAAAGTCGACTGTTTTCTGTGTCTTTTGATTAATTAGAGGAACTGCTGTCGACGCTAAAGCCTCACCCTTGGTGGTCTATGAAGAGGTATCTGGGGTAGGAGTTCACATCCGGGGATAAGGTCGCCACGCAGCTGTTTACAAACAAGCGAAGAGGGAGATGATGATGATGATGATGATGATCCACAGAGGCTTCAATGTTGACTGTTTCACCCAGGGAGTAAACAGAGGAGTTCCTCTCACTGCTCCAATCATCTGAGGGATAATAAATGAACAGATTTACCTCTTTGACCCAGATTTATTTTGTAAAATTAAGATTGATAGCAAAGCTGTAACTGTATTGATGATTCTTTGTGATTTACAACAAATCTGACAGGTTCCCATCTTCATACTTTTAAACCACAAGCAATTTTAGAGTCAAAACACTGAGATTATTCGACTAGACCCAAACAGACTCACCTGTCATGAGCCTGAGCTGGAAGTCCAGGGTCAATAACTCGTGTTGAGTGGTGATCAGGGGACTCCAGGTGGGTCTCAGGGCCCCGCTGCTCACTGTGTACCTCCTGCAGAGTGGAGGGGGATGAAAACCAGGGAATATGATCTCTGAAGAGAGCATTTCTATGCGCAAAAACACTAAAACAGAATATTATCAGTGAGTTAACATCACAGGTTTTTCCGACAGGTTTAACAGGGATAAATCAGCCAAAATATGGTTGTCAGGATTGTTATTCAGTCCGTCTTTTGCCGATGAATTTGAAATACTTCTCTTAAAAAAAGTGTACTTTATATCCTAAAAGCTGTACACTCAATCATCTACAGATACGAGTTGCAGTATTTGTGTATTTCACATGTATGAATGTACCTTCTGTATTCACACTGAACTGGAACAGCTGCTTCTTGGGCTTCCATCATGCCTCCAGGAGGAGAGTACACCAGCAGGTTAATATACAGCAAAGCACTCGGAGTGAACTGCACAGGAAGCATTATCAGAATTTAACCACTAGGTGGCAGCATTGAGCAGCAATAATCTATTTAACATGTGGTTTCAGCAGGAACACAGAATTGTATGATTTCAAGAGGTTCACTGACCTTCATGTGACTTCCACAGTCATTTAAAGGCGCTTTAATGATGTAATCCCCGTTTTCAGACACTTTGGCTCTGCAGTGATGTTGCACTTCAGGTCCAACAGGTCCAAGTCTGAGGTATTCGGGTTCCACAGGCAGCTCCGGGTGAAACAGATGAGCTTTCATTACAACCTCAACACTGTCCTTGTGACATTTCAACACAAAGGTTTTCTTCAGCTCGTGATTTGCTGAGTGAGAATCTGGGTTGTTTGTCTTTGTCAGGGAGTTTGCTTCAAGAGCAGCCAAATCGGTGAAAGACAGGAAGAGGGGTTTGGTTTGGTATGTGTAACACAGAGACGACTCTATTAGACGAAGTGAAAAGAAGAAAACGGAGATGAGAAACATTTTGCTCCTGAAAATGTGGCTGTGGACAGAAACACACCTGAAACTAATCACTTGTAATCAGTGACCTGCTGAAAAAAACAGCAAAAAAAGGAGCAGAAAAGACTAAAATTAGTACAAAAGGTGTTTTATTCACAATGGAAAAAATGTACATATTGCATTTTGAGGAGAAGTGTTGGGTAAAAATACTGATATGTACCATATAATGCTGAAAGGTATAACAGCTGTTGGAAAAGGCCTCAGATATGAACTGTAAAGACTCTGAGCCACAATCCAAATAGTGTTTAAAAAAAGTGCCACAGAGGACTTTAATACAAAATAACAGGAGAAGTTAAAAACATTCAAACTCCTGATGTAAACTCTGATCCATTATTTGTTAGTGACAGCGAAAAAGTGTCACGTCCAGCTAAAAGCTGAAACCGAGGTCACTGGATTGTCTTCTGATTGTCTGTTCTTGAAAATGGTTTTCCTTAAAGTTCTCCACCATCATGTGTCTTCTTCCCCTCTTCCTCTTTTGCTTCCTCTTTGGCAGCTTCTTTGTTTCCCACGTCTCCTTTCAACAACTCATTCATACATTCTGGTGGACAGAGGAGGAAAAGTAGTGCAGTTTAGACTTCATACAACTGTTTTTTAAATCTTACTTTACATTGTTGCCCTGGGTAAATAATATCACAGAGAAACTTAAAGGGATATTCTGGCGTTAAATTAAGTTAGGGTCAAACACACTGTAACACCAAGTTAGACACCCCTTCAAGAAATGTTGTTGTTGGTGCTTTTGGTGGAAAAGCACTTTCCAGTTCCACTCTTAAGTGAACTGGTTAATCTACCTTGCTCTGAGGCCTTGAGGACATGATCTTGACAGAGGAAGTTCTCCAGCCTCTGGTCCTGATGATGGAAGTACCAGTCCTCCACGACCTCCTCGTACTCCTCCAGCATCGTCTCACACTGAAGAGTACACACATAGATACACTCACCAAGTTTTATAAATTGATTTACATACAACTTTATAAATTCAAACTACTCTTGTGATTGTTTGAAACATGATAAACTGGCATACAAACACCCTCCTACCTGCTTTTTCATGTCTGTAACCTCCACAGAAGGTTCATCCCACAGCTCATACGGCAGACCCAAGTCCACTTTGACCCCTTTGTGGACCAGATTCTTCAGAGTCGACATGGTCTGACTGGTTCCCTGTGACAATATTTACAGATGACTTACAGGAGGAAATTTTCAAGGGTTGAGCACGGATTTTTGGAGTTCTGAAGGCGCCCCTTTGAGCGATTAGATCACGTTTGTTTTTCCCGTGAGGAATAGTAAACCTTCACACACCTATTCATGAGAATACAGGCAGGTGAGCTTTACCTTGGCATATCTGAGACTTCCAGGCCTCTCTGCATGAACATTATACTGCAGGATGCCTTCACATATATTATCGATCGCCTCTGTCAGCCGAGTTTCTCTGCAAACACAATACAGATGCATTATCATCACTTTCTTTGCAGTAAAAGAAAACTTACCTCATCAAAACAGCTGATCAGATTACTTGGGGGAGTTTTTGTTTATTTTGATTCAGCTTAGTGTTGTCATTCATGAACGATTCATTCAAAAGAACCGAATCTTTTAAGTGAACGTATTGAAGCGAATCACTTCCTCGGGTGATTCGCTCGTTTCTTACTTCAGTTGAACTGAAGTGAGAAACAGCATTGCCAGTTGAGCAGCTGGCGAACAAGGGACCGCGTGAACCGACACCTGAATCACTTGGTAAACGAATCATACATTGAACTACACTCTCTGGGATCATTTTTATCAGACAAAACTACCAAACTAATCCTGAAACATTCAGCTGTGTATCAGTTCAGTAGGTCGGAGTCGAAGGCTTCTCCCGCCAAGCGCTACATGATTCAGTGATTTGGTGAACTAAACTTTTGAACGAATCTTTTCAGTGAACCGATTCTAGTGATTCAGTACATCTAAAACAACTGCCGTGCCCATCACTAGTTCATCTTCTGCTTCATATCGATTTCCCAGAATGCACTTACGAGGTGTTATACTTGATCTTTCTTCTTCTCTTGCCTGTATCCAGCACTTCTCCCACCTCCAACACTTCTTTGGATCGACCTGTTTTCTCCAGAGCATCCTGCAGCTCCACCGTCAAGAACTTACACACTGAAAAAAAGGTAAAAACTCATAAAAAAACCATATCTCTGCGTTTAAATATAAATATCAGAGAGCTAAAGCAGAAGCTCGAGGTCTAAGATGCATGTAAACAAACGCCGTACAGCTGTTTCTAACCAATCAGATTCCTTAAACTAGCTTCTGCTCCGTCTTCGTCCTACCTTCGCATTTATTCGGCAGCCTCTCGTCGTTCTGTCCTCTGACAAACTCGCAGAGAAAAATTAAAGCCAGGATGAAAAGTTTCATGGTGAGAGTTTGCTCTTAAACCCGAGGGGAAAGTTAAAATTTCATGTCAAAGAAGCCACATCGGCATTTTTGGAGCCGAGCTGTGACTGCGCATGCGTGGTGTGGACTGACAGACTAGAGTAGTGGATGCCCGATGGCTAGATTTCAAAGAGGATGGTCGAGAGATGAAAATGGCATCCTGAAGGCCTCAGTGCTCCTGAATTTAACAACATAAAGTACCGACAAAATGAGCTTTTAAGACAATAAATAGCAAAGAAAGTTAAGTACTGTCAATGTTACAGACACCACGAAGAAATATATGAGCTGTTTGGTTGTTTCTGTGTTGAAATGCATATCAGGGAGAGTGGGGTAAGTTGAGCCAAAGGGTAAGTTTAAGTCGCTCCCTGTTGTTTGGAAATGGTAAAAGAAATTGATCATGTGACCAAATATTAAGAAGATGGGCATCAATTCATGGAGTCTGTGAAGGTAAGAAGCACATGGGTGAAGAGGTTAGACATTTATTTAAAAAAAAAAAAAATCGAAAAAGTGAATTTAGTCTGTTATAAGTTTTATTAGAATTGTGTTTATACCAAAAAAGATCATTTTAAATTTGTTTTATACATCAGTTGTGGTATCTATGGGCTACAAATGTCAAAAACCTAACATAAAAGTCCACCATTTTAGCTTAGAGGATGAATAAAGTCATAATAGTAGTTCTGGGGTAAGTTAAATCATTTGACTCAACTGAAAAAGTAAAGGAGTCTGATGAGAGGATCAGAGTTTCAGTTCAGATTGTTAATGTTTTTACTTTTTCTTTTCAAAAATGCAGCTGTGAATGTTCGGAATCACTTAAAGACATTCTCATGTTAAAATGACTTTTTTACAGAACAGATTTAAGCAGTTATTTGCAATAATAATAAAGATAATTATTGTACCAGTTGAATAGTGTATAGTAGATAAAAATACACATGAATGTGAAGAAGTGACTGTTATTTAGGGAGAGAGAAGGTGAGGGAGGGCTGGGGTGGAGAGTGGGGGGGTAGTAGGGATACGGCTCAACTTACCCCGCTCCTATGATCAACTTACCCCATACACGGGGTAAGTTGACCATAGGACACCACTTTTTTTGGCATGCTATATTTTCAAGAGAGTTATGTTTACACTCATTCTGTTGGTTTGCAGGGATGCACAACATCTTGAAATATATGCAGATACACTAAGTCTAAAAATTAACAATTCCATCCCCATCAACAAAATCATCATGACAAATTCCCAAATTGTTTATTTCATCACTTACTTTATTAACATGTTTTCTCATCAGCAGTCCTATTTATACCCTAATGTTTTTCTTAGACTCACTTTTAAATTTATCACCAACTAAATATTCATTGTTGTAACCACAACAACCATTAATAGAGCCAAACAGCCCAGTTAATCACCATCAAGCTCAGGACTGATCCCACAGCAATGACGGATAATTATCTCGATATTTGGCAGTGAGGCGGTTAAAATAGAAGCTGCTTGCTTGCCTCTTGGTTTCTCGGGTGTCAGGGGCAACACACGACGGCAACAGATACTCCAGGAGAAGATCCAGAGGAGAGGAGACCATGGAGGGAAAAGCTGAAGAAATCAAGGGGGACCATGTGAACACGAGGAAAGAGGAGAGAAAAAGGAGTGAGACATGAGAGGGAATGTGCTCAGATACCAAAGAGGAGATCTCAAGCAGTAAGTGACAAACATGCACTCACATGGACTCACACACACTCTCAAAAACACTCTTGCTTATGCCGTCCAGTTTGTGTGTGTGAAACCGGAGTATCTGTAGTATTTTACAGCTCTAATTATGTGTTATGTCACTTACAGAGGAGACCGTCTGTCTATTGTCTGTGCTGAGGGAGATCACATTACACTGCAGTGTCACCATGATCCTATGTGTTCCAGCTGTATGCTCACACACACACACATACACACACAAACATAGACACACACACAGATGGTACATTAGAGATGGTGTCTGAGAGCTTGCCGCTCTCCCATCGAGCTCCCGCATCAGTTTTCATGTTGGGGTTTAAAATTTCCCAACAACATCATTTCATTTTTCCTCCTTCAGAATGATCCCGACACTTCCCACCTGTGTGGACAGCAGAAGAAGAAGAAGAAGTAGAGGACGAGAGCGTTTGTCGGCTTTTAACAGCTGATTCAAGGACAAAGAGGAGGGACAAATGCTGCCAATTTGTCAAAACAGAGCGCGCATGGTTGTCACTTGAAAATGTGGACTCCTAAATGACCAAAGGAGGACTACAAAAGAGGTCCTGGATCCGCAGAGAGAAGTTTAAAACCAGGAAAACAAGAGGACAAACTTCTGCTCTGACTTTAAAGGTAAGAATAAAAGACTGAAAGATTACGTTAAACACACATTTTGGTATGTTTTTATTGTAAGATTCATTATATTTCACTCTGTGGTAAAAATGTAGTCTTAAAGGCAGCACTGTAATCACAGGACTGTAACAAGTTATCCTTTAAACTGTTTACAGCTCTTTTAATACGTACACAAACACCTGATGATAAAAGGTATGAAAGTGAAATGTTTCCAGAAAATAGGCTTGTATATATCTTGAATTATGACTCCTTTATTTACACATTTATCAAGACAAATATATTTAAAGATACCTGCTTAATTTCACTTTTAAGAAACTGGTTATTGTAACACTGTTATTATGATACTGTGGAGTCAACTGTGTGTAAAAATGAGCTTGAATTGGATTCATGCTTTGGCGTTAATGGAAAAGTCGTCCTCTTCTCACCCTGGATGGTACAACCGCTCTGAGTTGCTCTTTGTTTGTGCGACATGTTTACATAAGAACCGTTCCATTAAAGCTCCCGTGAGGAACTTTTGATTTGTGTCAACTTTGGCGCCCCTTGTGGACAAAAGTAATATATAAACGAAATTATTATGAACTATTAAATTATTATAAACATTATAAACGAAAATATAGGTATCAAAGTTCTGGATGTTTAAACTAAACCTGAGATGCTAGGTCAGGTTTAAATTAATCACACGACTCGCCAAAGTTTAAGTTTAATATTATCCAAAAAAAAGTTAATGATAAAAGTGGTTTTTGCAGTTTTTAAAAAGAAAAAGGTTTTGTTTTTATACATTCAGTCCATAATGGATTTTTAATGAGTGTTTTTCAATCTGATACCAGTAAATCAAAACCTCGCTGATAATTGATCACACTGACCTGTGCGGCATCTGCAAACGCGAGCACCTGCAGAGCATGGCCCCGAGATGACCCCGCACACACACACACATTCACACGCACACATATTCACGTGCACACGCATTCACATCTACACTCATTGAACCTGGGAAGCTCAAACTGAAACAGAGAAGTCACACTGCTTCATGCACGTACACACACACACACCCACACGCACACACACACGCTGCTTACTCAGAGAACCCAGCAGGTCATATCACTGATGACTCAGAGGGTACCATTACCTCACACACACACATTAACACCCACGCACACACACACACAGATCTGATAAGTCGAAATGTAACTCTTGAAGGCATCTTATTTACAACCATGAGGCCAAATGGGCAATAAAACAGTAAAAATAAGAAAATTATCGCCTAAAATCAAAACAAAAATCAACAATTCTGAATATATTTTAACTGGACTTGAACTTAAAATAGTCAAAATGTAAAAAAAATTGTGAAATTAAGGCTAAGTATATATCAGTTTTGATATAAGGGGGGTATAACTGCAAATTAGGTACTTGAAAATACTACAACCCCAGCTCTAAAAAAGTCAAGAAGCTGCGTAAAATGGTAATAAAAACAGATTTTGATGGTTTACAAAAAAAAATAATAATAGGGATAAAGCTGAAAAACAATTATAGGGACTATCCTGCCCTCCTGGAGTCACTCGTGCATGGGAGTGGGAGACTGTTTTTGAGTTCTCTTACAAACAATTGTCCACACGATGATACATGTTCGGGTGATGTTCCCATTTAATGATCGCCAGCTCACACCAAAACAAAAGGATTAAACTGATGCAAAAGAACTGAAAATGTGACGAGGTGATGCTGCTGGAAAAGCTTCCACCCCGTGCGTCACCTGGTTACCTTCCCCCTGTGCCTGTAGAGAAAACGCTGCACTGCCACCAGTGGAGACCTGACATAACCCATGATGGACAAACAAACAGATGTGGCTCCTATACCAACACTGAATGGTGTATTCATCAGGACATGACTTTACAGTAAAAATCACTGCACGGGCATAAATTCACTTCTAAAAACCATGGGGGAGGTTGGAAACCAGAAAATGTTCGTATTATACAAACAAATAGTACAGAGCTGTTAAAGGGACTTGTGTTTCTAGCGTTTGACGTACATCCTGTTAGCCTCTTGAGAAGATGATCTGGTTATAATCAACCTAAAGGAGGCATGTCGTCTCCTACCATAGTGAAGGTGGACAAGCTTTTGTCTGTAAAGCAGTTCTTGTCCAATGTTTGTTAAATCTCTAAATCAAACTTTGACTGTAGCTCAACTTCACTGTGGATGTAAACATACCGAATTAGCCAAAAACTACCTTTTTCATCAAACCAACTAAAGATTTAACAATTTGGAAAACATCCAGTCTGAAAGATCGGGAATTTTATTAGTTCATTTTTATATAGTACTTCTTATGAGGTTCCTTTTCAACAATTGCTAATGTTAACATATAAAAATAATGATATTATTTCCATCAAAATGAATCCTCCTGTAACTGAGTGTCTGTCTCTCAGTGAGTGATGTTAATTTCCCACATTATCTCCCCTCCAGACACGATGCCTGAACGAGTGCGCAGTTTTCAGGGTCAGAGCTTCCACAAGCTGAGGCGAGCCTGCCTGCGCCGAGGCGCTCTCTTCAAGGACCCTCTCTTCCCCGCCGCCGCCCAGTCCCTCTTCTATAAGAGGGAACCCCCGCCGGGTCTGACCTGGAAGAGGCCCAGGGTGAGTCTGCTCAAGGGTTTAGTCTTATTTTTACACATTCTCCCTGCAAACCACTACAAAGTCATCTCACGCTTATATTTCTAGTCTGCTGTCGTCTACTTTAGTGACCTGGCTGGGTTTGTTGAATTTCCATCAGGTTGTGGTAATTAAAGCTCTTTCTATTAAGAGCGAGGCGTCAGGCTGTGAAATCGGAGCCTTTAGAGAGCGGGCGGCGCGTGCTGCCGATGGACCGCTCTATAAGAGTGTGTGTATATAGTAAAAAAACAGCTGCCAGAGTGTTTTTAGACCTAGTGTTGAAGTGTGTGTATCTGTGTGCGAGAATAAACAGTTATTACAGCCGCAGCAAACAAAGTATCGGATAATGGTGCCAGTGAAAACCAAGGTTAAAGTCAAGGCCGGGTTATTTATTATCTAGTTTCTAGGCGTGTTTGAAAACTTCTCATTCACTGTCGTTCATGTATACAGGCGGGTGTTTTTTTTTATAGTAAAGAATAAAACTTTATTTAAACAAAAAGGCAAAAACTGAATCAAACTGACTGAAGGAGGTGTTAAAAGTGCTAATATCTTTTCTCACAGAGATGCACCAATCCATTTTTGTCCAATCCGATACCTGGGCTGTGCGTATCGGCCGATATCCGATGCCGATCCAATATTACTGTAGCGACTGCTTTCCTTCAACAAAAAGGCTGCTGGGGTTTAGGTTCGGTTGCTTCTGTGACTCGTTCAATTATCAGTCCAGTTTGAGTTTATTGTTCAAAAAAAGAAAAGAAAACACGCTGATCCAGCTCCAAAACTTTTGCCTTTGACTGAAAAAGTGATGAAATGAGGTTAAAGATGAGATGAAATAAGGTTGAATAAGATGAAATGAAGTTAAAAGTGATGGTTAAAATGAGGTTAAAATGAGGTTAAAATGGTTTTAAAATGGTTTAAAATGGTTTCAAAAATGTTTTTAAAATGTTTTTAAAAATGGCTTAAAATGGTTTTAAAATGGTTTTAAAATTTAAAAATGGTTAAAATGAGGTTACAATGGTTTTTAAATGGTTTAAAATGGTTTCAAAAATGGTTTTAAAATTTTAAAATGGTTAAAATGAGGTTAAAAGTGATGAAATGAGGTTAAAGCAGGATGAATGAAACGGTGAAAAACTATGAAAAATGGTCACCGGAAAATTATCAGTTGACCACGACCATTGTCCGACTACACCTGTGAGATTTACATAATCCACCAAAATCCCAAAACCACACCCCTCAGTGACGATCCGCAGAAGTGATGTACCTTTTAAAAATCATATTTTCAACAAATATATTTTGGCTCCTACAATTACTGTTGAATGAATGAAATGTATACCTTGCCCTGTTAGTGAGGGCATCAGGCTTGGTGTTAGCCTTGTTAAAAAAAAGGTAACAAATTTACACAGATATAAATTTACTTAATATTATTTATCAACAAATAATCACATTTATTTTTGTTTTTAAATCAGAAACGTTTCCTTCAAAGTTCATTCGGTTTATAGGTCAAACTCCCAGACTCTTCATCTGAGAACTTCGAGAAGAGAAAGGGTTAATGATATTGTGTTACTAATGAGTTACTCAAGCATTTAAAGTGTGTATCAACAGGGAATCGGGTGATAGAGTGACACACAAACACACACACAGAAACAACATCCACTCGCTTTAACACGTCCCTTTTAATGTCCGTGAGGCTTTTTTCTTCTTCTTCATGAGCTCGGTACGATCACACGAAAGGGTCACATCAGGGTCTACGGTTGCATTTAATGAGGTTATGGGTATTCCCCTCGGTGCGTGTGTCCAGCAGCACTTCTTGTGTTACCTGACCCTGTCCAAACTGAGATCAACAGGTCCTCACGCAGGATCTGTCTCCTCAGCAGAGCTCCGACACCCTGAATCAGCTCGGAGGACTCATAAAACACACGGTGACACCGATGACTGCTGCGGTCGTTAATCAGAGGTTATTTAAAGACGCTTTACAATCAATATTTACTCTGAGGGGCGCCGTAGAGTCTTTAAAAATCTGTCTTTTCAAGCCTTTTGTGGACTTTAAAGTTTCAACATTTGGTGTAATTCAAGTAATTTGAAACAGACGCATATTTTAAAGATCATGTAAGCGTTTTTCGGCTCATTGTTTTGGTTTGTAGCCTCATCTCTAAATCAGCTGTTTGTACCTTTTAAAAGCACTGTTCGAAACAACCTCATCATGTGACGTTTAATCTGTTTCCAGGAGATCTGTAAGGACCCCCGTCTGTTCGTTGACGGTATCAGCACTCGTGACCTGCACCAAGGCAGTCTGGGTAACTGCTGGATGGTTGCTGCCATCTCCTGTTTAGCATCTGAGCCATCTCTGTGGAAGAAGGTGTTGTATTCCTGATCTGTTCCCTCTCTTCTCGTCTTTCTTGTCCCTCTTTTCTGACTTGATCTCACTCCTCTTTAACTTCCAGGTGATCCCAGACCACGTGGATCAGGAGTGGAACCCCAAAAACCCAAACCAGTACGCGGGAATCTTTCATTTCCGGTTCTGGCGACTTGGATGTTGGGTGGATGTCGTTGTGGATGATCGTTTACCGGTTAGCGGGGATGGAGTTCTGCTTTTTTGCCGCTCTGCTACACCGCGGGAGTTTTGGAGCGCTTTGTTGGAGAAGGCCTACGCCAAGTGAGCCACCTCAGAAAGTTCTGATCCATGTGATCACACTGGTAGATTTTGTACCTAGCCTTGTTTGTCTTTTAGGCTGAACGGCTGCTATGAGGCCCTGGAGGGAGGAAACACTGCAGAGGCTCTGATTGACTTCACCGGAGGGGTTTCAGAGCCCCTCAGTCTGGATCGAGAGGCTCTCAGAGTGCACAGCGAGCACAGGAGGGCGTTCTTCCAGACTCTGGCGGACGCCCACGAACACAAAGCCCTCATCACCTGCTATATTCGAGTAAGTTTAAAAACGACTGATATGTGTTTTAGATTAAAAACTGGTGCCTGAGTTCAGTGTGTGTTCATTGTTCATTCTCAGCCAGCAGAGGGGGAGACGGTGGAGTCGGTGCTGGACTGCGGTCTGGTCCGAGGACACGCCTACGGGATCACCGCAGTGAGGAAGCTGAGGTTGGCAGAGACGAAAACCAGCGGGATGCCTCGGCTCTTCATGGTGCGCATGAGGAACCCATGGGGGACCACGGACTGGACGGGCGCCTGGAGTCAGGGGTGAGGGTCTCTCCTCTTCATTTACCACATGTGTGACTGCTCAGTCCATTTAAGGTTTGCAGGAGCTGTGGGAGCAAAACCACCACTGACATCACTTCTGCATTATTTTAAAAATCATTTCTAAAGATTTTACGGCAGTGTTGGATTTTTTTATGAGATGACATCTGCTGTTTGGATTTAAGAGTCATGAGAAACTGTAAAAATGGACAAAATGGACCTACAAAGATTTCTCGGGGTTCAAACATGACTTCAGTTTTTATATGACATTTCCATTATGTTGGAGTTAGTAATGATTTCCTGGACTTGGTTGTTCAGAAGCTTAAATGTGGACGTGACACTTTTTCCTATCTACAGTTTGATCAGGTTAATATGGCAACTGTTTTATATTTAGTTTTAGTCTTTGGACTAAAATACCTTTTAGTTTTAGTCACATGAGTCATTTTCTCCTGAAACAGTTTTAGTTCATGATGTTGCCGTCAATTAAAAAATATATTTTTTTTTTTTTTTTTAACACATCATTATTGGTTTTTGTATTTATAGAACAACAACCAATAAATTAAACATATGTCAGTAAATAAAATAAAATGAAAATATAATTAATACAGAAGAGGTAAATAAATAAATAAAAGAAATCATTAAAAAAACTAATTGAACCAACAAATAAGTCAACAAATTACTGAGTAATAAATTATATAGATTGATTAAAATAATAATAATCATCATAGAAAATAATAGCAATAACAACAATTATCTATTAATAATAATAATAATAATATAATAATATTTTTTTTCTTTCTTTATTTTTTTTAGATATATGTTTATTAAATTTTTCCAGAAAATAAAGGGACGGATGATGGAAAAAACAAACAAACAGACAAAAAAAAAACATAATTTGGCTCATACACACACACATTATGTTCAAATTTATACTGGCGAGAACTAAAATAAAAGTTAAATAAATTATTAAAAAGATAAATTGAACCAACAAATTACTGAGCAATAAATTTTACATAAATTAAAAAAATAATTATCATCATCAAAAATAATAGCAATAACAACAATTCCAATAACAGTAATAATAATAAAATCCTTTTTTATTTTATTTATTCATTTTTGGATATATATTTATTAACTTTTTCCAGAAACAAAAAAAACAAACAAACAAACAAAAAACATGATTAAAAAAAATTTAAATTAAAAAAAAGACAAACATTTGGCTCACACACACATATTATGTTCAAATATTATACAGGCAAGATTCAGGAGTCATCTTATACAAATAAAATAGGTGAGTAAAAAAAAAGTAAAATAAATCAAGTGCGCATTACAGTGCCTAATAGGTTCATATATTCTAAGAGTTTTTCTGTTGTTTAAACCCAGAGTAGTGATGCACTTTTTAAAACACTTCTGGGTTCCTTACTTAGTTGGATGATTAAATTTAAATTAAAAACATTGTTGTTTAGTTTAAAAGTTTTGTCACATTTTACTCCTGTAGTCCAGAGTGAATCTAACCCTCTGATTTTACCCCGAATGTTTGGATCAAAAAAGACTCAAAAGCTTCAGATGACACAAACAGAAAATGGATTTCCAAATTTGTAAACCTCTTTTCTCTGTAGAGCAACCATTTTTTTATTTATCAGATGACCTTTCAAGAACAGGTACAGCCACTTTTATAATATTACTGTCTTTGTGTTCTCCTGCAGGTCGCAGCAGTGGCAGCAGATGAGTCGAGGAGAAAGGGAGAAAATGGGCCTCATTGTGAGAGACGTCGGCGAGTTCTGGTAGACGTCAAACCTTATCAACATCTCTCCTATTTCTAATTCTTGTTAGTTTATGGTTTCCACAGACCGCCTATGTAGTGGCTTCTTGTTTTACTGGTGTAAACATGCAAAACTAAATTAAAAAAACACATTTTAGTAGAATCAAAAGCTGATGTTTTGAGTGTTTTTTTGGCTCATTTTTCTCCTCTGCTGCTCCTCAGGATGGATTTCGAGGATTTCTGCCACTACTTCACCGATGTAGTCGTGTGTCGCCTCGTGGAGAGGACGCTGCTGTGGCCGAGCTGTCACTGGAGAGAAGTGCGCCTCTACGGAGAGTGGGCTCCTGCCCCCGCCTCCTTAGAAACACCCCCACCTGCCGTCCTCTGCAACAGCCACCCGTTAGGGAGGAGCAACGCCAAATCTGGAGGGACCAAACAACGAGGAAACAAGAAGGAGGCCAGACTCGGGGAGAGTCAGCAGCACAGAGGGAGAGGAGAGAGACGAGACAAGGCTGTGAGGAAAGTGAGGGAGGAGGAGGAGGGAGGGGAGGCAGGAGGGTGGGAGGCACAGATGGATAAGAGGAGTCGATGTGGAGGGTGTATCAACCACAGGGACACTTTCCTCCACAACCCACAGGTACCAACACTTTCACAAGAAAAAACACATTATATTTAATAAAGTGTTTAATCTTTGATATGATTTCTTCTTTCTGCAGTTCATGTTTGAGGTGAGAGGGAAAGAGGAGGAGGTGCTGATCTGTCTGCAGCAGGAGGACAGAAGGATACAGAGAAAGGAAGGAGGAGGAGAAAACCTGCCGATAGGGTTTGAGGTGCTAAAGGTGAGGCGTTCAAATGTATCAGTTTACACAAAAATGAAATAAAAATAAAAATACATCTGGTAATTCCTTTTTTTTTTGTTCTGTTGTGGTTCAGGTGGAGGTAAACCGCTGCAGCCGGGTCCAGGTTGTGTTGGAGCAGGCGGCCAGCTCGGTCTACATGGACTCCCGCAGTGTGACTCTGAGGGGGACTCTGTCTCCTGGTCGCTACGTCGTGCTGCCGACCACCTTCCTGCCTGGAGCCGCCGGACGCTTCCTGCTGCGCCTTTTCTCCCACTCTTACATCCAACTCAGGTGTGTGACTATGAGCACCAGTACGACAATTTTAATACACTCAGGAATTATTTTACATTTGTCTTTTTTATGTGCAGGGAACTGAAGGAGGATTTACCTCCTCCATCCTTCTTTACCTGCTTTCTACCACAACCATCTGCAGTGACCACGGTCCACCTCCGCAGGGCGACGGGACTCGACTCTCCCAAACTGACAGGTGAGCAAACACAACAACAACAACAAATAAGAGAGCTTTAACTTGTTTTTCCTTTAACCCCTCATGTGTTGTGTTTTGTGCACCACAGCTCCAGACGTCTACGCTGTCGTCCGCTGTGAGAACGACTCCATACGGACCCGCGTGTTCAAAGCCGAAGGAAACCCAGAGTTCAACCTCCGAGCCATTTTCTACAGGAGACGTCCAAACTCACACATCACCATCGAGGTTTGACACGCTCATAAACTCTCCTACACACGTTCATGAAGCACACAGTGTGTTTAAGTGTGTGTGTTGTCGTGTGCAGTTGTGGTGTAGAGGTCTGCTGTGGGACTCGGTGCTCGGAGCAGCTCGGCTCAGGACGGCAGAGTCTGAGAGGAGTCAGAGCCACGTGATCGACCTACGAGGCAGCCAATCCCGTTCGGGATACAGAGGGAGCGTTTATGTGGAGACGTCCTCCAGTGCGTGTCTCACGGACTTGTGAAAGAATGGTGCGGTTGCCTCGGTAACGGCATCGAGCCAACAGCTGTAACCCAGGTGCTTGTTAAGATGATGCTGGACAAACATCCTCTCAGGGCAGTGATCACGAGGAGTGAACGCAGTTTGGTGCTCTGTGGTGATCTGCTGGTCAGACACACAGGCGGACATCTTGGAAAAAAAGGAAGAAACAGTCGCCAAATGAGAGTTTATGTTTGTTTCTATATGAATTATTTATTTCAGTTCTGTTTTCTTATGCTGCGTTTTGGGTTACCGCGAAAGTCAGAAGTCCGAGCTGGGAATGAAGGCACACCCAAGTTACCAGCGTTTCAGTTACCAAAATCAGAGGCGGAAACAAGATGGCTACATCTATGAAAGTTATTTTAGCGCTTGCCTTGTCTGAAGAAAAGCTTGTTTCCACCTCCCATCTTGCTTTTTTCCGACTTGGCGCTGGTAACTCGGGTGTGACGTCACTCCCAGCTCGAACATCTGACTTCCGAGGTAACTTGAACGCAGCATTATTATCCTTTTGTTGATAACTTGTTCATTCAAATTGTGATTTTTTTATTATTCATGTTTCGAGTCTGAATGTAACGTAATTTTTAATCGTGTTTTCTTAGACTTCATTATGTAATATTGTTTTTTATTGTAACAAGGTAAATATTTATTAAAGCTAAAATATTTCAAAATTGGTTTCCTCATTAAATATCCACTATAAATGACACTTTTCACTGTTAAAAGTCAGCAGGATGAGACTGTCAGATGATACATTTTTGACACAAACTGAAAGTTCCTTACAGGAGCTTTAAATAGATGTTCAGACTTATGTCATGTCACTGTCACAAGCTGCAGCCACAGCACGTGTCTTGACCTTTGTTCCAGCTCAAACCACCAAAGAAAGAAAACGGCTCACTCGACCATTATCTCTTCTCATTTGAAAGTATTTGTTTATCAGTCGTCGAGCCTGTTGCACCTGACTGCAGCCTCTTTAACTGAGAGGTGGTTGGCTCTGCGTTACTCCAAGTCAAGTTAATAACCTTGACTCAACGCCTCTAGTACTGTTCAAACTCAGAGATTAGACCTCCTATCTTCATAGACACCCAATCAAACTCTAAACTATTCAAATTTGATGAGTGTGAAAAACCTCATCGGTTCACATCCTTTTAGTCGTTTGACAATATGATCTACATATGTGACAGCAGTGACAGTCAAGTGGGATTTTCTGGTACCAGTTGTATAGTGTATAATAGATAAAAATACACATGAATGTGAAGAAGTGACTGTTATTTAGGGAGAGAGAGTGCTGAGGGAGGGCTGGGGTGGAGAGTGAGGGGGTGGTAGGGATACAGCTCAACTTAACCCGCTCCTATGGTCAACTTACCCCATGGGGTAAGTTGACCATAGGAGACCACTTTTTTTGGCATGCTATATTTTTAAGAGAGTTATGTTTACACACATTCTGTTGGTTTCATCTTGAAATATATGCAGATACACTAGTTAGAGACAAAACTGTGATTGCCTAAATATGAAAAATGGCTCATCTTACCCCACTCTCCCCTACAAGCACTACACGGAGAAATCAAAGTTTGTACATAAGTAGGTGAAAAAATGTCATTTTTATTACATTATTTTCATATTTAAAGACTAAATGTTCCTCGTAGTAATGCTTCTGTGGTTATGTTAAAACATGAAGTTTCACAGAGTAGTTTTGATGCTTTGACGCTGCATGTCTGCCACCTACAACGCCCCGTCTGCGCATGCGCGTCCTCTAGAGGCGGAGGTTCAGTCAATAACTGTCAGCAGCTCAGAGAGTTTCAGCAGCAGAGACGAGGAAGAGTGACTAAAGGTAAGAGAGGGGGCTTCACAAGACTGATAAGGACTTTTTAGACATCATATTTCCTAACTCTGCTGCAGTCTTTTGGTGTTTTATTCGTTTAAGAGTCAAACTGTCAGCAGATGTTAACTTTACGTTGGTGCGTCAGCGGGGCGGGGCTCCGAGTCTTTTGACAACTTTGGCGAAGCTGCGATATAAAGTGATCGATAATGTTTTCAAGCTTGTGATAAAAGTGAGTTTCAAGTGCGTTTTAAGTTTGTTTTCTCTTTTGGAACTGCTTTCACTTTTGTATTCCCGATAGAAAGTGTTAAAAATCGATTTCTATTCACCTGTCAGGTAAACGAAAATCACGTCAGCGTTCAAAAAAATGTTTTTTTCTTCCAATAATCTCTTTAATTTAATCTCTTTATGTCTGTCTCTGCCCTGTCATTGTGTACTTTGAGGCTGTTGTGCACATGTTGTCTCTTGACGGTGGTGTACCTGTTGAATTGGTCAAACTGGCTCTGATGGGAATGCAGCCAAACCTCTTTGGAATGACTGACTGATAGAGTTTCAATTCTTCACACAGAAATATAAAAGCAGGATCTGTCTGTTTGTGTGTCTGTGCATGTTTGTGTGAAAAATAACTGTGTCGCAACCACCTGATGACATTTTCTTATGCCTGTGTGTAAATGCAAATTAGTTCAGGGTGGGATGATTCAATCAGTTTGGTGAGCAGTAACGCGCATGTGCGGAAAAGTCAAACCCTTATGCCTTTTATTATTACCTTTTATTGTTTATGAGGAAGTCTGGACGACACAGTTATGAAGCCTGATTTTGTAAGAAGGAGGCATGTCCAAACTCTACATCAGTGTTGTTTTCCTTTTTTACCATGACGAAGGCGTGACGTTGACGAGCTAAACATAAGTCTTAGATTATTAAAATGTGACGAGACGAATGTGCGTTTACGTTGACGAGACTAGACGAAAACGTTAGTGGTGGATGACGAACAGAGTTGCGAAATTTATGAGCATTTCGTCAGTAAAATGCTATATTCTGCAGTGTTGTTTTCGTTGACGATGACGTTGACGAAAATATTTGATGAAAATATTTCATCAACGCCCCTTTTTTTTCCCACGACGAAGACGTGACGTAGACTAGCTAAACATAAGTCCTAGATGACTAAAATGTGACGAGACGAATGTGCGTTTATGTTGACGAGACGAGACCAGACTAAAACGTTAGTGGTGGACGACGAACAAAGTTGCAAAATTCATGAGCATTTCATCAGTCAAACGTTAAACATATTCTGCAGTGTTGTTTTCGTTGACGATGACGATGAAATATTTTCATCAACGTCAACGAAAAACAACACTGCATTACATATACTGTCGGTCCATTCGATATCACACAAAAGTTGCAAAAATAGCCAATGTACAAGCTCACTGGGCTGCCACTTGCCCATGTATGGTCTAGACCAAGCTAGCTAGCTTGGTTGTTGCCCTAAGCGACCGCTTATACTGCTTATAGCACGGGCCGGCCCTTACTATTTAGCTATTCCTTTTCATTTATTTCGCTCTTTTAAAAAACACAGAGGGATGTTTTTTTTCAGGCCCGAAGCAAATACTGATTATAAATAGTTCATGAGGCCCGTAACCAATATGCATTGACAGTAAAAATTAGAATCTTTCTGTTGGAATTACAACTGAAGGTTGAAGTGAAATAAAATGTGCCATTGAATACAAAGAAAACCACTGCCAACATGTCAACGCTAATGGTCGACTGATAAAAGTTTTCATGGGCAGATGGTGAGACCAATTCTGAGAGAGCTGATTGGCCAATGACCAATATACTGCTGATGCATCTTTGTTGTTTTATATATAAACTAACTAATACAAAAAACATTTTTTTAAATTAACTAAATAAATATAGAAAAATGTCCAGCTCATATATCTCATTTACCTTCACCTCTGTACTTAGTACTCTTGATCATCCTGAGTCCTGAGCTTTCATCAGATTTTCACCTCCTTCGTCTCATCTCTCTCTGTAGATTAAATCCTGAAAATGTCGGACTCTCGGCTTATCCAAACCATCCGCAGACCTCCTCAACCCCCCACTCCCATCCTCGGTGAGGCCGGCTGACATCCAGAGTCATGAAATAATCTGATACAGTTAAGATAAGGAAGTGAAAGTGTCTAATCATTCATCCAAATGTGTTTTCTTTCCTCTTTTAGCATGTTCAAAGGTTTTTCTTTGTGTCATGCCCATCACTCAGATCGCCATCGGTGAGACTTTGATGCACATTTAAGGTCAAGATATTTTAAATTTTATAAAATTTGATTTGCAAAAAGCACCAAATATCTCCTCTCCTCCATCAGGCGCAGTCCACCTTGATAACTGTCCCCGACAGCCCTACATCCCCATCTACCTGATCGTGGTGGGGATGTTCGGTCTGGTGCTGGCGGTGCTTTCTTGTCTACCTTGCGCTCAGCAGCCCAAAGACGGGACTAGTAACCCACTGAGTCGAGTTTGCGCCACCTGGAACTCTCTGACCTCTTTGTTCCTCTTCTGCTGGTTTATCGCTGGTGAGTTTGATCGACACTGCAGTAGCCTGAACTGACCACTAGATGTCTGTATTTTCTGCTGGAAAACCTAAAAAAAGACATAACAGCACAAACACAGCAAACTTTTTTTTGTTTTTATCATTGATGTAAAGATATATTAAATCATTTTTAACATTGCTCTGATAATCAAACACTTGAACTTTGATTCTCCTCCAGGGAATGTATGGATCTATTCAATCTACCAGCCAAACTACATCAAAAACTCCACAAACATAGAGTCATACTGTAACAAGACTCTTTACCTCTTTGCCTTCTGGACCACCACGCTGGTCTACATCCTCCTCGGTCTGTTTTTCGTCGGAGGCTGCTGCGTGCTCGGCTGCTTCTTCCTGTGTGGCCGAGCCGACCCGGACGACGACGTCTAGGGTCAAAACTGAAGGAACAAGAAGACAGGAGGCGTCTTGAACCGTGATTTTTAATGCTGAGCCCTTGCTACCTCTGCAGAAGTCTCTCTTGCTGCCTTTCTAGTCTTTTGTTTGACACACACTGTTTACATGTTCAGCCAGTGAGTGGGCTGAAACACTGAAAATAATCTTTTGAAAGTGAGATAAATTTGCCAAGTATGTGCAGAAAATGCTCTTAATGATCTTGTAAAATTTTAATTCACATATTTTTAATCTTTACACGTGGCTCTTGTCCTCTGTCTAAATTTACATACAGTTAAAAATGCATATATATTTTTTTAAGTCAGAAAAATATATATTTATACATCTATTTTTTTCCAGTAACATGTTAGTATTGAGAGAACTTGAAAGCAGATCATATAACCATGAATTAAAAGAGTCTATGCTGCTCCACGTCTGACTCACAGTGCACTTTGCTCAGTGATAATATCGTCCTAGGGCCGTGCCTTTATTTAGTGCAACACTGGAATTCTTCTAAACTACAAACTGTATCAGATATTTGCTTTAGAGCATGACACGGGAGCGGATTTTCACTCCTGTCCCGTCCCGCTCCCAGAGAAAAAATCCCGTCCCAATCCCGGACCGGAGTAAAAAAAATAATCCTGTCCTGTCCCACTCCCTTAGAATGACTCCCACTCCCATCCCGCTTCCACTCAAAATTACTCCCACTCCTGTCCCACTCCCGTTGAAATAAAACCAAACATGTTGAAAAAACGTTGCATTTTTTATTTAAAATAAAAAATTACAATAAAAATTTTAGGTTTAAAGTGGCAGCTGTGTCGCTCTGACTCGGAGCGGCTGCCGTCGCCGGCGGCGACACACATAATTTTCACTTCTTTTTCTTCTTTTTTTCACTTCCGGTGGTGAGAGGAAGTCAAACCACTGTTGTATTTCTTTTGTCAAGAGTGTTAGCTCTCACTGAGAGATGACTACAAAAATGGACCCATGTGTTCTTCTGGTTGTTTATCATGGCTGAAAATGATCATCTATTACTGTTGTTCCTGCTCCTGCCCGCTCCCATTGCTTTTTTTCCTGTCCTGTCCTGATCACGGGATTAATTAAAAAATGATTCCCATCCCGTGGGATTCCCGCAGGAATCACGTGACCCACGGGAATTTCTGAAAAATGTCATCCTCTAATGCTTGTGTGAAGAGTAATCTAATGACCAAAATTGTCTTACTATGCAGACTGTACTGTTGAAATCATTGAAAATAATCATAAAAAACTCTGCTGATCATCTTGTTTGTTGTCGCTCTTTAAGGTGGTGTTTCACTTTGTTTCACAACCAGCGAAAAACTCCTTACAGGTGCTTTAATGTTATGACCATGTAAATCTTAATCTAGCCATGTACACACTCTTGCACGCCTGTTTTTTTTAATACCTTGTATCTGCCGTACTGGCTTATATGCTCAGTTAAACCAGAGATCATTAACTGAGCAGAGCCGTTGACACTGAGCGTAACTGCATTTTTATTTGTGCAATAAATGATTAAGTCTGTAACAGAAATCTCCCTGACTCAACCATGACACTGTCATGAGGGTTATTTTTTATCTGAGGGAGTCCTGAAAAGTGAGAAAAGTCACAGTTATTGTGCGTGGACTCTAGAAAGAGGAAATGATTCGACAAACGGCACAAAGTTTAAATTGGTGAATGAAAAGTTGTTTCAAAATGAAGTAAAAAAGCAGTTTTTTTGCCAAGATAACTGAGAATATTTCCAACCAAGAGGTTCTTAAAGTCTCTCTTAGTATATACATATACAGTGGTGCAGAGAAGTGTTTGCCCCCTTCTGATTTTGTATTTTGTTTGTCAAACTTAAATGTCTCAGATCATCAAAAAAATGTAAATATTAATCAAGGACAACACAAGTGAACACAAACTGCAGTTTTTAAATGAAGGTTTTTATTAATAAGGGGGAAAAAAATTCAAACCTACATGGCCCTGTGCAAAAAAGTGATTGCCCCGCCTGTTAAAACATAGCTTCACTGTGGTTTATCACACCTGAGTTCAATTTCTGTTGCCACACCCAGGCCTGATTACTGCCACACCTGTCTGCAATCAAGAAATCTCTTAAATAGGACCTGCCTGATAAAGAGAAGTAGAACAAAAGATCCTCAAAGGCATCATCATGTCGAGCGCTAAAGCAATTCAGAAACGAATGAGAGAAAGTAACTGAGAACTGTCAGTCTGGAGAAGGTTATAAAGCCATTGGGACTAAAGCTTTGGGACTCCAGCGAACCACAGTGAAAGCCATAATCCAAAAATAGTGAAAACATTGAGTGTTCACTTGTGTTGTCCTTGCACCTCAAGACTGAGCTGAGAGAGGCTAAAATGCTTCAAATCAAAGAGTAGCAAAAATAGATCTGGTTGTTGGACCGAAACAATGAGCTCAAAGGAGAGCAAAAATTCATGATGGGTGTTAAACCAAACAAACTGAAACACCTCTGGTCAAAGAGGCAAAAAGTTTGGCACCACTTCCAGATTTTTGGCCAAGCCCCTTTTAATAAATAAGTTGGTGAATAAAGGTGTTAATCCAACCAACAACACCAATACTTATGGTAAAACACAGTTCTGACAATTGCAGCTTTGAATTAACACTTTCCTTGTGACTTCCTTGTTTTAAATCAACTTGAGAAGATGAAACACTCAAAAAATGAACTTTGGTGCACCCCTGTGGACAAAGTAGTCTTTGCTTATATTCTTCTTCACTTGATCTTCATCTTGCAGAGAAATCTCACCCTGCAGACTTCTGACAGTCAAATGTAAAGTTTATTGTGAATCGCCAAAATAAAGCTGTTTCTAGGCTTCTAGCTGTTTTTTCATAATGATGGTGTGAAAAATCTAAACCTTGTCACTGATGGTCTGATTTGCTTTTGTATATCATAAAAAAGCACCAATATCAATTTCAGTCAGTTTCATAAACATAACAAAAATACAGTTGTTTCTATGTGGATCATTAAATGCTCAAAAAATAACCTCAACTACCAACATCATAGTGTTTATTTGATCATCATTATCATCACAGAATCTTATAATTTACATACAAAATACAATAGTTTATGATGTGTGGTTAGTTTTTCTTCAGATATTTCTCACGACAGTACTGCATTAAGTAAAAAAAGGTTTGGATAGTACTCATAATATTTTCACTTTTTATATAAAGCTACATAAAACAAAGGAGTTGTTTATTGCTGTCCATCTGATTGGTTCGCTGCTTTGTGATGTCAGCATCCTTTTTTGGAGAGGTTGACCAGTGCTTTGGCGTGGATTGGCTTGTAAAGGAGCGTGAAGCTGGATGGGGTGAGCTGACCGTTGCCCTGCGCATCGACTTTTCCCATCAACACGTAGTTCTTGCCTGGATAAGAGACCAGATAAGAGACGCAGTGTTAGCTGAATTCGATATGAAGTTGATAAATTTCCATCAGTTAGAAAATGTTATAGTAGGTACCGAAATTATACCGTCAAGTTTCTCTTTTTCAGTACATTCATTTTGGTTAAGTTTCCTTTATTTCTGCACATTCATGTTTTGTTTCATGTCGTGCATTTCCTGTTTTATTTTGTAAATCAATAACCCTTGTTCCTGTCCTCTATCGTTGTTCCTGTCTGGTCTGCCCTGCCCCAGTCTTGTCACACCTGCCACCTGATTGTGTCTCCCCACCTGATTCCCATCACCCTCATTATCCTTTGTATTCTACCTACAGTCTCTTCGCCAGTTCGTTGCACTTCATAGATAGATAGATGGATAGATAGTTGATATACACATGCCTTAAATACAGTACTTGAATACTATGAATATTTGCATGTGCTTGACTCAGTCCAGCATATATTCATAGTTATTGCCAAGCCGTGTATTACCTTTTCCTGCCTTTTCGGATCTTGCCTTTTGCCTCACGTTTTTGATACCTCTCCCTGACTTGACTGTACCAACCTTCACCTGATCTTCAATAAACCCTGTTAGCTAAATTGGTGTCATGCTATTGTGTGCTCCAGTCTGTGCTTTGGTACAACAATTATTTTCAAGAGGAACATAAAAAGTACAGCTTTATGGAATGATCTGTAAATGGGGGATATGTAAGATAGAAAATCACATCGTCTGCATACAAAGAAAGTCAGTGCTTATTCTATTCTTGTATTTAACAAAACTGAAACACATTTTATGGCAAATTTAAGAACTTTACAGTTGATGTTTTGGACTCTTGGAGGACGGTCCAACAGTTGACTGGATTTGCATCATGTATACGTAGATAAAGGTACTAAATACAGATAGTTGTATTTTACCTTTGAGTAGTCCAGGGCATCTCTTGCAGGTGGAATTCAACGTGACTGACATAACCGGCCCAGATTTCGTGATGTTCAGGCGTCCTGGCTTGTAGGCTTTGATTATGAATACGTCAATTGTTGCTGAGCCCCCGGGACCAGCAGTAACAGATGTAACTTTACCCGTCATCACTGAAAGAGAAGAATATTATGGTCAAAGTTTTCACTTTTGGCTTACTGTTGAAAGTGGTGAAGGCTGGTTTGATCAAACAGAGCAGTTACTGGACCTGAAACTTCTGGAAATGCTCATGGTGTTCTGAAAGGTGTGAGACCAAATAACAAACAAATCTAAACTGGTGAAACAGTGGACACTTTGGAGAAGTAGAGATGTGAAAAGTTCAAGACAGGGTTTGTCAAGACTTCACAGCTGCTGATGTGGCTCACCGAAGTCCTGAGGGCAAAAGCTGGATTGGAGAGTTCCCGTCCTCTTACAGGGTTGTGTACACAGTGGGTTCAGTGGTATGGCTAAGGCAACACCAAACACAAACACATGAGAGGCACTTTAACTCTCTACTTTGATTTGGATTTGTAGTTAACATACATGAAAAATAAGTGGATTGGATGAAGTGTTTTCACTCACGTTTCTTGCTCACCACAGGCTTCTTCGTCACTGTCTTGCTTACTCCGGGTTTAGGTGTTGCTTTAGGCTTAATCTTTGGTTTGGGTGTTGGTTTCACTACACTCTTGGATGTTGGCTTTACTGGCTTGACTCTGGGTTTCAAAGTGGGCTTGATCAGTATGGGCTTACGTGTAGTTTTAGTCCTGGTGCTTGGTTTCATCGTTGGTTTAAAGACCTTAAATCTGGGTTTGGCTGTGGGCTTTTTCGCAGGGGCTGTAGGTGTGGGTTTGGTTGGTTTGGTGGGTTTAGTGGGTTTGGCGGGTTTGGTGGGTTTAGTGGGTTTGGCGGGTTTAGTTGGTTTGGTTGGTTTGGCTGGCTTGGCTGGCTTGGTTGGTCTGGGTTTTGGCGTGGGCTTCACAATAGGCTTAGTGATGGGTTTTTTAGGCGGGGGTTTTAGGGGTTTCTTCACCAGTGGTCTTTTGGTTGGTTTTGGGGTGGGTTTTGGCTGAAGGGTAGGTTTAGCAGTGGGTGTTGGTTTGGTTGGTTTTTTAGGCTTTGGCAGGATTTTTACTGGTATTGAGGTGGTCTGAGGTCCATAGATGAAGTCTCCTCCCTCGGTGGGCATTCCACGAGGAGATCCACGGGGCACGCTGGCGTAGTGGGCCATGAAGCCGTCTGAGGTTACGCTGAGGTCTGAGACGAATTGGACGAGGAGCTCATTGCCATTCGTCACAATAGTCCTATAAAAAGGTAAAGAAACATGTAGAAGTAAAGGGGAAACAGAGTGTCAAAGATGCAACTATTGGACACAGTTTTTCCTATAAATAGAAATCATACCCGGGTACCCTGTCACCACAGAATTTCCCAATCCGCCGTGAGTTGTCCTTTTCTCCTCCATTAAACAGCGCCACATAATCGTAGCGGCAATACGTGTCAGGCTCCAAGTCCAGCTTCTCAAACTTGACCTCGATCACCTGAGGAAGTAAAAAGGTCGACGTAAACACTGATGGGTGTGAACGGCGTATTCCTTATGAATCCAGAGCAGACACGGTGAAAGTGGTGGTGGTGTTGGTGGAGGAGGATGGGCCCAGACCTCTTAAATACAGAGGGGCATTTACTCTCTCCCTTCCCTCTTTCCCAACCTTCAATCTCTTGGCACACATGGACACACCTCCAGGAGCTCAATGAAGTCTTTCATTTGAATTTTGTCACATGGCCACCATCATTTTTACAAACACACACATGCTTTACACACATCTCATTTTTAGGGATGTGAGTGGAAGCATTTCCTTATGATGGGCCCCTCGGTTAATGGTTCAGTACACCTTGCTGCTCTTTGTCGACGTATTGAGCTGGACTAGACTCCTTAAACTGGGCTTAAAAATAGAAAAAAATCATGTTGATGGTTTTCAAACTTCTGCCTGACTCTAGAAAGTCTAGAAACCTTATGTTCAAATTTTTGAGTTAGGGTTAGAGCTAGAGTTACGGTTAGGGTCTCACAAATGGCATACTGTATACAGTTGGCTTACATTGCTTGGTTCTACAGAGATGTGCCAGGAGCAGCTGATGCCTGCTGGGTAGTTAGTGTTGGGCCAGTTTGGCGTCTTGACAGAACCCTGTGATTTGGTGAGCTTTCCTCCACAGAACTGCTCCTCTGTGGGATCAAAAACAGAGAAAAAACTTCCAAAAGTAACAACGTTTTTGGAAATTTTGGACTTTTGTTGGATGTCGCCTAGAAAGCTGACTAATTACAGAAATTTGTAAGCACTATTTTCTTGTCTACAGTATTTGTCTTTGGGTTTCCATACCTTCCATATGTGGTTTCCCTGCGTTGAAAGCAGCCAGAAATCCTCTTCCCCCTGTTGCCTCATCAGACACCATCTCCAACATCATGGTGTTGGAGGTGGAGATAAGAGCACCGGGCCTGAACGTCCCGCAGAAACGTCCCAGCTTCTGCACCAAGCGGGAGTGACCGTTGTAAACGTCCAGGTAGTCATAGCGACAGGTGGGGTCGGCCTCCATGTCGAAGAGGCGGAATGACAGCATGACCACATGACCCTCTGGAACCTGGAATGGAAAGCTTATTTTTCAAAAAACGCAGGGTCATTGAACTTTAGATGCTAATAATGATGATAAAGTTGTAGCTTGTCCACCCTAACATGTACTTTGACACCCCCTCAGAGTCCTGAGAGGAGGTTGGAAGCTCTAATCAAGCTAAATATCACCCGTGTGTGTTTACGATGCAAGAGCAGGGACTGTCGGGCCTTTCACTCACATGTCGGGACAATGAAAATCAGTTTGCGTTCACATTGTTGGATAAATCTTGTTAGTGAGATTGACCACACAGATTAAGTTGTTTATTTAAAAGACTCACAGTGATGTACCAGATGCATTTACTGTTGGGTTTGTAGGGACTGGGGAACCCTTCACTCGCCACAATGCCTGAATCTGTGACCAGGTGGCCTCCACACAGGAAGACAGGCCTGCAAAAACAAGAGGACACATCACAGGCTACAACTACCATCAGCTATAATTCAACATCTAACTTGATCTGCTTCACTGGAGAAAAACCTAGCTCCTCGTTCCAGAGACTCAAAGCAGAGGCCTTACACACACGCTGGAAACCACAGCGGCACAGTCTGCTTCTGTTTGAGTCCGGGGAGGTTCCCTGCGAGCTCTCCTGGTTCCTGTTTTTTCATCAAATTTTAAAGCAGGAACTCTGTCGATATACAGTAAGCCTGCTGTAAGTTAGCCCCACACTCTGAACTGCACCACAAGAAAGCCGCATGTGGACCTAACACGTACTTTACTTCAGCAAACGAGCATTTTCAAACTCACACATGGTGTTTGGTGACTCACACCCACTCATACCCACTCAGATAAACACAGATCAAAAGAGGGGCCAGCCTCAACTTTTAATTGCAGCTTGTTAATTCAGACCTTGGCTGCTCTGGCATGTGTTAGGAAAGGAGTCTATTTTTGTTTTTTTTGGGCAGTAAAAAGTCAAAAGGAATCATCTCTCTCATGGTGAGGTCTGTCCCTGAGAAAAAACTCCTGTATATTGTTTTGTTTTGCATTTTCAGGCATGTGCCGGTTGTCTGCTGTGGTGCCGTGAGGCCACATTTGGCCAAAAAAGAAAAATCCCAGCGGTGGTGCAGTCCCTCCCTTCTGACCTTCTGGGGTTGAGCGGCCCACAGGCATTTGTTTGTCTCTCATGTTCGGTTTACTTTCTGGATGTGCAAGAAGCTCTCGCAGCGCTCATGCAGGATCAACAGCCACAAGGAAATACGAAAATATGAAAATCTGAACTTTAAGAGAGGGAAACTTTTCCCCTTTTTCAAATGTAACAATTTCTTTATTTTATTTTATCTTTTTTTTTAGAAAATTTAAACAGCTGTAAAATAAAAAAAAAAATTTAACAAATAGGGAATAAAAAAAGGTGAAAAAAGTAGAGCCAGAAATGATATTTTGCCTACTTTTTTTTTTTTTGGGGGGGGGGGGGGGGTTCAGATAAAAATGGTGGATTAATTAAAAAATAGTTTGGGAAAATTTTTTTCCTTTGATTTTTTTTTTTGTTTGTTTGTTTGTTTTTCTGAAAACAACTGTTAAATATGAGTTCATATTTAATAAAATAAAAGATTAAAAAAAGGAAAATCCCAAAAGGAAAATTTCTGTTTTTCCCATTTTTTAAAAAATTTTCTTAACGTAATTAAAGTTAAATGAAAAACAGCAGCAATGTTAATGAATTTAACAAACTGTATCAATGAAGGACAAACATGGTTGATGACAAAAAGTAAATAAATAAACAAATAAATAAATAAATAAAAGAAAAAGGAGAGAAAAATAAAATGTTGCAGCCACAATACAACCACCTGGCTGGGAAATCTGTTAAAATGCTGCGATACTGCAAGTAAACCAATAAACAAAAAAATTAAAGCTCCTGTGGATTTTTTTTTTCTAGCTAGTTAGGAAACAAGACTAAATTAACACAGAGGCTTCTTTATGAACAGCCATCAGGAAAAAAAATCAAAAACAGAATATTCATTAACATACAAGGCAAAATCAGCGATGCAAGAATATAGAAGTTGCTGACAGGAGCTTTAAAGAAGAAACATTGGATTCTTTTTGATATGACAAAACTTCAATTGCTTGAAGGATATTTCAAATAAAAATGTTTAAAAGTTAAAATAAGTTGAGTCCATCACGTGAGGACCAGCTCCAGTCCATGTGCCCAGTTTAATCAGTGCATCAATAACTGCATACTGTCATTTTGTGTGTTTATGGGATGAAAACCACATCTTCCTGCAAACTCTACAGCCTTCTAATTCTACTGTAATCATTATACTGCAACCAGGAGAGGAAATAACAAGCACACACTCGTTTTACAGACACATGCAGCCTTGAAAACAACATGCCACATGTGCACTTGCAGGATTCCGTAAGCAGGCGAATGCATAAAAAGCACAGAGGCTGCCTTTTAAATCATCCATCATAACCTCTGTAGTGACTCACATGCTGCTTACCTGGTGAAGTTGGTCTGAGTCTGAGCTCTGGTCCATCCCAATGTCAGAATGACAAAAAGACACCCAGTCCACACCCTGCCCTCCATCCTGCTGCACAGATTAGGAAAAGACGGCAGGGGAGAAGAAGAGGAAGGAGGGAGCAGCAGACTCAGAGGGGAGGGAAGAGATGTAAGGTTAGAAAGGAGGAGGAGGAGGGAGAGAGAGAGGGAGTGATAGTTCAGAGTAAGAAGGGGGAAAAAGGTGAATTAATGTAGTTAAAGGGGACAGAGGGCTGTTTGAAACACAAGGAAATAACATTAATTACACTCAACACTGACCCTCAGCCAAAAGAAATACAGAATGTAAAGTATAGAGAACAGTTAGCTTTCTATGCACAACCTTGTAGGCGTTGTTTGCATGTAGAGTGACGGGATATATGGAAAATATACACTTCTGTAGAGCACCACTGTTTCTAACAAGCCAGGCCTTTAGCAAGCCTGGACATACAGTGGATATAAAAAGTCTACACACCCCTGTTCAACTGTCAGGTTTATGTCATGTAAGAAAAATAAATCAAGATAAATAATTTCACAACTTCTTCCACCTTTTTAATGTGACCTATAACCTGTACAACACAATTGAAAAACAGCAATCTTTCAGGGAGGTGAAGTAAAAATAAACAACTGAGATCATGTGGTTGCATAAGTAAGCTTTATCTTACTAAGAAAATCATCAAAGCCCGGCTTAATTTTGCAAAAAGATATCTGAAATCTCCCAAACACATGTGGGAAAATGTGTTATGGTCTGATGAAACCAAAGGTGAACTTTTTGGGCATCATTGCAAAAGGTATATTTGGCGCAAAATCAACACTGCTCATCACCAAAAGAACACCATACCTACAGTGAAGCATGGTCGTGGCAGCATCATGCTTTGGGGCTGATTTTCTTCAGCTGGAACTGGTGCCTTAGTCAGGGTGGAGGGAATTATGAACAGTTCCAAATACCAGTCAGTGTTGGCACAAAACCTTCAACCTTCTGTTAGAAAGATGAAGTTCCTCGTCATGTTTCAGCACGACAATGACCCAAAGCACACATCTAAATCAACAGAAGAATGGCTTCACCGGAATAAGATTGAGACTTTGGAATGGCCCCGCCAGAGTCCGGACCTGAAATCCATCGAACATTTGTGGGGTGATCTGAAGAGGGATGTGCACAGGAGACGCCCTCACAATCTGTCAGATTTGGAGCAGATTTGCAAAGAAGAGTAGGCAAATATTTCCACATCAAGATGTGCCACGCTGATCGACTCAAAAAAGTCGAGCACTCAGTCCAAAAAGACTGAGTGCTGTAATAAAAGCCAAAGGAGCTGCAACAAAGTATTAGTTTGAGGGTGTGCATATTTATGCAACCAGTTTATTTTAACTTTTCTATTTTTTATTTTTCCCCTTAAAGGTTTCTGTTTGTTTTTCAATTGCATTGTACAGGTTATAGGTCACATTAAAGGTGGAAGAAGTTGTGAAAATATTTATCTTGCTGTCATTTTCTTACATCAGTAAAACCTGGCAGTTGAACAGGGGTGTGTAGATGTTTTATATCCACTGTAACTTGGTTTATTGAATTTAATTTATTTTTTGGTGCTCCCAAAATGAAGTATCTCCATTCAGATATATTACTTTGAAATTTTCTTTTATTCCATTTATTTTTAAAGGTGTGTAAATAGTAAAGTTTAGAGAAAAAGAACAATGATGGAAAGATTTCATAGCTGTTAGCTCTATTTATGAAATCACCTGGGCACACATGCCCAATTTACTCTGAAAGTGAAGGTTATTATGAGGATTAAATTCCTCCACAGAAAATTACAGTTCAGTAAAATAAATGGTGGGTGAAAGAATTTGGTTAAATGCAGGTTTGAAATAGAACTGATTGGACTTATAAACAGTTTTTTTATTTATAGAAGGTATTCAGAAATATTTTAGTTTTGGCAGAAAAACTGAAGTTTAAACTAGATGTGACTTTGCACAAGCTAGTTTATTAACAGCTCGGTCTTGAAATGACCAACATACATGAGGATTATCTCTGTCATTGTTATAATTATGAAGTGTAATGAGGTTCCCAGCTTTGTGTCTGCCTAGAAGAGAGCATGTCTTTGTCTTTTTTAAGCTGCGGTGACCACTCTGGGTAGAAACCACAGCTGGATAGAAGCAGACTGCGGTTCTGCGAGGAAAGCAGCTGCCCTGATCCGCTCTCTCTTCTTCCAGCTCACCCCGAACACTTCTGTGTAAACACGCAAAACGTTGCAAAACACCCGCTGACTAAAATAGGCAGTCGGGAGATGTAATCATAAAAGCCAGTTGCAGTAGAATAGAAAAGAAAATTCACATGTAAAGGCTTTTCATGTTGTTTTATTGTCTTTTTTTGTACAAAGAATTTCACAAAAATATTTAGAAACTGTTGCAAACACCACTGACGCCATAAAGCATAGGATATCACATGACCAGAACAGTGCCACAGAGAGAGAGAAAGAGGGAAAAAATGAGAGTGAAACTCTCTCAAGAGTCATGTCCGCCTCTTTCGAATACATCTACAATCTTGAGCAAGCAAAACGAATGCTCTCCTGCTTCTCCGCGCCCCAGAGTGCGATCAACACTCAGAGGCGCGCTGTTGTTGTTGTTGTTGTTGTATTCTCACAAGAATGCACAACTAATGCCCAGCCGAGGACGAACCCCCAGAAGTTCAGGTTGGTCTCCGGGCCATTGCCACGTTGCCCCACGATTGACTGCACCTTGCTCAAGTAAAGCAACTAGATTGCTGTGTCACAATGAAATACGTCATCTCTGTTTCAGAGACTGTGTAGTGATTGTTTTTCTTTTTTTTCTTCTTCTTTCTGCAAATTCAAAAAAACAGATTTCCATCCTGGTTTCCTCACACTTCGCAGTGGAGACCCTCTTCTATCGTTTTGCTCTTTGCAGTGGATGAAAGTATAAAAATATACACACTGTTTACAAAATAAACCTGGTTCTTACTGTACATTTTGACTATTGAAAGACAGTTGTTTTTTCTTGAAGTGCTTTAGTAGAGACGAACTTTGGACATTAAAAAAAACAACGTGAGTCTGTGAGAGAAACAGGTCTAGGTGGGAAACTTGAGAAACATTCAACAAGAAGAAAAGTCACGGATAAACTCCCTTCTTTCCTCGTGAACGGGAGGGATGAAGACGAGGAGGAGGAGGCGGAGGACACTGTGGTGATGAACGACATCCATCTTTAAGCGAGGGCGCCATTCTCCGAACACATTCCCCTTCGTCCTGTCTGATTGTGAACGAACTTTAATAAATACGTCAGGAGCTGCGGGAGGGCAGTGACACTCTGAAAGCGAGTGCGCCGGTGTCCTGTGGCGTCCAAGGCGTTTGAATATGCAGTCAAACAACACGCCTCGTGTGCTGGCATCAAACTTCACAGAGAATTGAACCTGGTCAGGTGTCAAACGTGACCTGTCCATCAATAAATGGAAGTTTTCTTAATAAATACGCACCTTTAATTCCTGTTTAACACTTAACACCATGTGTAGTGGGTACAGTGAGGTCGTGGAAGGTGTAAAATCCTCTTTAATGCTGTTTTAGCTGCAGGAAGGTCCCAGAAGGTGAATATTTAACAGCTTCAATCCTGTGTAGGACTGTTTTAAGGTGCGGAAAGGTCCCGAAAGGTGCGTAAATAACACCTTGCACCTTTGTGTTATTATTCCCCCAGGCGCAGAAAGGGCCTGTGTTTGTGTTTCCTGCATTCAGTGCAGAAGTTCTCAACAGTGCTCTCAATCTTTGGCCCCAAAATCAGTGAGTCATTTGCGACTCGGGCTGTTGAGCCTCCACTTTTTCTCCTGCAGTGTCTGAGCTCACGCTCGGCTTCTTTGCCCGCAATTCCTGACTACTGTCTAGTGTTTTAGTGTCTTTTTCCTCCACCTCCTCCTCTTCCTCCTCTTCTTCCTCATCTTCTGGGTGACCTCCATCCATGGCAGTCTCTAAGAGGTTTTTCTTCCCCTCGTCTGCGCCCTCCCCCTGAGCTTTCAGCATGCTGCACAGCTCCATCTCGTGGATCTCGACGTCAAATGGAGCGACAGGAGGAATGGAGGGAGGGGACTTGCAGCCTGTACAGCTCTGAGGGAAACAAAGAAAGAAATCTGTCATTTCCTGCGCTGTTTATCAATTTTTTTTTTACATATTTAGAGAAAAAAAAAAGATACTCACAGAAATGTTGATAGCTCTGGGGAGGCGTCCAGTGCGGATCCAGGGGTGAACCTGGCTCAGCTCCCTCTTCTGCTCCTCAGTGAAGCGTGGCTGGTGTTTTTGCATGCTCCTCAAGGCCTCACGGTCTTCTCGTAGAACTGTTTCCATGTCCCTGTAAGACCAGACGCAGGGAAAAGTGTCACCACAACCAAATAAATAGTGAAATTCTACAATAATGTAAGTCTGCAAAGTGTGCCTTATGTGCAAATTTAGCCCTGAGTCTTACCTGACAGGCAGCTGATACGTCATCATGACTTTTTCATCAGTGTTGGCCAACAGCAGCCAGATTGGGTCCTGGAGGACACACTTAATGAACTGCTCCTCTCCACCATCTCCTCCCCCGCTACTGCTGCCCCCTGCTGTCTGTTTCCGGGAGTGGTCGTTCTCTGACGAGTCGATGCTGCCAAAGTATTTGCTGGTGTGGCTGCCCTGGCTGCTGCCTGTGGAAGCACAAGAGGGTGGGGGGGTCAAGGCTGAGTTAAATACAGGAACAGATCCAGGACTTCACGGCAAAGTCAAACTCAACAAGTGCATCACAGAGATATCTGAAATGTCGGTGTACTCACTCATGCCACTGGTGCCAGAAGAGCTGCAGCCGTTAGAGCCGCCAGATCCTGAACCAGAGGACCTGGTGCCAGAGGACCCCGAACCGGACGCAGCTGAGCCCGTGCCTGAGCGGGAGTCTTCATGCATCAGCATGTCGAGCAGGTCGCTGGAGGTGGACATGGCGTCCTGGTTGGACTCATTGGTTTCACCCTAAAGAGGGAAAAAGACATCAGATGAGCGTCACATTTTAACGGTTTATGTCTGTTTTGATTTACACTCCCACTTCTGGAGACTTGGGGACTCACATTCTCGTTCTCCTTGGAGGTGTCATCAGAGCTCCCCTGGTTGGCTGAGCTCTGCAGTGGCTGACTTCCTCCCCCCTGCACGGAAGGAGTCGCTTGCTGTGATACAGCGAGAGCCGTGGCGACCTCCAAGCGGTTGCTGGGTGACTCCTCCAGCTGCAGGAGGTTCAACGGAGATGAGCATCGGGACTGGAAGAGGGGGGATTCCGCACCCTCGCGGTCAGCGGGTGCCTGACTGCAGGACTGGGGGGTGCTGCTGCGAGAGGGGACGCAAGTGGGCGGGATGGGGACAGGGTTTGGGACGGAGGGGAGGGTGTTGACGGGGAGCGGGAAGTTCGGATTGTAGAAGTGTCCGGGTGTGGCAGCTGCTTGAGAAATAGGTGCTCCCATTTGGGGGAACATGTAGTTTGGCAGCATGAGAGCCATCATAGGGGGAACGATCTGGGTGGGGGGGAAACGCGTGGGGTCCTGGATGGTCTGTGGGAAGGGCTGTGTCATGGGAGGGTACATGGGGTAGATAGGAAGCATCCCCGGAGCGAAAGGAGCCGAGGGAATGCTGTTTTGGGAACCGACAGACGGCCAGGAGGAGGAGTTTGTTGGGGGTCCCATTGGCATGTTTGGAGGGATGGGGGCTGCGCTGGTTCTGGGGTCCCGCCGGCTTCCGCTCCGGCCAAGAGAGCTGTGCTGGTCCGAAGACTCCTGGTGTTTGAGTCTTTTACCGCCGCGACCACGTCTGTGACCCGTGCTGCTTCCTGCGGCGGGGTAATCCCGAGAACAACGCACACCTGAAGGAAATGGGAGCAGCATTTTAATGACTGATCTCAAACCTCAAATATCACAGTGGCTCTAAAGTGGGAATCTCCACATGGGTCTATAAAACGAATTCTGTTTCTATCAACATTTGACTCAGAGCTCCGTCTCTCTTGCGCCTGTGTGTACCTCGTGACAGTGGGTTGGCTGCCGTGGTCTGACACTGCAGACCCGAAGACGTCGTCTGATCGAACACCCGCAGCCTGCTGAGGTCCTTGAAGCGGTCAAGGAACGCCTGCTCCTCCTGCTGCGTGTGGGCGGACAGCACCTCTTTGGTCAGACCCATCCTCCCTCCGCCGCCGCTCCCTCCTCCTACGCTTCCACTCCTCCTGCTGTCCCTCTCCGGCTGAGCGGCTTGATGGAGGGGTGGCGGAGGTGGAGGAGGAGGAGGGGTGACCGCGGCATTCGTAGAAGGCGTGGGGCCGCTGGTGAGACGAGGTGGTGTTGTCGTGGAGGGGGCAGGCATAGGAGTTGTGGGAGCCTCCTCCATGACAATGTCTGTGATGGAAGAAGAAGAAGCAGGGGTGGACGAGCGTTAGAGCGCAACAGAAATAAAGCAACTTATTTTCTTCTTCATCTTTGCAAAAGAACGTTAATTCACACAAACTTTGTTTAACCGTCTAATATGAGAGGTAGCCTAGAGTCGCTAATGCTTGCAGATGTAAGTCGGGTCAGTTTACTGACTGCGCTTGAACGTAAGTTTCTGAAGTCAGACTATTTTCAAAAATAGAGTCAAAAAATGCAGAACACAGCTGTGCACAAAGCAGAAAGAACAAGACGACAGAAGCTGCGAACATCCAAGATCATGGACTGCATGTAACGATAGACAATGTGTCTTTACCTCCTCTAGTCGTACAAAAGTGAAACCAGAATACCTTCTGAGGCAGAGGTCGAGATCCTCAAGATACCACAGTACGGTTAAAAAAGTATTTGATGTATTTTGATTTTGAAGTTTGCCCAATGTCCCGTCTGTTTACATGGAGGAGACAGGCTCTAGTCATTCGAAGGACAAAGAGTGTTTTGGTTTCACTTTTGAGGAGCTGTCACGTTGTTCATCATTTTAAAACATGCTACATGAGAGGCAAAAGCATAACTCAGATTACTTGCAATGTGTATTTTAATCATACATCTAGAAGTTTCTGCAAGATAGGACTTCTCAAGAATTAAAACTTTACTGACGGTTACAGAAGAACTCCATTAATCAACTTAAATTAATCAAAAGATCTGATAGAAGAGATGACCTGCTGAGAGACAAACTAAGAGGTTCAGAGAGAGTGAGGGTTCCCACCTGACTCGGGAGGCTTCTTGTCTCCCACGTGCACAATGGTGCTGCTGAAGCTACACTGTGACGGGTCTGAGGCTACACTCTCGGCCTTTGTGGCCATGGTCAGAGGAGGCAGAGGAGGTGGTTCACTTACGAGGCTGACTGAACCACCTGTAGAGACACGAGTGCAACACTTTGTTAATAGTTGTGTCAAGCAAATGAAGACATTTCTCTGTAGAAATAAACATAGAAGGAAAATGTTGCACTTCAACGTATCCGCAGATTACAACTGCCTCACGACTTTGCTTTAGCGGCTGTGAAGATGAAAAGGAGTTAGGGAAAAAGTCAAAAAGTACCTTTGTTATTCCCGCTGGCCTCCTGCTGTTTGTCGTCGTCAGACGTGGAGGACGCCGTGCACGAGGACGAGCCGCACTTCCTTTTGATCGTGTTAGGAATGTTACAGCTGTCCAAGTACCTGTGTGGAATCCGAGCGTAGCAGGGTTAGTCATGATTTGGATGAAAACAGAAAAGATAAAGAGGCTTTTTCGGGTTGGACCTGCACCTTATGATGCTGTCCAGACAGTTGATCTGCTGATAGGAGTAGCCAGTAGGGGGGTCTTTCTGTACAAGGGCTGTAGGGACCAAAGATTTGGGTGGTTTGGTCAGATCAGCTATCAAACCTCTAATGGGGTCACTGGGGAGGGCTTTGATGCCTGCTGCTGCGCCTGGATGAGGAATAGAGAGAGACAGAAAATGGACACGGTTAAAGGCCGGGTTTCATCCTACTCAGTGAAGCAGCTTTAACGTTCTACTGTTGGGATGAATGTCATTTGCTCTGGAAAAGAGATTTGATTTTACCTGCACTTGTGTTTTTTCTGGGCGGCGGCCGGTTACGGGACTCGATAAACACCTGCTGCCCGTTTGTCTTCACCATGTGAACATCTTTGCAGATCTGCTGGAACGTCATCTGGGGGTTAAAAAAAGGCATCGAAATTTTCTTTAATTCACCATTTTTTAAAACATCAAGATATTTGACTTTTAATTTCAGGTAAAAAAACTGGAGATTTAAACTCTGTGGTAATTCAGACTCACTGGTTTGTGTAAAGCGACGGTCTTGTCCATGGCGGGCCCGTTGCTGTCGCTGGACGAGGCGGCAGAGGCGCTGAGGTGCTGTTGGTGCGAGCGTCTGGAGCCTCGAGAGCCGCTTGAGCCGAGCGAGCTGTAGCCCTGGGAGCCGCCGCTGTGCACCGGCTGCACCAGGATCCTGTGGATCTGCTCGCTGAGCTGGACCACGTCGGGCGTGGTGACCCGGCTTTCGTAGCCTTGCGGCATCGTGAACACATCTTCGTTCAGGGGGCTCCTGAAGGGACATCAAAGAATATGTTTGAGGACCGGAGACACAATAGATAACTTCATTCAAAAACTATTCAGTCAACAAGTTCTCTTACGTTCTGACTTTGTGGCGTCCAACAATGAAGGCCACCTTCCTGCTCCACGGGTTCACAAAGGAAGACCAGCTGGTGTCGATGGTCAGATATTCCCCGCTGCGGGCGCACATCCTCAAAGGAGAAAATTCAAACGGCTGCCCTGCGAACTGAAAGACTGAAAGAGAAGATAACGCAGGAGTGTTAACACGAGACCAGCAGAACAGAACATCGCAGGAAAAAAAGCCCCTAATCTTGTAAATGTCGTCTGTGTGTCCACAATAGACTCACTCTTCTCATGGATGGCCACCATCATCGGTCTGTCTTCAGGGTGGATGTAGAGCAGGGTAGGAGTTCCCACCAAGTCTTGAGGCAGGTAGCCTAACAACGGCACCGCCCTGAAAAATACAACATATTTACAGCCTGTTAGACATGAGAAGTTTATTTTTAGAGAAGAAAACAGAGCGGTTTGAAGTTAACCAGCCTATCAGCGTGAAGCCTACTGACCTCTCGTCCACCTCCTGGAAGAGGCAACTGGGAGTGTGACTGGTTGTGAAGATCCTCTTGTCTGGAGGGATACGAGGAGCTGCGAGGGGCAAAGAGACGACAGATGAGACGTCTTATTTCGAGGGTGTTCACTTCTATAAAGTCACTTTTATTTCATCATGTGGCGTCCATGTCAAAAGTCAAAAGCAGCCTTTTTCATTTCCTTCAAGAATATTCTACTTGACATCAATCAGGATATCATGACTGTCAAATCTTATCTTGTTGCTCAAATGCATTTACACCCGATCTTGAGAGAAACAACTCAAATATGTTGCCATGTGATAATCAGAGATCTAGAGCGGCTGTGGTGCCAGGGTTACTCTGACATCACTTTATCAACGCCGCACAGCCACAATACAAACATGCCGAGGAGGAGGAGCGTGGCTTTGTTTTTACACACTACAAAAGATCTTTGAAATACGATGAAATAAACGGACAAATACCCTCATATCCGGAGTGGACCCTCTCTGCGATGAGCAGGCAGCAGGGCTGAGGCTCAGCGGCGTCAGAGTCTCTGATCGTCAGCTGATACGGCGTGAGGCGGAAAGGGTAGTAGCGGATCTCGCCGCCCTGCGTCCGGTCGGCGCTGATCCGACAGAACATGGACTTCTCCTGAGTGCAGTCCACTGGAGATGAAGCTGAAGGGGCAGAGATGAGGAGGAGGAGGAGGAGGGTCAGAGACTCATCCAAATAAAGATCATAATCTCTCTACACTGTGTCACACCAATTATTCTATTTTTCACAGCGAGTTCAGCTCACCAGATCCGATGCAGGAGGCCCAGGGTGGCAGGCGGCAGGGCGCCGTGCCGCTGTAGAAAGTGCTGACGTCCTGCGGGGCTAAAAGCTCCGAAAACATGGTCCCCTGGAGATACTCGGGCTTGCAGCGAAGCAAAGAGGAGCCCTGAGGTGAGACGTACACGACCTTACCCGACAAGAACGACACGGCCATGGAGAAAGTGTCCTGAGAGAGGAAAAACAGAGGAGGACAGAATTTGGAGTTATTCTTAAAACCTGAGGGTGAAATTGCAATAATGTGTTTGGATAAGAAGAACTTAAATTAAAGGTGAACAGCCTTTATTATGGAGCAGAGATAAATGAGTATTTGTAAGATCTTACTGTGTTTTTGAGAGTGTATTCTGAGGTGATGTTGTCGAGCTCTTCAATAGTGAAAGCAGACAAGTCCAGACTGCAGCCGTGACACTCCTCCACACTCCACTGATGGTAGTACTCCTTGTTGGCTGGAACAAATCCAACATAAATCATTTAGGGGGGGTGACCCGAGGTAAAGACAGTTATATCACAGCGACCATCGCTAACAGGCTAAAGTTAGAAAAGAAACAAGAATCCTCTCCTCACCTCGCACTTGTTTCACACACTGCAGGGCGTACTTGAGCGCGTTCAGGGTGCTGGAATGACCTTTGGCCTTGCGCTCGCTCGGCAGGCGCAGCTTCAGCTCCTTGATGGCCTTCATGAGCTCCTTCTGGGTCTGGACCCGGGCGGACTGGTCGCTGCTGCAGCCAGACGTGGAGGGGGGGTCGTGCTCGGAGCTGGTGGACAGCAGGCTGTAGGCCAGGGAGCCGCTGGGTGGGGAGAGGCTCTGGGAGTTTGAGCTGAGGGAGAGAAGGGAGAGGGCAGATGAGGTGAAGAGAATGACATCATGGACTGTTCTGGTGGAGGACTGCCCAGACCAAGTCGGACTATTTCTGTTTATGCTTGCACCATTTTTTAAGTATGTTATAATAACAGAAGAATTTAACATATGCTTCTAATTTCTTGAAGTGAGTGTGATGAAAAACTGTTGAAGGAAAGGCTCTGCAGAAAAAGACTCTTTAGTTTTTAAATGTTGGTGGTTTGAAGGTTTTGAAACATGAATTTGAGTTTTGTTTAGACTGACAGTTCATGTTGGGTAAATCTTTGACGGTGTGTTAATACATAAAGAGGATTTCCTCCTGACTCACCTCTTGTTGCTCTCCGTGGTCTCCAGCATCATTCCCGAGTCCTTCCCGTTCGACGAGCTGTTAGAGCTGCGCGTCGACTGCCTTCCCCGTGACCCGTTCTCCCTCTCCATCCCTCCTTCGCTTTCTCGTTCCCCTGAGTCATTCCCGCTTGAGAGCCCGTCCATATCGTCCGAGTTTGGCCCCCTTCCGTGTCCGGAGGAGCTCCCGGACCCTGACCCTCCGCTGGGGGAGGACCCTCGCTCCGCTCCCCCTGCGCCTCCTTGCTCCTGAGTCTGGACATTGGCACCGCTCTGCCCGCCGCTGGTTTTCGGAGAGTTTAACCCTTCAGACTCTGCGTCCTGCTTGTGGTCTTTCTCGTCGGCCCTCGCCACTCGCCCCCGAGTGCTGCTACTGGGCGTTTTAGAGTTGTCATAACTCATACTAGAGTAGAATGAGGCTGGAACAGCTTGTTTGAGGGGGGGCAGGAAAAAAACGTGGATTTAAGTGGGACTACTATGTATCCCGGGATGAATCATAATTGCTTGCTGGTTGTTAAAAGAACTAGGGAGAGAAACGCATTGCCTCATGTGCTCAAAAAAGGTGAGAAAGTGAGGCCTCTCAGTCTGTAAATAAGGGTTCGCTTTTGCAGATTCTCAGCCAGTTGTGAATATAAACAAAAAGCGATTCTTTCGAGGAAAAAGTGTCACTTAAAGGCGTGTCCTCAGATGGATCCGCCTTGGCATAAGCACATCCAACAGATGGAGTAAGTGCTGGTGAGTGAGAGTGAGAACAACAGCTCTCAGTGTTCAGAAGAGAAAAAAAAACGACAAATGTCTTTGTCACTCTGGTCTTTTTGTCGCCTCCTTGAAGATGTATCGCTCTCTGTGATAAAGGCCACCTGACATGTCAGAAACAAAGAGAGAAGAGGAAATTATATCAGCTGCAGGATTACACAATGCTTCATAGTGTCTGTGTAAAACAAAACAACAACAAAAAAAAAAAAAAAAAAACAAATTTCTCATGATTGGTTTATCTTGTTGGCCTTGGAAGGAGACTCAAACATGGCCATGATGAATGTTTTCACTGGAGGTTTCTCGCTCCAGCTGTGAGCAGAAGTCACCTCCTCTTAAAAGAACAGACAATAATCTCTGATTTGCATGCAGCGTGTACGTATGTGTGCATCTGAATTAAGACCCGGTGAGCATGTGCTGGAGTCAAATTAACACAGGACATCAGTTGGTCGTCATGGCTTAGTCCACTTTTACCCAGATGACGGTCACAACAAACGGAACAGCAGGTTGACGGGGACAAAGCGCACAGGTGGAAGGTTGTTTATAAACAAGGGTTCGCTTGTGAATAGCATCTGCGAGTTTATAAATGGCCCGCACCTACGCAAGTGAAAGTCTATTGCTATTTATTTCCCGTACACGGGAGACGCCCCGTAATCCCTTAATCCCCGCAGACGCAACAGGAGTTGACAAATCCTGTCAAGTGTGTACACCTGGCTGCCCCACAACCCCCTTTACCTGCCTCGCTTCAGGTGAGCCGCGATGCTTTTAGGAGGGGTCATAATTTGTTCAGGACATTTTCAATTAGAGCGCAGACGAATGTGGGCTTTTTCTGACGCGGTCCTGCTGGTTTGAGAGATCAACTATTTGATCTGACGAGAGGATAACAGCTGATGACAAATTCAACGGAAATAGCAGAAACAAATGCAATGACCACGGGGAGTTGAAAAGGTTACTGGTAATGCTGAAGGGTACAGAATGACAACAATACCATCAGAACTGGTACCAGGAAGGAGAAAATGGTATCAGCCCATCTCTGAGTAAAATGCAACCATCTTCCAGTGTAATGCCAATCAGCACTATGTTTGGTCAGATGGATGATACACTCTTTGCACATGGCGGGTTGTGTGTTCTTCGCTGACAGGGCTGAGGGGCCGGAGTAATTATGGGAATATGCAAGCAGGGTGCGAGTGGGCGTTAAGGCAGCTTGGCATCCATGCAAACTTCCATGGGTGATGGGGAAGACACAAGGCAGTGGGCGGAGGTGGCAGTGGGGATTCATGTTCAGATACTAGAATACCTGGATATGTCACCCACGTGCTCAACTAACCGTGGGCCATTTGCTTACACAGAGAGAGCATCTCTTAGATTAAATTTTCAGTGTTGAAGCCGAAGAATGCAAGACAAGACACACGGTCAGGCACGACTGTGACAGTCAGATCCCCGCCTACATGTGGTTTCCGGTTCACCTAACACACATGTCTATGGCCTGTAGAGGGGAAACCCACACAAACACAGGCAAGTCCACAAGTCTGAAGCCATGATTGTAAGGTAACAGTGCAAGCCAATGTCGCCCACTCGCTCCATTTATTTACAGGAAATGCACTCAGTCTCTGATTATGCAAATTGTAGCCTATGTTATAGTGAGGATGTACATGAAAATCGTTTGCAGCCCATACAAGACTCTCAGTGGTACCTTAGCCTCTATTTAACATTCACACTCTGGACACTAATTTCTGAAATACTAGGATTCCTTTAGTAACTGAGTATTACTGCCATTAGCTGCGACACACTGCTTAAAGGTTGACAATTGAGAGATTAATAATTATTATGAACCTCATTAATATGGCAGTCATTGTCCTATAGTGGGATCTCTACAAAGTGAAGAGAGGAAAGAATGGAAGAAAACAGTTCACCCTAGCAACTGCAGGGCTGCAAAAACATTAACCAATGGGAGCCATACGTCCTGGACAGCTCCTATTGGTCAATCTCTAACTCCGCCTCTCCATCCAATCACCTCGCTGAATTTGACACACCCCTCTCCCGTAGTTCCGACTCGTCCTCTCGCTCTCTCCCGGCCGCGATATTTTTTTTCGTAGGATGGTAGGGGAAGGTCCCGCCTCCTTCGCCTCTGATTGGCTAGAAGAGCTGGGCTCCGATTGGTTATCCCTTTGAAACGGCTGTGAAACGTCATCACAAGCTCGAGCCGAAAAAAGTTTTGCCTCGCGGCCCTCCTTGAAGCTCTGAGCGGCTAAAATGGAGCAGCAGCTTAGCTACAGGAGCTGTGATGGGGAAGGACGGAAAAAAACACTTCTACTCGCCCCACCGCCAAAAAGTTGGAAGAAAAAAAGTGAGGACTTTGACTCGAATAAACAGCCGGTCATCCTTCGAGCGGTGGAGAAAGTTCCGCGAGGAAAACGGACGCCGAGACAGCAGAGTTTTCGTTGAACAGGTAATTTTTGCCTTTTACCGTGGTACATGTTACAGAAATAACTCTTATTAGTCTGTACAAAGTCAACACGGTAGCTGTCTAGGCAGCTGCAGACGGTGCTCGCGACCAAAGCTGGCGTTAACTGCCGCGAGTCACTAACAGTCCGACATTTTGAATCCTATTTGAAGCTAGTGCAGGATCTTCTGCCGGCCGGCTTCTTGCTCTGACAGAGGGGGTGTGTCGTGAGGAGGGTGATCCAAGTTATCGAAGAGCACAGAGGGGAGACGTTTGTGTGTGTGGGGTTTGGGATGCTTGTTTCAAATCTGCCATAACGGCTCAGTTTTTTTTCAACTGCTTCTCAGATCGTCAACCATGCCTTAAAGCTATGAAAAGGATAAGTTTTAAGTTGATGTGAAATGTATGCTGAGAATGTGGATGGCCTGAAACCTGTTTCTCTCCCATCTTCTCAGTAGTTGTAACACAAAACATATCAAAATACAGGAATTATGATTATACAAATTGCTAATTATTACAATATTTCACAAGAGCAATATGTGGCATTTTTAAAACTTTCAAGTGAATAAAAAACTTATTATCTGAATATAGTATTTCAAAAACCAACCTCAACTTTTATGGGATCATAACACTGGGATCTGCATTTGTATTTATCACACTGTATGTACTGATAACATAGATATTCCAGTACTAGTAATTAAAAAGGAGGTCAGCCAATGAACTCTTTATGATGCCATCACTAAATTGTATACATGGTTATTTTAGCTAGTAACATTTTTAGATGGATTTTGATTTATCGCGGAAAAACAAATAACTTTGGGTGACACTACACTTTTCAGAGCATGGCTGAAATTCAGGCATCAGCTTATGCTGATTATCAGAAGGCCGTTGATTATTCTGATTGATTAATCGGCCTGACTTTAATACTAACTCTAAGACTCAAACGCTGTAGCACTTAATCTTGACATGTCTGGTCAAATGCATTAACTTTAAATGTAAAATCTTTTAAAATTAGTTTTTGGCCTAAATCATCTCTTGAGATGAAACTCAAAAACTAATTTTCGTCAAAAAATGACTTAAGCATTTTGTCACCCTATTAAAACATGGCTTAAGTAAAATATTGCGATAAAAGTTAAGAAAACAGCAACAGATCTAGTCTGTTTAAACAAGTTAATCATGTATTTATGATCGTAGAACCTAAAACGTCAGGAATCTGGTCATATGTTGCATCTGAGCCATGGTAGTCACCTGCAACAAGCCAGGGTGGTAGCTTCAGTTAATGGCTACTGCTACCATCGTGTTTGAATAACCTACTACCTGACTCACACCAGCACAGATGGCAGTATTTTGATCATGATTAAGTTGTAAACCGGCATATAACCATTTTATTGACTTTGGCAGGGACTGGAAGTTCCATGTTTAGCTGAGTCAAGTAAGAACAGTCAACGAAACTCCTTTGTTCCCACTGCTATAAACATGGTGAATAAACAATACCACCGCCAATCCACTATTTAGTACCAGCACAGCATAAGAATAATGTCACTACACTCCATAATATTATGTGTTTCTATCATTTTAACGTTTCTGAGTATTGTTTTAGTTGCTTTTACGAATGTTTTCTGGGTCAGTCGTCTTGGGTTTGTATCGTATTGCAAGTTCTAATCAGAAAACCCAACTTAAGCTACGCTGTTTTTAGTCATAAAAATAAACCCTTTCAGAGAGGATGCAGCATGCAAGTGTAGAAACTGCTAATTTTCTGAGAGCGCACTGCAAACAATCTTTTCATGCAAAGTCGCCTAAGTAAACACTCAATTTGTTTGATGAATACAAAGAAAGAACAGCGATGTTATGGTCACAGCTGAAATGATGAATCAGCGTAATGATTTGCGAGTAAGCAGATGAATAAGAGTTTTTTTTTCTTAAAATGTACTAAGCACAGTTTGAATGTCTCGTATAATAAAATGGAATTGCTTTTTATACACACTGGATATGGATCTATGGATCATATCAAAATGATATTGATCAAAATCAAACCAAACAAGCTGTTTAAGGACATCCCCTTAGACTAAAAATTAATGATCATTACAGACAACAGACAGATAACCACGACCACTATCAGAGGGGTAGCTGCAGCCCATACAAACGATGCAGATAAACACAAATGTTGTATTGCCCTTAAAATGTCCAAAGCCGAACAAGATTTCCTTCAGTGACTCTAAATCACACGCCATTCATTGCTCATGTCCGTTTATGACAATCATCTATTGTACTAAGCTGCACGACAAAGAACAGGATGCTCCTAAGATCGACAAGATCAATAACGATATGAAAGTCTACGGTCACTACGTGCTTTACTCCACAGACATCACACCGCACAAAGGGACACTCCCTGTCCAAAACAAGTCACCTGAAAGGAACCCGAGGTAACCTGAAACACTTCCCCGCTGCGGCAAAGTGTGGCGTGGATCCGTGCGTGACCACGAGCGAACTTGTCCGCCTGTCACACCGTTGCCCATAGCCCGGTCACATCACCTTGTATCACCATAAGCCTACGATAAGTTAAATTTATCAAAACATGCATAAAAATGTACCTTTTTATTCCTTTAGTGCGCTCTGAGCGTCCGTGGAACAAACCCACAAATGTTCAGCTTGTCTCGTCCAGTGTACGAATCTCAACTGCACCACAGCTCTGTACCGCCTCTCCGCTGTGTACATTTCCGCACGTGTCCACAACAGTGTTTTCCGCGAGCCTCGACGGCCGCTGATTGGTCGGAACGTCAGGCCAATGAGAGAGAGCGTGAGAAAGGAGGCTGTCCTGCCTGCGGCTCGCAGAAACTGTGCCAGACGCTGGCCCCAGATCAGCCTCGATGTGTGTCGTTGGAAAAGCAGAGCAGTGGGTGGGTTTAGACGAGCTGATTCAAGACCAGCGAGTGGGGAGGAGCGCGCGGAGTGTACATGATGTACATTTACGAGACAATGAGACACGCGCCAAACATGAGTTTGTAGGGAGGATAAAAAAAAGCGTTCGCACCATGTTCATGATATTTCTTGCTGTACGAGGGATTATATAACAATGTACCAGGTTACTAAATTATTCTCTACAAACATCCGGGGACATTTCTGAGTATATTATTAGAAAAAGCACAAGTACCTTATGCTCTTCACAAATCCCTGTTGAGGCATCATTGAATTTTCTTTGCACATATTGTACATAAGTGAAAAGAGTCATACCTAAGGTGCTATTGAAAAGATAAATCATTGTTCTGATATTTCAATAATTAAAATAAAGTCATACTGTGAAAAGCAGAACTCATTTTACTACCTTGTTTAGGTCACCTTGATAAGTCAAACAGCATGTTGATATTGCGCTGATTTAAAGAAAAAACATGACCAAAAAATAAAAAAAGGTTGGACCTTAATGTGCAAAAAATCAGTTCAGAAACACTTTGTTCAGTCTGAATAATCTAAATATCCCTTCCAGGTTTTAGGGTTTAGGGTTAGACCCCGGGACCACACCTAAAAACCACAGCCTTAAAGTTATGAGTATCACCTGATTAGTACCTTTGCATGATGTTACATGCAAATAAATCATATGTTCTCTGTGTCACTGTGCCTAAGCTTTGTCATGGGGGGGTAACACATTCAGTCAGCTATTGAAATACTCTTCTGCCAATGACAGCTAAGGTACATGACACATTACAGTTTTGACATTCACACAAAGCTATCCACTACTGTACTGTACAGAAGTTCTTTATGCTATGACAGAGTACTAAGCCTATCGAAAAAAGAAATTAGGATTCTGTGATAAGAATAAACTTGTAAATTTACAAAAAAATGGGCTTAAATTTAGGCTATGGTTAACATGTAATATTAAGTTAATTTTAAGTTGATTTTTTTCCCCTCCTGATTTATATAAATGAATTATTGTAATTAGTTCTAATTCCTTGATGCTGCCCGTATTCTCCATTGTAGTAGTCAAACATAAACTCCTGAATATTTCCAGAATTTTTCCAGGCCACATTTTTCACCTTATCTTTTCCAGACTTTTATCTGCAAGCCCCCCCGGATGACAATTTCACAAGAGGTTGAGTTGAAAACCAATACGAGAACGCAGCAGTTAATAATCAGGAAAATTTACCAGTATTTATTCTGTGTACATCTTGACTGTGTTCCAGTTATCAGTCAAGTGGCTCCCGTTACTGGTAGCACTGCTAGCTTTACCACACAATAACCACACACTAAGTGATAGCTCATGAAAACATGTTGACAGATAAAAACTGGTTGATGATTGGTTAAATTACACAAAACAAGACAAAGTTGCTGATAAACACCATTAAAAGGGCAGCTGTTTTGGAGTTGACGCTGGGGACAACCATCTTAGATTTTGAGCTTCAAGGGGGCTAATCCAATGTTGTATCAAGTGGGAATCTCAGAATTGCATCATATGCATCATAACACTGTAGTTTACTTAAAAAGGTCACTTCATGTAGACCAAGAGCATTTACAGCTGGGAGGGACATGTGTGAATTCTGAAAAAAAAAACTCACGGGCAGACTGAGCAGAAATTGTTTGGAAATTCCCAGAAGTGCACTTGTGAAAAAGGAGGTATTAACCACATGGGTTCATACACGGTTCAGTATTGATTTTTCATTCAAAACGCCTCAGTCATCTATGTGATACAACTACTTTGCCACCATGACAGCCTAGTATTTTTTAAAAAATCTGAAATAGTAAAATTATACTCACACAGCTCAACATGTGTTGGTGTGCCTGCTTTGTTGAGTGATTGTTCTTTTTCTTTTCTCAGCACTTCCAGCATCCCAGTAATTACAGATCAACTAAATGAGGGAGCATTCTTAGGTATTTAGAAATGCACACATCATTTTCAGCTCAATAATTTCTTAAACTACAACCTCACAATGTTAAATTAACCCAAGACTTGCTCATGGGTGTTTTTTGTTTGCAGCCACTGAAAATAAACTGATATTTTCATCCACATCCACTGTAATAAATGCACATGTACCAGCATGTTTCCAGGGGAGAGGGTGCAGCTCTTTATAGTACTTGGCATGGATATATAAAAATGTCTTAAAGTGACCTTGTGTGAATTAGAGCACGGCACAGCCTCTGTTTTAAAGAATCCTTCATATCATATGAAATTAAATGGCCTCCTAAGCTTTAAGACACTTAAACTAGTAAATATGACAGGTTATGGAGACAAAACCAAAAGCAAAAGATGTTGATAATTAACATGGAAAAATTATGACCATATCAGTCTCAACCCACAACTCAGACTTGCTCAGTGTTAGTCTGTAATGTCTGTCAAGTTTCAGCTATGAACAAAACCCAAGCCAAATTTTCAAGCCTATAGCATAATGGAGAAAATTCAATAACATCCACAGCACATAATCAAGGTTTCATAAATAATGCAGTGTCATTAGCCTGCCAGAAAAACTAAGCACAGAGGCAGGTTCTGATATGCTGTCAAATAAAGCCCAACAAACAATATTACATTAAAATCAAGAGAGTAATTCTGGTAAATCTATCTTCACAACCCTGTGGGACAACCTTTATCTCAGAGGGCAAACAAAACTAAATGAGAAAAACAGATAAAGAATTGGCACCGGATGAGGCTGAGACTGGTGTGAATCTGCACTCCAACCTTAAAATAATCATCTTAAACGTTAAGACAACCATCATTGACAAAAACACAAGAACCTCTGCCACTTAAGACACCTTGAAGAGACACTTGTGAGTTATTTCCCGGAAGCTAGTGTGTAGACCAATCCTCATGATTGCTTTATTATAGTCAGAGACCATGGAGGACACTCAGACTCATCCGCCTACCAATCCACTTTCTGTATATCTGTTCTCTTTTTGTTTTTCACCATTTTAGGGCATAGCAGATTTAGTTTATAGGGGAAACCTCTGAGTAGCACAGTTTTGCTGCTCTCTTCTCACCCATCAGAGTCGAAGCAAATTATTTCTCTCAGTGTGATTCTAGTTATCGATATTTGCTTCTCCTGCTTATGAGGCTGACTCAGTCCATTGAATGCATATGATCATGAGGTTCACACAACTACTGCTACTGCAGCCTGTAATCTCACCTCTCTTGCACAGTTTTTGCACAATCATCTAAAGAAGGTAGATAACTGAGTAAACAAACACAGTTATTGAAAAGGGCTTCAGAGATGCTTCATGAGCAATCTGTCAAATGCCACATATCATGACATGGATGCCAGCTTGCCACTCTATGCACGACACCAGCTGGGTGTTAAAAAAACATGCAAATTGGTCCACTGACAACATACAAGCATTGCTCGATTGGAAGCAGGAAAGCCTTGGATGCAGCCTTTCTGCGCTGCTTTGTGCAGCTGCTGCAGGGAATTTGCAGCTGCACATTACACATGCATGGGTGGATTGTAACAGTTGTCATTCACAGGACATTATTCGATTGGCTGGATGCGCTGTGTACAGACCTGACTTTAAAAAATGTATTTCGCAGGTGTTAGGAGCCCAGGAATTTCTAACCAACATCTGAATGAACGTCTACTGTGGTCAACAGATACCGAGCCAATAACAATACTAATTTAAGTTGATTGTAAGAGCCGAAGTGAAACACATCCTTGCAGTTAAGCCAAAATAGCACACGACTAAAGTACTCACTTTTATGCTGTAGACATAACTGGTCAAATGCTGAATATCAGATCCAATGCCCAGTAATAATAATATATAAAAACTTAGTAACAAATGCAGTTGAGCTGATGATGTGTCACAGAGATAAAAAATACTAAATTAAATCCAACAAAAATGCTGTAGTTAACTCAGAGAAGGAGGAAGTATCAAATCAGAGTAATCAGCCTAGTATCAATGTTCTGCTGTCGCAAGCATACCGCACGTAGCCTACTGTACAAAATGATCCTAACCTGTACGTGACAGCGTCCCTATTAGGTTGTGCAATGTTCACATTCATGCCCACACTACTACTTAAACGAAAAGTCAAAAAATAAAAACAAAATTGAAATAAGTGTAATTTTGTTTTCATACGCCTGTTGTGTTGTCACTATACAAACAGATATAACACATTTATTACTGTGACGGCGTCGTCAGCACAAAGCGATATCTAATGAGTACAATAAGAGCATGTTTTACCCTTAAATCTAGAGAATATGCACTCGATTAGTGCCCGAGAAGCCGAACACGATTGTAAGTATAAAAGTATACAATAAAAAGTGAAGTGGGTTAAATGAAGTATAAGCTGCTGTTCGGACATTGGGGCACTAATAGCAAGTAAGTACGTTAGCATGCTAGCTAACGTGTACAAAGCACCAAAATGCAACAAGCTTACCTTTAAAATGCCTTTATGTTGATTGCAGCGTTGACATCACACGATTCTATGGCAAAAGTTTCAAAACAAACAGCGTAAATGTCGATAGCTTCGACTGTCTTTGTTTAACGGTCTGTATCTGCTATCGGTGCACTCTGTTCTTCCCCAACAGTAGTTTACACGCAGGGGTACACGTGCCGGTACATGGTCTGTCAAGTAATGTTGAAACAGTCACAGCGATTGGACAGCACGGCGCAAAGTGCCCGCCTCAATAAAAACCGGTGCGTTTTGATTGGCTGGTGGGGGCGGAGCTAACTGCACGGGGCTCGATGGTCACGTTGCAGGGTGACTGGTTCTGTGTACCTTTCCAAACACACTGGAACACGAGAGGGCGTAGACCGTGCCCACACCAAGTGGGACAAGTTGAATTGACCATAATATATGTAATATCACCGCAAGAGCGTATTCTGTTGGGTACTGCTGAAGTTTTCTTAAACTTCTCTCAGTTTTTTTTTAGATGGTATTTGCAAATTCACCGGTGTAACTTGTCGCAAAACAATCTCAAATATAAGAATTCACAAGTTATTCAATTCCGGGAATAACCAATGACTTTTTTCGGGTCAATAAATGCTTAGACTGTGACTTTTAGTGATTCTATTCATGATTCTGTAATTAATTTCTAACTGTAGATTAATCTGGAAACGGTAGTTGTATTTTTTCTTAATTCTTAAATATAATCTGTAACATTTAATGGTTCTCTCAATGTCCACCCCATACAATATGTCGAAACTATTGACACACTTGTTTCTGGTTGCAGTAAGGAAGCCACACTGCTTATTGTCAACATATTTACCGTTTTTAGCTCCGACACTTATCAAGCTGATTAAGACTTCAAATTCTTCAAATAAGAGGCGATGAAATGCTTTTCCCTCCTTTTTAAAATTAAAATTACAGGCTTGCCTTTTGCATCTTGAAAATGATCACTAAAGGAAACTGATAAGTGAGTCAAAGTAGGTGATAAATCATCCATCAATTTCAAACTATTAGAAAAAGTCAGTTTCCCTCAAAAACCTTACTTTTCAAAAAACTTTATCCTTTATCGCAAGAGTCGTGGTTGAAGAAGAATTTGTGTTGCGCGTTTTGCTGCGAACTTACGGATGCGATGTTCCCAGGCATGCACATTTCAACGTGCTCTCTGTACAGTGACGTCACTTGTTCTCCTTGCTCCCACTGAAGGCACGCGGCAGACGGTGTGGTTGTTCAGTCCCAGTAAACAGTGCAGATGTAGGGCGCATGCTAGTCAGCAAATTGGCATTACTACGACAATGGCGCAACAGTCTTTATTTTAAATGGCCAAATTGACGTAAACAGCCACAAAGGGTTCGGACCAGGTAAGTATATCCCCTTACCAATTTGGGCAAAGCCTCAAAATATCAGCAGAAGCTTGTTTTCCTTAAAGCATATATGTTGCACAGACATAAAATAGTGAAGTAAAATGAAGGTACACATACAAGTTTTTAGGCCATATCAACCAGGGACATAAAATTAGCCTCTGTTCTCATTGCCTTCATTTGGCAAGATATTCTCAATAACTAGAAACTCCCCCCTGTTCTGCTCAGGTCAGTGGTTTACTTGGCCTCTCTGCCATTGGTTGCTATTTTGTACTTTGTGTCTCAGTTTGCTTTTTGGAATAAACAGCTGTGATACACAAATAGGTTTTTGTGCAGCCTCATAATATTGTCCCCATATAGCTTCTCAGAGCAAAATGAAAATAGTTCTACTGCAATTCCTGGAGAGCTGTTTTGGTAAACTGTTTCCTTGTCTAATTATGTTTGAGTTGGAGTATCAGATTTACACCTCCTCTGAAGGTGTGTTTCCATCGGACTGGTTGGATATTAGTTAAAATATGGAACATTTCATTGGTTGAGCTGTACTCAGCCAACTGGCCAATAGTCTGATGTGAGAGTTTGGCACCAGCTGCTGGCAGGTGCTCAGGTCCACATCTTGTTACAGACTGACAGAACAGTACACTGCATCGACTTGTTTACCGGTTGCTTGATTAAAATCAAAGTCAAGGCTTTTCAGTGCTGATACAAAGTTAGACTTCTAATCCATACAACCCAACCAAGTCTCTGGTTGCCATCCAAGTGCAACTATGATGCTTCATACATCTATAAAAACATTGGGAAAAATATAAGAAATGCACATCTTTTAAAATCAAAACAGGATTTGGAGGATAAATACATTAATGTTAAAATACGCATTCACCATTTGAGTCTTTAAACTACAAGTAGTAAGTAGACTGTGGCCCAGTAGATTAAAACATTGAAGATGAAAACTTCCACTAGAGGGCAGCATTTCTCAACTCTAATAGCAGTGGACTGCCAGACTTTATATTTTATGAATTTCCCTTTCCTCAACTTTCAAGTCAATTTAAAACAAAGAGTATACAGTAAAAGTATTTTATGATACTCGTGGATGTAATCCCCTAAGCATATAAATATATTTTGACTACTTCTTGAAAGTTTTGTTTTACATGAACTTAAAAGTCTCAAATCTGTTTCTGGATTCATATTGGTCTGACTGGCGACATTAGAGAGAACAGTCATTGGGTCAAAGCGCCCTCTAGTGTTTAAAGACTCTGAACTGCAACTCACAGCTCGTTTTCGAGAAGACTTCGGTAATCAGGGCACCTGTAACTCCTGATCGCGCCGGAGCACGGGCGTTTACCGTAATTACCCATTTACATATGCAATTGGAGCGGCTGGGTTGTCTCCGAAAAAATGAGGAGCGGCTGGTATGACCACTGTCGAATAAAAAACATCTTCCTGGTGAGTGTCACAAAATGAGTGCGAGCTGACGGTAAGTCTTCGTCCTTCTTCTCCATAAATTAAAATACATGTATGTTGCTGTTTAAGAGTGACTTAGAAATACAGTTTGTATATAGTATAGTTGTGCTTTCGTTTTTAGTCATCTGTTGTGGTTGTCATTGACCAATTGTATATGATGTAACGAAGCATAATTGCACTCCACCTTGTCGAATCAACGACCTGCATACTTCATGTAGAGATTGTCACGAAGAACTCTTTACGTTTGTAAACCTTTTTCAAAATATGAGCTTTCACACTTCAACATATTCTGTTTTTTGCAAATACAAAATGACTGCCTTATTTACTTATAAATTATTTCTGGTTTCAACTTGTGACTAATGCTAAAAAGTATACTAATTTATAGAGGCTGAAAATAACGATAATTTTAACAAACAAAAGTCTGCTGCACTTTTTAAAGGGACTTTTTTTTTAAGACGCAGACTTTTTTGTTTGCTTTGAGGTAATGGGAATCTAGTGCGTCAGGAGAACACAGGGAGTAACATCGCCCCCTCCTGGACAACAGGAGAGCCCAGAGAGACTTCAGTGAGGCTGTAAATCAAAGTTATGACACTTGATCATTAATGAGATGTCACCCTATTGTGAAGGTTTCATGAATGTTTTTGCGTCAGTAGGAGATTCAAGAGGCGGAGAAATGAGTTCCAGAAAGCGAGCAATTGAGGATGTGACAGTTGCCAAGAAGAAACAAAAAGGTAAATAAAAGAAAATGGTTGACTCAGGTCAATTTCTGATTCACTGTTTACATTCTTGTTGTAATTTGACATGTAGAAATAAACCGAAGAAGGTCAACAATGATGTGTTTTTATTCTCTGAAAGGGAATCCACCTATGGCACACCATGGTCTGGAAAATCAGGGAGCCACATGTTATCTCAACAGTGTCCTGCAGGTTCTCTTCATGACCACTGAGATCCATGACAGGTTTGACACAGTTGGCTGCAGGAAATAAACTTTGTTTTACTGAGTGCTACTTGTAAGCTCATCCAGCAGGTGGGGCTGTCTCCCACTTGAGGATGATTGATTGAAAGAATGATACTGATGTGTTATTTCTTATTATAGGGCAAGTATCTCCATGGAATATATTTTGATTTCACCAGACAGTAAAAAGTTACCTGTACTAACTTTATTTTGAAGGTTGGATCCAGATAAAAAGCTCCAGGTCGCAGATGAGGAGCTAAGAAACCTCTTTGCACAACTAAAAGAAACAACATGTGGAACAGAAAACATCACAAAGAGTCTGAAGATTGAGAATGGTTTGTTCATTGGAGATCAGTAAAACCCTTTTGAACCAGATCAAGGGGGGGGAATCGAACGGGTGGTTCAGGTTATGAAAAGCATGAATGGCTTTTGTGTTCAAATTCTGATTTATTTTCAGTTGGTCAACAACGTGATGCGGCTGAGTGTCTGGAGATGATTTTACACAAGGTCAGCTCAGGTGTCACCGAGGTGAGTGTGAAGAGAAAAATATCAGAGAATGATAAAGTTGTAGAGTCAACTGTCTGTTCAACTTTAAGAAATCAGGGGATTACAAGGTGCAACTTTCCCTCATCCTAAAATGAGATGATTTCATTAATCATAATGTTGTCTCTTAAGGTTTTTAAAGGACAGCTGAAACACACCACAACATGCTCCGAAGGCCACTGTATCATCGAGGAGATGTGTCCCTTCCTGACTCTTCCGCTGTCTCTGAGAGGTACCAGCGATCAAAGTCAAGAAGCGAGCTACAGTGTGGTGAGCAACTGAAATAGTGGCCGCTATTTCTTTAGTGACATCTCCAACCAAAGGGGGGTTGCGAGCTGTCCAGATTTACCTCTGGAGTCCATTGTTTTGATTTCCTCAGTCACTGCTTAACTTAAGAAGAGTAGTGATTTATCTTAAAGCCCCTGTGAGGAGTTTATTGATGCTTATAAAATAAACAGAAATACATATCAATGGATTTTCTGGATGTGTCTGGTGATCACAACAAGCTTACACTGTTTAAGATTTTCTAGGAGAGTGGCTTTGAAAAGATTTTCCAGGAGAAAACATTCAGCGGAGACGACATGGTGTACTGTGACGAATGTGAAAAGGACACAGAGGCGACCAGCGTGAGTTTGCAGACAGCTAACAACTCTGTGTTGAGTGCTTTTGTTGTGTTATTAGCTGAACAAACAATGTGGTGTTTGATGTTATTTGTGTTTTTCAGAAATGTCAGATAGAATTTCCCCGTGTTCTGGTCGTACTCCTCAAGAGGTTTGACATGGACTACAACACGATGAAACATGTCAAATCGAACCGCTGTGTGGACGTGCCGCGCACATTACAAAGAATGGCAAGCTGAATTATTTGTGAATGGTGTTTCTCTTGTTTGCTGTTAAACCTTAAATATACCTGACTGCTTCTTCTTCTTTTCATTGTAGGACAAGACGTGCCAATTGTACGCTATTGTGAATCACATGGGTGGACTACAGGGTGGTCATTACACAGCCACCGTCTTGTCCAATGAGGACGAAACCTGGTACGAGTTCGACGACTCTCGAGTCAGAAAAGTGAGGATGAATTCAACTCTTCCATGAGTGCAAATATCCAAACCAAAACCCATCAAATTAAGGAAATTAACCTTTTCTTTTTTTTTTTTTTTTGGTGAATATTGCAGCTTGAAGAACAACCATTTACAAACTCCATGACTTACAGGTATGTTTTTTTAAAACCTGTTTTATAAAGTAGTTCCTGTAAAAATGAAAATCACATTTGATTTAGCGGAAATGCAGAGTCATTTTCCCCTTTTCAGTGTGTTTTATGTGCTTTGATTGAAACCAGAATTAATAAGAAGTCCTTAAACTTGCTAAGAATATCATATAACATGGTTAAGAGCTGTAGCCACAGTTTTTTCTATACTTGCTGAATATTGCTCCATGGAAACAATAACTTATAATGATTATTCAACAGTTCCAGTACTGCATATCTACTTGTGTACAGAGGTAAGATCACAAGAGTTCACCATAAATGGACATAGCTGATGTTTATGGATCAATATGGATCAATATACTGTTTTGCTTCCATCTTCTGCTTTAAAGCCTCTGAGAGTCCAGAAAGACAAGAGGATGGAGGAAAAGATGCTCGTGATAAAGAGAGGAAACCAAGGGAACAAAAACCAGTGGACCAAGACCAGGCCCCAAAAGAAGGGATAGAGGAGGCTCAGGGAGAACCTCTTTTACCCCAGAGTCAAAACACACACGACATGAGCCATCTGCATCTGAACGTCCAGCAAAAGGTCAACAACAGAAAACACAGACCAAGTGGAAAAGGTACACACAGAAATGGTATGCATTTGCTTCATCAATGTTTTCCTTCATAGTAAATGGAGTGTTTGTCAGAGGAAAATAATTTGCCTTATATTTCCTTCAGACCATGAGAGTTCAACCAACATCCTGAAGAAGCCGTGTGTCATTGCGCTCATCGTTTGCGGCTGTTTGTTAGTCGTGATTCTGATTATTATTCTGGTGACTCAACCTGTATGAACATGAAATAAATGATTGCAGTTTCCCATACAATATAACTGAATAAATGCATCAGTTCATAAATGCAGTGTTTTATTTAGTTAACAAAAAAGTTAAATGACCTTTTAACATATGTGAAAAGTGAACTCAGAAACATATTTTCGTCATTCATACACATGAGTATATCTAACCTTGAACATGAAAAACATATTTACAGGAGGTTTAAGATAAAACAAATGAAGACCAATCATACCGCTCTGTGGGACGCCAAAATTCAGGACGATGGTGAAAGAGGCATCCCCCCAAACAAATCCCCAAATAGTGTCAAAAAGAAGCTACTGTGCAGATCGAGACAGTCCCACCTTTGACTGCTTTCTTGAATTCTTTCCTAGCTCATTGATGAAACATTGAAATCCTTCTCCAGAATAGTTTTTAGGGTTGGTGTTAAAGCTGAACATCTAAATGAGCTTTTTTAAACCTGTGTATACCAACAATAAAGCAACGTGGGCCATATTATTGGATAAGCGGACTGCACTGTTCTCCAAGACAAGTTAAGCTTTTGACTTATTACTGCCCTCTGATATTAGCAATGTTTTTTTTCTTTGCTGTTTAAAGTATTCTGTTTTTACACAGAGTAAAGTCCAATTAAAAACAAAAACAATTCTTATACTGGCAGCACACTTTTTAAGCCACTGAAAAACAAGCCATTTGTCCAAAGAACAAACTAAAAGAATCATCAAAATGCTAGTTAGCGAGTTAGCTGGCTAAGTGGTGGGCTATGGTGACAATAGTCTACAGATAAATCAGAATTTTGTTCACAAACTGAAAATTATACCCAAAATTTGGTTTCATTAGAATCATTCATCACATACGCCCTTGTGATCACTTGTAGAAAACTGAGCTAGGAAAGAAAATTCTATCACAAATGTCTCTGGCGGCCTTCTATACTGTTACAATACTGTGTATAAAAGAATGTTATTAAAAATATAAACGACAGGAATTTTTGGGGTGGCAGGAAAAGTTAGAAGTAGGCCACAAGGGCAATTGTGTTTACACATGCAGCTGACCCTGAAAATTAAGGTAAGTTTTCAGGGTTTTGTTATTGCTCTATCGACAACAGGAGCTGGGTTGCCCCTTGAGAGGTACCAAAATCCACCGCTTTTCTTATTTCCTCTTCCACAACGGGATGGAGGTCTGTCTGGGAGCCACTCCACTTGGACAGATTGCATAAGGCGAACTTGTTTTGCTGCATGTAACCTTCAGTTTCAGACAGACAAAACAGAATGACACGTTGCAGCGAGGGCAGTGGATATTTTTGCAATAGTCTTGGCTATGTTCCACAGCCATGCCGCATGTGGGACAGGCTCGCACAGAGGGGCATTCGGTGACCCCCTTCACTGCAGGCAGACTGATGCTCTTACAGGTCTGCAGAAGTTCCAGGTCCTTATTGATGCAGCCTTGATTGTCACAGCGGTCAGATCGAGGGCCGGGACCTTTCCACGTCTTCAGGCACTGCCAGCAGAACTGGTAGGTTTTCTTCTGATTAGCCGTACAGATGGTGCACACCACACACAGGTTACCGAGGTCCACCCTCTCCAAATTTGTTTTGCACTGTGGGCACTGATGTGAAAAACAGACAGTATGAAGAGCATTCTTAAATCGGAGCACTTGATTTTTCCTTTTTCTGTTAATTTAGTTTTTCCCTGGTTTTGTCATTTGAGTCTATTTTCCCTAGAGTTTTTGTTCCCCACCATTCATGTTCCCCTGTAGTCCTGTCTTGTAAGTTTTCAGTTTGTGTTTGACCCTGTTTCCCTCCTGTTCTCTGTGCTTTATTCTGCAGATCAGTTTTCAGTGTTTTCCTATTTTGTTTTGTGGTAGTTGATTCCTTGTGTTTCTAGTCTGGTTTTACTTCCCTTGTTTTCCCTCCTTTGTTAATCACCCAAGAGTTTCACCTGTGTCTGGTCTGCCTCACCTGTTGTTCATTTCCCACTGTGTATATAGTCCCTGTCTTCCCCTCTGTCCTTGTTGGTTCATTGTATGTCGATGTTTGTGTGTATGTGTGTCTGTTTCCCCTGATCTTTTATGTGTGAATCCTTCGTTTCCTGATGGGGTTTTTTAAGTAAGATTTTGTTATTTTTTATTTGATTTTGTTCTGCATTTGGGTCCTTTTTTCTTTGTTCAACTCTGCCACGTGGCAGTGAAAAAGTGTGGATTGCTTACCGGCTTTATTTCACAGTATTTTGTAGCAGCCAGGCGTGCCATGGTCTCTTCAAAGTAGATCATTTCCTCAACAGACAAATCTGCCAGTCTTCTCACCTCCCGGTACGACCAACGTTTATTACACACTTTGGTGGAGCCTTCCACAGCTGCAGGGCATCTGAATTTGTATTTACCCTTCAGACAACAAAGACAAAATCCAATTTGGACCCTCGAAAATTAAACAAAAGCTTATGAATATAGTATTATCAGTTTATTTTTCCATTTAAATTTTTTTTTCAAAGTTTTCGTCTGTTATGATAACTGCAAGCCCAACAGAAAAGCTTTTAATGTATTGTTTCAATTTTCAACTTCAGTTCAGGCATCAATATGTTTTTATCAATACATTATAGTGTGTTTTTAGGGCATGAGATACCTTCTTTAGCTGTCTGACACACCAGTCTGTGAGGGATTTTGGAGTTACAGCATGACCGCAGGACAGCTCTGCTTTGAGACCATCATAGTCGGCATCTATGGTTACACAAAAGTGCCAATGTTTAGCTGTTGTGAACTATCACAGTGTTCAAACACAGAGGAGGATAAAGAGTGCTTGGAGGGAGAAGGAAGTAAAACACACTATTTGACAGTGGTTAAGTAAAAGTTTAACTATCTGGACTGTCTGAAGTCCCTGTCAGTAATAAAGTAAAAATATAACTGCAGCTCCTGTTTGTTCCAATTTCTGAGACAAAATTAGTCAATAAGGGGGAGGAAAAAAAATCATCTTACACACAAAATCCAAGTCGTCCTCCCTGTCCACAAACTTCATGGTGGTATCCTGTGGGTCATAACTCTTCTCCACCTGTTCCTGTTTCTGGATGCTCATTTTGGTTAAGCTATTAGAAGAAAGTAGATAGTACATTTTTAAATATACAATCATGATAAAGAAAAAGAATACAGACATTATTACAGTGGATAAGTTGATATGAAGTGTAAGAATTAAAAAAAAAAATCCAAATTGCATCATAACTAAATTGTGTTTGCACAGAGGGCTGTAAAGTTGCCATGAAAACAGTAGCCTACAGCTACGCAGCATTTGCTTTTAGTTTTTTAAATTTTTGTTACATTTTTGATAATTACTTGTACTGATGAATGTTCCAACAAATTTTAACATATTGTTTTGATTCTTATTAAATCTTACAACTTGAGAACTTCCTGGCAGGCTCTGAAGCCTAAAGGCGGAAAAAAGTAAAGCACAAACTTATCATCTGTTGAGTTTGGAGCAGCTTGACTGCAAGTTTCAAATTCTTATCCCGGTCACTGGGGATTTTTTTTTTGCCAAAACAAACCTCACGGCTGCCAACAATGACGTTTTCCTTTTATTTTTATCGGCGTGACTGGGATGGAAGTCCGGGGATCCCCGGTTGAGATAAGCCGCCTTAAGATTTATCTACGGTAAAATACAATGCTATATATAGCTAGATATAGATATAGATAGACATATATGAGTAAATTCATTTAAAAAGCGAATTGAAAGCTCGTCCTTTCACTTTTCGGTTAGTTATACAATACAAAAATTGAACTAAGATAAAAGTTTAATAGTTACCAACAAATGTATGATGGACTACTTTAAATTTAGATTAGATTCAGAAGAGGAAGCGCGTCTTACCGTACAGCATCAGCTTGATCGTTTTTTAACTTCTTCTACAGAGTCCAAATATCGCGAGAAGTTGTTACAACTATCGAAAACAGAATCTGGGTCGTTAAGGATATTTCACAGATGGTTTGGTTAAAGTCTCTGTTTTACTTGAGGTTGTCTGCGTTAACCTCATCAGTCTCTCGGTTTTGTGCGGTTCCCTCCTCCCTCTCGCTGTAATCGAAAGTGAAAGAAGTTGAGGCTCCTACAATCACGTGCGGTAAGCGACCGTCCTTTTTACTGCTTTATCACTTAAAAAGTCCCCTTGATTGTTTTAGTTGATGAGTGTCTATGTCATTTTGTGTGTATCATGGGTTTATTCATATAAAAAGTCTCGGAGATGTTTGGTTTGACGTGACGTTACGTATGGCGAGTATCTATGTTAATATGTTGCGTGTATTATTGGCTCATTCATCTGTAAAGTCCCGGAGTTGTCTGATTTGACGTGAGGTGACGTTTGCCAAGTCTCTATGTCACTGTGTTGCGTGTATCATTGTTTTATTCATCTATAAAGTCTCAGTGGTGTTTGGTTAGACGTGACGTGACGTATGGCAAGTTTCTAGAAATTTTAACGTGCAGAGTCGATTCTTTACGTTGCTACGTAACAAAGTGGAAACATTCAAGTATGGAAGCAGGGGCGTCATGCCAACCAAGACTGAAATTTTTATTCATACTGAGAACAAACCTCGGAGAAATGTCCCTGCAGTAATTACTCTTTAATAGTTGCAACTGCATTTAAGGTACAAATACATCAGATTTATTTTATAACCTTTTGTTTCTATCTTCCTTTTGCCAGAGTTTGGTGGAGAAGGCTCGTCTCTAAAGTGCTTCGACAGGCTGAATATATGAGCGCCCCAAAAACTATTTTTGATCATAAAATGTCAACATTTGAAATACGCCACCACAATGAATCACAACAAATTTAGAAAGTTCAAACAGAAACTACTCAGCTCAAACATCTCAGGTAAGTGTCTTTTAGTGGAACTCTGTATGCCCTGTTTAAAATGACGGTTTTGTATCTGATGCCACTGTGTTGTTTTTCAGATTATCATGGTCTCATTAGTCCGGGTTTAACCTGCTACTTGAACACCGTCCTACAGGTGCTTTTCATGACTGAAGATTTCAGAGAGGCTGTGAAACGGTGTGTAACCTCAGCTCTGACTTATCTGGGTTAACTTTTTATAACAGTAAAACAGATTAATACTTATTATTATTTTTTTATTATTTTTTCTATTAAGGATTTTTATGAGATTTATAAAGTTTATGAAAATGTCTTCATAAAATATCCACATCAAATTTTAAGGCTGATATTTAAAGCTTTTCTGTATATACACCACAAAAAAGATGCTTCTTTAACAGAATCCTGCCTACCCCACCTTTTAATAGTTTGTTGTGAAATAAGTGCATTTCACATGAAAAAAGTCTTGTTTTAAATTAGATTAGATACTCTGTCACATGGTTAGTCAATGTGAAATGGATTTCTCCTCTTTCATAGATGCAGCAGTGAAGATTTAACAACTTTTGACTCACATCTGGCAGATCTGTTCACCACTTTAGAGAAAGAAACCGCAAAAACCCATGAAATCACAAGACAGCTTGGCGTGACAAATGGTAAATCTAGATTCAGACATCCAATTATTGAAATCTGACTCAGAGACTGTATGTTATTCTAGTTTTAACACTATGTCGCACTGTAAAACAATAATATTCTTAACTCAGTGTACGAGCAACGGGATGCTGCAGAGTACTTGGAGAAGATCCTGTGTCGGGCCAGTCCAGAGGCGGCCAAGGTAAAAAAAAAAATGAAGAAGTATCCCCCTAAAATTCCCCCACTGACTAGTTGACACAAATCTTATGAACCCACTGATGCATCTTGTATCCAGATATTTAAGGGGGAGCTGAATCACAGAAGCAAATGCCTCACGTGCGAAGACACAAACGAAACCATTAACTCTTTCTGGATTCTGCCACTTGTGGTGCAAGACTCTTGCGGCCAGCTCTTCACTGTGGTATTCTTTTCTTTCCAAAGTATAAAAGTTGTGTGTTTTTTGCCTAAAATGAATACAAGAGGAAAATTGTGTATTTTTGAATTTTCCACTTTGTTTTCAGGGGAGAGGGTTGGAGGCATTTTTCAGGGGAGAAAAATTCAGTGGAGCGAACGAGATATTCTGCAACCACTGTAACAAGAAGAGAGAGGCAGATTTAGTAAGTGTTGACAGTTGTGTCAAACATTATATATTTATATATTATATTTAAGTGCATGTTCAGGTGCAGCTCAGAAAATTAGAATATCCTGAGAAGTTCATTTTTTTTCCACAATTTAATTCAAAAAGTGAAACTTCCATATACTCCAATCCAGTTTTTGTAGTTTTGTTGCTGTGTGCAGGTGCCAGGTCCTGCTGGCAAAGAAAGTCTGTATCTCTTTAAAACTCTTTAGTCTAGTTTACTAAGTTAATATTTGCCTGATTTGACCTCTTATTTCCCCAAAGTGTAACATCTTATGTGTTACATGTTGTTTAGGGGTGCGAGATAACACACAATCCTGAGATTTTAACCCTCCTGTTGAAGAGATTCAGCTTTGACAGCAAACACAAACGTTACTTCAAACTTGACTGTGAAGTGGAGGTCCCAGAAACGTTACACATGACGGTACGCCAGGATTCATTTCTGTTTTAAAATGTCTGGATTGAATTTGTCGAATGGTGACTGGATGAGACTTTGCTCATTGCAGAATTGTAATTATGACCTTTATGCTTTGGTGGACCACAACGGGGATCTGACAGAAGGTCATTACACCGCACGAATTAAGTCTTTTGAAACTCAGGGGTGGTACCACTTTAATGACCGCATTGTCAAATCGGTGAGCTCAGCTTAATTTACACAGTACTTTTTATTCTACAAATATTTACATGCAATCCAGCAAAGTGCTGAGAGTGTTAACTGTAAATTTTCTACTGTTTTAGGTCAGACATGCATTATTTGGGATGGAGGGCGAGCGTTTGAAGTCTCGTAGAGCGTACCTCCTCATGTATAGGAAAGGTAAGATTGACCTGTGTAGTTCTGACAGGATAATCTCCCGCATTATTTTTTCTGTGTGAATGATTAATGTTATTTTTTTGTTTTTTACAAAACTACTGCTGCTTTTTCTTCACTTTCCTCTAAACAATTACGAGTAAAAATATTTACTTCCTTGATTTAAAACCCAAATTTCCCTTGTTCCTCTTTTTTCAATATAATGCTTGACTTTCACGTGATAAAAACAAGCTCAGAATAGTTTTCGAGGGTAAAGTGCGTCACTAGTAAGACATCACTTCATACAATACTGCAGAAATACCATATTGTATTTAATCGTATCAAAATGTACCATATCCAAGTGTATCTGACTATATCACTGTAATAACATCCATTTTTCTTTCCTTAAAGTGAACAAACATCCTGGAAAATGTGGGGATGCTTACAGTGCAACTTCTCACATTGACGCCAAGGAAAGACACAAGGATGAACACACTGCAGAGGGAAACTTCAAGCACTTGAACGGTGAAACATCAATCAAGAGACTTGATGTGGTTGCAAAAAAACAGACAAACATTTTAGGGAGCCTGGAAAAGACTGTTTACCAGGAAGCACCACACAGAGAAAAAATCCAAAGAGATGGAGGACAACAGTGGGATAAGCTGAACAGACAGCAGCCGGATACAAACTCAGTGGATCACATGCAACATCTAAACACTAGAGGGACTACTACAGCGTCTTTGAGAACACACCAAGTCCAACATGCAGAAACCAAAGATGTGAAAAACAAAGCAGAGGGGGACATCAGCCACAGAGTGATCACCACAAAGACTGTGACAGAGGTAGAGAAAAGGTCTAGAGATGCAGCAAGACACAGACACAGAGACAGGGACCAAAGAGAGCCGTGGAGGTTTTGAAGCAGTGATGTAACCTGTACACTGACTGTTTTTTCAGTTGAGTTCCCCTGAGTCCTTATTTAAATATCTGGACAATAAAAGATGACTCGAGTTGTTCTACTGCCATCTAATGTTTCTTTTCTGAAAAGCTGCTGTCAGCACACGACAAAAATAAACAGTTTCACAATTCATTAGGTTAAAAAATTTAGTCAGAATGGGTCTATGTCTATGTCTTGAAGGTTAAAATGCCCCTGAAGACTGGGTGACTCCTGCTTGTGCTAGTTTATTATTTAAGTCATAAATGCCTTCATTTGTGTTACTATTTCAATTCATACATGAATTGTTAACAAATTAATGCATTTTTACTTCTCTAGTAAACGAGTAAGATTGAAGTGATCTTCACCTGGTTCTGGCCAGCATGTTCTTTGTCAAATCCCGATTTGATGTCATTCTTTTTTGCAACTAGTGCGACTAGTGAGCTTTTGGCCCTCATTAGTTAAACTAGTAATTGCTTTTGTCTACACTAGTTCACTATTAAGATCACTAGTATCACTTGTTGTATTACTGTTTAGAGTTTCTGCTGTCTGCTAGTTAACCAATCCGAAATTCAGCATATAACTAGTTAACTGGTGTTGTTAAAGGTCTAACTAACACAAGACAATAAGAGGTCATATCAAGGGTATAACTAAATGTTCAAATGGATTTCCATACTGAACACTACCATTAACTTCTAAGCACACACCTGCAAGTAGGTCTCTTTATGCATGAATGTACAAACAAATCTTAACCAATGATTTTAGTGGTGCATATTTCTTTAACTTTTAAAATTGAGTGACAGAAGTCCCCTTCTCATTTGTTCCTGTGTCAGTGAACATACCAAGGGTCTATTTTGTTTGAGATCTGGGAGCTAATACTGCGTTCAAGTAACTTCAGAAGTCAGATGCCCGAGCTGAAAATGACGTCACACCAGAGTGCCCTGCGTTTCAGTCACTAAATCGGAAAAAAAAGCAAAATCGGAGTATAAGGCAAGTGCAAAAATAACTTTAGTAGACGTAGCCATCTTGTTCCAGGCCTCCCATTTTGCTTTTTTCCAACTTGGCAACTAAAATGCTGGGAACTCGGGTGTGTTGTCATTTTCAGCTCCGACATCTGACATCCGAGATACCAGTTACCTCAAAAATCGGATGGCGGAGCTGAGAATGACATTACACCCGAGTTGACAGCGTTCCAGTCAACAAATCGGAAAACCAAGATGGACACCTACTGTTAGCCATGTTATTGTTAGCTGTTGTTGTTCGCTATACCAGTTGTAAACAACGCATAAGACAGTATTTTACTCTTACAAACACCATAGCATCGTGTTCACAGTTAGACGTTGGGCAGTACAACATATACCACTTATTTAATTTCACAAAAACAAAACAGAAGTGCTGATTAATAAAACATTACGAGAGACTCTTTACTGTCGATGCACTGCGCTGCCATCTTGGATTTTGACGTTGTCATCAAATCGCAGTTGGCGAAGATCGTCTGACTTTCGGAAAGTCAGAAATCTGACTTCAGGGGGTGTTCCAGATGAATTTCCAATTCAGAGCTCAGGAATTCCAACTTCTGAGTACAACTGGAGCACAGTAAAACCCGGAGTATATGAATTTTTGAACCAGCCCTGAACATAAATTTGTTTTTATTCACTTCACATCAGGTCTTGCAAAAACGGAAGCCCCAAACACGTTTTATCCCCGGTTTACTTGCCATATACAAGAATTATTTCTAATCTTTAGTGTTAAGATAAAATGCATTGTAAATCCCTCTAGTAAAAGGTGTCATGCTCAATACTTAAAAAAACTTCTTAAACATTGCTATAAGCTGGTATGAAAGCCTCTGATCACATATAAGGATTGTTAAGAAGCATTTATTGATAAAGCTTATAAAATGTGTTGATACATGAGAAGAGATGTTTCATGGAAAGTGTTACAGATGATTTATATGCCATTTAACACACAGGAAATACATCCATGGGTAGGCAATTGTTTTTATATGACTTCATGCGTAATAAAAGTTTCTTAAATGGCAGCGAAAAAGAAATAACATCATGACATTCAGCAGCAAGGCGGTAAGCTGACTGCAGTTAAAATGAATCGAGTGCATAAAAGTATGACAGGAGTGCATGTGCTGATTTCTTATTAGTTCCTGTGCCATACAGGTATGGAGGTTTGTCTGGGAGCCACTCCATCACTGCAGGGGATGAAGTAAGAACTGGTCTCCAGACACTCAGGGGTGAGCTTAAGGCACACAAAGCAGAACTCCACCTGGCAGCGAGGACAGATGATGTTCTTACAGCCCATTTTACTGTGCTCCACCCTCTGAACACAGGTAGGACAGGCACGCACAGAAGGACATCCAAGCACCCCCTGCACCTCAATGAGTGTGGTGGTCTCGCACTTCTGGAGGAGCTGGAGGTCATGGTTGACACAGCCTTCGTTGTCGCAGCGGTCAGAGCGCGGAGCTGGACCTTTCCACACCTTCAGACACTGCCAACAGAACTCGTAATTTGTCTTCTTTTCGGCTGTGCAGATTGTGCACTGCACGTTCAGGTTAGTCAGGTCCTCTCTCTCCACATTAGTTTTACACCCTGGACACTGACGGAAAGAATGTGAGAAACATTAAAACTGTTGAGCTTGTTGTCCTGTTCCTGGAAACACAGTGTCAACTTGTTGTGATGTGTATCCATGTCTGGACAATATAGCCAACTCTAAAGAACACATTTCAATTCATAATCAAAGCAGAAGGTTAATCAAAGGCCCACTCACAGTTTTGAATTCACAGTATTCAGCGGCAGCCATACGGGCGATGTTTTCTTCAAAGTACTCCATCTCTTTAGTTGTTAGCACGGCCAGCCGGCGCACCTCTTCATAAGGCCACACTGCATCACACTTTTGTAAGGTCCCCTCTGCCAACGCAGGACACTTAAACTTATACTGGCCCTGAAATAAAAGGACAGATCACGTCACATATATATATTATAAAAGGACAACTCTCTTCACCATCTTCAGTCCTACCTTCGTCATTCTCTGTACTCTCTGAGAGACCGTAATTTTCCTATTATTATCATCATAATCATTATTAAAAATAGCTCCGGCTGCAGACTCTTCACGCTCCATTATTGTGGCTTCGATTTAAGAGGTCAGGAATCAGGATATTCCTATTTTTCTTGAAAACTATTCCACATAAGATGTCGAAAAAGTTTTAGAGTTTCAGTGAAACAAAAAGCTGACAGATACTAAACTTGTAACTGAACTTTGTTCCAGTGTTTCCAAACCAGATGGGTCGCTTTAACTTTAAAGTTTTATGTAGGACTTATGGAAACTGAATGCTAAGAATTAAATAGATAGGTCTAAATAATACTGACAGGAAAAAAACAAAGGGCTTTTGCTTCAGTTAAGTTTGAGACGCACTGCATTACTGTGTAAATGAAGTGGTGAAAAGCACCTGATCCAGCAGACTGCGACACCATCCAGTTAAAGACTGTGGAGTTACGGCGTGTCCACACGACATCTCTGCTCGGAGACACAAGTCTCCCTCCTCAGGGGCTGATAAACACAAGCACAAGGGCAAATATACATCAATACAATAACTCTCAAGTAAGGTAATTCACTCATGAAACACAAGTCCAGGATATTTGACCAAGACAAAATAGGCGACATCTTTCTTTTGTAGGTCACTTACGAAACGGATCCAGATCATCCGGCCTGCTGACGAATTTCAGAGTCGTGTCACTTGGGTCGTACCTCTTCTCCTCCTGCTCCCGGGTGCTCATTTTGACGGAGCTTCGTCTTCGTCCGCACTCGGGTAAACGAGCACCGAAGTGACTGTTACCTGTCGTGTTGCCTTCACTGACACCACCAAGATTTGTTTTTCTGGTTTATTACTTTCACTTTACTGAAGAGAGAGGAGTTCTGAGAAATCACGTGTGAGCTGATAGCCGGGTCAGAATTCCCCGTTTATGAATCCATATTAACCCTTAAACACGTGACTTCTGCAGACTAGCACAATAGAAATAGGATGGTAGGATGGAAATAGGATTGGTCTGACGCCAATCTCTGCTGAAAACCCGGTGGTTTCCACTCACAACTGCACGACACACTGCTGTCATACGAGGAAACATGTTGGACCTGAATTGAACTCACTTAAGCTAAAGTTATCTGAAACTTAATCAAGCTAAGCTTACCTAAAATATGCCTAACTTGGTTGTAACTGACCTTTGCTGACCTTAGCTAAAGTGACTCAATTTTAACTCCAGAAAAAGTGACACTTTTTGATTGTTAAGTTTGTTTGTATTTATATACCATTTTTGATATAGCCTACTTGGTTTGCAAGTGCTTTACAGGCACAGAATTAAAAACAGTTTTCCTTTCTGCCTTCGTGACCTACTTACAAAGTTCAAACTAAACCAAGTGACACAAATAGCAGTTGTGCACTTTTTTAATGACAATTAGTTTGCGTCCTTTTTTCTTTTTCTCTCTTTCATTTCTTTTTTTTTTATACATTTAGATTTACTTTTGGGATTTTCCAGTGTTTTTAAAAATATTTCTTATATAACCTTTGTCTTTCTCTCCTGAAGAAGAAAGTGAAAGCATTCACTGACTCATTTCACCCATCCTCACTTTTGAGCAACGCCCTGAAACTGGAGGGTGACATTACCTCTCAGCCACAGAGCTGAAAGCAGCACTGCCGCTCACACTCTGAGAAAAGAAGAAAAGATGACCGACATGAGGAAAACCTATCAGGTGGTGGTTCATGGAACAGGAGGGAAGATGACTACCATAGATCTGTGCAACACAGACGAGCAGATGAAAAGCATGAAAGTCCTGCAGCTGAAAGAAAAGATAACAGAGAAACTTCCAGAGATGGCAGGTACACTGAAGACATAACAATTTTCAGTATCACTAATATTTGAAAAGAGGGCTACCTGGTGTTGTTTTAACTTTGTTTTTCGATGCCTTAAATTGAAAGCTATGTTTTAACATGTTACTTATATAAAACTAAAATTTATATCAACAAAATGCTTAAAATATGTTGTAGGCCACTCATTATGTGTCTGCATTTTAACACTGAATATTTAAGCCTTTGTTTGGCACATTTAGTTCATGTTTTATTCTTTTGAATGGAGTCTAGTAAAAGTCAGGGAATTGGTGCTTGAAGAGTAAAAACAAATAATTTCATGCCTCATCTGTTTTGTTTTTTTGTTCTGGGGTTATTTGCTGTAGGCTCAGCTGGCATCCGGTTAATCTTCGCAGACAAGCATCTGGATGAGGACTCCAAGACTCTGTCTTCGTACGGGATTCAGCACAATTCCCACATTATGATAGTGGTGAGGATGCATGGAGGACTGATCAGCTAATCTGGACCATCTTCTTCCTCCTGCTGCTGTTCCTGTTTACTCCATGACAATATTCCTGATATTTTTGCACAATCTGTGGGCCGTTTGTATTAAAACAACATGCATAATGTTCCTTTGTTTTCCACATGTTTGAACAACTTGTTTTTATTGTTGTAAAAATTAAAAAAATCTCTCTCCAATGACTTGTCAGTGGTAATATGTGCACATATAATGGACTATTAACACGCACACATAAATATATAACATTTAAAGACATCAGCCCTAATACAGCCATAAAAATTAGATTGTATTATAGATTATTATCCGTGTATACAACGCATTTAATAGAGGAAAAGTGTTTTTTGAGAAATAAAGTCTCGTAGACAAATATTTATACATGTGGTGAACTCAAAGACAGATTATACTATATGAAAACAATCAAAACTCCAAAGTCAACGCTAACCCAGATTGATAATTTTGTCTCTCCCTTGTCATCCTTGACCCTTATGAGTCTTTCATCAAAAATACTACCTCTCAGTTTCACTGAGGAAACCCCCCACTCATTTAAAACCACTTTGTTTTGTTACAACACAGGAAGCTCTGTGGTGTTTGTGGTTCATTATTTATGTACTACTGTCAGTAAAAAAAACCTCTTCATTTTTATTTATTTGTTCCTTCTGCAAAGTTAATGTTCAAAAATCTGACACACCCTGAACGCAGCATTCCAGCAGCAAAGGCAGTAAATGAAAGAGAAAGTTTAACTCGGGTTGTTTCTTATAAGCGAGAGAGAGAAACTTGTCAGTCAACTCGTTTCTCTTGTTTGTATCTAACCAAAGAAGGGAGGTATCTGTTTTTTTTTTTGTTTGTTTTTTTTTTTGTATGTTTGTTTTGTTTTGTTGTGTGTGTTTGGGGCTGATGTGTTGGTGATGATTTACTGTCAAATGCAGATCGTTTGCGGCTGACAGCAGCACGAAAGTGGACTAACAACCAAAGAAAATCAAAATGGACAAAAGGAATCGATGTTTTTCCGACAGTCAGTCTTCAGGTAAGATCTCAGTTTATCTTAAACAGAATAAAGGCAGTTGTTTTTACGTGTATTTATTGATTTATTTACCATCTTCAACAGTCAAGTATAACGGCTTGGTAAACCAGGGAGCGACTTGTTACCTGAACAGTGTGCTGCAGGTGCTTTTTATGACTGAGGACTTCAGGGAGGCCGTGGAAAGGTTTGTTATAAAGTCTGACTTCATTTCAGCTCTTATGGATTTTTGTATGACCACTGTTTCCTTACTTTGTTTAGGTATTCTGGGACTGAGGATATCGATCTTCAGCTTAAAACTTTGTTTGATGAGTTGAAAAATCAAACTGCCAACACCGTTCAGATCACAGACAAGCTGGGCATCAAAAAAGGTACATGTTAGCACACAGAGTGTGATGAGTTTACATTGAAGATTCATTGAGAAGACTCTTGAAATAACGTCAGACTGTATTTAAAGAAACATAAGTGCCATTTAACAGTAATATTAGCATGACATAAAGATCATATATGAAATAATCTCTGCAGTAATACAATGTGAGATTTTTGAGTTGATGTTACTCTTTATATGGTAATTCAACACAAGACGAAAATAAAAATAATAATTGAAAAGGTCGAGAAAAATATTAAAGAAAACATACTTACACACCGACTCAGGGCTGACATGGGCCATGATAACAGGTGACATTGTTATATATAACAGTGTGTCATCTGCAAAATTATGGTAACTTACTTTGTTGTTTTCTTTAATATGTGAGAGTGTGTATAGGAAAACAGAGGAGGCCCCAGAATGGAGCCTTGGGGTACCCCGCATGTAATTTAAACACACTATAAATTTCTCTTCCCTCTCTCAGTGTATAAACAGAGAGATGCTGCCGAGTACTATGAGAAGATTTTAAATCTGACCAGTGATGAGGCATCACAGGTAAAGTAGTTATGAAGTTAAAGATGCAAATTTAGTCTCAAATACCTGTTAACCTTTATCTTTTTTGTCTTTGTCAGATCTTTCATGGAGAGCTCACTCACAGGAAGACGTGTTTAAACTGTGAAACACAAACTGATGCAAATGAGCGATTTTGGCATCTTCCTCTGACTCTGGTGAACTCCTCCAGTGAATATAAAGTGGTATGAATATGAAAACCTGCACATTTTAAAATCATTTTTAACATCTAAGGTATGAAATCTGTAATATTTCTGATCTTTGTTTTATTAGAAGGATGGCGTTGATGACTATTTCAGAGCTACATCGTTCAGCACTGAAAACCAGATATATTTTGATGAATGTGATGACAAACATGATGCCACTATTGTGAGTAATGCCTGAAAATGTTTCTAATTTGTGTGCTATAACTCTGCCATGGAATCCTGGGATTTCTACACTGCATGTGTGCTTGTTGGAAGTTTTATGCTGACACTGCTACCATGTAATTTTTTTTAGCAATGTGTTGTAAAGAATTATCCAGAGGTTCTGATGCTGCAACTGAAGAGATTTGAGTTTAACTACAACTTCAAGACTTACACCAAAATGAACCACAATGTCAGTGTCCCCCACAAACTAGAGATACCAGAGGTATGAAAACACTCAGATTTGGATAATTTTTAAAATACAAATTTCTCTATTGGTTCAATAATTTGATGTGTCATTGTTTCCACTGGTGACCAGAATCAGCTGTATGAACTGTATGCAGTTGTGGATCATGTTGGAGATCTTAGTTCTGGACATTACACATCAACTATCAAGTCCAGTGAGGATGACAAATGGTACAAGTTTGATGATGGCCAGGTCACACTGGTGAGTCTTTAACCTGGGTGTTAATTAAAGCTAATAATGACAATACAGAATATATCCGTCGCACCTGATTCATCTGATGTTTGATTATTATTTATATTTACAGCATCATTACCAGCCATTCCAGACAGAAAACTCTGAGAGGTAAGTCTAAGTTATTGAGTTGTTGCATGTATGAGGTTGTCAACATGTACAGTTCTGTGAAAAAGTATTTGCCCCCTTACGGATTACCTCTATTTTTTGCACATTTTCCAGACTTAAATGTTCCAGATCATCAAACAAATTCTAATATCAAACAAAGATAACCCAAGTAAATACAAAATGCGGTTTTTAAATGATTATTTTATTTATTAAGGGAAAATGCCATCCAAATAAACCTGGCCCTGTGTGAAAAAGTAATTGCCCCCCTTGTCAAATTGTGAATGAACTGTGATTAACCACATTTACTACCAGACTTGTAAAATCAAGAAATCACTTAAATAGAACCTGTCTGACAACACGAAGATGGCTAAAAGATCTCAAAAAGCAACAAATCATGCCGCGATCTAAGGAAATCAGTGAGCAGATGAGAAAGATAGTAACTGACATCCATCAGTCTGGAAAGGGTTACAAAGCCATTTCTAAGGCTCTGGGACTCCAACGAACCACTGTGAGAGCCATTATACACAAATGGAGAAAGCATGGAACAGTGGTGAACTTTTCTAGGGGTGGGCGGCCAACCAAAATTACTTCAAGAGCCCATCGACGACTCATCCAGGAGGTTACAAAAGATCCTAGAATAACATCTGAAGAACTGCAGGCCTCACTTGCCTCAGTTAAGGTCAGTGTTCATGATTTGACCATAAGAAAGAGACTGGGCAAAAGTGGCATCCATGGTAGAGTTCCAAGGCGAAAACCACTGCTGTCCAAAAAGAACATAAAGGCTCGTCTCACATTTTCCAAAAAAACACCTGGATGATCCCCAAGACTTCTGGGAAAATATTCTGTGGACTGATGAGACAAAAGTGGAAATTTTGGAAGGTGTGTGTCTCGTGACATCTGGCGAAAAACTAACAAAGCATTTGATAAAAAGAACATCATACCAGCAGTCAAACACAGTGGTGGTAGTGTGATGGTCTGGGGCTGCTTTGCTGCTTCAGCGCCTGGAAGACTTGTAATAATCGATGGAACCATGAATTCTGCTCTCTATCAAAGAATCCTGTGGGCGAATGTCCGGCCATCAGTTCATGACCTTAAGCTCAAGTGCACTTGGGTTATACAGCAGGACAATGATCCGAAGCACACCAGCAAGTCCACCTCAGACTGGCTAAAAAAAAAACGAAATTAAGTCCGGACCTAAATCCAATTGAGATGCTGTGGCATGATCTTAAGTAGGCTGTTCATGCTTGAAAACCTTCCAATGTGGCTGAATTAAAACAGTTCTGCAAAGAAGAGTGGGCCAAAATTCCTCTTTATTGTCCTTCAGGAGGCAATTACTTTTTCATATTGGTGATTTTGGTTTTCAATGATTTTTTACTTTCAATAAATGAAATGATCATTTAAAAACCGTGTTTTATGTCCACTCATTGTCTTTCTCTTAAATTAAATTTTATTGGATGATCTGAAACATGCAAGTGTGACAAAAAAGCAAAAATAGAAGGAATCCAATAGGGGGCAAATACTTTTTCACAGCACTGTATGATTGACTCACTTTTGGAGCCAGCCTCAAGTGATCTTGCTTTTGGTTCCTCATTTTCCTCCAAAGGTTGTTACAGATTTAAATAATTTTGAAATTATAGATACCCTCATTTAAATGGGATTGGATGTTCTTGTCCAGATTTGCTCTGTCTCAATGAAAGAAGCTCTTGTTTTGAATAAACTCTTCTCCCAGTAGAAATATCCATCAGTAGTTGACAAAATATGATAAAAAATATTAAAAAATACAGTCAAAATTGCAAAAAAATCTGAGAGACCAGACTGCTACCACTTGAGCACAGGATCTAGAAAATAACCCTGAGCTTTTGCTCAAAATCACCCCACTTTCTCTTACCCCACTTTCTGCTGCAGATCCAACAGCGCTTATCTTCTCTTCTACAGGAAAATCAAAGGTAGGACAGTGACATTTTATGATGCTAATTTGTCTTTTGTAATGACTATTATATGAATTCATTTTACAACCACCTACTTCCCAATGCCTGCTGCAGAAACCTGTACTCCTGAAGACATCAGGGAAGAGTTCGCGCCTGGAGACCATTCATCTTCAACCGGAGATGTTACTGACCAGCATCAAGACACTGTTATGGTGGAGGAGAAAGAAGGAGCAGAAGAAAGTAAGGCATTTGAAATGGTTGGTTATGCTGAAGATGAAGACAGAGTTGGTGTGAGGTTTGTAAGAGAGGCGCTACCACCTGAGCCTGCTACAATGTAGACCGGGACCAGGAAAATTAAGTGATGGTAAAGGGTAAAAAGAAAGATAAGGATGGACAGATGGACAGAGATAAACTGAGAGACAGGAAAAGAAAAGGACGCCATCAGAAATGTGATGGTTTAGATGTTGGAAAGAGAGTGAGAAGAGATCCAGATGTTAGATGGGAAGATGGAAAAGGTACCAGTTCTTCTAGAGGTGAGGAAAGGATAATAAGAGATTTTAAGGTTTATCCAGAAGTGAAGACAGGAGCAAATGAACAGAAAACAAAGAGCAAGAACCATGTGACAACAACACATCCTGGGGATGATAAGATTTGTGACGGTATTAAGGTTTGACAAGAGTAAGCGCTCTGTGCTGCAAAGAATAAAGGCAGTTTTTTTTTCTTACATGTATGTATTGATTTATTTACAATCTTCTACAGTCAAGTATAAAGGCTTGGTAAACCAGGGAGCGACTTGTTACCTGAACAGTGTGCTGCAGGTGCTTTTTATGACTGAGGACTTCAGGGAGGCCGTGGAAAGGTTTGTGACAAAGTCTGACTTCAGTTCAGCTCTTGTGGATTTTTGTATGACCACTGTTTCCTTACTTTGTTTAGGTATCCTGGGACTGAGGATATCGATGTTCAGCTTAAAACTTTGTTTGATGAGTTGAAAAATAAAAATGCCAACACTGTTCAGATCACAGACAAGCTGCGCATCAAAAAAGGTACAATGTTAGCACACAGAGTGTGATGAGTTTACATTGAAGATTTATTGAGAAGACTCTTGAAATAACGTCAGACTGTATTTAAAGAAAGATAAGTGCCATTTAACAGTAATATTAGCATGACATATAGATCATATATGAAATAATCTCTGCAATAATACAGTGTGAGATTTTTGAGTTGATGTTACTCGTTTTATGGTAATTCAACACAAGACGAAAATAAAAATAATAATTGAAAAGGTCGTGAAAAATATTAAAAATAAAGATACTTACACACCGACTCAGGGCCAACATGGGCCATGATAACAGGTGACATTGTTATATATAACAGTGTGTCATCTGCAAAATTATGGTAACTTACTTTGTTGTTTTCTTTAATATGTGAGAGCGTGTATAGGAAAACAGAGGAGGCCCCAGAATGGAGCCTTGGGGTACCCCACATGTAATTTAAAGTTACTATAAATTTCTTTTCCCTCCCTTAGTGAATGAACAGAGAGATGCTGCCGAGTACTATGAGAAGATTTTAAATCTGACCAGTGATGAGGCATCACAGGTAAAGTAATTATGAAGGTAAAGATGCAAATTTAGTCTCAAATACCTGTTAACCTTTATCTTTTTTTTCTTTGTCAGATCTTTCATGGAGAGCTGACTTACAGAACGACATGTTTAAACTGTGAAACACAAACTGATGCAAATGAGCGATTTTGGCATCTTCCTCTGACTCTGGTGAACTCCTCCAGTGAATATAAAATGGTATGAATATGAAAACCTGCACATTTTTAAAGCATTTTTAACATCTAAGGTATGAAATCTGTAATATTTCTGATCTTTGTTTTATTAGCTGGATGGCGTTGACGACTATTTCAGAGCTAAGTTGTTCAATGATGAAAACCAGATGTATTGTGATGAATGTGATGACAAACATGATGCCACTATCGTGAGTAATGCCTGAAAATGTTTCTAATCTGTGTGCTTTAACTCTGCCGTGGAATTCTGGGATTTCTACACTGCATGTGGGCTTGTTGATAGTTTTACACTGACTCTGCTACCATGTAATATCATTGTTTTTTTTAGCAATGTGTTGTGAAGCATCATCCAGAGGTTCTGATGCTGCTGCTGAAGAGATTTGAGTTTGACTACAACTTCATGACTTACACCAAAATCAACCACAATGTCAGTGTCCCCCACAAACTAGAGATACCAGAGGTATGGAAACACTCAGATTTGGAGGATTTTTTTAAATACAACTTTCTCTGTTGGTTCAATAATTTGATGTGTCATTGTTTCCATTGATGACCAGAATCAGCTGTATGAACTGTATGCAGTTGTGGATCATGTTGGAGATCTCAGATTTGGACATTACATATCAACCATCAAGTCCAGTGAGGATGGCAGATGGTACAAGTTCGATGATCGCTGGGTCACACTGGTGAGTCTTTAACCTGGGTGTTAATTACAGTTAATTATGACAATACAGAAAATATTCATCACATCTGACTTGTATATGTGATGTTTGATCTACAGCTTGATTACCAGCCATTCCAGACAGAAAACTCTGAGAGGTAAGTCTAAGTTATTGAGTTGCTGCATGTATGAGGTTGTAAACATGCATGATTGACTCACTTTAAAACTACTGTAATGTTTTAAAAGCATCAAAGCTTATGTTTGTAAGCTTTGACTTCAACTCTTGGAGTAGATATAGATTAGGTGTGTTGAAGGCTGAGGGACATGAAGAGAGCAGGAAAATTAGGGTCTCTCAGAGAACAGTGGGAATGATGAAGAGGACAGAAGAAGGTGTTAATCCAGGTCTGTGGTTGTCAATCAACACAGAGACACAAGAAAGTAGAGATGAAGAAAAAGATCAGTCATTGGCACCATAATGACTGATGGAATAAAGGGCTTATTTCTCCAAGCCTTCACAAAAACACCTCCAGATGTCCGCTGGAATGGGATGTTGTCGTCCAGATTTGCTGTGTCTCGATGAAAGAAGCTCTTGTCTTGAATAAACTCTTCTTTCAGTAGAAATATCCATCAGTAGTTGACAAAATATGATAAAAAATATTTTAAAAAATAAAGTAAAGAAGGCAGAAAATTCAGAGACCATTGAACTTTACTCAAAATCACCCCACTTTCTTTTATTTCCCTGCAGATCCAACAGCGCTTATCTTCTCTTCTACAGGAAAATCAAAGGTAGGACAGTGACATTTTATGATACTAATTTGTTTTTTGTAATGACTATTATGTGAATTCATTTTACAACCACCTACTTCCCAATGCCTGCTGCAGAAACTTGTACTCCTGAAGACATCAGGGAAGAGTTCACGCCTGGAGACCATTCATCTTCAACCAGAGATCTTACTGACCAGCATCAAGATGTTGTTATTATTATGGAGGAGGAAGGAGCAGAAGAAAGTAAGGACATTGAAATGATTGGTTCTGCCAAGGATGAAGACAGAGTTGGTGTGAACTCTGTAAGAGAGGGGCAACCACCTGAGTGTTGCTACAGTGTAGAAGACCAGGAAAATGAAGTGTTTACTCACGTGAGAAAAGAGGACAAAACAGTCCCAGGGAGTGAGGGGGTAAGTGAGGGGAGTGCAGAGGCAGATCACCAGGCAGAAAAGAAAGAAACCTTATCTGGAGGAAGTCTGAGTGAGGATGGTGACGAGAATCAGGACAACAGAAGAAAAGAAATGAATGATTCTGAGCAGGAAAGACAACAGGAACACACCTGGACTTTAGAGTATGAACAGAAATTTAACAACATGAGACAAGACTGTTCTGGAGAGTTGTGCATGGAAGCACAGATAGAAAGGAAAGGAGAAGGACACCGTCAGAACGATGACGGTTTAGATGTTGGAAAGGGCGTAAGAGAAGATCCAGATGATAGATGGAGAGGTGAACAAGGCACCAGTTCTTCTAGAGGTGAGGAAAAGATAGAAAGAGATTTCAAGGTTTATCCAGAAGTGGAGACAGGAGCAAATGAACAGCAAACACAGAGCAAGAAGCATGTGACAAGAACAGATCCTGGCGATGGTATGAACCGTGGCGATTTAAGGGTTGGCGAGAGCAGGCAGAGTGAGGGAAAAGATGATCAGACATATAAACAAAAGAGCAGCTGTAGTCACGGCATGAATGATCAACAGAAAGAAATGAAGATGGATGATCAGAGAGCAGAGAACAGAAAAGATTATCCATCTTTACACAGAGAATTGTCTTCAACAAAGCCTGGAGAAGAAACAGTCAAGAGACGCTCAGATGATACTGATCATGAGAGAACAGACACCAGGTCAAAACCTGTTCAGGCAGCTGGAGAGCAGGAAGAGACGTATTTTTAAGACAGACGTGACAGAGGAGAGGAGAGAAGGTCAAAGGTCATTAGGAGTCAGGGGGAAGTAAGAAAGAGTGAAACCGGGGCCGAATTTGATGAAAGTATTATAGAGGAAAAAAAGTCATCAAAGAAGACAGATGCAGGTGTAGAGGAGAAAAATGAGGAACAAACCTCAAAGTGGAAGGACGTGGAACTTCCAACTCAGAAAGAGACCTCACGAAACAAAAGAAAGAGTTTGGCAAAAATCAAATCTCATCAAGATGAGATCCAATAACGTGAATCAAAAAGTGTAGGAAGACGAGTCGAGCAGCTTAAAGACGAAGAGAGTCAATACAGGAGCTGATACAGGAGAGCAGGCAGCTGCTGTACAGTGTGAGGGAGAAATGGGACACAGTGAGGATGGAAAGAAAAAGGTAAAAAGTCTGTCGTGTTATTTCTGTTTTATTTCAAATGATGGAAACTAAATTTAAAAGACAAAGGGCTCATAAAAAGACAGATAAAATGGGTTTGATAAATGTATGAAGATATAGTGATGGGAAGAACAGTTCTTTTGACTGTACTGAATCCTTGGAATCCGTTCATTAAAACGATTCGTTCAAAAGATTCGTTCACTGAATCAGTCAGTGCTTCGGAGCCCCGTCCTGCCGGTGCAGCAGTACAAGAGTGAGTTCATTGAACGAGCCCTTCCTCTCCCCTCCCCTGCAGCTGAAATCAGCCCCCCCCCCCCCCACCCCCGCTTGTGATGTTGACATGTAGTTACAGTAAGACTGGTTTGTGCTCAAGTCCTCTTTTTTCTGTGCAGCTCAGTTTTTAAAAGTTTGAGCTGAGCGTCATCACAGCGACTCTCGGCGACTGCGTGGCCAAAGGCGCGCATCGCTACTGCGCAGCTCTGGTTTCAAGGAATTGGAGAAAAAGCCGGAATTACCGAGAGCTTTTTGGCTTCAAATCCGTATACAGGCGGAGGGCGGAACCAGATTGTCCATAGTATATACAGCCTATGTTCAGTAAACGTCTTTAACTCAGCAGTTCTCATGTACACTCCTGAAGTTGTTTGACATGATTGAAAATATGGAAATGTATGTAACCAAATATGTGTGTGCTTGTTGTCTGACCTTTTGTTTCATATTCAAATCCGGGGTAAAATACGTGTTTAACTATTAAAAACTTATCAGTTCATGACAGCAGCTGTGTGTTTAATTTGAGTTCAAATCTCTTAACCTGGGACTGAGGATATTGATGTTCAGCCAAAAATTCTCTTGTCAGTGGTAATATGTGCACATATGATGAACTATGAACACACACACATAAACATACAACATTTATAGACATAACTGCCATAATACAGTCATAGATATTAGATTGTGCATATAGATTATTATTTGTATTTGTGTATACAACGCATTTAATAGAGGAAAAGTGTTTTTTGAGAAATAAAGTCTCGTAGACAAATATTTATACCTGTGGTGAACTCAAAGACAGATTATACTATATGAAAACAATCAAAACTCCAAAGTCAACGCTAACCCAGATTGATAATTTTGTCTCTCCCTTGTCATTCTTGACCCTTATGAGTCTTTCATCAAAAATATTACCTCTCAATTTCACTGAGGAAACCCCCCACTCATTTAAACCCACTTTGTTTTGATACAACACAGGAAGCTCTGTGGTGTTTGTGGTTCACTATTTATGTACTACTGTCAGTAAAAAAACATCTGACCTGTTGAGTTTTATTTCCTTGTTCCTTCTGCAAAGTTAATGTTCAAAAGTCTGACACACCCTGAACGCAGCATTCCAGCAGCAAAGGCAGTAAATGAAAGAGAAAGTTTAACTCGGGTTGTTTCTTATAAGCACGAGAGAGAAACATGTCAGTCAACTCGTTTCTTCTGTTTGTTCCTAACCAAATAAGGTAGGTATGTGTGTTTTTTTTTTGTGTGTGCGTGTGTGTGTGTGTGTGTGTGTGTGTGTGTGTGTGTGTGTGTGTGTGTGTGTGTGTGTGTGTGTGTGTGTGTGTGTGTGTGTGTGTTTGGGGCCGATGTGTTGGTGATGTTTTACTGTCAAATGCAGATCGTTTGTGGCTGACAGCAGTACGAAAGTGGACTAACAACCAGAGAAAATCAAAATGGACATAGGGAATCAATGGTTATCTAACAGTCAGTCTTCAGGTGAGATCTCAGTTTATCTTAAACAGAGTTAAGGCAGTTTTTCTTGCATGTATGTATTGATTTATTTACCATCTTAAACAGTGAAGTATAACGGCTTGGTAAACCAGGGAGCGACTTGTTACCTGAACAGTGTGCTGCAGGTGCTTTTTATGACTGAGGACTTCAGGGAGGCCGTGGAAAGGTTTGTTATAAAGTCTGACTTCAGTTCAGCTCTTGTGGATTTTTGTATGACCACTGTTTCCTTACTTTGTTTAGGTCTCCTGGGACTGAGAATATCGATCATCAACTGAAAAGTTTGTTTGATAAATTAAAAAATCAAACTGCCAACACCTTTCAGATCACAGACAAGCTTGGCATCAAACAAGGTACATGTTAGTAACAGAGTGTGATGAGTTTACATTAAAGATTTATTGAGAAGACTCTTGAAATAACGTCAGACTGTATTTAAAGAAAGATAAGTGCCATTTAACAGTAATATTAGCACGACATATAGATCATATATGAAATAACCTCTGCAGTAATACAATGTGAGATTTTTGAGTTGATGTTACTCTTTATATGGTAATTCAACACAAGACGAAAAAAAGAATAATTGAAAAGGTCGAGAAAAATATTAAAGAAAACATACTTACACACCGACTCAGGGCCGACATGGGCCATGATAACAGGTGACATTGTTATATATAACAGTGTGTCATCTGTAAAATTATTATAACTAAGTTTTTGTTTATTTTAATTTGAGCCAGTGAGAGAGTGTATAGGAAAACAGAGGAGGCCCCAGAATGGAGCCTTGGGGTACCCCACATGTAATTTAAACACACTATAAATTTATCTTTTCTTTCTCAGTGTATAAACAGAGAGATGCTGCCGAGTACTATGAGAAGATTTTAAATCTGACCAGTGATGAGGCATCACAGGTAAAGTAATTATGAAGTTAAAGATGCAAATTAAGTTTCAAATACCTGTTAACCTTTATCTTTTTTGTCTTTGTCAGATCTTTCATGGAGAGCTCACTCACCGGACGACATGTTTAAATTGTGAAACACAAACTGATGCAGACGGGAAATTTTGGCATCTTCCTCTGACTCTGGTGAACTCCTACAGTGAATATAAAGTGGTATGAATATGAAAACCTGCACATTTTCAAAACATTTTTAACATCTAAGATATGAAATTTGTAATATTTCTGATCTTTGTTTTATCAGCTGGATGGCGTTGACGACTATTTCAGTGCTACGGTGTTCAGAGGTGAAAACCAGATCTATTGTGATGAATGTGATGATAAACATGATGCCACTACTGTGAGTTATACCTGAAAAAGTTTCTAATTTGTGTGCTTTAACTTTGCCATGGAATCCTGGGATTTCTACACTGCATGTGTGCTTGTTGATAGTTTTACACTGACACTGCTACCATGTAATATCGTTGTTTTTTTTAGCAATGTGTTGTGAAGCATCATCCAGAGGTTCTGATGCTGCTGCTGAAGAGATTTAAGTTTAACTACAACTTCATGACTTACACCAAAATCAACCACAATGTCAGTTTCCCCCACAAACTAAAGATACCAGAGGTATGAAAACACTCAGATTTGGAGGATTTTTTAAATACAACTTTCTCTGTTGGTTCAATAATTTCATGTGTCATTGTTTCCACTGGTGACCAGAATCAGCTGTATGAACTGTATGCAGTTGTGGATCATGTTGGAGATCTTAGATCTGGACATTACACATCAACTATCAAGTCCAGTGAGGATGGCAGATGGTACATGTTCAATGATTGCAGCGTCACACTGGTGAGTCTTTAACCTGGGTGTTAATTAACGTTAATTATGACAATACAGAAAATATTCATCACACCTGAATTGTATATGTGATGTTTGATTATTATTTACATTTACAGCTTGATGACCAGCCAGTCCAGACAGAAAACTCTGAGAGGTAAGTCCAAGTCATTGAGTTGTTGCATGTATGAGGTTGTAAACATGTATGATTGACTCAATTTTGGAGCCAGCCTCAAGTGACCTTGCTCTTGGTTCCTCATTTTCCTCCAAAAGTTGTAGCAGATTCAAATAATTCTGAACTTACAAACATCCTCACTTAAATCTAACTCCTCCCCAAAACGTCTGTAATGTTTTAAAAGTATCAAAGCTTATGTTTGTAGAGGCTTCAGGGCTTGGAGCAGAAATAGATAAGGTGTATTAAAGACTGAAGGACATGAAGAGAGCAGGAAAATTAGGGTCTCTCAGAGAACACTGGGAATAATGAAGAGGACAGGTGTAGCATTTTAAATTTATAATAAATGTCCTAAGATTAATAATTGATAATAATCTAAAATCATGTATGCACTCATTGCAAGGTACACCTTCCACCTTTGATGATGGGAAAATAAAGAAAACAAAAGTTAAATTCAGAAATCAAACATTCAGTCAATCCTAAATTAATCATCAAACCATTGAACTTTACTCAAAATCACCCCACTTTCTTTTATTTCCCTGCAGATCCAACAGCGCTTACCTTCTCTTCTACAGGAAAATCAAAGGTAGGACAGTGACATTTCATATTGCTAATTTGTCTTTTGTAATGACAATTATATGAATTCATTTTACAACCACCTTCTTTCCAGTGCCTGGGATGAGGGACAAGTCTCCAAAGGAAAAACAGTCACTAAAGACGAAATATATAGAGGAGAAAAATGAGGAAGAAACCCCTATGGAAATGAACATGGTACCTCCAACTCAGAAAAAGGCCAGTGGAAACAGAGGAAAGATTTCAGCAAAAAACAAAAGGTGGAGAAAAAAGGGGAAACAAAGCAGAAGAGGAAGATGAGACAAGCAACTTAAGGCATGAGGCAGATAAGAGACACAGCAAGGATAGAAAGAGTCAGACTAGGACAAAATCATGTACATAATGTATCATGTACTAATAAAGAGACAGATAAAGTGAGTTTAATAAATGTATGAAGATATCATATAATATACACTCCTGAATTGTTTGACATGATTTAAAATATGGAAATGTATGTCACCAAATATTTGTGTGTTTGTTGTCTGACCTTTTTTTTTATAATCAAATCAGGAGGAAAAAATGTGTTTAACTATTAAAAACTGATCAGTTAATGACGGCAGCTGTGTGTTTAATTTGAGGTACAAGTCTCTTCAGGATGTTAAAAAATGTGTTTGGAGAGTAAAGAGAGTGCATGGACTACAGCACCCCCCAGTGGAAGTTAAACGTCAGATCATGACGATCTCATTCTCTGCTTATTTAGCTTTAACTGTACTAATTATATAAAAAAAATGTCCTCGGTGTTCAACGCAAAAATGGCAGGTTTTATAATCTACAGTCTGTTATATTATCAAGAGTTTCAGAGAATCTGGAGGAATCAGTTCAACAGAGACAAGTCTGAAAACTGAAACTGTCCAGCAGTGATCTTTAGAACCTCACTGCATTAAAAATGTTTCAATAAGACAACGCCAAAACACATTCTGCTGATAAAACAGCAGCATGAATTGTTGAGCAGCTGAAACTCCAGACTAATCTCCTCATTTCCAAAACATGTCCAGAGTTTCCCTGAAAAACTCAAAACACTCCTGTCATCTGAAACTACAACACTGACATGATTCATGTTTGTCTATGGCTCACCCTTCATCTACAGTCTCTTAAAACACTCTGGACCAATTGTCTTTTATTTTCTTGTCACTTGTGGGAGGCACCTGTTAATGTTTAAAAATTCCTACAGACCCTAAATGCAGCATTCCTGTACCAGGGAGAGCAACAAGCGAAACAGAAACTTTGACCAGTGTAATTTTTTGTTCAGCAAACGTGAAAGTATTTGTGGAAAAACACCAAAAAAGAGAGATTTCTGCTTAAACCAGTTTGTTTTTGTAAGTTTGACTCTCTAAAACTGAAGGTAAGCGTCTGTTTCTTTGTATTTGTGTTAAATAAAGATTTTTTTTGTCACGAGCTTTATCGTCAAATGGAAATTCTTCGCAGCTGCCAGCAGCATGTCAATGTACTGAAGAAAAACAAAAAACAGCATTAGGAAATCAAAATGAGTCACCCCTGGAATAATGGAGGACGTGTTCTGTACAGTCCTCTCTCAGGTAAGATGTACGCCCAAATAAGATGCTCATAGTCTGAATAATGACAGTTCTGTTATTTACATGTATTTTCAACAATCTTTTAACAGTCAAGTATAACGGCTTGGTAAACCAGGGAGCGACTTGTTACCTGAACAGTGTGCTGCAGGTACTTTTTATGACTGAGGACTTCAGGGAGGCTGTGGAAAGGTTTGTTATAAAGTCTGACTTCAGTTCAGCTCTTGTGGATTTTTGTATGATCACTGTTTCCTTACTTTGTTTAGGTATCCTGGGACTGAGGATATCGATCTTCAGCTGAAAAGTTTGTTTAATAAACTGAAAAATCAAACTGCCAACACCGTTCAGATCACAGACAAGCTGCGCATCAAAAAAGGTACATGTTAGCACACAGAGTGTGATGAGTTTACATTAAAGATTCATTGAGAAGACTTGAAATAATGTCAGACTGTATTTAAAGAAACATGAGTGCCATTTAACAGTAATATTAGCATGACATATAGATCATATATGAAATAACCTCTGCAGTAATACAATGTGAGATTTTTGAGTTGATGTTACTCTTTTTATGGTAATTCAACACAAGACGAAAAAAATAATAATTGAAAAGGTCGAGAAAAATATTTAAAATAAAGATACTTACACACCGACTCAGGGCTGACATGGGCCATGATAACAAGTGACATTGTTATATATAACAGTGTGTCATCTGTAAAATTATTATAACTAAGTTTTTGTTTATTTTAATTTGAGCCAGTGAGAGCGTGTATAGGAAAACAGAGGAGGCCCCAGAATGGAGCCTTGGGGTACCCCACATGTAATTTAAACACACTATAAATTTCTCCTCCCTTTCTCAGTGTATAAACAGAGAGATGCTGCCGAGTACTATGAGAAGATTTTAAATCTGACCAGCGATGAGGCATCACAGGTAAAGTAATTATGAAGTTAAAGATGCAAATTAAGTTTCAAATACCTGTTAACCTTTATCTTTTTTGTCTTTGTCAGATCTTTCATGGAGAGCTGACTCACAGGACGACATGTTTAAACTGTCGTACACAAACTGATGCAGACGGGAAATTTTGGCATCTTCCTCTGACTCTGATGAACTCCTCCAGTGAATATAAAGTGGTATGAATCTGAAAACCTGCACATTTTTAAATCATTTTAACATCTAAGGTATGAAATTTGTAATATTTCTGATCTTTGTTTTTTTAGAAGGATGGCGTTGACGACTATTTCAGAGCTTCGGTGTTCAGAGGTGAAAACCAGATGTATTGTGACCAATGTGATGACAAACATGATGCCACTACTGTGAGTAATACCTGAAAATGTTTCTATTTCGTGTGCTATAACTCTGCCGTGGAATTCAGGGATTTCTATCTTGCATGCGTACTTGTTGATAGTTTTACACTGACACTGCTACCATGTAATATTGTTGTTTTTTTTAGCGATGTGTTGTGAAGCATCATCCAGAGGTTCTGATGCTGCTGCTGAAGAGATTTGAGTTTAACTACAACTTCATGACTTACACCAAAATGAACCACAATGTCAGTTTCCCCCATAAACTAAAGATACCAGAGGTATAAAAACACTCAGATTTGGAGGATTTTTTAAATACAAATTTCTCTCTCGGTTCAATAATTTGATTGTTATTGTTTCCATTGATGACCAGAATCAGCTGTATGAACTGTATGCAGTTGTGAATCATGTTGGAGATCTTAGATCTGGACATTACACATCAACTATCAAGTCCAGTGAGGATGGCAGATGGTACAAGTTCAATGATCGCAGCGTCAAGCGGGTGAGTCTTTAACCTGGGTGTTAATTAAAGTTAATTATGACAATACAGAAAATATCCGTTACACCTTATTTGTAAATGTGATTTTTGATTATTATTTATATTTACAGCTTGATTACCAGCCATTCCAGACAGAAAACTCTGAGATGTAAGTCTAATTGAGTTGTTGCATGTATGAGGTTGTAGATGAGGAAGTCAACATGTATGATTGACTCACTTTTGGAACCAGCCTTAAGTGGCCTTGCTTTCGGTTCCTTAGTTTGCTTCAAAGGTTGTTGCAGATTCAGATGATTTTGAACTTACAAACACTCTTGTTTGAATAACCCTAACTCCTGGAAACTCCTCCCTAAAACTTTTGTAATATTTTAAAAGCATCAAAGCTTATGTTTGTAAGCTTTGCTTTGCAAGCATTAAGTGGCACCATAATGACTGATGGAATAAAGGGCTTATATTTCCAAGCCCTCACAAAAACACCTCCAGATGTCCGCTGGAATGGGATGTTCTTGTCCAGATTTGCTCTGTGTCGATCAAAGAAGCTCTTGTTTTGAATAAACTCTTCTCCCATTAGAAATATCCATCAGTAGATGACTAAATACGATAAAAATATTAAAAAGTACAGTGAAAATTGCAAAAAAAAAATAACAGAGAGACCAGACTCTGCTACCACTTGAGCACAGGATCTAGAAAATAACCCTGAGCTTTTATTTAAAATCACCCCACTTTCTCTTACCCCACTTTCTGCTGCAGATCCAACAGCGCTTACCTTCTCTTCTACAGGAAAATCAAAGGTAGGACAGTGACATTTTATGATGCTAATTTGTCTTTTGTAATGACTATTATATGAATTCATTTTACAACCACCTACTTCCCAATGCCTGCTGCAGAAACCTGTACTCCAGAGGACACCAGGGAAGAGTTCGTACCTGGACACCATTTACCTTCAACCAGAGATCTTACTGACCAGCAACAAGACACTGTTATGGTGGAGGAGAAAGAAGTAGCAGAAGAAAGTAAGGCATTTGAAATGGTTGGTTCTGCTGAAGATGAAGACAGAGTTGGTGTGAGGTTTGTAAGAGAGGCGCAACCACCTGAGCCCTGCTACAGTGCAGCAGACCAGGAGAATGAAGTGATGGTCAAGAGTAAAAAGAAATATAAGGATGGACAGATGGACAGAGATAAACTGAGAGACAGGAAAGGACATCAGAACGGTGACGGTTTAGATGTTGGAAAGGGCGTGGGAAGAGATCCATATGTTAGATGGAGAGGTGAACAAGGTACCAGTTCTTCTAGAGGTGTGGAAAGTATAGAAAGGGATTTCAAAGTTAATCCAGAAGTGAAGACAGGAGCAAATGAACAGAAAACAAAGAGCAAGAAGCATGTGACAAGAACAGATCCTGGCGATGGTATGAATTGTGGCGATTTAAGGTTTGACAAGAGCAGGCAGAGTGAGGGAAAAGATGATCAGACATATAAACAAAGGAGCAGCTACAGACACAGCATGAATGATCAACAGAAAGAGATGACCATGGATGTCCACAGAGCAGGGAACAGAAAATATTATATGTCTTTGTACAGAGAATCATCTTCAACAAAGCCTGGAGAAGATACAGTCAAGAGACACTCAGATGATACTGATCATGAGAGAGCAGACACCAGGCCAAAATCTGTTCAGGCAGCAGGAGAGCAGGAAAAGAAGGGAGACTTAAAGGTTTATCAAAACAGAACAGAGGCAAGAAGGTCAAAGGAGACAAAGGGTCAGGGGGAAGTAAGGAAGAGTGGAATGAGGGCTGAGTTTGATGAAAGTATTGTGGAAGAAAAACAGTCACCAAAGAAGACAGATGCAGGTGTAGAGGAGAAAAATGAGGAAGAAATCTCAAATTGGAAGGACGTGGAACTTCCAACTCAGAAAGAGACCTCACGAAACAAAAGACAGAGTTTCGAAAGGATAAAAAAATACATTTTTAGTAAGATGGAAACAAAATCCAACACAGGAGCAGAACCCAAGATTGGTTTAAGGTCGAAGATCAAAGCCAATAAAGTGAATCACAAAGTACAGGAAGATGAGTCAAGCCACTTAAAGATGAAGAGAGTCAATACAGGAGCTGATACAGGAGAGCAGGCAGCTGCTGTAAAGTATGAGGGAGAAACGGGACATAGTGAGGATGGAAAGAAAAAGGGGAAAAGTCTGTCATGTATTCTCTGTTTTATTCCAGATGATGGAAACTAAATTTAAAAGACAAAGGGCTCATACAGAGACAGATAAAATGTGTTGAACAAATGTGTGAAGATATCATATATTATAAGCCTCTGAAGTTGTTTGACATGATTTAACATATGGAAATGTATGTTACCGAATATGTGTGTGTTTGTTGTCTGACCTTTTGTTTTATAATCAAATCAGGAGGAAAACTATTGTTTAACTATTAAAAACTGATCAGTTCATGACGGCAGCTGTGTGTTTAATTTGAGGTACAAGTCTCTTCAGGATGTTAAAAATGTGTTTGGAGTGTAAAGAGAGTGCATGGACTACAGCACCCCCCAGTGGAAGTCAAACGCCAGATCATGACGATCTCATTCTCTGCTTATTGAACATTAACTGTACTAATTATAGAAAAATAACGTCCTCAGTGTTCAACTGCAAAAATGGCAGGTTTTATAATCTGCAGTCTGTTATATTATCAAGAGTTTCAGAGAATCTGGAGGAATCAGTTCAACAGAGACATGTCTGAAAACTGAAACTGTCCAGCAGTGATCTTTAGGACCTCACTACATTAAAAATGTTTTAACAAGACAACGCCAAAACACATTCTGCTGATAAAACAGCAGCATGAATTGTTGAGCAGCTGAAACTCCAGACTAATCTCATTTCCTGAACATGTCCAGAGTTTTTCTGAAAAACTCAAAACACTCCTGTCTTCTAAAACTACAACACTGACATGATTCATGTTTGTCTATGGCTCACCCTTCATCTACAGTCTATAAAAACACTCTGGACCAACTGTCTTTTATTTCCTTGTCACTTAAGGGAGGCACCTGTTAATGTTTAAAAATTCCAACAGACCCTAAATGCAGCATTCATGTACCAGGGAGAGCAACAAGCGAAACGGAAACTTTGACCAGTGTTGATTTTTTGTTCTAGCAAACGTGAAAGTATTTGTGGAACAAAACAAAAAGAGAGATTTCTGATCAAACCAGTTCGTTTTTGCGAGTTTGAATCGATAAAACTGAAGGTAGGCGTCTGTTTCTTTGCATTTGTGTTAAGAAATGATTTGTTGTCACGGGTTTATCGTCAAATGGAAATTCTTTGCAGCTGCCAGCAGCATGTCAATGGACTGAAGAAAAAAAAACGTGTTAGTGAATCAAAATGAGTCACTCCTGGAATAATGGAGGACGTGTTCTGTACAGTCCTCTCTCAGGTAAGATTTACGCCGAAATAAGATGCTCATAGTCTGAATAATGACAGTTCTGTTATTTACATGCATTTTCAACAATCTTTTAACAGTCAAGTACAAAGGCTTGGTAAACCAGGGAGCGACTTGTTACCTGAACAGTGTGCTGCAGGTGCTTTTTATGACTGAGGACTTCAGGGAGGCTGTGGAAAGGTTTGTTACAAAGTCCAGCTTCATATCATATAAATGATTCAACTTTATTTGGTTCTCTTTGGGATCGTTTTATGACCACTCTGTCTTTACTTTGTTTAGGTATCCTGGGACCGAGTATATTGACCTTCAGCTGAAAACCTTGTTTGATGAATTAAAAAATCAAACTGCAGATACTTTTCAGATCACAGACAAGCTGGACATCAAACAAGGTACATGTTAGCACACAGAGAAAAAGAGCTTTTCAGGAGGCAAACAAACATCTCTATCCGAGAGTATGATGAGATAAGATTAAAAATTCATGTAGAAGAATCTAATGTTTATATTAGGATCTGCATTTAGTGCAAGATTAGTGCCATTTTACACTAATATGGGCCTACAAAAGAAAAAAAGGTTGGGGCCATAAAACATCAAAAAAAAGGTAAATTTTTCAAAGAATTCTGAAATTAACGTCAGATTTCTTTGTTTACATGCAGAATTCTGATGTCATTCTCAGAATCACAGCTCTTTTCTCAGAATCACAAATCTGAGAAAGAATCAGGAATTTGTTAACTCCAAATTTGTACTTTTTTCCAGACTTCTAAAAGAAAGAATTGACATGACAATAAAAACTCAAAAAAACAAAACAAACAAAAATTGATTGATTAATTCAGATGTCTGTCTTCAGTTTAAACTTGACATTTTTTGAAACATTTTCAGGATTTTAATCTGGAATTTTGGAATTCTTAGATTAAGAGTTCTGATTTTAAAGGCAGAATACTCAGAAGAAAAAAAAGGCAGAATTCCAACTTTATAACTTTTAGTGGCCCTGATTCTCTTCCACAAAAACCCTTGTCTATAGATCAAATATAGTATGAAATGACCTCTGCAATAATACAACGTGAGTTTTTTTTGAAGCTCTTTATTTACATGTTGATGTCTCGTCCCTCTCTCAGTGTATGAACAGCGAGATGCTGCTGAGTACTTTGGGAAGATTTTAAATCTGACCAGCGATGAGCCATCACAGGTAAAACAGTTATAAAGTCAAAGAAATACTCTGTAAACACAAAGAATATTTTTTAGCCAGTGTCTGTTTTCTGTCCTCTTTAGATCTTCTACGGGAAAATGTCCAACAGGACTGAATGTTCTGCATGTGAAACACAGACTGACACAGAGATGAAATTTTGGCATCTTCCTCTGACACTGTGGGACTCCTCCAACACTGTGGTATGAATCTGAACACAGGGCTGGGTCTGACCTAACCTTTGAATTAAATGTTGACAAACTCTCTTCAGTGTGACTTTTTTAATGTTGAATCCATGCAGTTAGGTTTTATGTAATAGAAATTATCTTTTATTTATTTTAATAAATTTTGTTAATTTCTTGATGTTTGGTCTTGTTAGGTGAACAGTGTCAAGGAGTACTTCAAGCCTATGTCATTCAGCGGTGAAAACCGGTTGTATTGTGACAAGTGTGATGCCAAACGTGATGCCACTGTCGTGAGTAATGTCATACTATGTTTCCTGATATAACTGTACCCACTCTGTGATAGCAGAGTGAATCATGGGATTTTTAAACTTGGGTCATGTTTTATCAAAATTTAAGATCTGAGTCACTAATGTGTTCAAAAGGTTTGGGGATTGCTCCAGTGGATAGACTCAGTCAACAGTCTTAAAACAGGCGAAATTGGATAAAAAGTTCATCTAAAGTGGTCGTTTTTGTCTGCCTTTCAAAGACTCAGACATGTGGCCACATTCATCATTAAATAGAGAAACAGTAGTGTAGGCTCTGTCAAGGACTTTTTGTCATGGCAACAGTGGAGGAGACTTTCAGAGAACTGACCAGTTGGAGAAAACATTGATGTAAAAAGAGATAAAATACAAACAAAAAGTCTGGAAATGTTCAAACCACCTTTTTCAGAATTCAACACTTTTTGATAACACAGTTTATCTTTTCAGCGCTGTGTCATAAAGACTAATCCAGAGGTTCTGATGCTGCTGCTGAAGAGGTTTGAGCTCGACTACAGTACCAAGACTTTAGTCAAAAACAACTGCAATGTCAGCTTCCCCCACACACTAACGATACCAGAGGTTTGAAAACACTCAGATTTGGATGATTTTTCAAATACAACTTCCTCTCTCGGTTCAATAATTTGATGTGTCATTGTTTCCATTGGTGACCAGAATCAGCTGTATGAACTGTATGCAGTTGTGGATCATGTTGGAGATCTTAGATCTGGACATTACACATCAACTATCAAGTCCAGTGAGGATGGCAGATGGTACATGTTCGATGATGGCCGGGTCACACTGGTGAGTCTTTAACCTGGGTGTTAATTAAAGTTAATTATGACAATACAGAAAATATCCATCACACCTGATTCATACATGTGATGTTTGATCTACAGCTTGATTACCAGCCAGACCAGACAGAAAACTCTGAGAGGTAGGTCTAAGTTATTGATCAACAAGCAGGGAAGTGAGGGATGTTCGAGAGTCCACCAGACCTGTTATTAGCAAACTTTTTCAACATGTTCAGACAAAAACAGAATCCAAAGTCGAAATGACCCCACTGTTTTCTCTTTCTCTCTCTCTACAAATCCAACAGCGCTTATCTTCTCTTCTACAGGAAACAGAAAGGTAGGACTATGAACATCTCGTGACACTCACCTTCTGTTGCAATGAGTACTTTTTGAATGAATTCCACCCTCTTTTTTTCTAGCGCCTGCTTCAGAAGACATCAGAGGGGTGTTCACACCTGGAGACTATTCAACTTTAGCCTATAATCAACGTCAGGACACTGTCATGGTGAACAAGGAAGTAAAAGTAGATCCAGATAGACAGAGAAGTGGATTATACAGCGGTTCTTATGGTGTAAAGACAGGAGCAGAGAAAGTGGAACCAAAAGGTAGAAAGCTTCTGACAAAATTTGACCTTTTGTTTAACAACACGCAAGTCAATAGTGCTCAGAGTACGGTGAGAGAGGACCAAGCGTGGAAGCGAGGAAGCAGCAGCAGGTATGACAGTCAGGACCAACATCGAAATGAGAACATAGATGTTCAGAGAGTGAAGGAAGTAACAAAAAGAGAGGATGAACATCTACAAAAGGGAACAAAATTGAGGTCGACATATGTTGAAGATACAGACAGGAGAAGCTCAGATGATACACAAATCAGTGCCAATCACTCCATACTTGAGGCTGTGAGTGAGGAAGAAATGCAAGAAGATGAAGAGTACGATGAAGACAGGGACATCTCTTTTCTGAGTCAAACAGAGGGTGAGGAAGAAGAGTACGATGAAGACAGGGACATCTCTTTTCTGAGTCAAACAGAGGGTGAGGAAGAAGACAGGAAGAGCCAACCAGGAACATGTATAGTGAGAATATACGAGGAGGAAAAAAGAATAATGCCAAGTGTTACTTTGAGAAGCAGGGAGAAGATGGACATCAAGCTTCAAACTCTGCAGGCTACCTTTATCAACAGAGGAGAGGGTGTGGGAGATAATCGAGAGAAAGGAAACAATGATGTTTTCTTTGGCGGTGAGGATTTTCAGTCTCTCTTGAAAGGGGAAGTCCGAAACAAAAGAATCACTCTTGACGTGCGACACATGTTGGCAAAACTGTCACAGGAGAACAAGTTTGACATGATCCAGTGTCACAGTCCTGTTCCACACAATATTGTAACTTAAAACAGTAAAAATAAGAGTTATTAGAGGCTTAATTTTAATTTTGCTTTACTGAACAGACGATGTGTTGCATTATAGTAAAGGTACATAGCTTGTAACTCAATCAGCTGTGAAAAAAATATGTTTAAAGAAACAACCTTTTTTTGCATGGCAACAGTGGAGGAAGCTTCCAGAATGCTGGGTTCTGGAATGCTGGGGGCCTTAAAGGGACAGTGGCTTGAATGAAGCGTCTAATGAGGGTTTTTTAAAGACAGCAGCCTGATATATGTTAAGAGATTGTTGGACTCTGAATCATGTAAAGCTGCTAAGAACATATCAAAGGGATAATATAAAAACAAACAAATAAGCATGACACCACCTATTTAATGGAAATGTATGGCATAAAAGGGAGGAAACAAAAAGAAAGAAAGAAGTGAAAAAATGGAGCACAAGGCAGGAAGGAAACAAAGACCAAAAAAAAAGGTACAGATATTGAACAAGGGAGCATTAAGATGGAGAATAATAAAGGAATACTTCCAACTGAATGTAATGCACACAATTTATTGATGTTTAATCAAGCTTGGTAAATATGTTTCAGAGATATTATGTTATGAATGTTGACCTTTATAAAGAACTTAAAGTTGCTCTTTATATTCACTGTGCTTTTTAATAAACTTTATTTGTCAAACTCAGTCATCTTGACAGTCCTGCTATTTAACCTGAATGCTTCAACCAGGACTTTCTGAGTCCTTAAACTTTCGGCAGCTTTTTCTTCTGTCATTTGCTGGGAGTACTCTGTTGATATGCAGTTTTCACTATTATTTTATTGTTATTTATATATTTTTGTAACCGTGGGCGCGTTAGTAAATGTTTTACCTTTAAGGGAAGTATTTTCTATATCTCCCATATTTGTCAGTACGTGCGAAGTCTGTTGAACCCTCTTCAACATTTCGCATCTCAGCGGGCGAACCGTTTCAGACGATGAGGAAGTTTGACTTTTCACGCTTTCCGTAGCTTCTTACATTTCCAACATGGCTGCCATCAGGAGTGGGGTGACTCCGTGTTGCCTGGCAAGATGTTTTCTAAGACAAGCGAAAGGAGACAGCCCCCGTTTTTCAGACCTTTTGAATCACGTAAGTCTTCTTCACATTTTTAACTCTGATGTTTTAACCTTTATTTCTGAAAAGGTGGTGACTTTCCTCAGCTAGCTAGCTGCGCAGCCGGTTAGCATCCCGGCTGCGCAGTTAGGGGCGCATGCCTTCTGCGTGACTTTGACAGGGACAGGATCGACAGGGTCCTCTGATATTTGGTCATGCTCGCATTTTAACACTTCTTAAACAAAAACAAGTTGGTTGGATTTGCTTAAAGCTCAGTGATACGTGCACTGGGACTAAAGTGTGTTTTAATAATGCGGATCTAGATCTAGATCTAGAATACAGGACTCGGAAGCAGCAGTCCTGCATGATGAAGCTGTCAGTGTTGGTGTTAAATATGCTCCTGGCTGACTCTTTCTCCCCCTGTAAACATTCAGAGGTTGCTCCAGAGGTCCCATCTGCACACAGGGTCTGGATGTCACAGTCCAGCCTCCAGGACTCTGCTGGGCCGCAGACAGCAGGGGAAGTTCCTGTGGGTGAGCGCCATAGCGGTCAGACACAACAGCTCACAGGTGAGTGTGGACAGTTCACAAGAAATCACATTCAAACTGTCAGACTGGAAACAATCTTGAACCCAGGTTTGACATTGAAAAGATTAAGGCAAACAGATGAGATTAGATAATCCAAGTTTCAGGTCACAGTTGATATTAATGTTCATTTTGATGTTTCCAGATTCCTCCTGGGGAAGGAATCACCGCAGCTCCGGTGGTGGAAGCCTCTCTGCCGGCTGACCCCGCTCCTATCATCGCACAGCCAATCACAGAACAGGTATTTAAAGCCACAGTTGAAACATAACACACTGTCTCGAACCTTGAGCGTCTTTTACACTCCAGCTGTACTTTAATTCTAAAATTGCAGGTCCCAGTGGAAGTCATAGCAGCGCCAGTCGTGGATGTCTCTCCTCCTCCACCAGTCGCGGTCCCCCCCTCTGAGCTCATGTCCGCGGACCTCACCCCTGTTTTAACACAGCCAATCACTGAGCAGGTGATGGACGCCGCACCGACTGCAGTGGATGTCCTTCAGGCTGCGAGCACGGAGATGAGTTTAGCCGAGTTAGGACTGGCGGGTCACACGCCAGTGGGACTCATCCAGAACTTGTTAGAGTTCATGCACGTAGATCTTGGATTGCCCTGGTGGGGGGCAATCGTTGTAGGTAAGAGTTTTCCAGCGCTGTTTTACTCGATTCAAACAATCACTGCTGTCTGAATGTTTCTCCCTAATCCTCCTCCTCGTCCCCGTTTCTTCTCCCCTCCCTCTCTCTCACACACACAGGAACAGTGATCGCTCGTATGGCCGTGTTTCCAGTCATCGTTAAGGGTCAGAGAGAAGCAGCCAAACTCAACAACGTTCTGCCCGAGATGACCAAATACACCAACAGGCTGAATGAGGCCAAACAGAGCGGCAACAAGTTTGACTGTAAATCTTTTTTTTTTTCTTTGTTTTTACGCTGAAATTGTCTTTTCAGTCACTTTTACGACTTTATAGTTTGCTTGTCTTTGTAAAAATCCAGCATTTTTGTCGTGTAACGGGCTGTTGTGTGATTGTTTCAGTCGCCAAAGCGTACTCTGACCTGAACCTGTTCCAGAAGAAGAATGATGTCAATCCTCTCCGTGGATTCCTTGTGCCCATGGTTCAGGTTAGTTCATCTGTTTGGATTATGGTCCTTTTTGTGAACTGTGCTATTGCACCAACATTTGACGAAGAGGGCTCCAACGTGGCTGATTTTCTGTTGGTTTATACTTGGGCCTGACCGATATGGATTTTTTGGGGGCTGATGCCGATACCGATTATTAAGGGGGGGGGTTAATCCGATTACCGATTAATTGGCTGATTTATATTATTTATTTTTAATAAGTTATAAAAATATATACATACTGTAGATAAATTGTAGGGTACTGCTCTTCACGCCGACAGGAAGACCAACAAAAAATCAAACTTGGACCAGAAAAGCGTTTTCAACTAGTTAGTGGTAGTTAGTGGATGAAGATTGTCATGAGGTCACTGCGCCATCTACAGGATAAGTCGGGGAACTTTTCAAATGGCAGAACATTTTTGAAGTGAAACCAAATCTTATTCTCCGCATTTTATTTCTGAAAATATCGGTGAGTTTTGGCCAATTACTGATTAGTCTCAAACGGGCTGAAATTGGCCGATTAAATCAGCTCGTCTATAAATCAGTCGGGCTTTAGTTTATACAGAAATGTAAATTCTGACTCACCTTTTTGTCTAGAAAACACTCGGTAAACAGTTTTTCAAACACCACCATCACATCTGTGGGTTAGTAAATCATTACAACATTATGACTGTTATAAACTGAAGCTGCAGCGCCATCTTGTCGTGAGCGGCTGCACTACAGCTTAGGCGAAACGTGAGGACGAATAAGATTACTAATAACTCATTAAACTGACTGTTAATTCTGCCGATGAGTAGCAAGAATGCAAATTTAATCCTCAAGTCACTCAAACATAATAAAAAGTTTCGGCTGATTTTCACCAACAGTTTGCAGAAGATTTTGACGATAAATGAACACAAGTTTATGTTTTTGTTGGTTTTTACTCATTTAGCCTGTTGAAATCTCCCTTATATCATCTCTCCTTCTGCTCTCTCTCAGGCTCCTGTTTTCATCTCTTTCTTCATCGCACTGAGGAAGATGGCTTACCTGCCGGTGCCCAGCCTGCAGACAGGAGGCGTGCTCTGGTTCCCAGACCTGACGGCTGCAGATCCTTTTTTCATCCTTCCTCTGGCCGTCACCGGAACCATGTTCTTCATCCTGGAGGTCAGACATGTTCCACAAAACCTGCTTAAAAAAATTCAACAGAAATGAGGATAACAGAGATTTTTGGCACGGCGGTGTTTGTCATTCAGATGTTGCTTCTTCTCTTGTAGTTGGGTGCAGAGTCTGGAATCGACAACCCTAACCTGCGAATGATGAAGACCGTGTTCAGGGTCATGCCCTTCATCATCCTGCCCCTCACTATTAAATTTCCCACGGTCAGTCTGACGGTCGCCCATATTAGTTTCCACAATGCTAATCCTACCATCAACTCATGTACAATTTGTGCTTCAATTCCTTTTCTTCAGGCGGTGTTCACCTACTGGCTGACCTCTAACGTCTTCACCCTGGGACAAGTGGCCCTGCTCAGACACCCGCTGATCAGAGAGAAGCTGAGGATCCCAGAGAGGATCAAACACTCGACAACGGCAATGCCTGAAAACGACGGCTTCTTTAAGAGCATGAAGAAAGGTCTGCGTCCAAAAGTTCAAGAATTTAACTCCTTTTTTAAAAACGTAAAAATCACAGAAGCATTCATAGGGTCACTTTTATGTTTATTCTTCAGGCTGGAAAAACGCTCAGCTGGTGCAGCAGATGGAAGAGAGAGAGAGACGGATCAAGAATCACCTGAACCTTGCAGCCAAGGGTCAGTCTGATCATTCATGATTACATTTTAACACGTATTCAGAAACATGAAACAAACACATGCTAATGCGAAAAGTTCAAAGTCCATTTAAACATCAACTTCATTATTTCCTTGAAATATTAACAAGATTTTCAATCATTCACGTTTGATCCAGCTTTTAGAGATCTTCCAGCCTGAAAGGTCCCCTAAGGAACTTTTATTTGGGTCATTTTGGTGCAACATTTCTGTCTTTAATGAGATAAAAGTCCTCTGTGTTTTCAGCTGAGTCTCAGTATTCTCATGCTGAAAAACACTCAAAATCAAGAATTTGGGGGAAAATCTGAGTCTCTCTAGTGTTTTATGCTGCGTTCCAGTTGCACTCAAAAGTCGGAATTTCCGAGCTCTGAGTCCGAAATTCACCTGGAACGCCCTCCTGAAGTTGGATTTCCGACTCGGAAAGTCGGATGATCCTCACCAACCCCAACTTGACAACAACGTCATAATCCAAATTGGTTTCTAAGAGTAAAACACTAGGTTATGCGTTGTTTACAACTGGTGTAGCTAACAACGGCTAACAACAGTCGACAACCGCTAACAGTAGACGTCCATCTTGGTTTTCCAACTTGTGTCCTGGAACGCTGTCAACTCGGGTGTAATGTCATTCCCAGCTCCGACAGCCAACTTCCGAGGTTACTGGAACACAGCATTAGTAAACAGAGTCTCTCAGTTTCCATTGCCATGGAAACCTTAGCTGTCACTCACAGGTGTTTATAATGAGTTGATATGAACAGACACAGAAACTTGAGTCTCTTGAAATTAGTAAAACTTTAAATTGACTATTTAAGAAAAGGACTGGTGTTCTGTGTACGAGAACAAAAAGTTAATCTTATTAAAAAATACTATTTTTGTCAATTTGTCTATCCCAAAGATACTAATGCTGCGTTCAAGTTACCGCAGAAGTCAGATGTCCGAGCCGGGAATGATGTCACACCTGAGTTACCAGCATTTCAGTCACCAAGTCTGAGAAAAGCAAAATCGGAGGCAGAAACATACGAAAGTTATTTTAGCGCTTGTCTTGTCCTTGCTTATATTCAAGCACTAAAATAAATTTCGTAGATGTAGCCAACTTGTTTCTACCTCCGATTTTGCTTTTTTTCCGACTTGGTAACTAAAATGCTGGTTACTTGGGCGTGACGTCATTCCCAGCTCGGACATCTGACTTCCTAGGTAACTGGAACGCAGCATTAATACAAATTTATGACTCTCTGTGATGCATTATGCCACGTCTTTCCTTTCCTCTTTTCAGGTCCGCTGAGGCAGACTTTTACCCACAATCCCCTCGAACAGAGTGCTGCATCAGCTAAAACCAAGCCAGCGGCAGCAGCAGATGAAGGCAGGCGTTGGAAGGACACGATTGGATAGACAAGAGTGAGAGAAAAGTTTGACGGTGAAATGATTTATGTAAATATTTATGGATGGAGGAGAAAGAGAGGAGGCTGCTGTCATGGTGTGTTATTCAGATTAAAACAATAGGCCTCAAAAGAACCGCTTTTGTCTTTGATTTATTCAAATTATAATTATGAATTGAGCAGAAAGAAAAAAACAAGTCACTTTAGGTTGTCAAGAAGTAATTTTATTATAAATACATGTTTTTAGCTTAACTGTCTCAAACTGTTTGACATTAAACAGCCTGTTTGAGTCAGACACTGAAGGAAAAAGGAGTTAATCGTAAAAAAAAGCCCTTCAAAAGACCCGACAGTATAAAACAAAGTATGAACTTTCCCCTCTTTCATTATTTCCTAGACTATTTTACTGCTAGATTTCCCCTGCAGACATGAGTGATAAAATCCAGGCGTTTCCATAGAAAGCAGTGCTTTTCTGGTCAAAAATTAAAAAGGTAGTACATGTATTTAATGTAATTATTATATATTAATTTAATTATTCTACTGATAGGTACAGTCTTTAGGTTTCATCAGGAGCAGGTTTGAAGTGTCCCCTCTGAAAAATCTTCATCATCGCCACTTTCAATAACACTTTCATCAGGTGACGATGATTGACAGGTCAGAGAGCGGGGTCCAGCTCAAGCCCCAAATGTTTACCCGTCCCAACGACGTCAGCGGCGGCACCAGCGGACCAGGATGGGTTCAGGTTCTGTGTTTGTGCGTCATCAGTCTCTGGTCAGGTGTTTAAAAAAAAAAAGAAAAAGAAAAACGGAACGTCTACTCTTCTTTGTCGTCCATTTCGGTCAGGACGGAGTAGCACACCTTCTGGATCAGAAGGCCAGATTTAGCTGAAAAGAGGAGAAGACGTGACGGTTGATTAGTCAGCTGGAAACAGTCAGCAAATAAAAATCAGCAGTTGATGGCCAATCATGAAGAAAATCCACTGTTGATTATTTTTCTCTTGGATTTTCCCCTAAAAAGTTACGCATTGATTTTAGTGGAACTTTTTGTATTTTTGCTTTACTTCTCTTTTCAGACAGTTCTAGAGTAAAGAATGTTAACTGATCCCTTATGGGGATATTCTGGCGTACAATGAATTTAGGGTCAAACACACCAAAACGCAAAGTTAGACACCCTGTCGAGATGAATGTTGCCCTCCGCTTGCTTCTCTAGTTCTACCAACTTTAGTAACGACTGCACAATAGCGATAAAACCTCTACCAAAACGCCACTCTATAGCCACAAATAATGCTCAGAACAGCACCTAACTTCATCAACAGTACACATAGGGTCCTAGACACAGCACAAGCCACCAAACATCTTTTTAACTTTGTCTAATTTCTTTAGCAAAGAGATTAAACACAACTCAACCACTCTCTTCCAGCAGCCGCTTGTTTGTAGCGAGACCTCCAAGAAGTCCATTATGGACTACAGTGGGGTTATGCAGCTCAAGGAAGAACATTTATGATCATTACTTCATGGAAATGCAATCAGACCGAGATGCTAAGGCAGAAGAACTACTGCGTCTGCAGTGCAAAATGATTAATATGGTGATTATTACTTTAAAGTAATGATCATCAATGTTCTTCCTTGAGCTGCGTCACCCCGCTGTAGTCCGTAATGGACTGGCCTGAGGTCTCGCTACAAACAAGCGGCTGCTGGAAGAGAGTAGGGGAGTTGTGTTTAGTCTCTTTACTAAAGAAATTAGGCAAAGTTAAAAAGATGTTTGGTGGTTAGTGCTGTGGCTGGGACCCTATATGTACTGTTGATGAAGTTAGGTGCTGTTCTGAGCATTATCTGTGGCTATAGAGTGGCGTTTTGGTTGAGGTTTGTTTATGGCTCCTCAGACCGCTGTGTATTGCTATGGTGCGGCCGTTACTAAAGTTGGTATAACTAGAAAAGCAAGCGGTCACAATTTAATTTTATGCTGGAATACCCCTTTAAAAATCAGCTCAGACAGGTTTAACTCCTACCTATGAAGCTTCGTATCCACAGCGGCCTCTTGGTGGCCGGAGTGTAGCAGCAGAGGAAGTAAACAGGCACTCCTGACAGGGCGATGCCGATGCCGATGAGAGAGTTGATGGTGTCGCTGTAGAGAGGCACCACCACCAGGAAGACGGTGAGGAAACAGAAGACGATGGGATAGAAGAGGCTGAGCTGTGAGGGGAGAAAGAAAACTGGAGTGAGGGCTAACCTGGACCTCAAGAGGCTTCAAATAAAATCAAGGACTTGGAAATCTCTTTTATTTTCTAACAGCCAAGAGCAGGAAAAGTGAGTTACCTTTAGCGGCCTCTTTCTGTCTGGCTGCTTCCAGCGCAGATACAGTTGTCCTAAAATGGACAGGCCGACGAAGAACCAGTAGCTGAAGCTGTAGTAGTTGATAAGCCTGAAGACATCCTCCACACACAGGTATATCAACGCCATGATCCCCTGCAGAGACAAACAGAAACCTTGAGTCCGACTGTGAAACCTAGAGTGAGTGATGTGAGACTGAACGATAAGAGGATGGTGGACTGACATTGAAGAGCAGGGCGGGGACGGGGGTGAAGCGAAAGACATGGATCATGCACAGGGCGTCTGGCAGGTGACCCTCTCTGGAGCCCACAAAAAACAGCCTTCAAAGACACAAAGAGATGCAGCAGAGTGGTGAAGTGATGAAGTGGTGACGAGCAAATCGATGCAGTCCATGAGAATATGATCGCTTACCTGGAAGAGGCGAGGATGGAGGCGTTGAGTCCGCCGAAGCAGGAAAGAGCAACGGCGAGGGGGATGGTCCAGTTCATTACCCCAAAGACCTGGTCTGCAAACGTCTGAAAAAGGAGATTAAACTAATTCATGCCTGACTATGTTCACGTGTAACTTTTCAATCTGGTCTGCATGCACTTACCACAGCCACAGCATCACTGTCTAAGATGGCGTTCATGGGCAGGACGGTGTAGTAGGCCACGTTGGTCAGGATGTAGATCACCGTCACGATGGGCATGGATATGGCGATGGCCAGAGGTAGATTCCTGCAGTTCATGTGAACAAACAGCAGAGGGAGGCAGAAGAGATGAGATACAAAGTGGGGAATCACCCCCTTAAGAGTCTGGGCTTCAGAGCAAATCCACCTCGGGATTGTGATAGGTGTGAGTGAACGAGGGGTGTGGGGTGTGGATGTTTGTCACTTAATCTGCCTGGGAACTCTGGGGGAGGCTCGTGATCCTGTCACATGAGTAAACTACACAACTGGAATGTAACTAAGTACATCTGATCAGGTATTCTGGATCAGGAGTACGAACGGGAGTTTTCTGTTTTCTACCACTTCACGACACCTCAGGTGAAGACACGGTTCGGTATCCTTCCTGTCTCCGTTGACGCCGTAAATCTCAAAGTTTGCTCATTTGATTTAAGACTGAAGGATTAAGTGTTCCTTGAATAGCGACAGACCTTTCCATGAAGTTCGCCGTGGTTTTTTTTAAGCTCATGATCATTTTTCCTCGAAAGGAACTCTTGAAGGAAAGTGATGCAGTTATATGATTCTGCTGTCAGAGATTCAACATGAGAGCGAAGCATGAGATTGGAGTTATAACATGGACACAGATGGTGCAAACCAGAGCTGGCATTCAGAGAGGACTCTGGGAAATGTAGTATGGGACTGTTAAAGAATCAAAATACACCTAGCTGCGTTTCCAGGTTCTTCAACGTGCTTTTCATGCAACTGTGATTTTCATGCAACTTATGTGTTTCTATTGATCGTCTAAAGCCAATATAAAGGTTTGAGTGGATAGCGTGAACATCCAACCCTCACTTCCTGTTTATTGGCCTGTCCGGTAATGAGTTTTTAAAGTTCATCTGTAGTATTAATCTTGACTTCTTTACCTCTCTGGGTTTTTGATCTCCTCTGTGACAAAGTTGAGGGTGTCCCATCCCGAGTAGGAGAACAGAGCCGAGTACAGAGCCAGAGCGATGTGTCCTGGATCTTGGGAGGAACCCTCAAAGAGGTCCTCGAAGTTCTGCGTGTGGCCTGTAAAACACCGACCCGATAACAGTCATTATCCCAAGATGCTTTCCAAAAAGAAGAGCAGGTCTAGACCTCGCTCATTGTTTGATGAATTACCAAGACCCAACCATAATTGACCCATCTCATCTAACATGAGTGACAGTGGCAAGGAAAAACTTCTTCTTACAGGTAGAAACCTTGGGAAGGACCAAATTCATTTTAGACAGCCACCTCTCCGATTATCTAAAGCGTATCATGTCACCAGGAAGAATGTTTAACTTGTCTCATTACGGTAACGTTTGACTCAAATATGAACTCAAAAGTGGTTGAAGCACCTTGTCCGATCTTCACCAGGCCGGTGATGATGACCGCGATGAGGGCGATGACTTTGGCGTAAGTGAAGAAGTCCTGGACTCTGGTGCCATACTTCACATAGGCACAGTTCACAAACGTCAGCAAGCCTGTTGGAAGTAATCAAAGAGTGCAAATTAATTCACATAAATCCCTCATTAACACACAAAAAGAGGATACAAACGAACAGTAACAGCACTTGACGAGTGGTCTGTAAAGTGAGTGTGTGCCAACATGTTTCTGTCCGAGTACGAGGCCTTTAAGGAAACACTGCTGCTGACTCAAGCACACTGGCCTGTTGTTTTTCAGACGAGGAAACAGCTGAGTGCAGCACGTACAACCTCACACAAATACACACACATCCAAACCCACACAGGTACAATCTTCAGAGCCAAACACACTCTGAGGAGCTCGTAGAGTTTGGACAAAGTTGAATATTTCCCCTCAATGAAGGTAGAAGAAGAAGGTGACGTTTACTTCCCACTGACCCACATCCTGAAGAGGAAGCGGCAGTTCAAGAGTGCGGCTTTTGTCTTTATTGTCCTCTGTGTTACTTGGAGCAGGACTGATGATCTTGGGAAACATGTTTTCGTGCTCTGCTCCGTGACTTATCTCTCCATGGCCTTTTATCAGCCGATGATTCTTAAGCCCATAAAATTAAGATAATGAGACAAAGGCCATCTGCTTGAATGATCCGGTTGTTTTATCATATTTGAATAGTATTGTAGAAAACAACTAGAAAAATGTGCAAAGTGTAACCCAGGTTAAAATGTCGCATTTCTGTCCACCTCTCCCCAACCATTGGATACCCTACCTGTCAGTCAAAGCCCCAGAGCACAAATCATAACCAACTTCTCAACAGTTGACCCCTCCCCCACTCATCTGTACAGCTCACCGGTTCTAAATCACCTCATTGATCAACTGAGCAGAAAGATCTCACTCATTCTTCCTCCTCAACTTTGGAAAAAGTGAGCAAAGAGGAAACTGGAATCTGGATTGCGGAAACTCATTACTCACCCTCCTATCTGGTAAGAAAAAAGACTATAACAATTCAACCAATTGTGTCAGTACAAACCCACTTCTCCATAACCTCAAACCCCATTCAATACTCTTTAGAACACCTGGATCGCCACAGATGAGCTAATGCAGCTACACTGAGAGAGAACCTGCTGGAGAACGGTGAGCAGCTACATACACCTATTGTGAAAAGGAAAAAGAGCACCAATGACTGTTCCTTCACAAAGGTCAGGCTTTTTTTCCTGGATGAAAAACACTGGATGGCGAGTTACCCAAGAAGACAGTCAAAGGCTTCCCCTCTCACCCTCGGCCTCAAGTCTCATCCTGAGCCCTCTCACTTTGCTCTCAAGTGGTAGGCCAAACCAAGAGTTACCAACACAATACAATATGTTATGAAAGGCATTACATGATATGATAGGATACGCTAGATACCATAGAAAGGATACGACTAAATTATGACACAATACATTAAAAAGACGAGATGATATTATTAGATATTTTAGATACTATAGGATACGCTACAAGATGATACGATATGATACAATATCGTGTGATACCAACTATGATACAATATTGCATGAGTCTATACTATGTGATGGAATGTTACAATGTTACAATGTCCAAAGCGACATACTAATGGTATGATATTGGATGTGATACAATATGCTATAACATGATAAAACACAATAGGGTTAGTTTCCACACACAATATGACACGGTATGATACAAAACGACACAATATGATGCTAAATGTAAGGAAGCAATACGATATGATATGACGATATGATACGGCGCAATGTGATATGATACAATACGACACCACATGACAAGATATATGACACTGTAAGATATGACACCATATACTACAACGTAATACCAAGTGAAACTATATCATACCACACAATTTGATACAGTAAGTAAAGTGAGTTGAGGTGCTTTGATATGGTATGATATGATACAATATAGAATAATCGACAGTATACAATGTGATGGGATGTGAAACGTCATGCTAGAATATGATTGGCTACAACAGGGTTAGTTGTGATTGAGTTGGTTATGATATGATAAGATTGCGTATATGAAATTTATGATACGATGGTGTACAGTGTGATATGATATGGTACTTGTTATGGCACGATACGATATAATACGATACAATATGATACGATACACGATACAATACAATATATGATACGATATACGATACAATACGATATATGATATGATACGATATACGATACGATATATGATATGATAGGATATCAATGTTATGCTAAAATAGGAGTGAGTTAGTATCAATGTGGTAAGATACAGCGCAATATGATACAACACAATACTAAATACGGTATCATGCAATATAATACAGTAACTTACACCTGATGTGATACATTATGATACGACACACCAACTAAGCTCCAACAGTTTAAACATAGCTGTTTTTCATAAATCCTTTCTTTTGCTTGTTTATTGCAGAGGCTCATCTCATGATAACAATAAAACTGATTTTAAATGAGTTGGCAGGGAGGGAAGGGAAGGGACCAAGAGAGAGCTCAAGAAAAATCACACTTACTGTCGTCATACTGTTCAGATTCAAGTCCAGCCTTTCACTACTGACTTCCACATCACTCAGACATTTAAAGAAGAGTCCAAAACAAGAATTACATAACAATCCTGTCCTCCACATGGACCACCAGTTTTTAACAGTGAGGGGACGAAGCACAACACTATCACCTTCCACCTCATTGACAGGTACTAGATCATAACAGGTCTGATCCCAACAGGAGCTCCAGTCAAACATAACGAAAACACAACATCCCAGACGGAGGCGACCAGTGTGGAGTGACGAAGAGAAGGCTCCACCACACAAGAAGTGAAGGAGTGGTGTGTTGTTAGTGAAAGGTTAGAAGGGTGGGAGGTGTGAGATTAGGTTGAGGAGGCTGGCTGACTGCTTGTGGGGGTCAAATGCGGTTCACATGTGAAGTGTAATGGAGATCTTCAATAACTAACTCACCAAGAACTCACGTGTGCATGAAAGTTGATATGCGGGACTTAAGTATCAACTGCTGAACATTTATTAACACAGTATTTTACCAAAAAATACACAAACAGAAGTGTTGCTTTCAAATCTGGCTCAGGGTTGTAAATCAAATGCACCCTAACTGGACCCCGAAGATGCACTTGCTTGGTTTTCTCATTATCTCAGAGATCAGTTACAGGGCATTAGGCTTGATGGTCTGACACTCTGATATTACAACTGCCCATAAAGGTGTACCACAAGGCTCCGTATTAGGACCCCTTTGGATGATATATTTAATTTCTATGCCGATGATACGATAATATACTGTTTCGGAGCGACTCTTGAACAGGTTGTTAAATACTTGCAGAATGTATACGATATGGTTCAGAATACGCTGCTTGAGCTAAAGCTTATTACAGAGACATCTGAGCTTACGCTGGTCACTGCTGATGGATGGGAGACGACGGTCGTAAACACCTCCGAATACCTGCGAATTCTAGTGGGTGACTCACTAATTATTTAACAATATGTGCTTGAAAAGAGTGAGGCTAAAATTGATTTTTTAAGCAAGTTGTGTTCTTCTTTTAAGCACCTTTTGCTGCAGCTGTTTTACCATAATTGATACTGCTTACCATTGGTACACCTTCATTTATAAGTCTGTTCTTGGCCTGCTTCCACGCTATCTTTGTGTTTTTATCACACAGAAAAGTGTTGGACTGTACTCAATGTGCTTCCACTACTGTTATGCTCTCTATCCCGAAAGGTCGTACAAAAATTGGTAAAAGGATGTGAGGGTATCCTGAACCCTCAGCCTGTTATTAATTGCAGAATAACTTGATGCTAAAAGGTGTTAAAAATTAGAAAATTTGAAAACGATTCTTAAGACTTTATTGCTTTAAGATGTTTTAGTTGCATGACTGACTCTGTGATAGTTTCTCTATTTATTGTTTGTTTTAATAGACTGGACTGTGGTTTCCTGCGTGACTGTGTTCGCAACTTTGTGTTTTTGCTGCTTTTGGCCAAGTCTACCTTCAAAAAGAGATTAGCAAGTTAAAACAAACATAAATCTGATAACTTAATCTTAATCTTGGACTAAGTTTGTTAAAACCTCAACGTTTTAATAAAGCAGCTTTTAGCACAGGTCAATCAAAATGTGTATTTATCATTATGGTTTCTTTTTCATTTCCTTCGCAAAATTAAAGAAGTAAGTCAAACATCTTTCAAAACCATTTTTTAAAAACCTGCAGCATGAAGAAAAAGTCAGATTCTCCAAAGCTCGACTACAAGTTGGATAAAGATTTTACACAAACTCAGATCAGGTATCATGTTTTCATGTTTTTGGGCAGTCAAAGCACAGTCACTCAGCAAGAGTGAGGGTTTTCCTTGACAGGACGTGTATTTAGTTTAGTTTTAATCCTCCCTCCTGTGCTGAGCTGTCAGTAGCCTGTTAGCCTCTCAGGTCAGAGTCTCTCTGCAGGACTTTACCTCCCAGATATCAACTCCCCCTTCTCTGAGCTCTGCTTATCAGTGCATGCCGCAAGTGTGTATGTGCACGTCTTAAGTGTGTGTGTTCATGCGTGCGTGGGCAGGTGGATGAGCCACTGATATTAATTGCAAAAGAAGCACAATTAGTCTGTTTTTATCTTGAGTATCAGTGCTTGTCTGCAGGGTATCACCGCAGAAAGCCCATTCTTTCTGTCCTTGGCTGCTTGTTTTATTGCCCGGTTGCCTGAGAGTTGGTATTTCTGTTGCCCTGGAAAGCAGTTTTTTGAATTTCCTGTTGCGACCTTGTTCGTTTGATTAAATCCGTTTGTCAGCTTTGCTCTTTAGGTGACTCTTCCCCTGTTGTGCTCTAGTTACCTTGGCTGTCCTTGGCCCATCCTTGCACTAAGGTTACCTTTTGAATCCATGAATAGCTTTTTGCTTTTCCCACAGTTAGGAAAGCGGTGACACAAGTGCGCGTGTGCGGTTGAGTAAAACATTTTTTCCTGCACTCTTCCTTACGGCTGCACAAGTTTGAGGGTCACTCAGTTCCTGTTTCAATTGATTGTCTGAGTTTCTCTGCCTCAAACCTGCTGACTGAAGCAGTGCAGTCACAAATTTCACTTCTCTTGTCTGACACTCACGTGCTTTTCTTCAGATTTAGGACATGCTGTGGCTGTAAAACATCATATTTGTCTTTCCACTCCCTGACTCACACACGCAGTCATTAAATCACTCAGGTTTGTGTACTTACATATACAAGCAGCAGCCAGCAGCCTGTTGGCCAGGTACGGTGCTATACAGGTGGGGAAGATGGGCTGCACCATGTAGTTGGAGAAGGTGATGGCGATGATGGCTTGGCTAGTCGGCTCGATGATCAGAAGCGACGTCCACAAGCGGATAAAGGCCAGGAAGCCCCCGAAAGCCTCCAGGATGTAGGCATAGGAAGCCCCGGACTTGGTGATGGTGGTCCCCAGCTCGGCGTAGCACAACGCTCCGAAAACAGAGAAGATCCCACCGATGGTCCACACCACTAGGGAGAGGCCGTAGGAAGCGCTGTGGATGAGTACACCCTTTGGTGAGACGAAGATCCCAGATCCGATCATGTTCCCAACGATGAGACAGACGCCGTTCAGGAGGGAGATCTCCTTCTTTAGCTTCATGGATTCTCCCGAGCCCTCAGACTTCGTAGACTCGGGGCCGCCATTGGTCACCTCTTGCGTTGGGGCTGGGCTGTAGGAGGCCATTGTTCGTGTTTTGGTGTTCTGATTTATTTCGCTTCTAAGTTAAACAATGTCCTCTTCAGAGTCACAGCTGTCGAGTGTTTATTTCTTTTCTTGGTCTTTATTTCCAACTGAAGACTTAAACTTTTCTGTGATCCTCTCCTGCCATCTGTATAAGAAGCATAGGTCATATAAGTGATGCTGTTACCATGGAGACGGTTGTGTCATCGCAGAAAATGCCCGCCTCATTTCAACCCTGCCCCACTCTATTCAAATGCATACATTTTTATATCCCACAGGTGATAATGTGGGGACGTACATGCAGAAATAAATGACATAATAGCACATAAGTGCACACACTGTTGTGTTTGAGAGCAGTTTAGTGGATCGCAGAGCCATTAGCACGCATAGCAAATAGCCTTTTAAGGTTGAGTGTATTGACAGAGAGAGGGAGACGAGCAAACATGCCTGGAAACACCCGGCTCTTCATTAGTAACCAAACGTGTAACCCAGGTAGAATCACCGACTCAGACACAGACACACTTTGAGTCATGACGGCCAAGAAATTTGCCCACACACACTCAAAAACACACGCATGCAGCAAGAGAGCGGAGGAGTCAGCACAGTGGGAGGTCACATGTTTTCCAAAGTTCATCATCCTCAGCTTGAATGCATTGGGATGCTGAGACACACACTTGTTGTGCTTCAGTCAGTACACATTAATTTAAAACCAGCTTAAGTTTAACAACATGGAAAAGAGCGCGCCAAGTTGAGGCCAAGATTTCGCTGATGTTTACCGAGCTAAACCAAATATTAGACCAGCTCAGTTAATGCAATTATAATGAGTGCAATGCAATTAGAAAATTACCTTCAATTCGTTAACATGTCAATAGAGTTTTAAATCACTAAGGTCAACAATATCAAGAAGTATCTGGTTTTCTGAGAGGTGTTTAAATCCCCTCAAAAAAGTGTCCGCCATGTTTCGAATGCTAACTCCAACTTACTGCCAGCTGATCTGAAAACAAGTTCAAACTGCCTCGCAAACCATTTACATCAATGTGTTTATTATAAATTAATATAGAGACATGTACTTTATTAACGAGGCTGTAAATGGCAACCTCTCCTGTTGAAAAAAAGAAGCTAATGTGAAAATGCTTAAAACTGCAGTTCCTCGAGTGTCCACTTGAAGCTGGCTCGAAAGCTGAGGAACTCCCATTAACACCCATATCAAAATGACCAACTTAATAGCTGAATCAAACATGTTTCCTGCCTAGTACAATATGCATTTCTGGTGTATGAAGTTCTTGATTTGCCCAGGTTTCATGAAGTTTGATGATAAAATCTAAAAGTTCACATCTGTTTTAACAAAAGTAAATCCGTTGACGCGATGAGATATTTATCTGAAAGATGCATACTCAGGCCAATTGATCAGAAACTACAGAGAGTGTGCAGTAAATTTATCAAAATAGCAAACGAGTCCTACTGCATTCTGCATCGATGCATTTTTCCCTGATATTTGTGTATTTGAATTTATGAATTTTGGAGTCTAAGAGGGGTTAAATTTGTCCAAAAAGCAGAACTAAACAAAAAAACAGGGTTCCTAGAGTAAGTATGGAAATAAATTTGATCAATTCCCAGGTCTTAAAAAGTATGGAAAATGATAAAGTACGGAAAAATATGTTTCGAGACTATTACCACAGTTCTAAAATACTGTTTTCTAAAATAAAAAAGTACGTATTTCCAAAAATAATTCTTAAAAGTAGGGTATGGTTTTGAGTTCAGCTGCTGTGGTGAGTAATTTTGCTATCTCCAAGCTGCACCCACGTGCTTTCACCTTCCTCTATGGCGGACCTCAAATATGTAACACCTCTTTGCAAATGTAAAGAGAAACCAAAATACTGCTTTTAAATCTCACAAAGTGTTCATAGGATTTTGTACGAAAAGCAGCATTTTAAGTCAACACCGCGATTTTAATGATGATCATTAAAATAATCAGAATAAACTCAGTGTTCTCAGTCTCCAATGTAACTCTGGTGACTTTTCCTCTTTAAAAAAAACTGTTCAAAGATTTATTGATGAGCAAACAAAAACACTGTCCCAGTCTGCAGGAAATCTCAGGGTTGAAAACATGAACCTTAAGTGCAGATAGGAAGAACAGAGGTGTATAGATGTGTAAAATTGATCTTCAGATAGTTTGACTGAAGAGACTAGACGAGTCATTGATCCGTAAAGATAGAGGACAGACTCAGACAGAGGAAAAATCATTAAAGATATCAGGCTGTTCTTAAGAAAATGAGCATTAAAGACAAATGCAACAGAGGTCAGAGTGACTGAAATGCACAGATACCTTCAGACAGCAACACGTGGGTCCACGAAGGAGTGACTCTCGGGGAAGCACAGCAGATTGTGGTTCCTGCATGTGATCAAACGCAGAAGACACTTAGAGGTGAGGCTCTAACAGAAGAGAGAGACAGAGAGAGAGCAAGGTCCAAAAAGTGCTGATAAGTGCTCCTTCATGTGTTCTGTTTCTCAAGGTTATATCCTGGATCCCTTTGACATTTATCAATGAATCTTTACTGTCTTATCATGGATGAGGTTGATGTACATTTAAGGTTATAGTAACAGGAAATGAATGGGTGACTTACACATGGCTGTAGTATTTATCTAAGTATCTATCTGTTAAGACTTAAAACAGGCCTTAGTTAGAGCTTGACTAGACTTGATTTAGTCCAATATCAAAGTTGCAAACACTATAATGCATCACGGGTTAATAAATGACAGTTTGTGTTGTAAACTTCACAGTACCTGCCTGGTGTGTGAGTATAAACCTGCACTAAAGAGCCACAAGAGTACATAAAGTAAGGCAGTAAGAGACTGTTGTCGGGAAACTCACCTCCTCTTGTTGGGTTTCCCCCTGAAAAACGTCGAAATTCACCTTTCCTCCTGGTCTCGCGCTTTCATCGCTCTGTCTCGCGACCAGAGCCAATAAGAAGTGCGCCCGTGCGGTGGACCTCCGCCTGCTGCTTCCGCTTGTTGTGACTGACTCTCTCTCTCTTCAGCTGATGAACTTGTTGCTTTTATGCTCTTCTGGTTTCTGAGGGTTTACTAGAGAGGAAACGAGTCAGCCGAGGGGGAGAGGGAGGGAGGGGACTGCTGTACCTTCGTAGCGTCTCGACTGAGTTGGTTTCGACGTTAAAATTGATTTAAAGTTCCTTTTATCGTCGAAGGTGGAGGAAATAAGCTTTGAACAGAGGCTCTGTGATTCATGATGAGGTCAATAAGACTAAAGCAGCACATTTCAGGAAATAGGGGGGCCAGCATTTCTTTGTTGAAATGTGTAAAACAACAATAAAGTGGTCAAAGATAAACATACTTTATGACTCAAGGACTAAAGAGGATTCAAGCCTCTTAAAAAAGATTTAGATCAGAGATCAGAGTGAAAAATTCTGACAAAGTCAGAAATTTGAAGTTAAAATTACAAATCTGTGATGAAAGTCAAAACGTAGTGATTAATGTCTGAAATCTGTGATTGAATTTGGATTTTTTAAAGAATTGTGATAACTATTATTAGACTTAACTTTGAATCCTGAATAATAATAATAAAAAAAAGACAACAGACCAAAGACAGAAAAAAATAGTTGGAAAAAAATAGATAAATAAATGAATAAATAAAGCAATAGATGAAAAAAAAATAGAAATAAATAGAAAAATAAATAAAAAATAAAAAGATGAAAAAATAAATAAAAAGATGAAAAAATAAATGAATGATGAATAAATTGATAAATAAATAAAAAATAATTAAATAGATAGATAAATAAATGAATGAATGATGAATAAATAGATAAATAAATAAATATAAATAAATAATTAGATAGATAGATAGATAGATAGATAGATAGATAAACAAATAAATGATAAATTAATAGAAAATAAATAAATAAATGATAAATAAATAGATAAATAAATAAATGATAAATAGATAGATGAATATATAAAAGATAAATAGATAGACTGATGGATACATAGATAGATAGATACATAGATACATAGATAGATAGATAGATAGATAGCTTGCTTTTCGGCCCTGATCCTTTCTGGAAAATGTAGTCAAGCATCCCCCTGTAACAATGAATACGAACTTATACCATCAAACTTGAGAAAAAGTCTTATGTTTTAATAAGGACAGACTGATCCATTTTCTGCTCCTGAGTCAGTTTTACAGTTGAATTTAAATCAGAACATTGAAGGCCTCCTGTCATGCAGTCTTCCGTTTGAATTGCAGTTTCTTTAAATCTTGTTGAAATTCTAAATGGAGCCACCATACTTAAGGCCAAACTTCAGACTAACAACAAAGTTATATCAGTCAACTATATTTGCTTACTCTTAAATTACTCGGGGAAAGATAAAATTCAGTCTTTGAAATTAAATTAGACAACACAAGAGAGATAAAATTTTAGAATCAACCAAAACATAAAAAATGATGAAAGGATGGGTCAGTCTGTGCCTACTTTATGAAGTGAGAAAAAACAATCATAATATGACTGTCCTAACAGTGTAAATGGACACATATTGTTGTGTCTCTGCCTTGTCAGAGAGTTTTGTGGATGAACAGCCACCATAAATTAGAGGCCATAGCTCCCTCTTGTGGATTTAATGAAGATTGAACTGTGTCAAAACATTCAATGACAGTTAATGGATGGTCTTTGATTGTTTGATTTATATCTTTTTAGCCTTAATCTTCATCCATATGATTAGGCTTTACATTACTCTGCTTTCTAACTTGCTTATTTTACTATGTATTAAACTTAATTGTTGTAGGTTTTTTAATCTTTATTCTTGTGTTGTACAATTATTCATACTCCCAGCCCACATTGGCTTTCTGTGAGGAACTTTTGGTGTCTGTTAATTCTGGCACTTCTTGTCTGGGTTCCTCTTTTCCTCTAAATGCATGAGAAGCATCTTCTGACAAAAAAATCTCATCATGACAACTTTTGAAAGTCAGATATATCATTTTGTGAATAGCTTATGTTCAAGTTGTAAGTTGTCGCTGCTTCCTTAAATGATTTACCGACACCTTCCTCCTCAAACTGGTTTCAGGCATTAAAAACTCTGATATAAAAATCATAAGCCATGTCACCGATTGTTTTGGATATTATAAAAAGACATCATTGGATGAAGAAATACTCCTTATGTGAGCTTAAATCAGTGTTTTAAGGATATGCATGAATGTAAATCAGGCGTATTTGGCTCATTTGCTCAATTTCATCAAATTCTGAGGGCAACTTTCATAAAAGCTAAAACATATCTTATAATTATGAAACAGTCTGCAAGACATCACACTGGGAGACTCGCAGTTTTATGTACAAAATCTGCACAAGTTGTAGTTTTTATCATTACAGTAGTTGCACTTATGTCGCCCAGAAAACAGTAAGTTTGGAGCTCTTAGTTTTTGCACATAATTTAATTGAATTTGTGCTAAATTTTTTAAACTATTGATCAAAATACTATTGTCAGTTCGTGTCACAGTATTTATCAAGGTTTGCCAACAGGAGGAGCTATAATCACTGCCATTGATTAACAATCATCAAATCTGTAATCAGCTGTTATTTAAAAGGTTTAATTGTTGTTGGAAACACCAAACCGCTGAACATAAGTGTGATCTGTTGTTAGTTTCTGATACGTATTTTAGTATTCATGTATTTCTCTCACTAATTTCCTTTTACGTTAATTAAGTTTAGATAATTAACGCATCACTCTTTGTCTCTAAATGATCTCACAAACAGTTGAAACACAGTCGTCTCAATTAATTAATGGCCAATACACGTCTTCTTTGTCCACCAAATGGTGGCTGATCTTGTTTAATTGTAGGCTTAATGTGCAGATCACATGACCTTTAACATCTCCAAAACTTCTGTCCTCTTTAATGACGACAATCGACCCGTATCAGGAGGTTGATTGATCGGTTCTGATGAGTAATGAATGTGTTTAAAAGTGATTAAAGCCTGAAACTGTCATCATCAGACCTACAGACTTTTGTTTCCGTCAAAATGACTTTTTCCTTCTTCTTCTTCTGCTTTTCTTTTCTCTTATTTTTTCATTTGATTGAGACACGTCTCTTGTCGCCTACGAACGCATGTGGACAAACTTCTCACACATGGCTCCTTTCACTCCTTTTGTCCTCCACTCTGCCCTGAGCATTCTTTTCCTTGGTTACCGGTTGTCATGGTTTCAGGAGCCCCTGTAGGCTAAAAAACTGGAGGGATTATAGGCAGCCATTTTGGGGACAGCTGGGCCAGGTTGGTCCCTGTTGCCCCCTGTCCCGCTCCCAGTCACTTTGGGGGGAAGAGGGGTGGCATTGTGTGAGGATTAGAGCTTCCTGTGTGTCAGCTCATTACATGGGGTGGGAAGAGGGGTGGGAGAGTACAGGGGTGAGGGGGGTGAGCGGAGAGAGTGAGGGAGAGAAATGAAAGAGAAAATGAAAGAGCGTATGACACAGAGAGGGGAGGGAAAGGCAGGGGGGAGGAAGGTGGCGGCCTCTACAGCTGCACCCTCAATCACACTCATACAGGCTGTGATTATCCTTTTCACACATACACACACACACACACAGACGCACTCACGCACACACACACAGTACTGGGAAACTGAAACATATTAAAAGACATTGAGGGCAAAAAAAGGCAGAATTAGGAGACAGCAAGCCCAGCACCCCAGACAAAGAGACCCCGATCCAGACCCACAGAGAGCTGGAACAAACAAGCCAAAACTGACCAACAATGTACACACAGAAGAAGAATCATGCACACAGAATACGTAAACAGATAAACTAATTCACATAGACTGTGGCCAGACAGAAGAAAACGCCATCAGCAGAAAAAAAAACACAGATCTCCAACTCTCATTGCCTTTGTTTTATTTAACTTTTATACATCACGTGGGAGGCATGGGAACATCGCTACAAAAAAAGGGTTTACAAAGGGAAAAGCAAAGCATACAAATACTAAACTGGGCAGAGCAGGAATGCAGTGAGCGTAGACAATTTCTGCAGGAGCAGAAAACTCTCAAGTGCTTTGAGAGAGAAGAGCTGGGGGAGGAGGGGGGAGGGAGAAATAAAGGAGAGGGGAGCTATAATGGACATGGTCCGTCCTTGTTATGGATTTCAACAACAAGAAAGACCATTTACAATCATAAGTAATCAGCTGTGAGCAAAAGTTTACAGCTATAAGTACAGGAATGTTCACAGAAGTACTGATAATCTGACACAGTCATCACCTTTTAATGTTATCAGTGTTTTCATGGTTATTATTTATGACGGAGCATCAGGGCCACGTTATAGAAGAAAAAAGTTTGAGGTTTAGAAAGTAAAGTCATACATTCATGAGAAAAAGTCATAACTAACTTATGGTCTGCCTTTACGATTTTTTAATGTGATTGAGGAGAGCAGCTGCCTGTGCTAAAATAAAGAAATGGGACAACCTTAGAGCTAGACTTAAAGCTAAAGTCTAAAATCTCTGCAAGAGGATACCTGTCAGCCAAGCAGCTGAAGGAACAGCCATGTTTTCACATCTGTCATTTAAAATACTCACATTAAACTATCAGAGAGAGATGACACTACTTTAGTTTGTAGAGGGCAAAGACTGCCCACAGGGAGAGCCATCATTGACAAAAACAGAAAGTTCCTCACAGGAGCTTTAAGTTTATTTTTCATACATAGCACAGTCTTTTTGCACAATAATGCCACATTGTCAGAAGTTTTAGGATCCTGTGCCAAAAAAAACTGAGTCTCCCTTAAAATAGAGAATAGACTAATGGGCCGCCTGAGCAGATTTCAGCAACCGCTATTTATCCTCAACTATTTGTTGCCTTACATATGAAGTACCCATAACCAGACTTATTTCTTATAAAATCCCAATTGTATTCTTCAAAATGTTTAGGTTTTATCTCTCGGACTTAAAAATTCATCCCTGTACTTTTTCACTTTTTCTCAAATTTTTTTCTTCTATGACTTTATTCTTGTAAAACTGTGACACCACTTTAGGAATCTCACTTTTTCTTCATTTGGCCCAAATCCTCCATCATATTCATTAGCTTAAGTTCCATTGGCGTCATTTTCCTCTGGCAGCACAATCAGGGTGAAGAGCTCACATTTGTTCTGCTGTTAAATGAACAGGTGTCTTTTTTTAACTGTCTTTATTATCTTATTGCATCATATGTTATTCTTTTACTCTGAACATGGCCACTTTCCCCTCAGAATTTTCTAATGTTTTCCTTTTTTCAGCCGCTGAGTTAGCTTAATGTGCTAAAATGAACACTTTGCAAGATACCCTGAATACATACAGCTCACACTTTTGACTTAACAGAGTGAATTTGAGCCTCTAACCCTGGAAGTGACATCAGAGGAAAATAGTTGCTGAGTCATTCGCTAACGTTCTTCTACAAATTGTTGTTTTGTCAGCACAGGACACAGTGCAACTCACAGTGCAACACAGTACACAGAAACATGCTTTTAGCAGCATGGCATTACAAATGTAAGGAAGAAAGTAACAATTAAAAGCATAAAATGTACCGCAGCTTGTATTTACAAATACAAATGTTGGCCATTATTACTCTGGCCTGTTTTGGTATGGAGTTCATCATGCAAAAATCTGGACCGTCCGTCTTATCCAACCCAGCTTACGCTGGTTGTTTGATATCATACAGTATGTGCTGAAAAAAAGCGCAAAAACTTAATTCTCATTGAAACAATGCTATGAAGAATGTAAGATAAGGCCTCACTGTGGTCTTTGAAATACAAAAATACATTTCTAAAATACTACATTCAAATATCTTTTGTCATATTTCTACAATACAAACTAAAACTATCTTCCTAATACAAAAGGTAAACATGAATTAGAATTAATGACTCCAAAAACTACATCTTCCATTAAAAAATACATTCCCTTGTCAGGACCCTTAGAGATACTAACTCTACACAGTAGTGTCCATTGGCTCGTCAGCCTCACTAGAAACAACACTGACTGGTGGAGGTTCTGTGCTATCACCTTTCTTGGGGGATTTAGCCAATCCCAGCTCTTCTTCCTGCTTTTCCTGGTCATTATTGGCTGAAGTTGAAGTGTGGTTCTCCTCATTGTCTTTGTCATTGGTCTGAGCCTTGGAGGGATTATTGGTCAGTGCTCCAGGGTGAGTTTTCATATGACCCTGTCAAAGGGGGGAAACAACACAATAAGGGTTTACTCTCAACTATTCAGTCAAAAAACTTCATAAATAGGTTTCTCCCTCTTACACAATCAATGCTCAAGAACAGTTGACAGCATTGTCTGCAAGTCTTACCTTAAGTCCGCTACGGCTGGCGTATGCCTTTCCACACTCAGTGCAGCTGTAGGGTTTGTCAGGGCGAGGAAGCTGGGTGTCCAGTGCTTGTGCTGTCACAGAGGACTCCTGGTCCTCCGAAGGCTTTTCCGGCATGCTGTAACCCTCCTCCATTTGCATGTCACTCTCTGGCTCTGGCTCTGTATCCAATACTGGCACTGACTTCCTGGGTGTGGCAGTCTCAATCTTGCTTTTGCTCTGGGTTGCCCCTTTGTCTTGTGCCTCCTGTGCTTTACTTCCACCAGCCTCCTCTGCTTCAGAGACAGCTTTTGGGCTAGAAGGAGGCGTGAGTGGGGCTAAGGGATTTGCAGGCTTGGGGTTGGAATCAAGACTTGTTGAGGGTTTGTTTAATGAACAGGCCTCGTCATTTTTTATTCCTTTATGCTGCACATCATTTTCTTCCCCAGGCTTGGAAACACAGAGAGAAAGAGGTGTGTCATCAGCTTCTGCATCTCCATTCACTGCTGAATGAGAACTGCCGATGGGTGCTTTGAAAGGGCTTCCCAGGTCAGTATGGGCCTCCTCTTCAGAATAAATTGAGCCGTTCATGGGGCTACCATCAGTTTGGGTGTTGTCTCCTAGACGCAGGGGGTCTTCAGCTCCTGTTGAGGGAGGATTACGGGTCAGGGGTGGGCTAACACTTGGTGTTGAGCCCTCTGATTCCTCTGTCTTCACAGAAGTAGCATCAGCAGCTGTTGATTGCTTGGAAGTAGACCCTGCACTAGGGGTATCAATTGAGGACTTGGAGTTTGTTGTTAAGGCTAGTGGGAGGATTTGTGCTGTTGAGCCGGTGGAGTCATTTTCCCCATCATTGAAGATAGCATTCTGCATTTCTGAGCCATCCTCAGGAGGCATGTCTTCATCAGGAGGTAACTGCCCTCCTAGATGCAACCGTATATGATGCTGAAGAACCAAGGCATTGGTGAACTTGCGTGGGCACAGGGGGCAGGAGTTTAAGGCACGGGAGTTGGCCGGTCTTGCACGGTGAGTTGCCAAGTGAGCCCTCAGGCTACCCTTTGTGGAGAATGATCGACCACATAACTTGCAAGGGAAAGGGCGCTCTCCCAGATGTGTGGCCTGGTGCAATCGCAGAGCTCTTGGACAGCTGAGGACCCGCAGACACACTCCACACTGATTAGCAGCCTGAGCGGTGGGCAGGGAGGGGGTAGTCTTAGTTGTTGTGGTGCCAGAACCTGAGGCCCCTTGGCTGGTAATCAGTCCAGACGCATTGGCACTTGGGCTTAGGCCAAGAGCAGCTAACATTTCCCTGCGATATGCACTTGAGGTGGTGGTCAGGTCATGGCCGTGAGTATCCCCATTGGCTTCTGCAGAGTTTGTCGAGGTGGAGGACGAAGAGGCACCTCCCTGTGGCTGCTTTTCAAGTTTCTGTACCAGGCGTTGCAACTTGGAGGTGTCAGAGGTCTGGCTAGAGGTGGTAGGAGAGGATGAAGAGGGGGAAGAGGTTGATGGTTTGGGGAAAGGTGGAAAGGGGAAGGGTAACTGATGGGGAGAAGTGAGGTGGGAGGTGGATGGGTGGCCTGGGGGTCGTAGAAGTGCAAGATGGTGAGGAGAGGTACCACCAGGGAAGAGAATCTTGGGTAGCTGAGCTAGTTGGGAGTAAGGGGAGGTTGTATGGAGGGTGGAGTGAGGAGGTGTGTTTTCATCAAATCTCTGCTGCTTTGCTCCTTTGAACTGACTGCTCATTGAGGAGGAGGAAGATGAGGATGAAGATGATGAAGGTAACACAGTGCTTGATACGCTGGCAGCAGATGCAGCCGAGGCTCTGTTTAGCTGTAGAAGTGAGTGGGCAGTGGACAGCAATGCCATGTCCACTGAAGGGGGCAGAGGTAGAGAGGAAGGTGAAGGCCGAGTGGACGCACTAGACAGGAAACCCAAGGCCATGTTCTCTGTCACTCCAGGAATACTTCCTTTTATTCCATTGAAAGGCTCATCATCATCAGCACGACGCTTTCTCCTTCTCTGGATGGTACCAGAGGGAGAGCTGCTTTGTGCTTGCTCCGATAACGCTGGGGGCAGCAGGGAGAGGGACAGCTCAGGGTTCTGCTCTCTGTGTCGCAGAAAGTGGGCTTTGAGATTCCCTCTTGTAGTAAATCGGCTCAAACAGACTGGGCACTGGTAGGGCCTTTCACCTGTGTGTGATCTCAAGTGAATCTGGAGTGACGAATCACTGCTTAACACCTTCCCACAAAAACGGCACACATGTTGAGGGCGCCCTGAAGAGGAGGCTGAGCCCAGAGAGGAGCTGGGCTGGAGATCCTGGGAATGGCTGGTGGTTGGAAGGGGAGGAGTGGGGAAACTGATCCCATTGCTATGAGCAAATGAGGAGGTGTTGGATGATTTCTCATGGAGGTAGCGAGGTGGGAGGCCTAATGACAGGGACAGAGGGTGCAGGGAGGCAACAGTGGAGCTGATAGAAGATGCAAGGGATGAGGGAGTCAATGAAGATGAGGTAGAGGAGGATGAAGCTCTGCTACCATTGACATGTGAAGCACCTGATTTGGGAACAGATGACTGGGGGAAAAGGGATGATGGGAGACCACCCAAAAGTGATGCTGCTGTGGTTACTGGTGTGGCAGTGGAGGGGTGAGTTGGAGACGATGATGCAGCTCCAGTAGACTTCTGATTTGTGTCTGCACCACTTGCCTGTGTGTTGTTCTCTTGACCAAAAACTGCCCCCCCAAGCCTGAGGACGTGCCGACAAATCTCCTCTGTTATCTGCATCTGGTGGATCTGCCTTTGCTGTAAAACCCTCAGCTCCTCAAGGAGTACTGCCAAAGTTGGCGGCACCTGGATCTGTCCCTGCTCTGCTGGTGAGCCAGAGGTCTGCCGCTGACGTGGACTAGAACTGTCGCGGTGAGGTGGTGCACACTGAGAAGAGGAGGAGGAGGAAGAGGAGGTAGTGGTTGTGGCTGAGCTGCCCATTGGTGGGGAGGTCATTGTGGAGTGAGGGTGGGAGTTCCCTTGATGGGGCAAACTGTTGGAACCTGAGTTTTGGCTCAGGGGAGGTGGTGAGTGGGTCTGGGATGACAGCGAGGGGTGAGGAAAGTCTGGTGAGAGAGAAGAGTGGGTGTTTGGAAGAGAGGTGGTAAAGGGGGCAATGTGGCTGGGCCAGTGAGGAGGAGGCGAGCTCTCGCTGGGTAAGGAGGGCGCGTGGAGCCCACCAGGGGATGGGCGAGGGGCCAGAGGCGGCTGGCAGTCCTGGAGAGAGGTGGGGGAGGAGGATGAGGATCCTGATGAGGTCACTTCTGAGCCAAGAGAGGTGGATGGTGACTTCATGCCCAGGTGTTCATCTGAGGATTGACAAAAAGAAGGGAAAACAATCAAAGCGATGTCTTTATGCTTTGTTTTCTTTTACAAACTGCTAAATTAACCCAAAAATCGAGGGATGGGAACTCATCCAATCTTGAAGTTGTATAAAATTATTGACATTTGCATACAAACTTTAGGATCTGGTGACTACAAAAGAAATACCTGCTTTGACAAGATAAATAAGTGGCAGATCCTCTGAAGTCTATCAGTCTCTGTAATGTCTTGTCTCAATCTGTGCTCTCCGGAGCAAAACTCCTCAAACATCTTGCGCACACAAAAAAGCTTACAGACCACCTTGCTGCTATGGCAACACATTTTAGAGGACAATGGGCATCACCAAGACAACCCATAACCCCTCTTAACCCACCCCCGCCTTACTGCAGTTACGTCTTTCATCTCCCTATTCACCCTTCCCCCCTTACGTCACAGTGGAGGTCAAGGGTCAGGCCACGCTAAGGGTTCTGGGCACTGTCCAGACACTCTGATTGGTCAACTTATCTGACCTCTGCAGCTCAGGGGTCAAATTCTTTCAGAATCTTGAGCACAGAGTGAGAAAGAGTAAAAAGAGAAAGAAGGGGGGAGGGTAACAACAATGGGGAGACAAACTAACTATTCCCTCCTAGAGAGATATAGTGATGGAATGAAAGACTGTACCTCTGTGAAATCTCTTTTTGTGTCAATGAAAATCAAACCTGAACCTGGAGAAAACTGGAACTTGTCTGCTGAAGTTAACTTTCATGAGGGAACGTTTACCTGCAGAGCAGCTTAGATGCGTGCAATTGAAGACTAAGTCTATCACAAATCAGAACAAGTGCAAGAGCTATGTTTCTATTCTCTCTGAATCCTTTTTTCCCCTCATCCATCTACCCCCCTCAAAGTGTGTAGGGGTATACAGTCAATAGGACTAGGGGCGAGAAAGAGGGAGAAAGACAGGGGGGAGGGAAGTGGTGAGAATGAGGAAAACGGGGGAAGAGGGGTGCATAAGAGAGAAAGGCATGAGCTAAAAGTAAGACGAAGAGAATAGACGGGTGGAAGATTAATCTTTACCAAAAACACTGCCTACCCCCTCCCCCCAACCATGCACCTTATTGTTAACAAATAAGAGAGGGCTCTATACTAATCAAAGACCTCCAGCAGCCAGCACTGAGCAGCCTGTTGGTTTCCTGACGGAGGAACAACACATGAAAATGGCCACAGATGTACGTTAGTTAATCCTACTCCATTCACTTCACAGGGACAAGTTTATTGGCCCCAACCAGAGAGTCGTTTAGTGGGGCCCATTATTGTCAGTGACAAAGCTAGGAGGGGTGTCTTGAGTTGACTAACTTTGATTTTTTTTAACATTAGATAAATCAAGTGCCTTAACATAGAGTCAGAAATGACCGAGGGTGCATGTTGAACCGTAACACAAACTTTGTCTAAGAAAAGTTAAGAGAAGAATGGATTCACTTTGCAGCCTGCAGGATCAGGATGGTGGCCATATCACTACAAATCTCGAGATCAAATGCATGCACGCCCGTAAAGATGTTTACTCACCGTGAGATAGCAGCCGTGGGCCTCCCGGATCCGCGTTAACAAGATGCTGGGGTCGCTTCTGCTTCCGGCGTGACATGATTCACGGCGAGTCAGACAGAGAGGGGGGCATCAGTCGGTCGAATGGCACCAGGCACGTTTTTGCGCACTTGGAAAGCGCTCCAGAAACCATCCACGCATGTGAAGTTCAGAAGTTACCAAACTCCCCAACCCCTTTGTATTGAGAGGGAAATTCTAAATAACGTGTCTGGTGACTTTTAAGTGTAAAAAAAAGAACTCCAAGAGCAAACATGGGCGTTTGGATATCCGCTCAGCAGCAGTGTCATATGAAGCCACAGTGAGTGCGTGTGTGGCTGCTCTAAAGTCTCCTCTCCCCCCCAAAAAAAACTTGTCCAAATTTGCGCCCCTCCTCTCCCACTGCTGCCCCGCTGCATGCACATACAGGGAGCACACACACTCATGCAAACACACACCATGCACACACACAGAACCACTCCTTGTTCTTCAATGATATTTGCATTTCAATAGCGTGTAACACACAGCCTCCCTGGTTCCCTCTTTCTCTTTCTCCCCCAGCTTTATTTTGTCTTTACACACTCTCTCAGCAGCTATAAACTTTCAATAAAACATGACAAGAAGGTGTCAGAGCTGTTGGATCTCTAAAACACGTTTGGATTGATGTGATTTGTCTCTTTTTGATGGAGGAAAAAGATGGAGGGAGTGGATTCAAAGAAGGATGCAATAACATGTTTGAAAACAGTCTAACAGGTGAGTTATGGATCACGTGATCGTGCTGAGAGGGACTAAAAAGTGAGATGATCTGATTTTTTTAAAAACTCTGCATCGTGGAAAATAAAGATGTGATCGTAAAAGTGATTGAGAGACAGGTGATGACACAAAAACACGAATTATTGTGAGGGATGAGCGGCGATCAGGCGATATTTCCCTTTGATTTTCATAGGGCCAATTATCTACAGCACTGCAGCGAGTGCCTGTTGTGTGCAAGAGGGGCCACACAACCATTCCACATTCATGCATGTATTTCGTGTGTTATCACCAGGCACATAATAACCCCCCCACTTACTCCCCCCTCAAAAAAAAGCATCTTACACTGGAGCTCTATTTAAAAGGCAGAGAATAGATGGGAATCTTTGACAATGGCGTGCTGGACACAGTTGAGTGAGCATCTCCCCTCTCTCACTATGAACCCCCGGATCCACTGCTGCACAGCACAATGCCCCTCTTTCACCCCCCGCCTTTACTCCTGTACCACGTGGAGAAATGGATAAAAGAGAGAGAGGGAGGAAAAAGTGGGAGGTGGAGGAGGAAGAAGAGGAGGGAGAGGGGGGGACATATTTAAGTAGGTGTCTCACATTATACATACATCCACTCAGGCTGCCAAGGAAAATGGGGCTTAATATGTTTTGAAGGGAAACAACTGTCAGGTTCGTCTCAAGGGTTAGTTACAGAGCAATGTGCCCCTCATCCAGGGTCACTGGCATCACCTGCAAAATAAATCGAAAATGGCAATGTGGAGTCAAAGAGTCACATTCAGCTGAAAGAAGTCTCTGGCTTGTAAAAAGTGGCAATAAACCCCAGTCTAAAGCGCTGTAAACATAAATGGGCTCACTCAAGCACCGAAGGTCAAAAGCACTAACATTTCATGACCACCAAAATAATTAATAAGGAGTTTACAAAACACTGAAACATCAGCTGTTTTTCTTTAAAAGAAAAACAAACAAACAAACAAACAAAAAAACAGAAACAAAAACAAAAACAAAACAAACAAAACAAACAAAAAAACAAATGGGCTTTTTCTTTTTTTTTATTTTGTGAAACTGAAAAATGTTAAATGAAACCATAAAAAAATCATTTAATGCAAAAAAAAAAAAAAAAAAAAATTAACCAAGTATGTAGGTTTGGGCAGAATATTAAATTGCAGCATTCCACAGAACACATAAAAAGTGAAAATATATCAGTATTTTGTGAGTTATCTTTATTTCAGTTTTTGTAAAATACGTTTGGTTCCATTTTACAAACTTTTTTTGTGTTGCATTAAATATTTTGGCTTAAAATATTATAATTATTTTACTATTTGAGATTCGTTTTTACCGTTTTGAAAATATTGTGGAATCGACCTTCAGAGCCACCATATAGCTAAATTATATTGCTTCAAAGGTGAGTTATGACCTGGTAAGGTAAAAGTAGGACCTTATCTTCTTACTTTCTTGTCGGGAGAAAAAAAAATAAAATTATTTGGCTTATTTTCGTAAGTAATAAATTTTTGGTACAACTTTAAATTATACCTACAAAACTGTTTGTATTGTCGGTTATTTAAAACATACGTTAAATTTCAGTTGAGATTCGGTGATAAATCAGCCAATCAGGTTACAGTATTTGATTAACGTCTCCTGTTGCCACCTGCTGAGGGAAAAACTTAACCGGTATGTTGTATTTTTCCGAGTTTTATATACATTAAAACGACATAAAGGTGTTCTTGCCTCGATGTTTGGTTATGCATTTAAGTTTAGAGAAATGATATGTTGTTAAAAGTCGAGGTTGTTTCATTTCTAAAGCAGAGCTGACACAACTTAAAGCCTGTTAAGGTTAATATTAGTTAGAGTTGATATAGCATTAAGCTAGCGAACAAGCCACTGGTTACGTGTAATTCGTTTAAGAAAGTGATATTTGACATTTTTTTTGTGACAAATAACGTAAAATAGTTTGAAAATGAAGAATCTCACTTTGTAAAGATAGAAAATAGTCCTAACTAAGTAACTGTTTTCAGTATAATGGCAAACAATCATGAATTTGTACAGTTTAAAAAGCAATTTATACTCAGTTTGGTAAAACAGACAAAGTTTTGTTACTCCTATTAATTTTAGGAACCGTGAGGACTAAAAACTAAGTTAATGTTATCCAAGCATAATCTTAATGAAGTCAAAATTTCTTTATTAATCAAAATATTGCATTTTTAATCTTATATGTGAGGAAAAAGTGTTTATTAAAAAATAAAAAAGACTGACAGCAATGCCTGAATTAGATAACTTCTTCCTCTGACCTTAGTTACTTCTGATAAGGCCACACAGAGCTTTTGTTATATAGTCGACTAGGGCTGGGACGATATGCTTTTCTCCCAATCTGATTCTTCTACGATTTGTTGGATGCCAACTAAGTTTATATTGCGATTCTACGAAATTGTCGATTTTCTCGATATTCAGTCTGCATTTTAATCACCAGAGAAACAGTTGAATGATTATGATTGTCTACTGACTATTCCAGGAACCATATTTACCCCAAAATACACATCATGTAAGTCAATTTTTAAGATTTATTCTTAAATTTGAAAAATCATAAAAAATCGATTAAAAAAATTGTAAAACAAAAAATCGCTATACTTACGTGAATCGATTTTTTCTCCCACCCCTAAAGTCGACCTTTATGAAGTCAGTATGTTAAACTCAAATTGACCTTTACCTCACAAAGACTAACAGATCTACCTCTTTTTAAAACTGTACTCTACTTTTCAGCCTTCAACATGTTCGTCTGCGATGACACACTTCTGTGCAACTTCCCGAAGTGTCGCACCAAGCTGAGCAGCTTCGCCTGGGTCACAGCATGCTCACATGTTTTCTGCGATCAGCACGGGTCTGATGCGTTCAGCCGCTCTCCTGCCATCTGTCCAGCGTGCTCCTCGACACTCTCTGGGAAGCTGGACACCGTGAGGACAGAGCTGTCACCTTCAGAGGAGTACAAAGCCATGGTGCTAGCAGGTCTGCGACCTGACATAGTGCTGGACATCAGTGCCCGTGCTCTGGCCTTCTGGAGCTATCAGGTCAGCTTATGAATCTGTAGCAGAGAGCAGAGAAAGAGTGCTGTCTTCCCATGAAATACATTCAGTTTATAGGTGTTTTTTCCCTCTATAAACAGATCCATCAGGAGCGCATGTATCAAGAATACAGCCTGTCACGGGCAGAGGCACAGCTGAAGCAAATGGAGAAGGTGTTGAGCCAGCAGAACCAGAGCAGAGAACTCGAGCTCACCACCATGAGGGGGGAAATCGCCTCCCTGAAGAAGGTAAAACTCACTTCTAAGACTCAAGTACTGTCACATTTGAAACAAGCTTCTCAAACTATTTCAGGCAAGGAAGTTTGGGAGACTGTAGCTTCTGCTAGGAAGGCAAAAACTTGAATATGAGTTTGAATCCTTTCCTCTCTCAGGTGATGGAGGAGTACAAGAGGAAGTACAGTGAGGTGTCTGAGAGGCTGATGGAGAGGAACAGGCAGTACCAGAAACTGCAGGGGCTGTATGACTCTCTGAGGCTGCGCAACATGGTGGTGGGTGGAGGGGAGAGAGATGTGCTGACACAACCAGGACATCAGGACTTCAACAGTGGTGAGAGCAATCTCAATATAGAAGTTAGAAGTTTTCAAGCACGCTCACTATTGAGGGGTTTTCTGATCATTTTGTTGAGGAGATATATTGAAGATTTATTTTGATAGAGGTTGATTTATGACACTTTAAAGGGATATTTCTGTGTAAAAGTAATTTAGGGTCAAACACACCGTAACACCGAGTTAGACACCCCCTTGAGAGATGAATGTTGCCGACTGCTTGCTTCTCTAGTTATACCAACTTTAGTAACGACCGCAGGATAGTGATACACATTGTCTCCTGCCTGCTCTGCTCTCTACTTTCCAAGTTGACTGTCTCTCCTCAGCTGTCCTGTAAATGAAAGCAAAAATGTAAAGGAAATATTCAAAAACATAGGTTAAATAGATAACTGGGCAGGACACCTAAAACCCAAATGTGTCTTCCCCAAAGTCATCGAACACCTGCTTTGATTTATTTAATGAGACTGGATTATTTATTTCCAGTCTTTTAAGTCCTTTTCAGACATGCACAAACCTCCTGAAACTTCTGGAAATAGTCCGGGTGAGCTGCATATGAGAAAACAAACAGCCAAATTTTTCACCTCGACTTGCTTGAGTTATAACCTGAGCAGTAAGTCACTTCCTGAGCTAATGTGAGCATGCAGCAGGAAATTATAACTTTTCTGCATGGTTATAAAATTCTCTTTCAACCCTGATCTAAAACTGCTAGTGCAAATACAGATAAGCTTTCAAATATAAGTTTAAGAAACACTTTCCTTCAGCTAAAAAATACAGATAAATGTCTTTCTGTGTTTGCCTGAGAATGTTACACTTCTGTTGAACCACTTGTTGCATTGTGCCTTCTCTGATGAATGAGAACAGGAAGGAAGTGCAGGGAGAATAATCACAAAGGGAAAACACAGCTGTAGGTGTCTGTAAAAAAGAAGCAGTCATCAAGAAGGAACAGTGGGAGTAATGAGCTGATTGTCTATGTAAGGGAATTTTACCTGGAAGAACAATAACACACATCCATCATCCCCCTCTGTGTCACCCAGGGGTGGCTCGGCAGGGGTCCCCCCAGAGAAGCCCTCAGTTCTTCTCCACCGGCCCGGATGGGGATGGAAGATTCTTCTCCTGCTTGGAGACTAACGGACCCAGAACCTTTTTCCAGTTCAGCTCCCCGTCTAGAGACAGAGGCCCGCTGCTCATGAAGAAGCACTAAGACAGCAGCAGGTTTTCCACGACATTCGTTTCATACTGGTGTTCGGTGTTGTGGTGTTCAATCGAAGGTTAGTCGAGTTGCCCAAGGTGTATTTTTTTGAGGCTTTAGTTGACAATTTTTACAAGAGTGACAAAAATTTGGACTGAAATCAAATATTGACGTATTTGCTGTGGTCCATTTCTGTTAATAAACTATAACATAAATTGACTGTTTACACAGAGACAAGCCTCCATTTCTCTTTTGTGGATAAGATTAACTCTCTGGTCACAAATTCAAAAGAATCAGTTTAATTTTGAATACTCATGTGTTTTTAAAATCTGAAGGACTCAGTTCAGGAGGTTGGGGCGACAGTGGCAAGTCTCACCTTATAGGGATATTCCAGCGTAAAATTAAGTTAGGGTCAAACACACCATAACACTGAGTTAGACATTCTGTTGAGAGATGAATGTTGCCGACTGCTTGCTTCTCTAGTTATATCAACTTTAGTAACGACCGCAGATAGCAATACAGAGAGCCACATGCTCAACCAAAAAGCCACTCTATAGCCACAAATAATGCTCAGAACAGCACCTAACTTTATCAACAGTACATATAGGGTCCCAGCCATAGTACTAGCCACCAAACATCTTTTTAATTTTGCCTAATTTCTTTAGCAAAGAGACTAAACACAACTCACCTACTCTCTTCCAGCAGCCGCTTGTTTGTAGCGAGACCTCGGCCAGTCCATTACGGACTACAGCGGGGTGACGCAGCTCAAGGAAGAACATTTATGGTGGCTAGTGCTATGGCTGGGACCCTATATGTACTGTTGATGAAGTTAGGTGCTGTTCTGAGCATTATTTGTGGCTATAGAGTGGCTTTTTGGTTGAGGTTTGTTTTTGGTTGAGCTCTCAGACCGCTGTGTATTGCTATTGTTCAGTCGTTACTTAAGTTGGTCTGCTGGAAGAGAGTAGGTGAGTCAATGGGGTGTCTAACTCGGTGTTACTGTGTGTTTGACCCTAAATTAATTGTACGCTGGAATATCCCTTTAGTTGTTTGCGGATATTGTCAAGGTAGCAACTTCTACAGCCAATTCAACAACTGTATACAGTTTTCTTCACTCATACACTGATGAATGAATGAAGGGATTATCATCCATACGGCATTGCAAGTGTACAAAACTCTGTTTTCCTCTAGTTTTTGCTTTCTTGTCGTCCAGTGAGAAAGATCAATGAGTGAACAAGTGTGTTGTTCGTGTGAACACCTTCAGTTACTCCAGGCAGATAAATTATGTGTATGACTTGCTTTGTCAGGGTTTGTGAAGCCACCTACATAATTGAAAAGTACCTTAGGTATATTGAACTCACTTCAAAGTACAGTGTCGGCTCCTGGCAATCAAATCAAAACTGAAATAATCATAATAGTAGATGTTCATGAGCTTTCCCTCCATGGACAAGTGAAAATGTGTACTGCTCTTCCAAAACACCACACAAACAGAATCTTTAAGACAAAAGGACTTCTTTTTTTTTTGAAGGGTAAACTGAAGAACATTTGTGACATCTTCTCATCAAAAGGTCCATTCATTATCAAAAAACTCCAACAAAAATAAAACGACAAAAAAAGGAATATTTATAAATATACACTAAGTGTTTCTCTACAGGCAAAGTGATGAGGTGAATTATTTACAGACAGCTCAGAAATCAGGCACAAACTTTGGAAACTTCAAACCTCTGATCTCGTTTTTTCAAAGTTCAAAATTTGGTCCTCCGCTTGTTATTTGGCTCATTCACTCTGTGGTTTGTAGCTGACCGAGGCGGCGATCTGACTGTGGACGTTCTGTTTCTTGCCGTTGACGATGAGGAGCAGCGGCGAGTCCACTCGTATACTTCTGAAGTCAAACGACTGCCAGACACAGGACGTACAAAAGTCAGACCACGTACAGCAGAGAAACATAATCTGAAATATTTACGCAGAACGTGTGCAGCACTGACCTCGTCTTTATGTGTGATGCTGTTTCGTTTGACCTGAGGTTCAGGAATGACCACTGTGTCTCCGATCAGGACGCCCCAGCTGTCTGCTGTGTTATAAACCATCACCACGATACACGTCTCCTCGCTGTCCACCATGCCAAACGTGCTGCAGAAACACAGAGAGCAAAATTTCACAAAACCTCCCAAAATCAAACTAAGACTGAGATTCAAACTACTTAAAATTACACTCACAAGGCCATGCGACCCTCAGAGGCCAGACTGAACACCACCTTTCCCATGGCGGCCACCCCAGGGTGATGACCGTGTGTGAGGGAGGAAAGCGTCCGCGGCTCCAGGCTGCCGATACGGCCCGATGGGGAGCGGAACTGAGGGGAGGAGCAGGGACCAAGCGCTGAGGTGTTGAGGGAGGAGAGCATCGACCGTAACCTTCTCGCCTTGACTTTTCCCTGAGAGAGAGAAAGAGAGAGAGAGACAGAGTGGAGGTTAGGACTTAACTAGACACTTTGCTGCCACCTAGTGGTCATAAACTTGTGATGATCATCAACAATGAGGGGGAGATTTCTTGTACAGCTGAGTGTGCGGTAGAGCTACACCTCCTCTTACCTTGTTCTGTATGAGTTCTGTGACTTTCTTCAGATACTCCAGCAGCTGCCTCTCTCTCTCCGGAGGTTCCTCCCAGCTCGGGTCAAGCGCGGCTGCTCTGCTGTAGCCACTGAGCGCCGACCCGAACATCTCCTCGTACTGAAACAGAGTGGATCTGTTGAAGTGCAGCTCCGGGTAACAGGAGGCGGCTCGGTCCACTTTCTCCTGCAGACCAAACACAGAAAGATCAAATATGAGTATAGTTATGTTGGTGTTAGAGCTGATTGGCTTTAGTAATGTGTTCAGTGATCAATACTCACAGATTGTGCATAGGCACTTAAAGCTTGTTGAGACAGCTGTGGATTCTGTCCACAGGAGAAGAACAGTGACACATAGGCATTTCCCAAGATATCTAGAACAACAATCCAAACATGGATTAAAGATACATCAGACATTCCAGAGAGAAAAAGTTCCTCTACTAAGATCCCAGACGCTCTCCTTACACCAGGAAGTGCCATCAGTGACATCCAGCTGCACCGCCTGTCTGGCCATGTCCACACTCTCCATCACCTGCTTCCCATGTGCTTCCCTGTCCACTGCTGGCAGCTGCCTTAGCACCATGGAAAGGTTACGCAGGGATACTTTGTTCTTGCTCTGCAGAGACAGAAGATGAAGCAAAAGGTGAATGGACAGGTTCTATTTTTCCATCTTTTTTTATCAATCGTGTTTAAAACCCTGAGTTTTACTCTCTTTTTATCTTTCCTACCTGCTGCAAGGCTCCAGTGAAGCAGTTCTTGGCACCCATCAAGTCTCCTTTTTTCCAGAACTGCTCCCCTAATGTGTTCCAGCCGTCCACCAGACCCGGCTCCAGCTTCACCGCCCGAGAGAGGCATTCCTCTGCTTCAGTGCTGAAGTCTGGAGCCACGTTGAGACACCTGCCCTTCTGCAGCAGGAACTCTGCTTTGTGTTTCAAATCACCTTTAAACATCCACACAGAGAGACAGTCAGTGCGTTTAAATGCACAGCTTTATCAGACTAAGCTCATAATTCAGTTTTATCGCCGAATCGGACATGTCTCCTTGTCTGCGTTTACATGCAGCTGAGAAAATTGAATTATTGATGTGAACGTGTCCTCCTCCCCAAAACTAGGGGGTGATATGGGTCTTTTAAGCAGTGCTGTTTCCGACCCCATACAACTGTCTACAACAACAGCAGGTCCATGCCAGACATCAGGGCTACCACCACTGCTGGGCATCTTCGAAAAAGAAGATGGAGCATCGTAAAGTGTTGATTTTGTCGTACATGATATACGCGCTACTTTTTCTGCAGATGAGATGCACGCTACTTCTCTTCTCTGGTGTTTTTGTTCCGGAGTAGTTCTGGGGGCGTGGCGCACGCACACATATGTTGTCCGATCATACTCCAACTACCCTGGTCATATGGTGGAGAAAATCGAATTCCAATCGCATTATCTGTTTCTCGAGTGTCATGTAAATGTACTGAGTAAAGGTCCTTACACACCGGGACTGTTTTTATCGTGCCATTATTTCGGACATCAACATTTTTTTTCAAACCCCTATCCCGTCAATACAAGCATTCACATCAGCGACGGTTTCCCGTGCGATATTGCGGCATTTATTTTTTCGTGCAATTATTGTTGATTTTTCTGATGACGTTTCCAGCTTTTCTAGCCAATCAGAGGCAAAGGAGGCGGGCCTTTCCCCGGGACAAGTCTTCCCTGGGATGCGTCTTTTCCCCCCTGAAATAATTTCGTGTTCTATATTCGCGTCGGCCCCGGTGGGTAAGGACCTTTAATTGGAATAAGGCAATAACTAGGTTTTTTTTTCGAGTGTCGTGTGAACGTACTGAGTAGGTGTACATGATTTGAGTCTGAAGTGCTTATTTGCAGCAGGAGGACCTTGCACCTGCCCACAGCGCCAAAACTACCACAAACTAGCTTGACCTTGACCTCAATTTTAACTGCGCCTATATAATGTAACTGACCTTCTTTCTCTTCCAGCTTCTTCAGTGTGTTTTCCATCTCCTGTGCGACATCTTTTTGTTTCCTCCCAGCTTCCTCCACACTGTGAGTCTCAAAATAGCAATCTCTAAATTTATACAGGTCATCCACCAGCTCCTGGAATAAGGGCGGGGGGATGAGAAAGATCAATTGTGTGTTTTTGACTGATTTAAAAATAGATCAAAAGCACATTTCTACATCTTAATCTACATGCAGTAACACTATAATAAATGCTTTAGCTTTCCAATCTCTAACCCTGCCCATCCTTAATTCATGATACAGCGTAAATCTAATGACTCAGCAAGAAACAGAATGGATGCAGCCTCAGCATGCACTTTTAAAGCCCACTTAAAGGCATCTGAATGCAGAAAGATTACTAAATGGGGCTAATACGTGTTAACTATAGAAGGAGGGCAAATATAAATATCAAATTATGTCTCAAATGTGGCCGAAAAACCAAGACAGGTATGTAGATGCAACGGTTTTAGCCTGTTGTTATAGTAACGAGTACTACAGCACATGCCATGCAAGTGACTTCAAACTAAATACAGCTTTAATAGCATAATTAGACAACAATTTAAAAGCTCAAAACACTTTAGAGACTTGTTTATTGGTGGAATAAAACTGGGGTGCGTACCTTTAAAATTTGCAGGTCGTTTTTCTCTTTCCCAGCCTCACCACTCTTCTCCTCATCCGCCATCTTTGCATCAGCAGTCTAAAAGCAGCGACAGCCCTCAGGTGCACAGGAGTGGCTGCTGCGGGGTAACAAACAGCATAAAGTCAGAGGATTTATCTTAGAAAGGGAGGTCTGGTGTGGTATAATGAAGGAAAACAGACATTTCTTCCCCGAAATAGTACGATTTGAAAGCCCTATAGCGCACAGGAAAGCAGGCTTTTAATTTGATTGCGAGGGTGTTCCGGAGTAACAAGTGACCGTGTTATATGATGACTTGCAGCCAGACGCTCAGTGGTTCACGGGAAAGGTTGTCGCGAATGCCTGTCTGTTCGATCATTTTGTAAAGGTTTCTCAATATATATACAGTGTACATTTGTGTCAATGGAAAACAACAAATGAGCTGTTGTGAGTAAATTTTCAACAGTAGTAGTATTTACGACAACAGACGTATGAGCTTGAGCATCGCCGGTCGAGAGGGTCACTTTAAAAAGCATAACACCGGAAAGTATGCTGGGTACGTTGCCGAAATCAGTCCGTTTAACAACGGTTATTACAAAATAACAGTGAGTTACACGTACATGTCACTTGTTTTTACATTTATTTAAACGGATATCGGTGTGCTTCTTTAGAACTCCGAATAGAAAATAAAGAAAAATCATTCGTTTTAACGCAGAAGAAAGAGGCGGAACCTTGTGTCTCTCACTCAGGATGTCAGCCGGGGACTTATTTTGCCATGTACCATACATTCTTCGCTCCAAACAAGGCGGACAGTGTTCAACTTTTGTCCAGAAACTGCGCAGTGTGACCACTTTCATAGTTATACTGCCGATATTTTTTGTTCATCATGTCGGACACATGGAGCAACATCCAGGCGCACAAAAAGCAGCTGGACTCACTGAGGGAGAGGCTGCAGAGGCGGCGGAAGGACCCTGCACAACTGTCGGCGGGTATGTCCAGACCAGGGTTCGATTGTTTTTGTTACTACTGAATTAGTGAGATGATTGAGGAAGTAAATGAGCCGATAAATAGTGAACATTTCAGTGCTGCTTATTCCAAAGGGTTACTAAACAAATGACAAAAGCTATCGCAATATTGCTGTTGTTAAACTTCCAGCACTTGTTCGTTACACTGTACAGACAACTGGCCAATGATAAGTCAGACAGAGTTAGAGTGTGTATGGGACGGTTTGGGATTGAAATCTCATCCTTCTGATTTTTGATGGTGAAATGTATCTCTTTGTGTTAATATTATAGACTGTATATACTATGGACAACTTGGTTTCGCCTTCCGTTTGTATATGGATTTGAAGTTCTCGGTATTTCTGCGATATTTCTTCATTTCCTGAAACCAGAATTGGGCAGTAGTGTTGTACGCATTTGGTGGGAGAGTCGCCGAGAGTCACTGTGATGATGCTCGACTCAGATGGCATATCCCCTGGGTGAGCTACACAATCCTTATTACGCCCATAGGCTGTATCAAGTGTCAATCATAGAAAACTTGAATCCCCTTATAAGTTTTAAAAACGGAGCTGTGCAGAAAAAAGAACTGTACTGTAACTACATGTCAACATCACAAGCAGGGGAGAGAAACATTTATTTTCTGTGTAATAAATTTCTGAAGTTTGTCCACAGCTCCATAGAGATTGCTGGAGGAGGCGGGATTTATGACCTATACTGCAGCCCGTCAACGGATACAGTCTATGGTTAATACTTAATGTTAAAACAAGGCACAATCCTCAGGCATTGAAATTCACTGTATGAAATTTTTCCAATTTGCTTTGATTTGCCATCAAAAAGGAATGAGGGTTAGATATCAAAAGTAAAGAATAGATCAAAAACAACAAGATTGTTTGTCACATAATTGAAAGTGTTGACTTTGGCACCTGCATGATTTGATTGGTCTAAATGTTGGCGTTCATGGTGTTTGTCTGCTGTTGGTCAGATTCCATAGGGAGCAGCACAGATGGCTCCACAGCTCGGAGTGACAGCCCAGCTCCTTCTGCACCTTTACCTCCTCAGGAAGAAGCAGAAAAACCTCCAGATCCTGAGCTTGAGAAGAGGCTGCTGGGATATCTGTCTGATCTGAGTCTTCCTTTGCCCATAGACTCTCTTGCCATCACAGATGATCTCAGTGTGAGTGTTTGTTTCATCGCAGAGAACAAAGTTCAAGCTTTTTGGTCATCTCATTTAAACTTCTCTCTTTCTCCTCACAGTCTGAAGCAGCCGTCAGTCACGCTTGCATCCAGAGTCTGCTGCTCAAGTTCTCTGCACAGGAGCTCATCGAAGTCCGACAGCCCAACTCCTCCTCCTCTTCTTCCTCTACTTCTTCCTCCTCCTCCATTGTTGTATCAGTGGACCACACAAAACTGTGGGCTATGATTGGACCTGGAGCCGGAGCCCAACGGAGCGGAGTCAAGAGAAAAGCAGAAGATCAAATCCAGCACAAGAGAGCTCCAGGCTTCTCGCCTTCGCTGAAGAGCTCCGCTTCACCTCCACAGGCCTCCTTCTCCTCTCTGACTCCGGCGGTCTCCACACAGCTGGCGGGGACTTCTTCATCAGGCAGCGGGGCTGAGAAGAAGGGAAGGAGCAGTAAGAGTCAGTCGTCTCATGTGGACATGGAGATCGAGAGCCTCCTGAACCAGCAGTCCACCAAGGAGCAGCAGAGCAAGAAGGTAGGAAAAAGGGTTAGGAGATGAGTTAGTGGTAGGAAAAAAAGAGGACCAACACCTCAGAGTAAAGCGAGATACTCCAAAGATGTGATAAAATGAACGTTTTTTACGTCTAGGTGAGCAGAGAGATTCTGGAGCTGCTCAACGCCAGCACGGCGAAGGAGCAGTCCATCGTTGAGAAATTCAGGTCTCGCGGTCGAGCTCAGGTCCAAGAGTTCTGCGACCATGGGACCAAAGAGGAGTGTGTGCGCTCCGGGGACACTCCTCAGCCGTGCACCAAACTTCACTTCCGGTCAGTGTTTGTCAGCTCATGATTTTCAGAGTTTGATTCAACCACACAGGTTTAATTTTCTGATAGACCTGAAACATTGTTTTAAACAGAAAATACCTCCTTTGGCCTGAAGAGGTCACTATAATCAAGGTTAAAAACAGAGGCCCTATGAGAAGCATTTGGGTAAAGTTCTGGAGAAAAACAGACTCCCCCTCCTCCTTGTGTAATTTGTTTTCAGGTCAAACTAAAAAGTGCTTTTGATATTTTTATTGTCTTTTTAATAGAATTTAGCAACACAGGCATGTTGTTATGCAGCTCACTGACTTATTCATACACTTTTCTTTAGTCGCATCATCAACAAGCACACGGACGAGAGCCTGGGCGACTGCTCCTTCCTCAACACCTGCTTCCACATGGACACCTGCAAATACGTCCACTATGAGATCGACAGTCCACCAGAGGCCGAAGGGAGCCTGCTGGGGCCCCAGGCCGGAGCCGCCGAGCTGGGCCTGTGTGCGGGAGACGCAGACAGCAACGTGGGCAAACTGTTCCCCTCACAGGTGGGTCAGAGAGGAAACCAAATGACAGTTTTTGTTTTAGCATGACTCGCAAAATGGACTCATTAATCGTTTGAAACAGTGGATCTGCTGTGATATCCGATACCTGGACGTGTCCATACTGGGTAAATTTGCGGTGGTGATGGCTGACCCTCCGTGGGACATCCACATGGAGCTCCCGTACGGGACTCTGACTGACGACGAGATGAGAAAACTTAACATCCCCATCCTGCAAGACGACGGCTTCCTCTTCCTCTGGGTCACCGGCAGGTAAGACCAACAGATGAACAAACATCAAGTCTAGACGGATTCATGATCCAACCATCATGGACTTAATCAGACACATTAACTGACAGTCAGCTAAAGGGTGAGTGGATGTTTGTTCAGACTCCTCATCTGCTTCACTGCTTTCCCTGCAGGGCCATGGAGCTGGGCAGAGAGTGTCTCAGTCTTTGGGGGTGAGTCTTACACACAGAATCCAGCTGATGCTTATTGATCACCTGGACATCATCTCGTCTCATCTTCATTCTTCTTTGTGCTTTTCCACCTTAGCTATGAGCGTGTGGATGAAATCATCTGGGTTAAAACCAACCAGCTCCAGAGAATCATCCGCACAGGGAGGACAGGACATTGGCTGAACCACGGGAAGGAGCACTGCCTGGTAATTTCTAGTGTATTCTTGTAAACACTTCATCCTCACTGTGTTGAGGAATCTTGCCTGCGGGATGATTTGCACGCTCAGGCATGGGAGACACCGCCTGAGCGCTCGAGGGTGTTTTGAAGCAAGTCGCTACAGATTGACTGAATGTAAACCTCCAAGCATAAGAGTTTGAAATGAAACCAACAGTGCCGTGTGATTTTCATTCAGGTGGGCGTGAAGGGGAACCCTCAGGGCTTCAACAGAGGATTGGACTGCGATGTCATTGTAGCAGAGGTAAATAGTGACAGCTTCAGTTATTGTGTAGTTTACGCAGCGTCGAACAGGTCGCTTCATTTACACTTTTCCCTCCAGGTCCGCTCCACCAGTCACAAACCAGATGAGATCTACGGCATGATTGAGAGACTCTCGCCCGGCACGAGAAAGATCGAGCTTTTCGGTCGACCCCACAACGTCCAGCCCAACTGGTAACACAACATCAGACCCTTGTAGTGATGTTAAAATCCAGATTTCTTTGCACGCTCAGGAATATTATCGCTGGACTTTTTCATCAGCTGACACACTCAGCCTCTCTAGAGCGTCCTTTTTAGACCGAGTCATGTCACTTACCTGTTACAAACAAATGAAACTCCTTCAGAGATGTCCCTGAAGGTGTTTCATTGCCCCCGTCTTGATTCTGTTGAAACATGCACCAGATTTCCAATGAGCACAATTTTTCACAGTTTCAGCATTTGAGCTCTTATATGTACGTGTCTATTTAAGGATTTTCAAACCATCAAATTCTGTTTTGCACTCATTTCGTTTTCTTCAATTTGTAGGATTACTCTCGGAAACCAGCTCGATGGCATCCATCTCCTGGATCCTGAAGTGGTGGCTCGATTTAAGAAGCGATATCCAGACGGGGTCATCTCCAAACCCAAAAACATGCCTCAGTAAAGACTTTAACGGTGACTTAGAGGTTTGGAGAAGTTTGTCCACAGACTGATTTTATTTTTTATACCATTGACCAACTTTAACTTACGATTAGCGGGACACACCACCTGTGATTTTTTGACGAGAAATAACATCAATAAATAACGTAGGTGCCGTTTTCTCTGAATTTCTCCACGCATTTAATGCAGCGAAACATCATTTGAAAACCAAGAAAAACACAGGACACACTTTTGTAATGTGAATTTTTTTTGTTATCATGTTAGCAAAGAATAAAAGGTTCTTTGACCAACACAGACTTCAACAATTGACAATGTTTTGCATCAAAGTACAAACACTGACATTTCAATTCTAGCCGATTCTCTCAATCCTTCGGGATCAGCACTTCCGTTCGTTTCGATTCATTACAGGCAAACACAGAACCCTTTTCATCCTAGAAACCTGCTGTTTGGTCAGTTTATCAAAAAAAAGAAGTGAGTTTAAAACCAGAGTTTTGTTTCATTACAAAAATATACAAATATAAGAAAGAAGCCAGAAGAAGCCAAAGACTGCAGACGGCTTTATCTAAGAGGAGCAGGTCTTTCTGTGCAGCTTGATTAAATTTAGGGATGAATTAAGTCGAGGCAAAAAGAAGAAACTGCAGAATATCTTTCAGCAAATGTAACATATTATCTCGACAACATTCACAAGCATCCGTTTCTGGATTAGGGTCATATCTTTTTATGTAAGAGTGACACTGTGTTTGGTACGTTTTCACCCAGTGAGCTGTGTTATGTCACAAAACAGGATTAGAAAGTAAATCTGCAAAGAAATGTCAACATTAGTTTCAGAGACATGATTCAGCACTCACGGTGATGATTAGGATCACATGGAGATACTCATAATTACACCTTTTGAAGGCTGCTTCTCTCAACACCTACTATTAAATGATTAAAATATCTGTGCTTTTCTTCACAAAAGTAGCCCGAAGAAAGATTTAAAAAAGCATCCAAAATAAAAAAAACATAATGCACTTTTTGGCTGAGAATGCTGTAAACAAGTCTCTACCTTGTTCTCTGTCCATTTACCATGAACCATCTATCATGATTTTCAGAACCAAGCCCCCCTTCCAGTCTGTTTTCCTGTTGGTTTTGATGGCAGCAAGCGACAAAGGCGTTAAAACTACAGTTGATGTTACATGTGTTTGCTCAGCTATCAGTCTTCAGGGTCCTAGCATGAATGGGCAACAGAAACTTTGCCATTGGAGTCCATTTATCTCCGACGCAGCGTCCTTCAGTAGGTGGCGTCCACTGCGTTGATGTTGCTGTCCAGCTGGTGTCTAAACGACAGCCTGGCCTTTGTGGAGAAATATATCTGCGAGCCGCGACTCAGGCTTCCCGCTCCGTCGCTGTCGCTGCTCCAGGATGTCGTGGAGGAGAGGCGGGGCTTCATCTCTTCGATGGGAACTGAGGGGGCGGGAAACAGAGACAGGGGATGCGGTTTTGTTATATTGGTACAAGTTATATTGGTCATTATCTTCACTTTTGAATCCTATGTCAGCTTTTTGAAGACATACAGCTTGTTGTCTAAGTTTTCTGCTCCTCACCTTGAGCTGGGGGGCACTGCCTGCTCTTGCAGCGTTCTTTACAGCGTCTGTAGAAAGGAAAGCACTGCAGCATCTTTACTCCCATGGTGGACACGTCTGTGGAGTAAAGAGAGGAGTTACAAGAGATGAGATGGAGGGAGCAACAAACTAGCAGAAACCGCATCTTTCTTTAAATTCAGCAGCATGCACCCAACTCATTAAACGTTTTCCTGGAGCTCCATCTCTGCCAAAGCCGTCCCAAAATAACCTCATCCTGCTGACACTTCGTTTTAGTGTCATGGCACCCTGTGTGTTCTTACCGGGTCACATTTGAATGGAATAATGATCCTGCACCTCAGTGACCTGATAGTCTAATTTAAGCTGACAATTTCACTGAATGAAGCTTTCCCTCTTAGGCTCATCAGTGTTTACTGGTTTACAATCATCATCCCGCACACTGTCTAATCCTGGAGAAGGACGTCAACAGGCTGTTGCAGCTAGATGAATTATTAAGCCACATACAGATTACACAGGGGTCATCCGATGTGTGCAAGTTATGACTAACAGGCTCATATGTGCACATAGCAGACAAAGCTACTTTAAAGTCATCCTTCTGCAGCTCTAGACCTGGATCTACCCTGAATGTCCTGTAGATCTACATGTCCTGTAGATCTGATTAATTTAGCGACGAGCCAGACGACATCCTTATTTCCCTGAGGACGCCTTCTATCTGTGGAGCTTCTGCATGATAAGATAAAGTCAGGGCCACATGCTGGCACTGAGCTCTATTTACTTAGTGTGGAAAAAAAGTCTATATTTCAGTCTAACCAGGTTAAGAAATGGGTCAGGTGAAATGGAGCAGAGGGGGGCGTGAGGTTTTTGTACTGTTTCTGTTTGAATGGTTTTTGGGGCTGAGAGGATGGCCACTAGCTTTCATGCTACAACTGCAAACTGTTTTATTATTTATATGTGGCTTTTACACAATTACAATTCGGCAGCAGCAGATCCAGCCTTTTCAGGAGTGATATCAAAGCTACTATGCATGGAGCAAAGGCAGAAACAATAGGTCTAAAAAGTCTTTATAAAGAAACTTGAAAGCTATTGACACTAAATAAATCACAAATAGGTGCAACATGATGAGAAAAAGACACAAAAATATTTAAATAAAATCAAAGAGATGCAAAAAGATGTTGAACAAAAGGACAACTGATTAACAACCAAGTGACAAAAACAACTTCAAGAAATACACTTTAACTACAAAGAGATACAGAACTATTACAACATATTTGATCGATATTTGATAATCTAACTCAAAAGAGCTACTACAATGAATTAACCTCACGTGCTTGCAAAATGGCATCTGCCAGTAAAACAACTACAGAGATCCCAAACGATCACAGTGATTGAAATGATAGCAATGTGCAAAACACAGCAACTAAGATACAAAACAACTGCAACAAAGAGATACAAAGCAACTGCAACAACGATACTAAACAACTGCAACAAAAATACTAAACAACTGCAACAAAGAGATACACAACAACTGCAACAAAGATACAAAACAACTGCAACAAAGATGCAAAACAGCTGCAACAAAAATACAAAACAGCTGCAACAAATATACAAAGCAACTGCAACAAAGATACAAAACAACTGCAACAAAGAGATACAAAACAACTGCAACAAAGATGCAAAACAACTGCAACAACTACTAAAAGATGGTTAAGTCAACAAAGATAGAATATTTGCAGTGATAATGAGACATACAAAGACCATAAAGATTACAAACAACCCCAAAATAAAAGAGGGAAACCCTTTTCAAAAAAATGCTGCAAAACTATGACCAAAATGATCATCAATGCGCGAAATAACTCAAGATACACAAAAGATGGCAAAAATGCAACAAGACATAGAGACTTTAAAAGTCTTATAAGTTGACATTAAGTATGATACAGCACTGTTCCCCATTGACCCCCATTCACAGATTTAACAATCTTGATCTGTCCTGAATAAAAAACTCTGATTACAACATAACACTGACTAACATCTCTTCCTATCTTTCACTGTTTACCGCCGAGTGCTCATGCTGCCTGACTCAGTGAGGACATTTCATGGAGACGTGACAGCTCACACATACGCAGCAAGTCCCAGAGCCGCTCTAACACTCTGCAGTCAAACCAGGGTAGAGACAGACCCCTGGCCTCTCTCTCTGCACTTTCTATCTTTCCATCTCTGATTTCACACACGCTCTTTTTGAATGAATTCACACACACAAAAGTTTTTCCCCTCCTTCGTTTCTTTACCATCAATGGCACCTCCTTCCTAACTTTCATACAGGTGTGGCTGTGAAATCCTATCCCATTTACAGCCACAGTGAATCCATTATGTTAAGTCCAATTCTGAGGTTCAGTTGGTTAGATGAGACCTTGCAGTATAGAAACAAGAAAGAAAGGACCAAGTTTAGGCTTATCATGTTTTCATTACACATCCCTGGGGATTATAAATGACTTGCATGCCAATAAAAAAAGTTTGCAGTGCAGTTCCAAACAAGCATATTGAGGCCCTGGTCAGTGGTGAGGAATTTGGGCTCAGATCATGATTGGCTGTGGGGGTCTGGCAGCACACAGCAGTCTGAAAGCCTGGAGGAGAAAAACAACCTCAGATGGCAAACACACACACACACACTCACATGCACACAAAACCTACTCAGAGAGCACAGACGGTGCCCGTATTGACCAAACAGCAGGAAGAGGAGACAGATAGAAAAAAAATGGGGTGTAAAAAACAATGCAAAAATAATGCAGAAAAATGCGGAAATTTGGCGTGAAGTCGTGCAAGGGACTTCCTCGCCTCCTCATGTTTTACTTGACAAGGACTGCTTTGCTGGCAGCCAATGTGAGCACCTGAGTAATGCGGTTCTACTTGTTGAATCAGTGGAAGCTCACTTAAAAGTTGCCCCATCTCTCCAGAGAACCACCAGCTCGGGGCTCTTGACTTGAGGTTTTCATAATCCTCAGTGCATGTTTGTGCGTGTGTGTTTCCAGGAAAAATTGTCAGAGCTACTTAAACATGTTTGCGCAGCTCGAACCCTCCATATTCTCCGTTTCTGAGCGTGACTAGGACTTCTCTCCCTGCAAACTCCCCTCCCCGGTCCACACACAGCCCCTTATCTGCTGTGTAAACAATGTTAAAGCAAGCAGCAGAGCACAAACGCTTACAGTAACATGATAACAATCTTCCCACTGCTCCACATTTCCTCTCGGCGCCCCTTTTCTCTCCAGCCCCCCCAGCTTTCAAGTGACAAAGTGCAGTCCTGTGCTGCTGCCCTCAACACAAAGCTTCACATAACACTGCATGGCTGGATGACGCACTAACTCTGAGCATGTATATCTGCACGAGTGCGTCCATTAATAGCTGCATTCAATCCGCTTTCATTCATATTCAGCACTACTGAAGGGTGGAGCAGCTTTTAAGGTGTTTCTGTTGAGCTCTCATGCAGTGGCCCAATAAAATGTCTGTTATTATCAGTGGTAGACTGTAACCAGGTCTAACCAAGAAATTTGCCAACACACCTCAAAAAGACTCAAATACCCATTTTAAGCCGATTAAAATGTTTAATTTTGCTTTACTACAGAAGCAAATACTGCATTGTTCACTCCAGTTCATTTATCTGGTGGTGTTGATTAAGATTAAACAAACAAAACACTCACTCAGATTGTGTTGTATGATAAGTTATTACATTTATTACCTAGTAAACTGTATAAAAGGTCAAATTACTTGACTCAACTATCTGGATTAGTCCTCCCTAGATTTCATTTCATCATCTCTGAATGTTTCTCATGAAAAAAATGCAATGAAGCAACTCCTTAACAACCTCAAAATAACTAGCATAGAGGTAACTTGTCTTACCAATAAACTGTTTTTTTAACCTTGACATCCTGATAATTTTGCATCAGTAAAAACCAGATAAAGCGAGAAACCTTGGCTATCTTTTTATTTGGATGCTTACTCAAGAATAATTGTACAAAATATAAAGCAAAAGTTATAAATTGGTTATTCTTTGGCTAAATTTATATGGTTAAAATGATAATACATTTTTTTTTACAAAACAAGACAGTAGGAATTCAGTTTTAACAATGCACACAATACTTTGAATACGTGATTTTAATTGCCTAGTTTAGCTATTAGCAGGTAACAGCTTAAAAAAGTCAATTATCAGATTAGCCAATGTGAAACTCTTTGTTCAGGGTTTGCCTATATGAAAATTTCTGCCAAAATATGCGGTGACACATTCATGCAACAACAGCATAGGCCTAATAATGAGCTATTCATCGAGGATTGGCAAAATCCAACATCCTGTACCCCTTTATATATCGGCAAACCTGATACCTCATTATTGGTGTCAGTATCGGCCATTAAACAACTGTTATTGGTCAAGTTCTTGAAATGATTCAAATAGATGTACATATTTTGCCTTTTTATCCTTTAAAAACCTCAAAATAACTTGTGACATCGCAGTAGCTTATCGAAATTTGTAGTTTTAATGTTATCATGTGTATCGGAAAAAAGAGATTATAACTTAAAAAGGACTCTTGCTTTTCATTCTGCTTTGTTTCCATGAAGCAGTTTGTGTACAGTCCCTTACTTTTTATTAACTGGAGTATTCCTATTTTTTCATACCAAGAAAAAATCATCAATCTTTTGTTTGGCTATGTCGTAAATGTTAAGCTAACTTTTCGCCAACGTTCTGGCGCGCGCTGAGGATGAACGCCTCTGTGCGCGTGCAGGTGAGAGGCTGAATGAAGTGCTGCTCCAGACGGGATAATCTGCGCTTTCATTAAGTTCACTACAACACCGTTTATCTCCTCTGCGTCCCCGTGAACA